ATGATGCTCGATTCCTGAGCGATCAAGAGAGAGCGCGCGTTATTCGAAGATTGAAAGACGATCAGCAAAGTTCCGCTGGTCCTGAAGACTTCAAGATGTCGTACATGTGGGACTCTTTGAAAGACTGGAAAACTTGGACCGGGATGTTGATTTATATGGGTGTTGATGGTAAGTCAAACCTAGGAGATTTCTGTGAGCTGTATTTATCTCATATCGAGTACAGGAGCACTATATGCATTTTCACTGTTTCTTCCTTCAATTATTGCAGAGCTCGGATATTCAGCAACTCGTGCCCAACTTTTATCAGTACCCCCGTATGCAGCAGCGTGTATTCTTACCGTTCTCATTGGTTGGGCAGCTGACCGCACCAACAAGCGTGGTATTTATAATATCGGGGTCTCTTTGGTCGGAATCCTCGGTTTCGCTATCCTATTAGCATCCAGAAATGCAGCTCTGAGTTACGTTGGCGTATTCCTCGGCGCTCTAGGAATATATCCGTGTATTCCAAACACAATTACCTGGGTGAGCAATAACGTGGAAGGGGTTTACAAGAGAGGTGTCACCTTGGGGTTCGTGATTGGTAAGTTTTCACGCGCGGATATCCCGTTCCCAACTCTAACTGACATCTGATTAGGGTGGGGAAATTTGAATGGTGTCATGTCTTCAAATGTGTACCGTGGACGAGATAAACCTCATTATACGCTAGGACATGCCATTGTATTAGGATACCTCGCTGTTGGTCTGTTGGGTGGTTCAATCTTGAATTATGTGCTTCTGCAACGCGAGAACAATAAGCGAAAGAATGGAGAAAGAGATGTTTGGGTTCAAGGCTTGGATCAGAGACAGATCGAGGAACTTGGTGACAAGAGGTAAGATCCATTATACGTCTGATGCTTGCTCAGAACTAGCGCTAATTGACTGATATCATAGACCTGATTTCATCTACACGATGTGAGCTTGGTCCAATCGGCAAACCGATCGATGAAAGTCTTCAATTTAGCACCATTTATACCCTCTGAACAGATATTATATAACGTATTTATACATAAAGATATTATCATGATTCCGTAACAAGGCAACATGTGCAGCCGACGCACGCGCCTAGCGTCACATAATCTCACTCGGTGGCTTGACCTACATATGTATCTCCTCCCAGCAACTTTTCCAAGAGAAACCAGCCCGACGAACGTTCATGGAATATAAGGGTAGTACCCGAGAATATGGGGTGTGTCACTCCATCTGTCGTGAATAAATATCCAAAGATCGCCTAAATGAATCATGGGTGATTTGAATATTTTGACGCCAGAACACTCAAAATATGTTTCTTCATCATAGATAGAGAACTACATCCTACATGCACATAGACTTATGCAAAGAAGTCAGACCGTCGATGAGACCAGAGATACAGGTGATCAAAAATTCGTGAAACATGAGGATTCTGGCGGCCGTTAAAATATTGATTCACCTCCAAATATACCACAAAATAATCGAGTCTGTACAATCCGTGTAAGTCAATTGTAATGAACAGGGGATTCTAGGTCAAAAGAACCCAGTGACCTTGCAGCTTATCTTTTTTTTTTTTTACTAGCATTGTAATCCATGTTAATTGTACCTACATACTCTAGATCGATCGAGTAACCAAATTACATGTACTTATCCTTGTAAAGTGAGTTCCCAGGAACATATACCCCCGCAGAATTCTTATCCCTCGGTAATGCACGAGAGGAAGATCAACAACTGTGTGGGTACCCACGGATACATGTCGCAGTATCGTGCTGTTTCAAGCATTTGCGATCTGGTCTATAGATGTCAACCGTTCCCTCACAATGCATGGATCTGACAGATAATGACACGCGGAGACGCATATTCCTCTTTTTTACCACTAGTTTCACTATACCCAAGTTTCCTCGAATGTGTGTGGAGCCACTTAAGCTTCACTGTTTAATTCCAAACTCTTCAAGCTTTCTAGATGCTGAAGAGAGTCCCTTCATGTCTGTGTAGACATGACCGTTCTTTGCCTACCAGTGTGGCCCAGAACAGACCTGTATGTATTTTGTTCCATAATAGAGGCTTTCAGTTGATCCCTGTTTTCCATTTTCAAAGTGAAAAGGAAACTCCTGTAGCCAAGAGTCTGTCCGAAGTGCATTGAACTATCGACAAACAGAGCATCCTGCAGGTGCAGACTGGGAAATACTCGAGGACGGAATATTTAGCATTAAGTATTCATCAGAAAGTGACATGTCAGATGCAGAAGCAGACGCAACTTTAGCTGCATGAGTTTTCCTTTCACTTTGAAAATGAAAGTTCGGGTCAACTGAAAGCCTCTAATGGATTATGTCTCAATCATGTATAAGTGCGCTGCATGAATAGCTTCTGCAGCAAGAACCTGGCCACATTGTGGGATTGATAATCGAATCCGCTAGACAAGAGCTCTCATTCTCGTTTTTTCTAAAGCTTCGGTGATCCTCAAAATCAACACCTTCTGGCTTGGGTGGGCCATGGTATTTCTCCTTAAATTTGTCATCTTGGGGCCATGTATCAGTACTGAAAACGCATTAGCTATATACATAATATAGTTTTTCTGGGGGTAATCTCTCATTTTGGAAGAACGATACTGTACGTAAAGAGAACTATTTTATATCGGGGGTACTCAGAGCACCACATCTATAACTACATGTAGCCAATATGTGATATAGTTCTACACCTCCTTAGTTATCCAATGCATACTTCTAGAGGTATACCTACATGCATATGTGGTATGATAAGGACTTATCGACCGGTAGCCAAGCTCCTCAGTGTAGGGCATGTGCACATAGCCGCGCGATAGAGGCAAACGGTGAACGTAACAGTAATTCAAAGATTCCATAAAATCCCGGTAGATAGATAAGAAACCGAGGCTAATGAGTGAGTCTCATAGAGCTAGTGTATGAGTACGTGCCTAGATGTTACACCTCACCGACGCAAGAAGTACGTGAGCAATGAAAGCATTAAATCATTGGCACATGTACTTGTATGTACCTGCACACACTGTTCGCACGATGATCATACATGCAAGATGCCCTGGATCCCCATACTGTGAACTCACATGTTGGTCTAGCTACAGCGATAATAAAGTGAACTACCTAAATTACGGAGCATTTGCACTAAGCAAACTAGTACGGTAATTACTGTAAGGTTGGTTGATACATGTAGATATATATACTCAGTAATAAGTTTGCGGTAAAGTGGGTTTCCAAGCTCGAGGGGCTTGGAAGGTTTGCAAAAAAAATGCGCCCAACCGGTTTACTACCCTAATATCTGAAGGGTAAATTGAACTCGAGGGACCTTTTATACCTATTCCTTATTGTGGATTAAGCATTTGCTCAAAATGCAGAATGTATACATGTAATATGTACACATATATACCGCCAAGTAATACAATCAATGTATTATGAATACCGCTAAGTAAGTCGAGTGATATTCTATGTCGATGGCTCCCCATTGATTGATAATTAATTCGTGTATGCAGCCCGGAGTTGATGGCTCCCCAAAAATCGACTTATGTTTTCTCAACTACATGTGTATACGTACATGTACGTGTAACTTATATGTGCAAAGACCCAGACCCACCACACGAATACACCTAGTGCTCAACGTTGTCTACAAGGCACATTGAGGCGAGGAGAATAGGTCGTATCGAGTTTCCTCTACAGGGGGCGTCTCCGACTGCCTTGAGCCACATACATGTATACCTGGAGTGCTCTGAATTTTCCTCCTGTGGGTAACAGCATTCATGGTAGGATCCGAGAAACTTCACTACAGCTTTGCTAATCATGTTCTGATCACCTGGGCTGGGTTCAAGTCGAGGAGAGAACTGCTACTGAGGTACATCTGTATCTCTGGGGTACGCCTCTGGCTGCCTCGATTCATTTAACTTGAAATAAGGCACGAAGCACATGGCAAGCTCGTCCTCGTGAACCACCCTAATATAGATATACATGTAGTGTATACATATAGGTCCCAGTGAAGATACCATGTACCGAGATGCAAGTAGTCTAACTTACGCAGCTAACAAACTTACATATGTAATATACTTACATGTACCTGAAGCATACATGTGTACATATATACTCGCGGTATACTACATGTATGTGTCATTCAGGTAGCCACGAAGGTCACCTCAGTATTAGTAGACATAGTCATCTCATTATGGACTACATTCTATCCTACCCTTCTACTGAGTTAAGGCTGTCCACACATGACTCAGGGACCAGACGATGATTAGCTTGGTAGAATTGTAACCATAGAACATACAGTGACAATAATTCTTTCTAGCTGCTTGTCTTAGATTAGGGCCTCCTCAATACCCCTCAGTGAAGATTTACGAGCTTCTAATATCTTTGGAGAAGGGTGATATCATACATACATTATGACGAATCCTCGCTTCAATAGCATACAAATATTGTCCTTGTCTAAGAACTCATACCGTCGCTTTCATCAACGCATCATGCCAGCTTAATGCTTGCCCAAGAGTACTTTAATTTATACAGTCATTAAAATAAGTCATTAAAATAAATGCCATTCAACGAATACTAAATTCTTTAATGTGATATCTATTTGCTTTAAAACGGGCCCAGGACGTGGTTTACACTTTAGGATTTAGCAAGGCAGCTAATCCCCCAGGCTATAGCTCGCTGCAATTGTCTTTAGGTTCTGAATACATACACATGTTCATACCCAACCCCACACGGCACACATCTTACCTCGAGTAGGGTAACGAACGCAACTACATACACGTGTATATAAGTGTAGGTTCAGAACCGTAGGTACGTATATGCGATTCCTTCTAATATACAGTAAGGTACTGCGGATAGAATCTCAACCATCTCCAACTGCCACCACATCTTTACTACTCTTCATCACATTCCCCAAGCGAGGTTCGAAGGCAAATCCATCAACGCTCTCCAACGGCTCTGAGAACTATAAACTGAATATTTCAATTCTATATTCAAACATTTAAAATGACGACATTGTATGATTCAAGGAGTCAACAGATACCAAATCACCGAATGAGAATGGGGACCTTTGACCAAACAGGTTCACACTTCATAATTAATGAACGTGAAGGTCAGTCATAAAATTATTCAAGCAGTGATCCTGAAACGTCCTCCACTATCCTTGTTGATTGCTAAAATAGACAATAGATCAATACTCAGCAAATTGTCCTCCTGATGCTTATCTTTCTAAGCCTCTCGCAGTTAACGACATAAATCAAACCATATCATGCAAGATGACCCAGAATCCGGAGCTCCCGGCAAGCACTAACAGAGAAGACATTGATAAACTTGATATTAATCAAATAAATCTCACGGAGACCACAAATCGTAATTATAATGCTAATGAGGCCATCACTGCCTATAGCGCAAGTGATGCGAGAGCCTGGCATCCGTTAAGTCCCGAGCTCATCACATTATTCGAAAGTTGGACAACATTCTCCTGGGAGCTTCCATTGGATCGACCGGGATTTACTGGTGCCCTCATGTCAATTAGATTCACGCCATGGATCTCTGGTGCTCACCAAAGGGAATGTATCCCCTGCGACAGACCGGAAAACATTATTCCTCTGCAGTATTATATGGTCCCAAAGAAGACTGAAGGTCCCCGGCAACATGGTGTAGATGGTGGAGAAATACACAATAACATGAACTCGCCAGCTAGCTTCGTAGACGTTGCATTTCAGGAACTATACGAGGCAGTGAGAGCTTCATATGATATGCCTCCCGAGCTTCCTAGTGATGCAATTCTCATGTATGGCGTACATCTCGCTACTATCGCTTGAGGGAGTAGAGCCGCGACTCAGGAGGGCTGAAATATCTCTTCATAGAGCAATCACGTTTTTTTCTATGTTTGCACTCAAGAATCATATTTCATGGCATACATTAGGAGGAATACATGTATCTACATGGCGTTTCGGCAAATGCTAGTTATATGTAGCTGCAGTTCCGTTGCTAAGTAAAATCAAGGGCAGAATAGTACATGGGATACTACAGATAATAGAAATGGCTGGAATAAATACACTTACTTACAGAATCTTGTTGAATACATGTAGTTATTGAGTTTTTGCAACTACTCTACACTGTAACAATAGCTTTATAGTATTATTCTATAGCTATAGGCGTATAGGCTTTCTATTGACTTCACTTATCATGGGAATGTCTCTCCCCCAACGATAAATTATTAGCTTGAGACACATCCAGGATAACACGAGTGATTTAACATGACCCAACTATTCTACTAGTGTTCCATGTAATTTGGGTGATACATATACATACATTGATTATAATAAAAACTCCCAAGTTAAATTTATAAATACATCATCTCACAATGATTATTTTCCCCAAACCTTATTACATCAAGCTACTCCTTCCTCCCACCTCGGTGCTTCCCTGGCCGGTGGGCATTTCTCCATTCCTCTGCCCAACGAATTCTGTGTATATGGCCTCTAGTCTCTTCCTCTCATCTGGAGCTATACTAGGGCGTGTAGAGCTAAGTGAACTCTCGACGTGATCCCAAGTGATCATGACCTCCGTTTTTCCATCGCCGTCCAAGGCTTTTTCCTCTTCAGCAGCTTGGGAGGCTATATCTTCCTCGGAAGGAGTGAGGTCGCGGAGACGCTGTTTCTTTTTAAGTCCCTCGAGCTGTATAATACATGTATTAGTGCTGGTTTTGTGGTAGAATCCTGATAAAGAAACGAATACCTTTTCCATGAGAGCGAGTCGCTCCTTTAGCATTCTCTTTGCTGCCAGACCCTCTTCGATTTTGTCTTTTCCCTTCCGGCTATCTCCCCACACAAACTCTAAAAATTCTACCTCCTCTCCTCGCTCCTTCTCTTTCTCATCACTATTACCCTGCTCCTCTCTCTTCCGGACCTCCTCGCCGATCATGCCCTGAACGGCCTCGAGATGAGCATTGTAAAGTACTGCTTGTAAATCTGCCCCAGAGAACCCTTCGGTTCTCCTAGCAAGCTCCCTAAGGTCAACGGTATGATCGATCCGTAGCATACCGTCCCCTACAATGGCTTCGAAGATCTCAAGCCTATCCTGTGCGTTCGGCATATCACAGAGCAAAGACTTATCCAATCGTCCAGGACGCAAAAGGGCAGGATCAATGAGGTCTGGCCGAGAGGTGGCAGCTAGGACATAAACACCATCTAACCCTTCAGCTCCGTCCATCTGAGTCAACATTTGGTTGACAACACGGTCTGTGACACCAGTACTATCGTGCCCTCTCTTTGGCGCGATAGAATCAAACTCGTCGAAAAACAAAACACAAGGCTTTGCACCAGAGGCTCGTTCGAAGAGATCACGAACGCTTTTTTCTGAAGCACCAATATACTTATTCAGGATCTCTGGACCCTTCACAGAGATGAAGTTAAGACCACATTCTCCGGCCACAGCAGATGCAAGAAGTGTTTTACCGCAACCGGGATAGCCGTATAGAAGTAATCCAGAGCGGAGACGGAGAGGACATGATGCAAAGATCGGCGCATATTTAGTTGGCCATTCAAGTGTCTCTAGCAGGATTTTTCGAGTCTCCGTTAGTCCTCCGATATCCTTCCATCGCGCCCCAGAGGTTTGCAGCTTCACACCACGAAGTCCAGCTGGAACAAAACCTTTTAGTGCAGCGTCGAAGTCGACTCGTCGAAGCACAAGGGCTTCTTGGGAAAGGCGGTTCTGGCCGGCATCAACCATACGCACCACAGCTTCGTGCCTAGCTCGCCCAACAAGAAGTACAAGATCACCGGGCATATACCCTTCTGTCTTTGCGGCAATGTCCCTCAAATCCAAGCCTTTCTCGAGGACACCATCTTTACCGATCACGCCCTCAAGTACGATTCTTCTCCCCTCCTTACTCATTGCCTTCAAGCTTACTATTTCTCTAAATACGTGTCCGCCGATAACAAGGTTATGCATGCTCTCTTTGGCCTGACAGCTTCCGAGAACTACAACACCCCTCTTCACACCGCTTCCTCCAGAAGAAGTATATTTCTTCACTGCGGCCACTACAACCTCTGCAACCTGTCTCACACGGGAATTATCCTGATTTTCAGACTCAGAGGCGCACAGCCTGTCGAGATCATCCAAGATTACTATGGTTTTCCCAGTCTTTCCCGCAGTCCATGCAGCTTCATTAAACCAGCGCGAGACTTGTTCTTTCACTGTTCCGACCCGCTCCTCCGCCATTTTCGAGAGCGAGCCGGGGTCAATGACTCGGTGAAAATGGGGAGAACCGGAGAGACGTTTAGCAATGAGACGGAGAATGCTTGTCTTCCCCGAGCCGTGAGCACCTGAAAGGAGAACTGAAGAGGAGGACAAAAGATTTGTGGTAATGTTATTTAGAATATCATCGACTCCTACAATCAGCGTCCCCGTTTCGTCTGGTGTAAAAATAGTCTCGCTTGTTTCCTTCGGCGCAATCGGTTTAGGGACTGGGGTGCCCAGCTCTATAGGGAGCCGCTTATCAGTTGCGAGGATCCACTTGATAGCTGTTGCGGAATCGGTGCCATCAGTGGAAGAAAGCTCAATTCGCATGATACCACCAGTGGTGATAGGGGAATCTTTAACGGCAGGAAGAATGAAGTTATCCGTTATTGCACCCTCAAGAATGTACTCTCCCGGGGAGATTGCACTTTTATCCTCCTCGATCATGGCCTTAGTCCCATTTCGCTGTCTTCTTGGGCCTAGTACCTCCTGCAACCTTGCAATCGCAACTTCTTCAAGTCTTTTTGTTCCTCCTCCCCATTTCAGTCCCGCATCTTTTTCAACACCCTGGAACGGGAAGACTTTGATCTTTGCAATGTTCTTGACCGGAATCTGTGGCGGCGCAGGTTCAATGCGGATCATATCTCCCACTTGTCCGGGTGCAAGGTGAAGAGCTGCGGATAAGAGCCTGGAGAGCGCGATGTGTGTCCCATCTGGTGCAGATGGCCATTGCTTGATCACAGCTATAAGTTTAGCTGCTGGTATAACCTCCGGGGCAGTATCTTTCTTGTCCTTTTTGTCCTTATCATCCGGCTGCTGGGCTTGCGCCTGGGAAGGATCTAATGGTGGTGCAAGGCCTGGCGGCTTAACGACCGAGACCACTACGTGCGATACCCCCCGAAGTTGGCGTGCAGAAAACATCATGGTTGGATCGAGATAAACAGCCATGCCCTTTCCGCCCTCAGCAATTTCCTCCTCCTCTTCATTATCTGTATCCACTTCCTCATCATCGTCAGTTTTGGGAATATATCTAATTGCCGGCAATGCGACAGCTCTTAGAAAAAGCGCATTCGATGAAGCTGCTGCCCCTTCGCTCTTCTTCTTCCCCGAGGCCGTTTTTGTACTCGTTGTACTCTTTGCGCCTCTACTCGATCTTCTCTGACGAGTCTTTGGAGCAACGACAATCTCGGCATCGGGAGAGATTTTCGCAAATCCATTTGGAGACGAAAGCGCTGACTCAGGCTCAACCTTGGTAAGGCGGATCGACGCGGTGGATGTGGGAGAGAGATATACACTTATCGGATGGGCGGGGGATACACAACGAATTTGAGAGATTAGGTTGAGCTCGAGGAAGTTGGCATGGAGCTCAATGATTTCCCAGTCGCTCGGAGTAAGGGGTTCAATGTGCAATGTATGGGCTGGGGGAGGGTCAAGATGCAGATGGAGGGAAACCTGGAGGTTTGTTTAGTCGGGCCTACGATAAATGCGCGGAGGATCAAGAAAGATAGGTCTAGGATGCATATTTAACAGAGATTTATAAGGTATTAAGGCAGAAGTAAAGGTATGAGTGTGATGTATACTAAATATGAGTGCACAAACTCGGCGGTGTAATATATGTTTGAGTTATAGGTAATTGTAGAGGGGTATATATGTGCGGTAAACGGTAGATCAAGACATAAAGGAGTTGTCGCACCTTTGACCCTTCACTCAAGCCCACGTTCCTCGCAAAAGCCGGATCCATCTCCACCACTGCATCTTCTACTCTCCCTGCGCCTGGCTTCCTTTTACTGGACATTCCTGTCCACCCTGCATACGCACATCTCGAAGTACTCGTTGTGCCCGAGCTGCTTGAGGTTGTAGTCCGGAATGAGATCTCAACAACTACATTCTGGGCGGGAGTGTTGCTGTTGGTAAGCACTGAGACGAGTGATGTAGGAAGATTGAGGAAGCAGTTCTTAAGGGGAGAGAAGGAGACGGTAGCTGGAGTTGCAGGCGGGGAGGGTTTCCGTGAAGCTGCGTGAGGCATCGTTCTAAACGGGTACGAATATCAGAATATTGCTTGCTGAGAGGGTATGAAGTGAATATCGAGTGGTTGATTGAGGATGTGTGTCGGTCAAGGGGTGAAGGGGGGGATGAGAGATGGAGAGCGTGTTTATTTCTATTAGTGCATGTATCAGGCAGAACAGAGCCCTCAAGCACCAACAGAACTCGGGGGTGCAGCACTGCTGAACGCTGAGGTGTCTGAGACCGAAGCCGAGGCTCAATTGGTCGGGATGGAGGTGCAGGTGCCAGATGCTACACAACCGGATCCACTGTTGCTATGAGGAAGAACACCCTAGCAACACCGAGATCTGATAAATGGTGCACTTATCAGATCCCATCTTGATAAGGATTCAGCTGCATCAGTTGCAAGCTCTGCATGAGTTCTTTAGAATGATACTAGGTAGGTTTCGGTCAGGATTGTGAGGGCTTATCAAGGCGACCCTCTACAAAAACTAAATGGGATGCTTGTAGAGTATGGTGTATGTAACTGTAGGTGCATAGGCCAAGTAAGCTTGCTCCCCAAGGATACGGAGAACAAAACCTTTTTTTTTTTTTTTTTAAATCATTTCAATTTCTGTTTCTAGGTACACAATGATCGCGTAAAGTATAAACTATGGCGTACGGAGAACAAAACCTAGTACATATGTTGCTATATTTTCGTCTGAAGCCAACTTTGGTTAGTAGAATTATAGAATGCGTATGACGATGTATGTAGTTCAGAATTCTTTTGGCTGTGCCCAAAACCAGGGGCGGGACTTGATTCAGATTCTACACCTCCCAACACGGTAAATTGTTGATCCTCGCCCGTGAACGCGCGAGTAACAACGCTCAACGCGTTCTTGTCACTGGACCGTCCAACAAACCTAACCCCTTCCCTTGACAACAGAACAAACCTCTTCCTGTGTCCTCTTGTGTCTTTATTATCACCGACAACTTGTGCACGACCATTCCCACTATACCAATCAATCATCTAATATTCTTGAAAGAGTCCCTGCATATACCGCAAACATGGCTCAGCTTCCGACTATGAAGCTGGATGTCGACTACGACAAGCAGCAGAGTATACTCTCCACTCTTAATCATTGACCGAGTGCTCTTCTTTCGGTCACAATTCGCCCTCTTCTCAAATGAGTTTTTCGCTTACAATGAACTAGCTGTCTTTCAGTCTTTCCTCACGGAATTCAAAACTACCACTATCACGGAAGCCGATGCCCGTGATGCCCTGTCGAATCTGAACATGGACGATGAGGAGGACATGGATATGAATGACACTCCCGGTCGCCGGTCTACGCGATCGGGTGGTGCCAGAAGACGAACTGGAAGGAGGCCGAGAGCTGCGGTACAGGAACCAAAGCTCAAGTATATGATACAGTTGCAGGAAATTGCAAACAGGGAGCGGGACTCAATAACAATTGAACTGGATGATCTCAAAGAGGTATTTTTGAATAAATGTGGAAAGACCCGCCAGTGGAGGCTAACAATGTCGGAATAGTTCGAGGAGGGGTTTGCTGCGGATGAGCCGTTGAACCTGGTTTCTTCGATAAACAAGAATTGCGCACACTACATTGAGATCTTCTCGAGAGCAATTGACAAAGTTGTTCCTCCAGAGACACTCGAAAACACGTATGACCCCATCGCCAAAAAATACTCCGCCTTTAAACTCAAACCACTCCTCCTCATAATATACAATACTAACGCCCCTCAGATACAACGACGATGTTCTCGATGTCATTCTGACGCAACGTCGAAACCGCAATATCGCAGCTGCTGATTCAACTGCGGACCCTCTCTCCCTTGACGATGCCCCTCAGCTATTCCCAGCGCTTCTTACTCGTCGCTACCAGGTCTACTTCAAACCCCTTACCCCCACTGGCGATCAGGGTAGTAAAGCTATGGCTGTTCGTAATGTCCGTGGCGCCCATCTAGGTCATCTCATTACCGTCCGCGGTATCGCTACTCGTGTCTCAGACGTGAAGCCGACCGTTCTAGTTAATGCGTATACATGCGACCGCTGTGGTTCTGAAATCTTCCAAGAAATCAAGACCAAGTCCTTTGCCCCACTTGTCGACTGTCCCTCAGAGGAGTGCAAGAGCAATGATGCACGTGGTCAACTCTTTATGTCCACACGTGCCTCAAAATTCCTCCCATTCCAGGAAATCCGTATCCAGGAAATGTCCGACCAGGTCCCAGTTGGTCACATCCCCCGTACTCTAACCGTTCACGCTCACGGGTCTCAAACCCGCACCGTCAACCCTGGTGAAATCGTTGACATTGCTGGAATTTTTCTCCCAACACCGTACACCGGTTTCAAGGCGATCAAAGCAGGACTTCTCACAGATACCTATCTCGAGGCAATGCATGTGGAACAACACAAAAAGCAATACGACGATATTGTTGTAGACCCCCGCACAGTCCGGCGCATTGAGGAACTTCGTGCCGCCGGTAACCTCTACGATACTCTTGCCAAGTCAATTGCGCCAGAGATTTACGGCCATGATGATGTCAAGAAGTGCCTCCTCCTCCTTCTCATTGGCGGTGCAACCAAAGAAATGGGCGACGGTATGAGAATTCGTGGTGACATCAATGTCTGTCTCATGGGAGACCCTGGTGTGGCCAAATCTCAACTTTTAAAATATATCTGCAAAGTTGCTCCTCGAGGTATCTACACTACCGGTCGTGGTTCCTCGGGTGTTGGTCTCACTGCGGCTGTCATGCGTGATCCCGTCACCGATGAAATGGTGCTTGAGGGAGGAGCTCTAGTTCTTGCAGACAACGGTATCTGCTGTATCGATGAGTTTGACAAGATGGACGACTCTGATAGAACCGCGATTCACGAAGTCATGGAGCAACAGACAATCTCCATTTCAAAAGCTGGTATTACTACATCATTGAACGCGCGGACTTCTATCCTCGCTGCCGCAAATCCGTTGTATGGACGCTACAACCCCAAAATCTCGCCGGTGGAGAATATAAATCTTCCCGCCGCCTTGTTGTCTCGTTTCGATATCCTATTCTTGATCCTAGATACCCCTAGCAGAGAAAGTGACGAAGAGCTAGGACGTCACGTCACTTTCGTGCACATGGAGAATCGCCATCCCGACATGGATTTTGAGCCATTAACTCCGAGCGAGATGCGGATGTACATTGCGCAAGCCAGGCAGAAGCGACCAGTCATCCCAAAAGAGGTGGCGGACTATATTGTCGGTGCCTATGTTAGCATGAGGAAGAACGCCAAGAAGGCAGAGAGTGAGAACAGGTAGGCTCCCCGCCCACAACGTCCAGATGCACAACTAACAGACACCAGACAATTCACACACGCCTCCCCGCGTACCCTACTAGGCATAATTCGTCTCTCTCAAGCTCTCGCGCGTCTTCGTTTTGCCGACCAAGTTGTTATTGAAGACACTGACGAGGCTCTACGCCTCATTGAAGTTTCGAAGGCATCCCTGTACGGAAAGGATGACTGGGACGAAGACAATACCGTGAGCTCTAATATCTATAACATCATCCGCTCGCTCGCTTTCCCAGGTGGCGCCGCTGGTGATGGAAATGGCGAGCTCAGTATGAGGACCGTGAGGGACCGTGTACTAGCAAAGGGATTCACGGATGATCAACTCGCGGAGGTGGTGGACGAATATGCTGCATTGGATGTCTGGCAGGTAGCAGGTGAAGGCACGAAACTTATCTTTGTCGGGGCGGATGACGAGGAAGCAATGGATGTGGATATGTAATTGTGTGAAGTATGGGTTTCGGTTGCCTATTTTTTTTTTTGTGAGTTTAAAAGATTTGTATGTACGATACCACTGAATATGATGTGTTAACGTTATCATCCAAGATTTGATACTGCCTTTTCTTCTCGAAGTCTGGCGCAGGCAGCGAGTAATTGTACTTAATCATGAAATATCACTCGGTAGAAGTCAGCTCGATAAATGCGATCTCTAACCCATTCCTCAGCTACTCTGAATTATGTGGAGCTTCCACTTTTCAGCGGTCATAGACGGTATCACTGCTTCATCTCCGGATTTCTCAACGGCGCCATCAGCCTTTCTTTAGGAGACGTGAGGGGATAAAGGAATTAAGCCCTAATTCCAGCGGATATTCCGTTTGAAGGCAGAGCGGTGTGATAAGCTGCTTTCATTTATTGCGGTAGAGGATTACAGAAATTATTCCTTTCACCTCCAACCAACCTTGTCCCTGTCCCCAAGAGTGTCCTTTTATCTCTCTTTGGAAAAGTATAACCCTTTAACCCGACCGTTCTCAGAATTTAGAGCTAGCAGCTTGCATTCCATCCGTCCAATTAAAACTCAATCCCATACTCGTGGGGCAATACCAAGGATTTGACTGGAACTTCAGTCCCGTAGTAAAACTCTGTTGAACAATTGTTCTTGAAAGAAGTATTTCTAGTAGTGATAGATATCTACTACTCTATAAAAGAATATTGATCGGAAAAGTTTCGCTAGACCCTAACCCCAATATCCGGCCCTGTCCATTAATTGAATGGAGTCTAATGATGAGCTACGTGATGGGGGGAGAGAGGGGAGACAACTAATGAACGAGAAGCTAAGAAGAACAAAAGAAGGTCTTGCTGAAAGTATGCTTTTCAGGCGGGTGAGTGCTATTTATTACACATACACCTCAGCATAGACTCTCGCCCCCGGGATTGTACCCATGACCTACTGATGGTCATGCATGGGGACTCAACCCACTTGGTGTCCTTGGATGATCGAGCTAGGGCAAAGCGAGGTAGGACGACACCTAACCCTGCAATCACGACGTACTACATCATGACCCACTAGCCACCCTTTTATTTTTTTTGAGCTCCCCGGATGACTGGTAGATACATGTTACGTAGATATCTTAAGACTTTGTCTTATGACCATGCGAGACCTTAAAAGGCACCTGGGGGTGAAGACCGGATGGTCCTTTTCTTTTTTTTCTCGAAATCCACCACGAGAGGCCTACTTGCATGCTCAAGCTAATAATACTAGAAATTCGGTAATAAGTGCTGGGAATTACATGTATTCCTCAAAACGCCGCTGTGAACTCGGAACAAAGAACGGAATTTTCGACTACTTAGGTTATTACTCATGATGGGGGAAGAAGAGGCCAAAACTATGAAGCCGATAGGGTTATTTCATTTAGATAAACTCATACTCTCCCTCAACCAGCACCAAACCGCAAAACTAAAAACGTAACCAAGCCCTTGTCCCGAAACCTACAACACCTAAGCCGCGCAATCACAAAACAAACGGTAGTATTGAAAATTTAGTCTTCTCTCACCATACTCATCACGATCAGTTTGAGCTTCGAAGTTGGTACGTACATCCGATTAGGTAGTTAATAGGAAATTTACCAGAAGGTAATCGTATTTCTCAATTAAAAGTAGCTGTTAGAATTAGCCGCTATAAGGACATGTACTCACCTAATGTCCCAGGTCGACCTTAAACCACAAAGTTCACAGTACCGATGATCGATAACGCTGGTCTTATCCGATAATCACATTCACAATCTTCAAAACCTCTCTCAGACCTAATAGCCGGTATCAACCGGATTAAGGTGGTTAGATAGACGTGTATAAATACGTTCCATGTGGGTCAGAAAGTATGCAGAAAAGGAATATTTTCATGACATTTTAGGATGGAAATGTTCCTGAGAGGTTTCTAAGCTAGCTAGGCCTATGCTTGACAGGTGAGCTTTAAATTCACCTACGGGCCAATCTTCAAATTTAACATCACTAAGAGGGACTCAGCAAGTAGATAGTTTGTAGGCATATATTCCTTGTGTATACCGAGTGCCAGAAACAACCATATACAGACCAAATATCTCGAGAAGACAAGTCCAATGGACAATTATTTTCGTTGCTTGTATGAAGGAGTGGGGTGCAGAGTATATATGGGGGGAGGGTTATGAACTTAAGGTACCAGACCATGATTACGATAAGAAAGGGGGGGCCAACATCCACCACTACTGTACTGTACTAAACCAATATCCCTTCATCCTCAATATACTCCCTCACCACCTGCGCAAACCCCTCATCACCCACAAACCCTAGATCCACCGCCCGCTCCATCCTAAACCTCGCCGGCCAACTGCCCACAATCCTCTCCACCGTCTCGTCCTTCTGCTCCTTCACCAGCTCCACCCTCTCCTCGCCGCCCACCGCACCCAGTGCCTCCAGCATCTCCTTCACCGTGACCGTGATCCCGGGAAGATTGATCTGCCGTGTCTCACCCAGCTTCTCCGTCGGTACTTTTACGGCGTGTAGTATGTTAGACACTACGGTCCGGGGCGACGACACCCACAGCGACATGTCGCGCGACACGGGCAGCACGGAGGGTAGGTTATTCAGCGGCTCGCGGATGATTCCGGAGACGAACGAGGAGGCGGCGCCAGAGGGTGCGCCGGGGCGGACCACGACCGTGGGAAAGCGGAGGGTGCGGCCGTCGATGTAGCCGCGGCGGGAGTAGTCGTTGATCAGGTATTCACAGAGCTATCAGGCGGGGCGGGGGTATCAAATCAACGGTTTCTCTTCAATTTGGTAGGCAAGGTAGATGGGTAGTAAGTAAGGTAGGTATAAATACCATCTTCTGCATTCCGTACGATGTTGACGGCGTGGGCATTGTGCGCTCCGTCACCTCGTCCGGGAGGGTGCCGCCAAAGACGGCGAGCGAGGAGGCGAAGACGACCTTGATGCCGGGGACGACCTAGCTTGTACCGGAGCACCTATAAACAACTCGTTCCTCGATCCATGCTATCTCCTCTTCACTTCTCATGCGTTCCACTTCGAACATTCCGCCAGCAACTCCCCACTACGACATACCTTTCTCGCGCACTCCAGTAGGCCTCTCGTGGAGTCGAAGTTCACCATCATGCCGCTCTCAAAGTTCTTTTCCGCCATGCCGCTCATGATCCCGTGGAGGATGAAGATGACGTCGAGATCCTTTGTCACCAGCATCTCGCGGTCTGCCTGTGTCGCTAGATTCGACAGCACTGTTGTGACGGGCTTCTCCTCGGGCGACGGCGGCGTCTTGGGGAGGATGATGTCTGTGATTGTGATATCCGTGTAGAGCGGGTCCGCGATGAGGGCTGAGACGAGCTTCTGCCCGATGAAGCCGGCGGCGCCGGTGACGAGGACTTTCATGGTGACGAATTGGGCTGTTTTTTGATATGGTACGACGACGTAGGTAGGTAGGCAACCCACAGAATGGAAATTACAGCTTTTTATATTACTTTTTTTTTTATTTTTTCCCATTCCCCGCACCACGACGGCAAAGGTGGGTTAGGGGTTTGTGAATTCTCGAAAAAGCACAAATTACATCATGGAAAGGGGGTCTAAGAAAAGAAAAGAAAATGTGCTCGGTCTCAGGTCTGCGGGAGAGTCCCTGGTTGGGGCGTGGTGAGTGGTTGGGTGAGAGAGATCTGTGGTTCAATTAAGCATCAGCGCCGGTGCAGAATCAGTAGGTGATAGGCTTAGTAATTGCCATTCGTCATTCCGCTTTCTTTTTTTCTCCACCTTCGTTCCCGTGCTGACATATCGGCGCGGGTGTAGATCGGACCTTGACATCTTTTGGCGCGGACGTCAATGCCGCAGACCAAGCTTGTCGTGCTGTTTAGTTAGTATTTGCGCTTCCGTTCCTGGCCCGTTGTTAGTAGTTTTGTTGCTTGTTTCACTCTTGCCGTTTGAGGCCAATGATTGCGAGGGTTGGTTAGACTCCGCTAATTACAGAATCGATAAGAAACACCTGCAGCCATAGCACTGAGAAATACGCCGAGTGAGAAGATGTGATGCTGGTGTCCTCAATGGGTATGCATCTACATGCCCATCCCTACCTGTGTAACGCGAGTACCCCACAGTGGGGTAATGATCGCTATTACCAAGCTCCAATATAACTAACCCAAGGCTCCCTCAGCTCCAAGCTCAAGACCTCAATTCCACAAAACACCAAAACCGAGAGAAAGAGTACTTACCAGCTTCCCTACACATCCACAATGCCCACCCAACACCCCCACCTTCCCTTAACAGCCACCCTCTCCACCCTACCCCCGGAAAACACCACAACTCCCCGTTCCCATATTCTCACCCTTCTGACCCCCTCCACGCCCAAACTCGTCATCCTCGACGACGACCCCACGGGAACACAGACATGCCACGACATCGCCGTTCTCACAACATTCGAGACCCCCTCTCTGCAATCCGAGCTGCTCCGCTCGGCTCCAGGCTTCTTCATCCTGACCAACACCCGCGCCATGACGCCCGCCGCGGCGGCAACCCTGCTGCGTAATATCCTCTCGAACCTAAGGGCTGCCGCCGAAGCCGCTGATGTGAAGTTTACGATTGTGCTCCGCGGGGACTCGACGCTGCGGGGCCACTTCCCGCTGGAGTGTGATGTTGTCGACGAGGTGTTTGGTGCCAGCGACGCATGGATTGTTGCACCTTTTTTCCTGCAGGGAGGGCGGTATACATTAGAGGGTGTGCACTATGTTGCGGAGGGGTGTGTGATGGTGCCGGTTGGTGAGACTGCGTTCGCGCGTGATGCGACATTCGGGTTTGCGGTGAGTGCAGTAAGTGAGTGGGTTCGTGAGAAGGCGCCGGGGCGGTTCGAGGCGGAGGGCATGGTAGTGGGGCTGGGGGTGCGGGAGATACGGGAGGGCGGCGTGAGCAGGGTGGTGGAGGTGCTGAGGGGCGTGCCGAGGGGCGGGGTGGTGGTCGTGGATGCCTGTGCGGAGAGCGATATGGATGTTGTTGCGGCGGCGGTGCTGCAAGGTTTGTTGCTCCTCCTTCTCCTGTTCTGGTTTGCCCTGTAGTAGGAGTGCCGTATCTCATAATGTGCCGCAACATGATAGCCGAATCCCAAGGCTCAAAACTCCTCTTCCGCACCGCCGCTGCATTCGTCTCTTCTCGCCTCGGCATAATCCCACAACCTCCGCTCAGCGCTCACGCCGCCGGCCTGCAAACTACCCCTGGTTCCCCCGGTGCACTCATTGTCGCCGGCTCCTACGTGCCCAAGACCACTGTGCAGCTCAGCAGTCTCATCACCTCGCGCGGTCCGCATCTTAAAGTGCTCGAGCTCTCTGTTAACATGCTTCTCTCGTCCCCCGCGGGGGAACTTCTTTCCCGCACAGCTGAGGCGGCAAGTGTAGCTATTGCGGCAGGGCAGGACGTACTCATAATGACGAGCCGTGAGCTCATCAAGGGCGGGGATGCGGAGAGCTCGTTGGAGATTGGGGGCGTTGTGGCGGCGGCGTTGGTGGATGTTGTGAGGAGGGTTACTACAAGGCCGAGGTATATTGTTGCCAAGGTGAGTTTTGATCTGTGAGATGTGTATTAGTGATGTGTATGTTTGTATACTGATGATGGGCCGATAGGGAGGTATCACGTCCTCAGACATCGCGACAAAGGCGCTGGGGATGCGGCGGGCGATGGTGCTGGGGCAAGCAGCGCCCGGAGTGCCGCTGTGGAGATGCGACGAGGAGACATGCCTGTACAGCAGGGTGCCCTACGTGGTGTTCCCGGGGAATGTGGGCGGTGATGATGCGTTGGCGAGGCTGGTGGAGGGATGGGCGGTGCAGGCGGAGGTGTAGATGATGGGGGTTCTTGTAGATAGATGTAGATGTTGTAGATTGAAATGATACATACAATCTCACTCGGACGTTGGTGTAGTTGAAAGATCGATGAAGCGCAGCGAATGACTGATTGTATTGATGACGAGGAGAAGAGGAGAACTTTCGCTCTTAAGTACAGTCTGATTAGGCCACCTATCATAAAGACAACATGTGGTGGTCCTGTAACCAGACTGGCCTCTTCTTCTCCTGACAAGTACTCACTATGCACATAGATGTAAGGCTGGCATTAACGAGATAGGAAAGGTCAATGATTGCCAGACAGGTAACCATTTCATGGCAGCACAACGGCAAGCGGGTGCGTCAACTTGCACAGGCAAAGCGTATAATTAAGCACTCCATACTGCAAACCGACAATGTTCCTCGTAAGGCTGAATTCCGCCTCCATCCCAAGCTCGGCACATACTCAGCCGACACCGAGCTCCCCATGCCCATGCATCTCATGCAGCCTGCACAATACAGCTAGCCCTCTACCTAGCTACATGTATATAACAACCCTCTCCCACCCCACAATTCCAGGTCTTTCACTACCCCACAATTTCTCTCTCCACAAAATGTCGACATCCACCAGCACAAACCCCCCCGTGCGGCGCTTCGGCCAGTACGTGCGCCTCCGCCCCTCGGCGCTCAAGGAGTACAAAGAGATACACGCAGCTGTCTGGCCAGATGTTCTCAAGCAGATACAGGAGTGCAACATCCGTGACTGTGCGTGCATCTACAGAGGAAGCAGGGCTAGAGGGGGGTAATTATTGATGGCTGTGGCTGCGATTGACAGATTCGATATTCTACGACGACGCAACACACATCCTGTTTGCGACATTCAAGTACGTGGGCACCGACTACGAGGCGGACATGAAGAAGATGGCGGCGAACGAGAAGGTGAGGGAGTGGTGGGATGTGACGGACCAGATGCAGGTTAGTAGCTAGCTAGTCTCTATTTTACCTGTTGCGAAAAAAATACATGTAGCTAATGTGTGGTGGTCATGGGTGTAGGAGAGTCCCATTGAAGGTGCGGTTAGTAGCAAAGAGGGGCCGGGCTGGTGGAAGGCGACGGAGGAGGTGTTTTACATGAAGGAGTAGATATCGATTATTTAGGTTCAAAGGGCTGCAGCTGGATTGGGTTACATATATGCCTATTACTCTGTCGAAATAAACATCCCTCAATCACACATTGAATTTCTCTGTTTGTTCTGATGCCAATAATTAGAAACCCGCCATACCCCAAGATGTCTAACCAAGCTCACAAATAGCCTAAAGCCGGCACATCTACTCTAATCCATTTAGCATCTCATTATCCGCATCTCGGCACCTTCCGACGTGCATCTGCCCCTGCAACGCTCCCCCACGTCCTATCCCCGCATGGTGCAGCACGTGATCTGGACAAGACAACCCTAACCCATGGCCAAGAAAGCTAGCCATTCGATCATTGACACTTCGAGTGAGATTTATCGTATGCAACCCGAAGGTTGAGACAATAGGTCGAATTAGGAGTGAGGTCGAGGATTTGCTAGGACGTTCCCTAGAGTGTATACAGATTTTAAAGCAGACTTTGTGCCTGTGGGAGACCGGTGGAAAAGGCATACATGTAGTTATATTGCTCAGGGTAGTTTAGAAGGTCTAAGGGGTTTAGTTGATCATGATTAAGTGATTAGTTTGAAGGCCTACAATAATTTACAACTCGACAATATGCTGTACCAACCAAAGAAAAATAGAAAGAAAGAAAGAATGAAAAGAAAACACTAGTAAGTAGTATTAATTACTACCAGAAGAAACCACAAAACAAGCTACTGTATCTTTTTTACTCCTACTCCCCCCACCGCCAGTGCCATTACACTGCGCAAAACCTCAGAACCCACATACACCCCTACTACGGTCCATGATACGGCCCACACCCCTCCCGGACCATCTCCCGCATGGTTTTACCCTTGTCCTCCGGCCTCTTTATCTCCGCCCTCGAGCTATTCCTGTCCGGATGCACCTCCCCCGTCTTCTCCTCTATCTCCCTCCACCTCTGCTCCTGCTCCTCCCTCATCCTCGCCATATACGCCTCCTCGTCTTCCTCGACGTCATGAACGTCGCCGACGGTCTCGCGCGAACCCGCGCTACGATCCGTCTTGAGGCTGTACTCGCTGCTGTCGCCGGTTTTGACTGTTGGGGCAATGTACCCGGGGATAAGGAGGTTCGGGTCATGACGGAAGCGCTCATTGAGTCTTATGAGAGAGGAGATGGTGATCCGGCTCGGGAGCGGGATGGGCTTGTGGGTGCGGGGGCGGGCGGAGTCGGGGGTAGCCATGGTTTCTTCCTTTTTGGGGATGGGTGTGGTGGTTGGCCCGGACAGGCTGGTACCGACGCGGAGATCTTGGATTCTGAGGGAGCCGGTGGAGTCGGCGGGCGGGCCGTTCCCGACGCGGAGGACGTGGGTTACGGATTCTTCGAAGGCGGCGGTGGCGGTGTAGACGGGCGAGCCGTTACCGCGGCGATCCCCGTCAGGCCAGTAATAACGGGCCACCGGGCGGTCTTCGCGGCCGTCATCTGGGGCATTATCCATGCGGAGATTGTGGGCCGCGAGGGCGGCGGTAGTGAGGGCCGGGGGCGCGTCTCCCGATGCTTTGCGCTTGTGGCCACGCGGAGCGGAGGGGGGCTCCTTCGGGTTGTCCATCGTGGGGGATTTGTTTGTGTGATGGTTGTTCTGGAGGGGAGGAGTGAGGTTGTTGGGAGACGGACAGATGGGTGTGTATATGTGCACACAGGGAGGCGTGCACCTCCGTAGTATAGGTGGAGGTCGACAGCCTTTCATAGCTTCTGTGTTCCAGCTAGCCCAGCCCAGCCCCTTAGCATTTTGAAGGCCGGCCAATCTTCTGCATCTCAGGGCTTGCTTCTGTTTGGAGCAAACAATTGATCGGCCAAGCCTTGACTGGTCATCTTGCAGGAAAGTTAGCATTTCATGTCTTTCTAATGATATGACGTAGGAAAAGTCACAGGTTACGATATAGAATCGTGCGAGATATCGATCTTGCTTGATCATGTATGCACTTCCTTCATGCCAACTGCTAGGTCGGAGTCGACAATCGAGAACCACAGCCGCTCAGAGGACCTGCTAACATTTCCATGCATGGACGGTTCTGTCATTCGGAGCGCCGTTTATAAGAGACTGAAGCTGAGAATCGTATTGCAATATGATTGTTGCTGCAAGAGCAGAAGGAAACAGGCTCCTTTTATATGCAGTCAACAAAGAAATTATAATAAAACACGTATTCATCAGACCCAGAAACCTACATGTATACCCGCTGTCTTGACACGGCAACAATAACAAGTAGCAAGAACAGCAAGTTCTTGGTATCGTATCTTGATAACTCACAATCCATCACTCGCTTTTTTTCATAATACTCGATTTAGATTTGAACAAGAGGTTTCAACTGTCCACCATCTCAACATGAAGTTCTGCACGAGTATAAAGCCCACAAGCTCGCCGTTCTTACGATTACTCCCATATCCATCCTTACGCACACCTACCTACAATATAAGTATAGCCTATAGCCACCCTCCGTATACAACCCACACATACCCAACCATGGCCCCCACTCCCACAACCCCACCAACCACAGTAACAACCTTCAACACGCACCTCACCACCCTCCTCGAGACCCTCGCCGACCTCGACCGCGACATCGCAAACCTCAGCCACCACGCGCACACCAACCCTTCCATCCTCATCCCCTCACCCCCCGCCTCCCTTTCTTCACCCACCCCACCGCCCTCATCCTCCCCACCCACCACCCCTAGATCCCTCCGCAAGGTCCAAGCCCTCCGCACAACTGCCCGCAGCATCGCAGCCCGCCTCAACGCATTCGAGAAAGACCTGCAAGCAGCGGAAAAGCGCGCAAAGGAGCTCAAAGAGAAGTATCACCGCGCTGACGAGCCTGACGAAGCTATGGTGATGGTGTTCGGGCAGGTGTTTGAGGGCTTGGAGATGTGTGGGAGGGGGTTTTCCGAGCTGAAGGGGTGGTGGGTTGGAGTGGTTAGGGAGGGGAGTGGGGCGGGTGTTTGGGCGGGTGCGCCCTTTTGACTAGGAGAGAGCTAGAGATTGTTATGTTGGGGAAAGGTAGGTATTTAGATGAGATTGCGATGTGATGATGTGTTTTGAGAGATGTTTTAGAGAATTGGTTTAGAAGAAGCTAGAGTATGACATGGAAGCGAAAGGAATAAATTAGATTAGACAGATTATTGAAGCAGAACCGCGTGTTTGGTGTGTCGAGTGAGGAGCCATGAAGATGGCGAGCGAAACAGGTTAGAGCGACCGGTGCGGAGTAGGGGAGTGTCGGGTACGTACGACGTGGTGGGCGAAGAAGAAGTACAGCGAAAGCTTGCTATAACGGTACGCTCGGGACCGGAATTTGGTACCGTTATAGCAAGCTTTCGCTGTACATGCAGTGAAGTTCTCCTTGTAAATGTTCATTTTTAAATAAGGGAGCGAGGTTGAACGAAACACCTAGCTTGATTGGCTACAATACCAGTGCACTGCCAAAGAAAAATGGGATGTAATAAGCACTGTGCCCTCACTGAACTGTGTAAAACCTGCGCCACAACCACCAAATACCGCTCACAACCTCTAGTAAAGTGATTGATTGCTTTCATCAAGTTCTTTAAGTTACAAATAAAAAAAATCTAAGAACAAAGGGAACGCTGTACATGTAGAATATGTTTCTAGCGACGTGGGCCTCTAACCATCCCTCGCAATGACCCTTTACGAATATGCTCCATCCACCGAGCACTTCCCCCCCCCCCGCTAGTTGGACCCTACACGACCAGCTCTTCCGGCACCTCAAAAGCCGTCGCTGCTTGATATCCCCATTTGCCTATAATTTCCTCAATCGCTTCCGCCGTACTCTTCCCCGGGCCCATGCCCCTCAACCACTCCAGCCACTTACCCATCGCCGCCCCCGCCACATTCTCCACCCACCCCAGCTCATCCTCCAACTTCCTCAGTATCTTCAGATCGCCCCTCCCCACCAGCCTACACTCCGGCCTCGTCATCTCATCGATCCACCCCGGCGCCGCAACCTTCTCCAGCGCAAAATCCAACGTCGACGTCACCCCCTTCCCCTCCACATCATGATCCAGCTCAAACATATACCGTGCCGTCACCTGGTGCAGCAACTTCTTCCACACGGCCTTCGTCAGCAGCTCCAGCGACAGCCCCCGCCTCTTCGCAACCCCAATCATGAGCACGAACCCATCCATCGGATACTTCCACACCAGGCCCGAGTCTCCCGGCGCAGCGATGATGTGCTTGCACCACTCGCCCACCACGCCCTTTGTGCCGCCGCCATTCATCTTCACCTCATCCAGGATCATATCGCGGCACCAAGTCAGCGCACGGTGGCGCTGCCTGTTCTCCTCCGAGCCGTCCGCCTTGGCCCACTCCTTCGTCTGGATCGTGTGGTCCAGAATCGCAAAAAACAGCAGCGGGAGGACGCTGATCGAGTCCGGCGTGAAGCAGTCGAGCGCCTTCAGCAGTGTCCCGCGCCACTGCGAGGACTGTTCGGTCCACGAGACGAGCGGGAGGGCGGAGGTGGCTTTCTCACGGAACGGTGTTTCGCCGGCCTCGACGAGATAGACGGCGCAGTTCTCGCAGACGAGGAACGTGGAGATGATGTCGTTCTCGGGAGCCCCGCCGCGAGAAAGTGGGAACACAAGTCGGACGTTGCGCCTGGCGGTGGCAGCGTTGTAAGAGTGAGGGCGCTTTAAGAGAACGGTGAGGACGACGTTGTTCTCATAGCATATTCCGCAATCACCTTTGAAGGATTTAGACACTGGTAGTTTGAAGGCTCTAGAAACAGGTCGTTTGCTGATAGGCTGTCTGCCGAAATTCATCCCCCCTAGCATTGGAGGAGGAGGCCCACCTGGTCTGATAGATGGCCGGGAGGTGGAGAGGGAGGAGGATTGGAATCCGGTTCTTGAAGTTTCGTAGAGGGAGCTGATGGCATTATCAATCACCCGAGAGCGGGAATGCCGATGCATGGCATTTGTCCTATGCGTCTCTCTAAGTTCCTGAGCCAACCTCTCAAATTCCGGGCCCGAAGACCGCCGGTTCGCAATCGCCGTAGATATATCACGAATGGTGGACCGCGCAGCGTCGTCGCTTGTTACGTTTGTAGCAGCAACGGAGCTTTGGCGCTCCAGCCAGGTAAGAGTGTCCGAGAATTGCCCGCGAGAGTGGGAAGAAAGTAGGATTGCTTGAAGATGGTCCTCGTTTCCAAGCAGGCTATTGATTTGGCCGTCATCAAGATCTGAGGAAAATAGATTGTTGAAGTCGATGGTAAGATCGTTGCTCAGAGCCAGCTCCCCAGGCGCAAGCTCCCGCGCAGCCGGGATGATGATGTTCTCGAACGCCGTGTCGGGCCGGATTGTAGGCAGATCCACCCATCTTGTGCCGTCGTCCAGTATTGGCTGCGAGGCCCCATCAGGGAGAAGCTTATTGAAGCAGCCCTTCGTCCCAAGCACATAGCAGGTCCTACTAGTGATGTTCTGATACAAGAGCGCCGAATTCGGCACGGCGGCAAAGGGGGATATCCCCACAGATATGTCACATCTCGACGGATTGCTGACCCCAGTGCCAAAGATCACAATGACACAAGGCACGCCATGCATGCTCTTCGCCGTCAGGGTCGTCGCAAGATGGTTCACCCCATTATTACTCACCTGCCCATCCGTGAGCAGGAACCACACATTGCTCCTCTTCAGCGCCGCCAGATGCTGCTCCGACCTCAGCAGGACCGCCGGATCCGTGCCGCCGCCCGACCTCAGCCTGTGCAGATCCGCAATGAGGCACGGGCGCAGCGCGGTGTTGGACCACGGCAGCACGTGCACGTTCTGCTGGACGTTCCCCTGCACCAGCTGCAGCACGACCTTCGTCACGAACTCGCGCTCCGAGGCGATGACCCGGCCGGACGTGGACCCGGACGTGTCGATGCCGAGCGAGATCTGGCATTGCGGGAAGGGCGTGGGCGGGCCGCCGCCGCCGCCGCGCAGCGCCTCCGGGGGTGGGGTTGCGGTTGCGGGGTTCCGTGGGGCTCCAGGGGTGGCTGTGGACGCTGCTGCTGCAGCTGGGGAGCCGCTCCCGTTGTTGCCGGGCTGCGTTGTTGCTGGCGGGGGAGCTTCATGGGGCGTGGATGCCGGGGGCGCTGTTGTACGGGGATTGGGCGTGGGGCGTGCGGGCGACTGGAAAGACGGCTGTGAGGTAGGAGCTGTGAAGGAGGGCCTCTGCATGGAGCTCCCACTGGCACTGGAGTCTGCGGGAGCTTGAGGGGTTGCGGTTGCGGTTGCGGTTGCGGTTGCGGTTGCGGTCGCCGGTGGTGGTGGTGGTGGTAGTGGTGGTGTTTGCAGGCTCCGTGGAGGGCCGATAGCTGATATCCGCAGCTCCTGGCGTCTAATCCCGGAACCCTGCGACTGCTGTATTGGTGCTGGCGGGGGGGCCGGCACTTGGGCGGCACCCTGCTGCTGGTACCGCCTCCACAGCTCGAAACGGGGTACTCGGTGGTTACGGTGGGCGTCCTGGTCCATTATGTATGTATATGTATTTTGCGTGTGCTATATAGTTATATAGGGTGAGAGATATAAAAAAAACGTTTAGGGGAGGGGGATAGTATACTGGATCTGGGTCGAGGTGTTGAGCAAAGGAGGATTATGGGCGGGAGATCACGCTTCTTCTAGACTTAACGTCGAGCAGCTGGTCGAGCAGGTCGAGCAGGTCGAAGGTCGAGGGTCGAGGGTCGAGGGTCGGGGGGGGGGGACTCGGGGGAGGGCTCTGTGCAGCAGGTGGATGGATGGATGGATGGATTTACTCGCACTGCTCACAAACATCATCATACACGGACCCCATGTAGCTAGCTAACTAAGCTGTGCTCATGTGTGATCAGAGCTTTGCGGGTTTGCCCAACGGGCACCTAAAACATGAGGCTGAAAAGCGTTGTGATGCAGCCAGGCCAGAGCAGTCAGGCATGACATTCACGGGTATTTCTTCAAATCCATGGGCTCTACAGGCTCTACTGGCCCCGAGCATGATGATTCTGACGCGTGCTATGCTGGGCTTTCCGGTCTAAACTTCCACTCCTCAATTGACCGCGCTTTTTTAGCCGAGACATGCTATGCTGTCTGTAATACACGACATCGCGATCGCCCCGTTTCAGAGCTTCAATTCTATGCGCATATCAAGAATACGAAGTTTCCTTCCAGCGATTGCTCACATGCCCCAGCTATGGGGTCGATGGAGTCATGGCAAGCACCAATCCCTCCAGTCTTCCTCGCCCCGCTAGTGGCCAGGAGACAGTCCGAGTGATGGGTGGTGATAGTTACACGAGGCCCAGATGTTTCCAGCCCGCCTGTGTAGCTCAGATCTTGGCGAGGCTTGCAGAGTCCCTGGCATATTTGCACGCCCAGCTAGCTGTTGGAGTGCGGGGAACCGAGGGGTGAAACGTACCAGCCAGTTGAGGGGGGAATCGATAACAGCACATGCCTCCATAGCTGCAGGAAATGACTAAGATCCGAACGTGTATTTAGAGTAGAAGTTTCAACAGAACAATTCTCCGCCCAAGCTAGGGATGAAACAAGCAGTCATGGTCATGAGTAAGACTGGAGAACATCATCACCATCACCAGGTCGGTCTCGTATTCTCTAACGTGCTAGTGCGCAGCTTATTCCTTACCGTTCTAGAATTGGAAAGCTTAGAGCCAAGAAGCTAGAAGAACGCAAAGATAGTCCGCAGATGTGAGCACGCATGGGTAGGAACAATCCCGACCGCTCATGACCAGGATGGAGAGCAGACGAACGACACAGTGACGCGAATGCCAAGACGCGTGTGGTAGCGTCCGGACGGCAGGGGAAGAACGTTTTTCCGGTAGGAAATTACTGGAAATGACGCAACGGTGATATTATCGATCGCTTGGTTGTTCCTGTGAAGGAGAGCAATTGTGGGTATCTAGATGGGAGAGATGATATAAAAAGGGGAAGCATTCTGGGGGGATTGTGGAGGGAGCTTCAAGGACGCAATTGATATCGATATTTCAAACTCCAGAAACCATTATCGACACTCAAAGTCGTCAAGGAACAATTCATGATGGAAGCAGCAAAGAACATCGCAAAGAAAATGACCAGCTCGGACTCTCAGTTCGAAAAGGGTATGAAACACATCCAGCACATCCTCCATAATTTAGTTCTAACTTCCAAACCCATCCATGCAGGCCACCAGCCACCAATCCAGCACCAAAGCCCCCCCGGCCTCGAGTCCGCAATGAACCCCCAACCCGTCTACAACCAGCTACCCACCCCCTCCGGCGGCTACCAGCTCTACAAGCCCGCCGGCAAGCTCCTCGGCAAGAAGGCGCTCATCACCGGCGGCGACAGCGGCATCGGCCGCTCCGTAGCAGTGCTCTACGCCATGGAAGGCGCAGACTCCGCCATCGTCTACCTCCCCGGGGAGGAGAGCGACGCGCAGGAGACAAAGAGGCTTGTCGAGGGGTACGGGCGGAAGTGTGTCCTGTTCCCGACGGACCTGACGGTCGCGGAGAACTGTAAGCGGGTTGTGGAGCAGACGTTGGAGGCGCTGGGCGGGATCAATATCTTGGTCAATAATGCGGGCACGCAGTTGGCGCAGGAGAGCATCATGGACATCTCGGACGAGCAGTGGGACTTTACGTTCAAGAGTAACATCTACTCCATGTTTTACCTGTCGAAATACTCGTTAGTATTCCCTACCGCATTATTACGTGTGGATTCTTGAGATCTTGCTCACGTACTAATTCTTCCGCGGCCTAGACTCCCACACCTATCCCCCGGCGACACCATCATCAACAACGGGTCCATCAACCACTACATCGGCAAGCCCAACCTCCTCGACTACACCTCCACAAAGGGCGCAATCATCGCCTTCACACGCTCCCTGTCCAACCAGCTCTGCGGCAAGGGCATCCGCGTCAATGCCGTAGCACCAGGGCCCATCTGGACCCCGTTGGTGGTGTCGACGATGACGAGCGAGGACTTGGATGGGTTCCATTCGACGCCCATGGGCAGAGCGGGGCAGCCGAGTGAGGTGGCTACTTGCTTTGTGTTTTTGGCCAGTGCGGATTCGAGCTTCATTAGTGGGCAGACGTTGCACCCGAATGGTGGCAGTGTTGTTAATGGTTAAGGGTCGACTGTGTTAAGAGCAATTCATGTATTTATCTGTTTTTAGCGATAATAGAAACCATTTTGTGTGGATCAATGACGGTGGTTCGTGTTGGTGCAACGCTTGGTCAATTATGCCCCAAGGCATAATTAAACTACATGTAGGCTTTCAACTTACGTGTGCTGGGAATCTCACTTCTTACATGAGCTGCATACATCTAGATTTCGATAGGCAATAAGCAATATGTATATGTGCCCTGTCTTAATTCGAATGGCCACACAGGCCGAGTGATATCTGATGATGGAATAACTTGGTTGATTGATTGCATTGATAATTCATTAATTGTATGATGAAATATCTTAGTCTAGATGTGACGTAGTATCATAACGTCTCTACGAAGCAAAACGATCACAAGCGCTTTATACATACGTAACGGTTATTTGATACGTAAATATCAACCCCTACAGCACCATTTCGCACAAAACCACAGACCTCAACAAAGTGGATGAGTGCGAAATCGCTACACATAGGCCACCGCCAACGTCCGCCGCACTTGTAAGGCGCTTTCAATATCCAAGCATGCAAACAATTTAAGCACCTACATACAAGTGTTTATCTAGAATCAATGTTCGACACTAAGATATATCGAGTGATATATCATGACCCTAATTACTAAGTATACCTTAGTCTACATAATGAATAATAAGCACCATAAGTAATTATAAACTTGACATATAGATTCATCTATTGCGCTTACCCTATGTAGCCAGTAGGTTTAATGTACCCGCATTACACTGCGCTTTGTTGGCTTGCCTAATCTACATGTGCATCATGTATATAACACAAGATCACCTGAAGTATGTAGCAATCAGCCTTCTAGCTCAGACCTCTACAGCTACAAAGCAGATTTAGGCACTTTGAAACTTCTTTCCTATAGTTCGGGTACCAGTCTTTTGGCTTAGAACGTCATATCACTAAAAATCCAGATGAGTATATACTCATGTGCTAGATTCACAGTATAGTTCTCTTTTCGGATGCACGTTTATTGCAACACCATTTCTGCCAGTCGAGCAACCCACACCGGCGACAGTGTAGTGACTTTTTTCATGATATCTTGAGGTTTGTCACCTTTGTCACTCTTGTCACCCTTGTCACACCAATTCTGTAATGCTTAACTCAGGATTAGGGTTATTAGAGTCTTGGCAGCACCAAGCACCAGGATAGGTATCGTTGCGATTTCCCCTCCCTCAAGCGCTTGCAGGCCACCAACCTAGCTCACAGCTGGCAGCTACAAACCTCGTACCATATCAACCTCAAGTCAAGTTTAGCAAACCTAAAAAGGTGCCAGGAATCCTATCGAGACCTGCGTGATTTTATACAAGCTACATACAGTATGTTCAAAGCTAGAATGAACAAGCTAATTAGTACGTATCCAGCTAACCGCCCGTGCGGTACTTCTAAGCAATGTCGGACGAGAAAAAGACAGGCCGTCGACAGAGCGCCATGATAGAAATAGCGCCCGACGGAGATGTAATTCTCGAAGTCGCGTCTCTTACAGGCACGGCAAGATTCCGAGTACTATCCTCAGTACTCTGTCTAGCCTCGCCCGTATTTCGTGTGATGCTAGGTCGAAACTCGAACTTCAAAGAAGCCTGCGAGTTGCGGAACTCAGACAGCGAGCCTTACGTCGTACCTCTTGACGAGTCGGATCCGGGAGCTCTAGCTGTTATTTTAAACGTATTTCATCTTCGGAACGACCATGTGCCAAAGACGGTTTCGTTCGCGAACTTGTACAAGCTTGCTGTCATCTGCGATAAGTACGATTGCGCAACTGCCGTGGCGTTGTGGGTACCGATATGGACAGGCGGATCGATATCTAGTGTTCTGCAGCCCGGAAATGGGAAATGGTTGTTTATTGCATGGGCGTTGAAGATTGAACATATCTTTGCGGAGGTTTCAAAGAAAATAGTCTTGGAGGGCTTTTATGCTGACCCTAATAGCGGTCTTTTGACTACCGGAGGGTTCCCAGCTGTAGATACTGATACTCCCGAGATTGTAGTTGGTATGTTCTTTTCTTTTCATTTTCTTAACGTGTCTTGGAGCTTCCTTAGCTGATATTACCCTTTTCCGTCACAAGAGGAGATAATTCAGAGGAGGAGACAAACCATCAGGTCGATGCTAAACGTGGCAACATCTTTCTTACAACGATATTATCATAATCCTGGTGACAAGCCTCGATGTCGACACCTGGTCCGCTCGGAGCAATGTGATATGATGATCCTCGGGTCCCTCATCAAGGTCTTTCAGTCCATGAAGATTATCCCCCCAGTTTTTGGGACTCCCTATAAGCAAGAAGACATGTGGTTGGAGAGTGTCACGTCGCTAGGCGCTGCCCTACGGGGCTTCCAGCTCAATTTTCTCCAGGTTGCTCGAGATAAGCCGTGCAAGCCAAATCACTACGACAACACCAAGTGTTATATCCACGGAGCCGCGGTGAAGTGTGGCGATCACACCAAGTGTAGCTTTTTGCCCGAGTTCTATATGGGATTGGATAGCATAAAGTCGGGAGTACAGGGGCTGAGCTTGTACGACTTCAAGTCACGTCAGATGCCGCCCAAGAGGGAGCAAGCGGGGGGGGCATTGTGGGAAACTTTTCAGTTTATGGGAATCTGAAGTGTTTCTTTGATAAGCCGGGATTAATTGGGTATATGTTATTTTATTCCATTCGTTTAATTTCCTATGTTTGTTTGAGTATGTAGCAACATGTAAGCAGACCTACTGAACACAGGGGGTCGTAGGCTACGAGTTAATGCATGATTCTCCTCCTATCTCTCTTTTCAACTCAAAATCCTGTTTCGGCACGATTCGAGATGCTTCGGATGCATTGCATATGAGCAATAGCCATTCCTGTGCAAGTTATGATTTGGCCTTGAATACCAGCTAGTTGAAATCACCAGCTGCAGCATATACAACTCTTATTCCCATCGGCTCCAAACGATCTTGTGGGGTCGTGATTACATCAAGGATTAATAAGAGTAGTTTCTTCCAATGCCAACCAATTCTCGCATGTGTTTCTATGTTGTCACTTTTCTATCAGAAATTCCAAGGTTTATTGGGTACACTACATGTAGTACACCGATTATGATGGAGGAAAACTCCGCCTAGAGATCTCCAGGAAAGAAGGGAACTTCCGAAAAGGATGGGGGAGCGGGTTATGCCCTCTACATGTTCAGTAGACAAGCGTACAATATATCATGTCTTTCTTAATGACACCCGTCCTTTGCTCCTCATGTCATCCATCTCTACCATAGACATACATATCAACCCAGGCGTTGAACTCAAACTCGGCGACAGCAACCAGGGATATATTTGTCCCTTGAAGACGAACTTTGGACTGCTGTTGATGTCCAAGGTGTGGTTTTAGTACGCGCTCTTTAGCGAATTCTTGGGGCTTAGCACTAGAGACCACACCTACTCTCGATCTTTGGTGTAGGATTGAGGTTTTGGGCGTGGACTTATTGCCCGTAGGGATGGGCATGAAACTGGTCTTTCCATGCTGTGCACCAAGAGCATGACATGTAAAGATCTACTCCAAACTAATAGCAAGCCGATCAATGAAATGTAAATTTTCAACACCAGAAACAGAATAAATATCTGAGCTGACTAGATAAATATCTAATAGAGCCCGGTGCAAGGCAAGTGCTCACAAAAGCACCCTATCTACCGGTAGCAACCGAGATACATAACATATAACTATTACCATCATGGCTAGGATCTTCATCGTGGCTGTAGAACTTAAGACTTTTCAACCTGGATCATGGCAGCAGTGAAGAGTAAAAAAAAAAAAAAAAGATCTTTACCTTCCCTGAAGAATATCCAGGTCTATCTGCCCCGCATGTCGAGCAATGATGACAAGAAGGGCTACTATATGTTTTGTTGTGATCGGCTTACGGTAGAATTTGACATGTAAGTTCCACTGTACCGCCTCGTTTTATTTCCTCATCATACAACTACTAAAAACTTATTAAACCTACATTTTCACACAGAAGTGTGTGGATCGAGTATGGTATACTTAGGACTACATGTACTGACCGGCCCGCCGCTGGTGTTACGTGCCGCACCCCGCCCCCGACCCCCGCCCCCACAGCCACCTCACCGGAATGGCTGTGGAATGCGGGGAAGTCAACCCGGAATACGGTCAAAATGATATTTCTTATATTATTTTGACACCAAATCGTCTACTATTATATACATAGGTCCAATCTATTTATTACACTTTAATTTTGGCTCCTGGTTCTCATAGACAAATGGCTAGTAGAGGTGAAAAAATCCGCAAGGGTGTATACTTTCATATCACATGCATGCTTAAGAACTTCAACAAATACATGGACCGTGTGTAGGGGAGGTCATAATAAAAAAAAGAAGAAAACGAGAGTTGAATTCTTCATGAAATATCACTCGATTCAACTAGCTCTAGAGAAAAAAGATGTGAGTTTGTGTGCACACATTCCGACACTGTATAGCGGGGCTATATACGTAACCTTAAGTTATTTGGCACACTCGTCATTTATCAAAACCAATTTAAGTAATTATGTTAACTTTAGGTAAGAGTTGTACCTTTGTTTATCATACTTCGATCCCCCCATCCACCTTCACATAATCCTTACGCTATCGAAGGTGCCTTTTCAAGGCAAATAGAATTCTAGGGCCTCTTTTTGTCCACAAACTTGTGGAGATTATTGTGTGCGGATACTAGCTACGCTTATCTTTGTTGAGTCTGTTATTTAGTGTTAATTTGCCTGTGTGAAGGTTGCTAACCCAAATCATCACAGGTACGTACTCGAGTCATTCCGCATCGTCGGCTGTTATTGTCTCTCATCTTCCAATTACGGCAAAAGATTACATGGGAAATAGAGGTTAGAGAAAATCCAGGCCGGAAGGAAAGGCATTAGTGGGAACGTGAGCTAAATTATAACAGGAAGCATTCCAGAAGCGTTGACCGTGTAAAAATGCCCACACTCAACCATTGAATCGGCTTTCAGTCTCTTATTCTCACTCGGTTTCGAGGACGCGTAATATTCGTGCGAGTCTGTTCGCCATCATACTCGATTAGTAATCGCGCTTTCCTTCTCGGCATTAGACCCTTGAAGCATCTATCGAGTTTTTTAGATTTCCATATCTTCCTGACAGTATTCGTCGTGTCCCTAGGAAATGTAAGGTTTCACCCAAGCCCATAGTAGAAGGAGCCTCATCAGAGGAGCCCAGAAAGCTTCAATTGCACAAGCACTTTTCAATGAGCGCCTCATTAATACACGTACCCCCAGTGCACATCCAATCTCAACCTTTCGTGCAGACATGGCACGATAATTGTGTCGAACCCACCGCAGCCACAAGGTACAACCCTTCTGAAACTACGACAATACATACCTTCCGCAGTACTACAGCTCATCTCATGCTCCCTCGTGCGTCACTTGCCACAGATCTCCAACCTAGCCCGAAAAGGAGAGCTCGAGCCAAGAAAATCGTGCTCTACCGCATCGCTTAAAAGAACGTAGTCAGAGCGGTAAAGGTCCAAAACAAGACATTGTTTCTCGGAATTTATCTTTTCCTCAACGTCACCTAACACAGTCGATGTACAAGACGAACCAACCAACCAACAACAAAAAACAAACATAGCCAGCAAACCTAAATAAAATGTCTTGCCTGGCGGAGCGAAATAGGTAGGGCGGGTGCATTGCAACTACATGCACTCTACCTGTCATGATGCTCTCCGTCAACCAGTGCAGAAGCTGTACCAGAGCTCCGAAAGGCTGGAATCGGGTACCAAATGCCCTCCAGTAACAACACCGGCAATCAGCCCGTGTGCCCAGCCCAGCAGGTACGCGTCAAAGAGAAAGAAAGACATCGTTAAGCTGCTCACCAGTCTAAACCTTACCCTACTCCTATATACGCGCTGATAAAGTGGTACTCATACGTTGAGATGAAAAGGACCCGCGCAATCTCGGCCCGTATTCTAGCCGGTATTGGTAGTTGGTACCTGCGCTAGCCGTTGATCATCACTAAACAAAGAAAACCTCCCGGCCCGAGTTTACATATCGCTGAAGTTTCTGTCTGCGTTTCTATGCAGTCGCTACATGCATAAGATATCAACTGAGTCATAACTACTTAACACACTTGTCCCCTTTGTTGCACAAAAGGAGTCGGTCATACCGAAAGCCTCTAGAGGTGGATATGTGGCGGGGAGAAAGAAGTGGGGATGGGTTTTAATTCATCCCTCTTTCGACGCAGGGCAATATTGCAGGGGTGCGGTGGTTAGCGAGGGTGTTTTACCGTCATCCTGCAGCGATACCACTCGAAGCAGGGTGCTGGTTGACTGTGGGCTCTTGAGGCTAGGAGTGGGAGGTCCAATACCTACCCTTGAGCACCCTCGCTCACACCCTTGCGTGCATCTGATCAATCTTAAAAGATTTATGTACGCACAGACAAGATCTTGATAATCAGCCTGAGCTGTGTGATGGTGTCGTGATCTAGTGACTACTTTTTTGCACGTTGTTTGCTGGCACGTTTAAAGTGTGCATAGGGAACAATTAGGATACAATATGACATCAAATTTGGTCCGATAGGGCGTAGATTCTGAGTGTGCAAAAAAATGTAGTGCAGGATGGAAATAGATCACCAGTCAGATCGCCGGTGGGACACTTGAGCGTGCAATTGCTTCAGCCTCATTCCTTGCGGTCATTCGTCGCACTCATTTTTACATCTTCATCATTATTGTTCTAAATGGTATTCTCCGTTCGATCTTTAGAATGAGGTGAAGAAATCCTCGAAATAGAAAAGAACACTTTCACCTTTCACAATAGTTCACGTGGTGATTCAGAGGTCTACATGTAGTTATATCGATCGCCCAGAAATATATGGGAACCCGGTATTCGGCAGGCAGTAGAGGCTACCACGGCTTCGGTACCTTTAAAGTTCCAATTCTCAGGAATGTAGAGTAAAAGAAAGTGCTCTATATCTCCATATATGAGATTTGCGAGATATTGCACTACGATGGTGGAGATCGGGGGTGAATGTGGGCCCCTCTTGACCAGTGGGTGGGTCTAGTTAGCTTCTTAGCCGACCTTTCGCTTCTTTGGCGAATCGAATTGATGCAAAGCGACGAAGACACAGTAACATCACAACACCTAAGCTACAGAAAGAAAGCCTCTAGTTTTTTCCCGAATCTCAGCCGTGGCAGCTCAAGAGAGACATGATGAAATTTTTTTAAGGTTTTACTTTTTGTTTCTGGCTTTGGAAGCGAGAGTGGCTTATGAGCTGTGGTTGTGTCATCTTCAAACCTGTCCAATCAGCACCGGAAACCTCATATGTATGGCGCTTATGCACACCCAAAGATTGGACGAAGGAGAAGGAGGAACAAAATAAGAAAGTGGCTATCGACCCATGGGCTAGAAGTAGCCTACTAACTAAACTACTGCAAGGTACCAACCAACCAGACCAATCAGCCAACGACTAGCGGGGGTGGGGGGGCACTGCATAGGACAGGATAGGTTAGATCCCTAACCACCAACGCAACGGCTAGTAGCAGTACAGTACGATATTTTACCCCTCTGGTACCCCTTTTCGCTGCACTCGTACACTGCATCGCCTGATCTGACACAGAAATTAAGTTATCTCTTTCTCAGGGAGATGTCGGGGAGTTTCTTTTTTCGCGTTGACTGGTTTGTAGTGTACCTAGAGGTACAGTAGGGAGAAGTTGCAGCAGCGCGACGGAAAGAAAGTTCCTTCAAACTTGATTCTAGAGTAGAGCATGCAGTACTTTACGCATAGTATTTCTCTATATGCATACTGCAGGGGAAGGGAGGGGGAACGGATGAATAATCTTTCGGGTTTATAATTTACTGAGGACGAGTCTTTCGTCGATTTTGCGCCGCATTTCATTTCATTAAACCACAAGCGGGCAGTTAGAAAAACCATCGCGAAGTTGTTCTTTTATCGAGGCAGGTGGTGAACGAGGAAGTAAGACACCACCGCCTCGGTTCGGTCGCTTGTGCCTGCAGTAGCGCGTACATGGTTCATCATTGAGGCGGATTTCCTTTTCTTTCAACCGGAAAAGCCCACTTCCTGGTTCAGCACCTCTCTGGAAATATATATCCACAAAGTATTAATACAACTCAGTGTGGGGGGCTATACAAACGTCGAATGAAAGTGTAGTTTTCGTACGCAATTATCTGAACATCGAATAGGAACAAAACAGTAAATCGTTGATCTAATCCACCCGGTAATGACTTCATGTAGAGTGATGAACCAACCAAGTAGACGGTTCCATTAATTGGCACTGGGGTAAGTAGTCGATAGTGGAGGATAGATGTCCCCTACTGAAGTTGCGGGTGAATAATCCATGGATACTTCAATTTCACCCCAGAAGATGAGGCCAATCCCGTCTCACAATAAGCACAATTCTCACCGAGTGACTTTCCCATTTCAGTGAGCGGGATACAGTTTTAGCACGATTACAGGGACTGCATATTCTCTCCACAGGGACCGAATATGGCACACACAGGGACAGCCCCTGCCCTGTCAACGGTCTTCGCCCCCCCGGCAGGCAGGAAGCAGGCACACGATGAGCTTGCACTCATTCTACCCATCGCTCCACTAGTAATGCGTCCTTACTCCATGCTGTGTTTGTGTGCAGCAACAGAGTAGCGGCACACCCCCCCTCCCCTTCCACCCATCCCACGCTTCTCCACTCACTACATATACGGGCCAACCTCCTCTCTCTCTCTTTCTTCTCATCACACACCAGTCAATCTCATTTCACTTCCGCCTTCCGGTTCAACAATTCGTTTTGATTTTCAGTTTCATACAAACTACACACACTCTTTTCAAAATCATCAACGACCATCTAAAAACTTAGTTTTTATCGCTCTTTTAAACAAACCAACAACCTAATCACAATGCAGTTCTCAATCATCGCTACTTTCTCAGGTTTGATCGCCCTTGCTGCGGCCTACACCACTCCTGTGGGCACCGAACCTCAGGGAAACCCCATCTCTGCTCCTGGCTTGAACCAGCAGGTTCCTATTGGATCTCCCTTCACCATCACCTGGACTGTGAGTAGAATCAACAAATGCATTGAAAGTTGATTTTGGTGATGATTTTTCTAATTCTTATTTTCTAGCCTACCTCCGCTCCCAACACCGTGACTTTGGTCCTCTTGCGCGGTCCTTCAACCAATGTGGTCCCTCTCTCCGTTATCGTTGAGAAGGTCCCCAACACCGGAACCTACACCTGGACTCCCGCTAGCGGCCTTGACGTCGATACCACTGGGTACGGAATCCAGTTGATTGACGATGTCACCGGTTTCTACCAATACACCACCCAGTTTGGTATTGCTGCCAACCCCAACGCTGTTACTTCCAGCTCCGTAGCCGCCACCAGCACCACTGCTGCTTCATCCTCGGTCGCCCCCACCACTTCATCCACCACCACCGCCGTCGTTTCAAGCAGCTCTACCGTCTCTTCCTCATCTCTTACCGTTAAGCCCATGGACACCGTTGTCTACAGCACTGTCATTGCGACTGTCACTTCATGCCCTGCTTCGGTCTCAAACTGCCCTGGAAAGACCTCTGCCACTGTTGCACCTGTCTCTAGCGTCCCTACCGCTTCCGTCATTGCTACTTCGTGGGCCAACAGCACCATGGCTACCGCTACCAGCACCAAGAACGCTACTGGTGTTGCCTCAACTGGATTCGCTGTTTCCACCACTGCCTCACCTTCTCAGTTCACCGGTGCTGGTGACAAGATCAGGGTTGGATGTGCTATGGGTGCCGTCTTGGTTGCCGCTCTTGGTATGTTATAGCTGTTAATATTTTGATATATGATGACTAAAAAGCTAATAATTTTGTGTAGCGCTTGCCATGTAAAACACTTAATCAGTAATGAGCAAAACTTCTTGCAATCTCGGCAGATCTTCCGGATCTTAGTTTTTTACTTTTTTTTCGGGGTAGATGTCGAGTGCGTAGGTAGATTAGGAAAAATAGTGACGGAAAAAAAACTAATGAATGAAACAATATTATACCAACCAACCAACCACAACCTATCTTGTTTTGTTCTATTCTTACATTGCTATCTTTGTGAGATCGGTGTTTTGGGTGTGAAAACTGACCAGCAAACTCTTCTACCAAATTTTCTTTTGTCATTCTACTTTTTTTTCATAGGGGGAAACATTTTTAACGGTAGCCAGAAACTAACTAATGAATCGGTGTTTTTGTTTTTAACTTTCTGTGCTGGTCAGCTTGAATTTTTTGCTTTCGTTTGTAAATTTGATTTTTTATTTCTTTTGTACCTAGCTAGCAAGCTTTCGTTTTTGCTTCTTTTCGTCTTTCTTCTGTTGTGCAGAGAATATTTATTTTATTTACGCCCTCTTGGAGAGGCTTGCGAATTAACTTCTATTGTTTATTATTGCATTCGGTCGAAATAAACCAAACCATCCGCAAAATCCAATCTCCACACCGTAACTATAAAGCCTTGTGCTCAAAATGATGACCTCCAAGCCTACCTTCTAGTTATGGCCTGCGTTGGCCTACGATAGAACCCTGGAGTAAGGAAATTTAAGGCAGTCACCCGGCGGGTAGAGTGGGGTTCGCTCCGGTGTTTCGTACATGCTGGGATCATTGAATCGGCAAAAACTGCACGAAACGAGTAACATTCGGCCTTAGTTATCGCTTTGTCACACCTGGATTGGGACATAATGCGATACTCGGATGGATGCGTTAGAAGGAAAAAAAAACTTCTTTCGAAATCTGGCACGGGTGTAGTTAATAGAATTTTTGTTGTGTGTGTGTATATAATATATATGTGCTTTACCGGAATCTATTGTGATGACTTATTTTGTTGGTTTACCTGCTTGGTTTACCTGCTTGGTTAAATTTGCATAGCCCTCTAAGCAATTTATTCCATGCCTCCGAGCAGCATGCCCACGATACTTTCTCCATCACCCCTATTCCACCGTAATACCAAGAATAAATTGTGGAGCCGTCGTACCGCGACCGGGAGTATGGGCCCTACTCGCCGAAAACCCCCTTCCTAATTCTACGCGCATGTAGACTAGAGTCGCAGTCGCAGCAACGTGCGATTTTCTCGCTTATGTGACTCACTGACTAACGGATTGATTGCTGGTCGAGTGCGGGTCTGTGACTATGATGCCATTGTGTGTGACGTCCCGCAATCTTGGTACATATTTGTGGGACGGCTTCGGTGCCGACTTGGCAAAAACAATACGAGACAAGGGTGGTATTTTGGGCGTGATAGATACCCTAACGTCGATTAGTTTCATTTGACATTTCTTGACATTTAAGGGGACGTGAAATAGTAGAGGATCCGCTTTGAGTGTTAAGCTTCTTTTTAATTGTTCGGGGATCCGTACAAGGAAGGTGTGTAGTTGTTCGTTCCTGACTACTGGATGGGGAAGGGATCGAACAAGTTCTGCGAGTAATGGTGTTGGCATCGATCGCCGAGTCTCCCCGGCATATAGATACCGTACAATATTTCCCTTTTGATGGACGTACAGTAATGATTATCAGGTACCATATGATTATTATGTCCGGATTACTATGCTACTCTTATATTTAGCCACCCAAGAACGGAAAGGATGTACGATGGAAACAAGATGAGGAAGAAAACCTTTCCATTGTACGCCGTGAATTGATTGAAAAAATCGAAAGGTTGTTCCTCGTGCCATAGGCCCATAGTAGGTACATACATGTACTAGGTATGTAGTACCCATATTTGTGCCTCATACTTGCCTTGGGGTCTCCACAAACAGCTCCCCACAAGGCTTTTTAGAACCCTGTGGTTCTGCGCTATCCCCGGTCTGCCGCGCCTAATCTGACTCACTCCCCAAAATCAAGCCTGTCCGGAACCCTCGCCTACCGATTTGAGTTCTTTTCTTTTGGGCAAAATGGCTGGTGCAATTTAAGCTTCTTAGTCGGATTCGTTAGCGAGGTGGGGTCCATCGGCTGTACTGCCGTTTGGCTTTATAAAGAAGGCGGTGAGATGAATAATGGATGCAAGGCAATGCAGGTGAGTGATAGTTTGTGATGGCGAGGGAGTGCATCTGTCGCGGGGTCTTGAGAAGGTTGAGTGTGGGAGCAGTCTATCAGCAGAAGTGCACGTTAGTTATTCGCAGACTGCAAGCTTGGGGAGAAAGGGATAATTTTTGGGAGAAAACCTACCATCAGTGCCTAGTGACGTTCAATTCTCGCCCCAAGTAAGCAACACACCCTCTCCACCCAAAGTCATCACATTGGACCTCTAGCTCTACTAACAGCATAAACCGTTTTATCCGGGTATCCTTGGGCCAATGTTGAGCTGGAATGAAAGACACAACTAGCCCAATGAAGACTGAGCATCAGCTGTAATAATATCTCCACACAACCAGCCATCACATGTTGGAATCAGGAGTAGTCGAGAGTGTGATGTTAAAGAGGTGGGGGCCAGATGTCGATGATGGTGCCGGAAGCCCACGGAATATCAGTGCTTTCGGTTGGAACCACGAGGGGGCTGGTTTACCGCGGCCAGCAGCATCAGTAACGTGTACATCTAACGTCGGGAAGGATTTCCTGACATTATTGCCAGATCTCAACCGTGAAGAAAAAAATGTCTTTCTTCCCCGTAACCATACCTATGTCTCTCCCGACGATCTTCCCTAGACCTCCAGATTCGATGATAAACTTCGATGCCGGAGCAGACTTGCTTACTCTTGAATTGTCTTCTTAGTCTTCTAACTACCAGTTTGAGATAAGCCGGAGGTTTTCTCTTTCTTTCTTTCTTTCTTTGCTTTCTTTCTTTCTTTTTCATCAACCACCATTCCCGCGCCAGTCTACGTGTAGACAGCTTACGAATGCCTGGCTTGATTGATGTCTGGTTGAAAGGTAAGGAAGAGGATAGTTCCTATATAATGGGATTGATTGAAAGATCAATCTCCTTAGATCTACGGGATCTCGATAGGGGTGCGTAGACAGGCACAAGGTTCAGAGCTTACATACAGGCTTACCACAGCTGATGGATGCTTCATACGGAAAGTGGGAGGGCGACTGCCTCCCCTCGATTTCAGATCTAGGAAACCATAACCCAATGCTCAAAGATGTCTTTAAAGACATAGGTTACAAGAATCTGGCGAAAAGTCCGATTCTCTCTACACCTCGCCCTCGCTCTCTCGCGTCCCTCAAGAGCCGTACATACAACTATGGGATTGGTGATTACTATCGATATCTACCATGTGCGTGAATTTCATATCGTCTCAAATTTGTGAATTGGAGAAAGGTTACGTTCCAATGAGATTGAGGATAAGAGTAATTTCTGGCTCAAGTTGAAGTTTCTCCCACGCGACACTTATATATGTATTTACCCCGCGCTCAGGTACCTACTCCCGAATCCCCATAGCTAATAGACTCCCCGGCGTGGAATGCCGTCAAATCTCCATTTATGAAACATAGATAGGTACATTCTGTCTAAGGCTGGTCCGGGCGGAAGTGATTAGGATGTTTATTCGTTACATGTATGTTACTATGACTATGGACGGTTCTTTGGGAGAACTATTGGACCTAGGATATAAGCGTGACTTATTCATGGCTTGATCATAGAGTCTGACTCGGATATTTTTTCTGAGTATAACCACAGGCATCTCTACTGTAGGATAAAGAGCAATAATCTAGTTCCTGGCCGGGGATTATTGTACAAATTAGGCTCACAACGGTTTCAGCGGGTTATTTTGGTAGCATGGGCATTGATTTTCCAGCTAAGGCCGTGCTATGCGATAAACACCAACCCAATAAATTGATACTATTAGAAAAAAAACCGAGTAACTATGAAATTTATACTAAATGACAATTAGTGGAATCACTGGCGAAGAAGAAAATGCTTAATCCCTGTGATTGATTCAACATTGATGTTATTTTGCGGAAACTTCAGTACGCATGCTGATACCGAATGTCTATGGCATTCGGATAAAGAAGCAAAGAAGACATCACCATCGCTCGAGTTTGATAGTTGAGCAGAATGAGCACCTCTTGTTTTCTAATACAAGAAATCAAGGCTGATACGTAGAGCACTGTGATTGAAGTTTTCTTGGAAGTCATAACCGCAAGTAGGCTATTGTCAACAAACAAGTTCGGTCACTTTACGTGACTGAGCAAACATTAAATAAGTGTCTTGAACTTCCCTAGAAGTTCGGGGATCCGAAACGGCTTTGGAATTGCATCATCCTATTGCATTTGTCAGATATTGTTCAGAAATGTATTAACCTGCCTGACGAGAACTCTTTGCTTACCATCCCGGCCGCAGTCATTATAGTCACTGTGGGGATTATTATTAGTACAACTAGACATTTATATAATCATAGAGATATTCTCACATTGTTCAGACCTGGCATTTGCACTTATGCCAATAATTGGAATATGTCCAGTTCTCCGCTGTGCCTCCAACTGTCTAATTCTTTTAGTGGCCTCAACACCCCCCATCACCGGCATCTCCATATCCATCAATACCACATCCAGCGGCTTTCCGTCTTTCTTAGCAAATTTCGATTGCATGATCTTTTCCAGAGCCTCTTTCCCATTATTTGCTGTATCAACTACACATCCCTCCATGACTAACTGCTGTCGAAGGACCTTTTGATTGATCAAATTGTCCTCAACGACAAGAACATGGTAGAGTGGGTCTTGGCTGACCTTACGTATACTGCTCTCCTCTGAGGGGTACTGGGGTAGATCTGGATAGACGCGAATGTTTCCGGAACTGGAGTGGTGACTATTTGGGCGCTTTGATTGTTGACTTCCATGTGTGCTTGAGGGTGAATCAATCGATGCTGACGCAAGCGGTGTTATTGGTTTGGCGGCTCGACAGGCTTTGATATAGAACCGGAAAATACTTCCCTCACCCTCAACAGATGATACACCAATATTTCCCTGTTGCAGTTGACATAAACGTCTGGAAATATAAAGACCAAGACCACTTCCACCGTAAGTGATGTGCGTCTTGGGAACCTGATTAAACCGCTGAAATAAGTTTCGTTTATTCTTCTTACTGATCCCTATCCCAGTGTCCTACTCAAACGTTAATGACAAGTGTTGACCAACAGATCGGAAGGTGCTTAAAGAGCAAGATAATCAATCGATAATACCTTGACAGTGATTGTCAGAAAAAGGCTCTGCCCTGTCCCCCAGTCTGGGGCATCTGCCTTGTCTTGCTCCGGAATCTTTTCAGTAGGCAGATAATCAAAGTTCGACCAGTTTGTTGGGCTTTCCAATGAAGCATCAAGTAGAACACAAATCTTTTTCTCGCCTTGTTTAAGAGCGGTAAATTTAATAGCTATAGAAGAGTGAGCTCGATGGAAATTCAGATGGGGTATAATGGGGAATAAGAGCTAACCATTAGCAACTAGATTTACCAAAATTTGTGTTGTACGGCTTGGGTCTATGTTAACCCATGAGACATCCAGCAAATCATAACCCTCAAGCACACGAAATTCCCAGTAAATCCCTTTCCCAGCAAATTCGGCTTCAAACATTTTTAGCCCGTTCCACACCAAATCTCTAGGATCTGTAGGAACAGGAGCTACTGTCATCAAGTTTGAATCCAATTTGCTCACCGCCAGAATATCTTCAATAATTATTCTTTGATGATTGACACAAAGAAGGATTGTCTGAGCCGAGTCAGTTATCTGCTCAACGTCTAGTATTTGGCTTCTACCGAGTTTATGCCTATTTAGCAAACCAAGAATTCCCTCTGCTGACTGTAGGACAGCAGAGAGAGGATTGCGAAGTTCATGTGATGAAATATCAATAAAGTTCTCTTGTTGTCGTTTTCTCTCGAGTGCCTGTGATGCCAACTGTTTTTGATGACGTGCCTCTTGCACAGCTCTTCTCAAATCTTCCGTCAATAGCCTCACTCTTCCGAGAGACGTTGCAAGTTGTTCCATTAGCATAGTAAGCCATGTGAAATATTCATGGTCATATGGTCTCCTTGGATTAAGTCCCAATATAAGATACCCAAACGTCCTTGAAGGGCTAGGTTGGATTGGTATGATAGCCACATGCGTGCATGGATCTCCAAACCCTCTAAACTCAATTTCGGAAAGTTCTTGTTTGTAATTACATGTATATGGTACCGTTGCCAGGTCTTTGACGATAACAGAGTTTGATTCCCGTGCCAGTATCATCTCGTGATAGAATAGAAATTGCTCGTCAGGCTCGGCAAACCCACTCGACGACGATGTTGTGCCAGTATTTTCTTCATCTGCCGGAATCATAATTTCACTATGCTCTTCAGCATGTCCATATATTACTCTGGGACACGACGGCGAAGACATATCGCACAGACTTGAAGCCCCCGTAAATGTATTTCTGGAACTACATGTGGTTTTCCCGCCAACCCGAACCTCCTCTGGAACCAACCCGCCCTTTACTTGGAGATGTTCTGGAATTCCTAAAGCTCCGGCTAGGATACAGCTTTTCTCAGAAACAACTCTATAGAGAATTGCAAATGGACTGTCAACCTCGTTAGAACCCAGCCCTTCAAGGACTAAGCTCCAGAAGTTGTCGCGGTCCAGATCTCGGATAAGTTCTACATTCGTCCGAATCTTGTGCAATGTTTCCATCCGGCGGGCCTGGATTACTTGAGAAGTTCTTGAATGAGCTTGTTTTAGCACACCTTCAGCGGTTCCTGATGCTCCAATTATTGGCGAGATTATAAAATTGTAGTAGCGTTCCTCCATCGGAATATCTCCGTGAAGAAATATCTGCTCGTTGGTTCGTAAGGTTGTTTTTCCATCAAGCGCGGCTTGTAACATAGGAATCATATATTCCTTGAATTTAGGAAACCCAATTTCAAACGGCTGGCCGAGGGCTTCCGGGTGTTTATCACCAGCCAATATCCTTGCTTGTGGATTGTATATAGCAATAAGCTCCTTACCCCAGTATACCATAGCAGGGTGAGGAAATGACCTTTACTTAGCGGGATGGGATATCAGCTTTCTGCACACTGAATGACGTAGGGAATGACGTACATGACAACATTGGCGATACAGCGGAGAGATACGGGCCAAGTATGTGGAAGACCGATAGGTGATTGATTCCTAAAAGATCGAATGCATCAGATATAAGAATGTGACTTATAACCATGAGACCGTGAGGTTCTCACCATGGGGCTTTCATCAGGAAGTTTAGGTGGTCGTCCATTCCTTCCAGATTCTGTGTGTTTTTCTGGAGAATAGCACCCCTTGTCCAGTCCATATTAGGTTTATCCCCGGGCCGTCTGTCATAGCCTTCCAATTTCATCAAGGGCAATTCAGTTATGCCAAGCGGAGCAGAGCCTCTTCTACTGCTACTGCTAGGGAGGGACCTCGATGACCGTCTTGAAGTGGAACTTGATGAGGCTAGTGATCCTCGAGCTGTTGGAGCTCTACTATAACTGGGAGTGATCGTTTTAATTAAGCTGGAAGCTCCATCTGCAGTCACAAGTCGAAGTGTGATATCCGATCCAGAACTACCTTGAGGGGACTCTTCGGTAATTGACATTCGGCGGACGTCTCCAATTCCCCCGCCACCATAGTTCTCTAGATGATAGTCCAAAGGAACTGTTCTCCGTAGGAAGTCCGAGCCTCCGCGAGAACCAGCGTATTTGCTCTCTTCGTGGCCCCTGCAGATACCGGCATCTTCCCCTTCTATGTCTCCATGTATCGATTCCAGAACAGGACCGACGGTCAGAGCTTTCGCCCAACTGTCACCCGTGCCTTTACCGATACCGACACATCGTAACTGCCAATCATCATTCCCCAAGGTCCACTCGGTAGGACTTGGACTTCGTTTTAGCATTTCACCCATCTCTTCGGGGGATTTGAGGTCAAGCTTGAGCTGAGGCTTGAGGTGCTCGAACGCAGGATTTGTGAATAAGATATCGACAATCACATCTTCACTTTTACTGGTCTCTAGTTTTGGTTTTACCTCCATGATCACTGTTGGCCTGTCGTCCACTTGAAGGAACTCAAAACACAGATCATTTAACTCCGTCGCCGCGTTAATCGGCCTCCAGCCAGTGACCAGCTCTCTATCCCCAGTGAGAGTGACAGGATCTAAAGGAGAGGCCTGAGAGGAAGAAGAAACGGGCGGCGGAGGAGTAGGGAGATGATGCTCAATAAGAGGAGATAGTTTAGAACTCGGATATTCCGGATTAGGAAGAGGTAAAAATGCTACCGGAGAGGTAACTCGTGGGAACGGAAACAAGCTGCGTCTTGGAGGAAAGACTGGCTCTATTGTATCATCGGTTATAGAGCTACGCTGCGTTGTTATAGTAGATTTGCTATCCGGTTTTCTCTTGATAACCTGACGGGCACGTCTCTGGAACTTGGATATCCAGGAATAGGTTTTCTTTTTTTCTTGAAGTTCCTTACTCGATGCCTTACTCACTTCGTGTCGTGGCTTCTCTTGCTTGGTACCTACAAAAGTTATTCTAGCTCGGAAGCTTCGATGTTATTCGACGGGAAGGAATTACCATAACTTGTCCACTGAGACACGTAGGATTTGATTCCGGGCGAGGCTCGATTCGGGTCTGACATTTTGAAGGAGCGGATTGGAACAAGTTTGATGGGTTGAAAAAGGCGGCTAGGGTGAAATATTGGCGGAGAAGACAGTGAATCTAACAAACAATAAAAATAGTCGAGGTTATGTGATTGTTTATGGAGTTTTCTCGATTCAAATATCGATGAAGGCTTCGTTGTCTTTAGACCAAGTCGAAGGTTCCTCTCATCGACAACGGAAAGATCAGGAGCCCACCAACTGAGCCAGAAGATTTTGTTGAATACGTGGCTATAACTTCTTAGATTATAAAATTGTTCATAAAGTGTTTAAAGACTGCACAATCTTGTGTTCTCTCTCAAAATTGATAAGAATGTCATAATCACAAACGATCACTCGGGTGCCAATGATTCTCGTTTCGAGCCCATTCGTCGGAATATACCGTCGATTCTGAACTCGGCTAAGCCCAGACCGCTATTTTTTTACCCATCAACATTACGAAATTTCCTAACTATCTTATTTAAGACTGTCAAGTGATAGTAAACCGTAAGAGGCCATACTCTCCCCTCGTTTTCCAATTGGTTCTCTAATATCATAAGGGGCTTTCTGCAATCTTACACCGCCTCGCTATCTAGAAAACTAGAAATTATCAGTCCCGAAGAGACCAGACGCAGCTTTCCTTTCCGGCCTTCCGAGTCTAGCTAGATCAAGTGTATGCCAGGGTGGCTCATGCTTCAAGGGTTCATTTTACGCCTTAAGCACCAGTCATTTGATTTCCACTCAACCCCACCCACCTGCCCGTTTTTCTCTTTAGATATTTGGCTTAATATTGAGCTTCTATAGGTGAGCTGTTTGGACCTGCTATGTCGACATGCCGTGTCGACACCTGTCACTGCCATATTGACGCCTGTTACTGCTATGTCGATACTTGTCCGATTTTTGACTATATGGCCAGTTAGACTCTTTGTCGATAAAGAGTTAAGTCACTTAACTACCTCGTCCTACCCGCCTCCCCCCATCATTAAGACATCCCTGAGTTAACAAAAATGTTTTTAATACAAGCAAGGTTCTGATTCGAGTGATAGTCTATGACACAACTCATTTTGTTTTTGAGCGTCACCCTAAGTTTTCTTTCCAACCCAAGGCCAGCACCGCATAAAACAACGCAAATCAGTAATGGCTACCTAACTCCTCAGCTCCTCCATGCCTATCTACTCTCCCAATCGATAGTGGCTGATCTCCAGAACGACGGCCCGTCCGCAGGCATTCGCAGCCAACTGTGTTTCTAGTCTCTTCTGCCCCTACCCTCCTCGCTTTACACAAGCACTGCCGGAGGAGGCGGTTCCTACCGAGAAGCCCCTCATCAGGGCTATCGATAAACTGCAAAGTACCACGAAAGTCACCACCGAAGACCTCATTTCCTAGTTATGGACAACTGTGACCTCAAGTCGGTCCGCCTTACTCTGCCGCCTTCTCACTCGAACCGTTCGCCCAGTGAAAATGTCCCAGCTATGAAGAGCCCTCGTCATTGCACGGAAGCACTGGACCTATAGCAGATCTCGTCACATGTAAAGTGTTGGGACGATGGGTGCCTAAAAGTACTCCCCTCCCGGGTATGAGCCGACCCCCTCTCCACCCTCAAAGCGATGTGGTAGGATAGGATTGGATCTCGGGATCATACAAGATGCAAGCCGCACGAGCTCGGGGCGGAATTTCGAGAAGTACTACTCTTAAAGGTTGTCACGGGGGTCTAAACTCGATAAAAGGCTGTAGTCTCAAGATCATGAATAGGTCTTGGGCTAAAAAGAAAATCTACCACGAATAACCCTCGCCGATTGGAGGAATTTGGCATTACAAACCACCACCAGCAGGTCACCATGACGGATGCGTTTCTTTCCCGACTCGGGGGTCTGTTTTTGCCGATCCTGATTTTTTTCTTTCTTTTTTCCGCTCTTTTTTTATCACTCTTTTTTTTTTATCTCTTTCTCACTTCGCACACGTACCGATATGGTGGCTGCACATCTACGTAGTAGGTATTCTTTTACCTACGTGTAGCTATTTGACGAAGAGAATACCTGAAATAGTAAAAAAAGCATCTCTCCACCGACATCATAAACGATCTACACTGCAGGGATGTCCCCAAACCTCTTCACCAGGTATGCCCCGGGCCCTCCCTTCCCGAAAACAAACCGAAACGAAACGAAAAACATCCGATCTAAATCAAGATCACCTGATGAAGTTCTGCACCAACCAGCCAGCGAACAACGCACCGCAGCAGACATACAGACGTGCTCTACAGGCAAAGACCTGCGCGCACACACAAAACACCCCGTTGTGTAACATCTGTAGTTTGCCCGGGCCAGACAGCCTGCACACGGCAGGCAGCAAAGCCAAACAAGCTTGCACGGCGGCGGATCATGTGTGCTCAGCCCTATCTACCTAGCGTACTGACATCTGCATTTGCATTTGCAGGCAGATCTCTCTCGGCTATTGAAACGATTATGCAGGCGCTTTTTTTTATTTATTTTACTTTCTGGTCCGTGCGGTGCGAGCGGGGGTGGGTGTGTAGATCGCTTTAGTTTGGTTGGTGTTCGCAGTGCGCAGGACGACCTCAACCTCATACCTCATATTGAGAACTTGATCGACACGGTCATGGGCATGGGTGTGTTATTTATGTACATGTATTTATGGGCAGATGGATCATGGATGGATGGAGCGGGATGGCCGGAGTTCCGGGGTCTGTCTGAGACTTTGAAGGTTTTTCGTTGTGGATGCTCTTTTAGCTGCCTAGACCACTGCTACTCTGCTCTAACTAACGCCGTTTTCGCGGGAACGGGAGTGGAGTGGAGGATGGCTTTGAAAACCCGGTGAAAGAGTGGAGCGGGTAGATAGCCATCCATTGCCGCCTGGCTAGTCGTGGATTGGATGAGTGGATGAGCGAGTGCTTGACTTTGTGGCGGTGGTGCTTTGTGTGACTCATCAGACGAGTAGAGTACTGCGGTACGTAGATCAGTAGTGGTAGCAGGATGTCGTGCATGTATGTGGCTAGCACAGCCAAATCAGTTGCAATCTGATATGACTACAGCCACACTAGCATCGTCTCGGTAATCGTAGTTACCAGATGCACAATCAATTGCTACCACAACAGGCTCCCGCCTATCACGGACTGCCCAGCCATCTCTAGTCTGGCTAGCTAGCTGCACATCTTCTACTAACTACCACGTCCATCCATAGCCTATCACTCGAACTCACACCTCATCTCGAAACCATTATTCCTCACAGCCACCACCACCTACACACAAAACAGAGTAGAACCCGCTACTCTACCTCACCAACACCTCCTTTAGCCCCATCATCGGCGCACTAATCACTGCAATCCCATTCACCCCCGCCTTCTCCACCAGCTCCTCATCCACCTCATCCTTTTCCACAAAAGCCCACGTACACCACCCACACCCCGCAATCACAACACACAGCACCGGCACGGCCAGCAGCGACTTGTGCACCACAACCAGCACGAGCGCATACACGCAGCACGCGACCACCGCCAGCAGCAGTACCAGTGGCAGCACTTGGTAGTGCCGCGTGCGGATTGTGTAAGTGTGATTGAAGGGGCGGATGATGAGGGTTTGGAGTAATTTTTTGAAAGTGCTTGGTGTAGACATTATTTTTTAATTTTGCTTTTTATGGCAGCGGGAGCGGGGGTGGGGTATGGCCGGTTTTTATGGATATGGTTTCAAGTTCTACGTGTGCTTCTCACCTCGGCAATTTGTATGATTTATGAGGTGGCCAGGTTTCAAGATGGAGTTTGGAGATGTGGTTTGTTTGAAATTTGGATTTGAAAAAGTGACTAGCCTAATCCTTGTAGATGAAACAAGCGAGTGAATTGATAACTAAGAAGTAACAGATAACGACTCTTTCAAGAAAGGAAAGACAAAATCGTAAAGAGAAAAAAAGACAAAAATAAAGAAAATTGACATGTAGCCATACATGCAATCCCTACAGCGCAAGGCAAAGGCAAAAAGCGCACACTAAAGAAAAGAAGAAGAAGAAGAAAATAACTAAAGCTGCTAGTGAAACTGCGCCAAACAAAATAGAAAAGACAAAAACGGAAAGACGACATAAAGTACTCCCCCAAAATAACTTTTAATACATCAAGAATAGAAACTGAGATCCCCTCGCTCCCTCATCCTCCGCTTTCATTTCCCGCTTAATAAGGTCCTCCGTTTGTTTCCCTCTTCTGAGTCATAGACTCTCTCCGGCTCCACGTGACCGCCCATTGAGAATGACTGTTCCACATGTTTCATCCGATCCTAAAAATAGGAAAGGTTAAACAGAACAGTGCTGCTCTCCTCGAACCACGGTAATGCCAGAGAGAAAGACAATGAGTAGAAAAAATAGAAACCGCGCAAGTACTAGACAGGAAAGTAAAAAAAAGAGAGAAAAGAGATACAAAGATTGGAGAAAAATATGGCGGGTTGTGGAAAAAAATGAATCCGACCGGGGGAACCAAAAAAAAAAGGTTGATTCGCTGTATCCAACTGCGACTTTCCGGCTAGAAAGCGAAGCTGGCGATTGATCAAGAAAAGAAAAAAACTGAATTTCCCTTTAAGAAATCAACAAATAGGCCGAATTCCGATTCTTCTTGCGCGCGCGCCCTTCTTCTCGCTCCGTCAAGAAGATAGAGAGATAGTGGAGATATATGCGTTGCATCCGGGACCGGGCCAGCCAATTCAATCATAATGATTTACAATGACTCTGAGCAAGCAAAATTGTAGCCAGCATTGTTGCCGGCCGTATTCACCCGCCCGTCCGTCGTCCGTGAGACCCAAAAGATCCAAACCGGCCGATGGGTCGTTCCCGCAAGCCAGGTAAAAAAACATGCTAGCATCGGGGGGTAGTGTTTTTTTGGGGGGGTGTCCGATTAGAGGTTTCGTTTATAGAGGTATGCCCGAGTATGGTAATGGGGTTGAGTTGAGTTGTTCTTTTTTTTCATTTTGGTGTGTTTCCACACTTGGCACACTTCATCGTTTCTGTAATGACAGGTGTATTAGTACATTGGAGTGGATAGCAAGTGGAAAGCTAAAAACTTACGCCGAACATGCCCCGCGGTGCTGGTGGCAAGTCTGGGGTAGGAAGGCGGGGTGGTTGGGGTTTTGGTGGAGGTGGGGGGTTGCTTGAAGGCATCGTGACGGGAGTAGTAGTAGTTTGTGGTAGCGGAGGTGGCAAGTTGCTTGCTAGCTTTGGGTGTGTGGTATGAAGTGGAGGGGTGGACTGGCTTGAAACGGGAGCTCTAGATAGTGGCAAAGATAAAGGGTGTTCGTCCGAGTTTTATGAGTGTCAAGCAGGCAAGGATGTGGTAGTGAATATAATGTTCTTCCTAGTTCTGACCAAGCTAGATATAGATAAGCTTAAGAAGGATGCTGATGCTGAGGAGTCTTTATGAGTGATGTTTCTGTTTTGTTCGCAATGGATACTTGGATGAGGGTCAAAATGAAAGAAGCTCGAACACTGGTTTCCGAATGACTCTTATATTATATTTTTCTGTCTATGGTCCCCGGGACACGAAGGGAATAGCGCAGCAGGCAGCGCAGCAAGCTTCCTGCCAGCTTTCTCTCCGAGACGGCGGCCGCCTAGCTAGCTGCGAACTAACTGGCTGGGTTGGCTGGCTGGGCACACAAGAAGAAACTGAGACGCAGCCAGGCCCATCATCGATGGGGCTTCTTTTTTCACTCTTCCCCCGGATTATTTCTTTTGGGCTTTGCGTCACACTTCCTTGTCACTGTCCTGCTCTAGTCCAAGTCGGTGGTGGTTCATATTCTGACCGGGGGGGGGGGGGGGGGGGGGGGTAGATTTGCTGCGGCAGGCATGCTATGACCCGTCATTAGGTTTCCCATGGGGCAGGGGGAGGGAGAGCTTGCTCTGCTAAGCGGGCCAATCATTTTCGTAACCGTTGCCTGGCGTTGATGTGTTTCGTTTGGGGAGTGTGTTCAAGTCATAGCAGAAGGAAGGGAAATGGGAGGGGGATGGTGGGGGAAGGGGGGGTGGGAGAAGGAGAAGGGGGGGGTGTAGATGTTAGTCACTCGTAGAGGGGGGGATTCATTGGCTATGCCCAAGTAGGGAAACAATGCAGGGAACAGAAGGGTAGAGTAAAGTAGAGCAGTATCATATGTAGACGTTACTTACGATGTATAGGTCGCGTTTGCGGACTGCGCCCCAAAAGCATGCTCTGAGGTTTCTGTAATAATAAGAATAATAATATGAGTTCTCAAATGTGGTTCGCGCGCGACGTGTTGCGACCCTGGCCAGCCCTGCGGAAGTGCAATGCAGCAAATGCAGTTAGTGTGTGACTTGAACCGATCGGTCCGTGGCTGTCTGCTAAGCCATATTCGGTGGTGACTCATGAACCCTCTGAGTCCGACGCGGGACCGGTAATATTAGTCTTCACGGTGGTTTTTGTAGCAGTTTTTCGTCCATATCTACCCTCAAAGCTCTCCTTTAGAAGGTAAATTAGGAGGCTGGACAAGGACGTCACGTCGGACATGACTTTTCCTCTCGCTCACTCAATGTCATATAATATCAGTCACGGCGGAGTTCAATGCTCACAGCAGCAAGCACATCTACGTTTATCTTCAGAGGCTTGGCACATCCTTGAAGGACCACCCAATCAACCACTATACATATTCGTCTAAATTAAAAAACATAGCGTGGAGATATAATTACATGCCGGGTGTGTCTTGGAGGACTGGTCATCGCAACCCAAGAGTCAATTAATCCGGCTACACCAGATCTGACAATGCAGCTCTGTTTAGAGTCCAAGTCAAGGAACAGTTTCCGGCGATATCCGTGTGTTGGTATTGGTTGGAGGAGCGGAACGGAGGGGACTAGATGGAAGGGGAGGGAGGGGAGGGGAGGGGAGGGGATGGGGCTTGTAGGGGAAACGAATGCTCGCCTGTGGACAGGTGCATGATTACGATTGATGCAACGAAGCATGAACCTCAGAGAGAAAGAACAACATTCAAGATGGTATTGAAACAACGTAGCTTGTGATATAGGGTTTTCGTGTACCTGAAGGTTGTTTGCTTTGGTTACACTTGAACCTGGGATTGCGACAACTCCCCCCATGACGTCCTAGCATACGTACACATAGAACGCGACACCTTGTTCTCTTTCTAGTTCTTCCTTCCATCATCATTCGGATGGATTGGTCTCCATTCACCCATTAACCGACTCCAAAGAAAGGAATCTCGTGGAACCGAATCGTACAGGACATAATAACCTTCTTCCATTTGAAGTTTCCGAGTGCCTGGATCATCCCTCATACACATTCAACGAAGCATTTCATCGGATGCAGCAGAGTAATCCTGGGGCTTGGTTCTCGAGAAACGCTGACACATCGACAAAAAACTGGAAAATCTCGTACCACCAGCCCTTCGGTGGAACCCTGTGCCCCACATCCAAAGACGTTTGCGTTGTAAACAACGACATCAAAGACTCATCGATACGTAGAGACGTATACTCAATTTGGAGAGACGTAAGTGTTCACCTAAAATAACCAAAATTGGGAAAGTGGTTGGAAGCCTATTAAAGACAAAACTGTTGTTGAAAGCACAGATCAACGAGGTCTACTGGTAAAGAAACCCAATTAACTCTTTTGTGAGACGCGTTGAGGCTCTACTGATAATCAGTCACGTGATCGCGTGTTTTTGGGTTAGGTGTACTTGAGGCTGAAATGCGCGATTTTCTTCAAACCCCCACTGACTGTGTCAGCCTCCGAATGCGGAATTACTCTAGAAGGTTTCGTTCGGCTTAGACTAGATCAATCAAAGATCCCTGGGAACATGTCCAAACTGCCGCTGTACCTACCCATTTGAACAGCTTGCACATAATTACTCTGACTGGACTTTCATAGCCTCTTGTGCAGGTCAAGTCTGTCTTACACTCTCAAGGGAGTGCTTCCTATTGAACGCGAAAGGCTGACTCAAGGTCACTGGGAGAGCTGCGTTACATATGTTCAAGGTGTTCGCACTCTGTTTGGTGCGCAATATCTGGCAATACGGTGTTGGCTGCGCAGCAGAAAGCCTTATCAGTGACACATCTCGGAGGGCACTCACTTCGGCCGTCACGAGGACTCACAACCGTGGTGATGAACAAGCATCTTGTTCACCCCGCAATGTGTTTTCAGCGACTCTGCCTTCTTTAACGGCCCGTTATCGGCTGTTGGCGGGGGTGGGGGGCAACCAAGGAGCTCGGTGAGCTTCGAACGTAACCAGGTGACGCATCTCTCTACCACATCTACCACATCTACCACTTTCTTCATCAACATCATCAGCATCCTCATTCTCATCACGCGGCCGTACTTTTCTACATCCGACAATTCACTCGTTTCAAGATATATCGCAAAAGCCTCAATTGATATCTATTCAATCTAGATTCCAGTACAGACGGTATCCAATGATGATGGGGAGTTTTCATCTCATTCGGTCGCAAAAAATAGTGCTTCCGACTTATTGTTTACAACTGCCGTGCATGCTCTCGTAAGAATCGTTGCTGATTTTATGCTTCAGATTGGTATTTACGAGGACTCGAGCATCAGTACGAGACAAGAGGTGAGGCGAAGCTTGCTTGTGTCTACATCTCTTAGGCGCAGTCCCTAACTTGTGAGCCTAACAGGTTGAAGTTACAAAGTTTCTAACGAGAGTTACATTTTCTCTTGTGAGGCTCTCGAGTTGTTTGTTACATTTCGGAAGTCCCCGATTAAAGTAACCTGCACTCCGGATAATCTGCGCTGCAGCCACGGATGACGCATAATCTCGGAAACTTGCAGGTCCTAACAAGATTCACCCTCACCGATTCGTGTCGCAAGTATTGCAATTCAATTAACTACTTCATGTGCTCGTGATCAGCAATTAAGTACCTCTATCGCTTATACGGAGCACTTTACGGACAACAGGAATAGACACGCTATTTCAACAAAGATAACTTCGCAATCCCCAATTGGATAAAACAACAGTCAATTTCAACGCGCTATGACATCTGAATGGAGAATCCTTGAATAGAATTGCCTAGATGCCGACTCAAAATCCCATGATCTCTTTACAATGGGGAAAAATCGCTCGCTCGCCTCAAGAGTTGAGGGTGATGTAGGCAATCCGGAAGGGCACTTCTAAATTTACATCAACCCCTGTCCATTTAGCGAGACAAGCTAATAATCCGGCTTATTTTGGGTGAGCTGTACGGACGGTAGCGATGGAAGCCTTCATGGAAGAATGGAAGAATGGATAATTTGTTTCACTCGGGAGTGTGCACTGAGAGGAGATGGTTCACCTACCTGTAAAACTGTTCTTGGAAATACACGTGGGCGATAATCGGCATCAAGCTGTATCTGACTGGAGTAACTCTCATCGTATCCTAATCTATTTGACCCAAGTTAGTTCAAATATTACATTGACCAAGATTGCATTTGGCGCGGCGTGGCGTGATTCCTGGACCCAGGTTGCGTATGGGTTTCGTTGCATCCGTCTCCCGTGTGGCCCGTATGCCTTAGTATAACTCTACTTAGAGACACCACAAGCCTATCCCCTCTTCGGACAGACGAAGCAATAAGATACTTCTGTACCTACAGCGATTACACGAGCTACCACCATCCAAAAATAATATACCGTTCTACCAATACCGAACAGTAGTGATCTGCGGGTCACAGGAAGGTCACCACACAGATCTGCACGAACAAATAAACAACTACATCAGTGATCACATGTAACGACCGTGGTGGCTGAAATCTAGCTAGCTGAGGATCCTCCCACCAAGCCAGCTTATAATTCTTCCGAAGGGCAACAACAAAGAGCGCCTTGAGTGAGAATGATCCCGATCCCGAAGCAATGATTCCAAATACCTTCTGCTGCTGTTACTATTAGTGTCCGTTTTGTCCAGGTACACCATACATGCTCTCCATGCAGCAGCAGTCAGTAAAAGCAGTAACTGTGTCCATATCTCGTAACCCCGTATTATACTCGTAAAAAGCCAATTTTAGTTTCGTTTTCGCTTTCTCCCATTGCGCCTTCATGATCGCCCGAGCTCTGGGTTTCAGTTTCGGTTTCGGTTTTTTTTTTTTTTTTGTTGCGCACATGGATCCGCGCAAGGTCGAGCACAACCACGGGCATACCCATGCCAACACCTATCGTGGGAAACACCACAAAACCAAAAAAGTAACTACTGGCAGGAACATGATCGATCTGCGGACTCGCAACGTGGCATACGCACGGACACTGCTCAAGCTCTCTCTCTGGGTTGGGTTGGGGGATGCGCCAAAACGGCAAGGCCACCTTGCAGGTGTTTCTGTATGTACATGTATGTAGTGTAGATCTGTCCTGAATCTACTGTGACTGCAGGTATCCGGAGTACCTATAGGGCTGAGTACTCATCTATTTGAGGAGGAGGATGTGGGGAGGGAGAAGGGGACTCGGAGTATTTTTACTTGGTCGGGTTGAAATACTTACTTTGTGCGCGGTTGCGCTTGTGGGGTTATTGAAGTGATGGTGCGATGGCGAGAACGCTGGGTGCGGGTTCGTGATGGTGATCTTGTTGCCTGGTGTTCGACGTCATTTAGGTGTGTTTTTGCGTTTTGAAAATTCAGTATCGGTGAGAAGAAAAAAGTCGTTACTAGTGAGAAAACACAGTATTCGGTTAGGAGCAGTCTGCTGCGAGTATGCATATGTTCTCAAAACGATGCTGTCATTGCTCTCGTGGGGGCCAAGTAGGTACATGTACCTAGGTGGCTGGTGCTCGTAGTGTAGACAATGATCATCATCATTGCATTGCTGATCTCTTGCCCGAAACTCTCGTGGCTTATGGCCCCCACCAGAACAGCTCGCCGTCGATGACGGACTACGGACCGGATAGACGGTGCAGTGGTGGAGTTGGTGCGAAGAAGAGGAGAGCAGGTGAAGACATGTAGATATCGAGCGGTCTAGGTAGGTAGAGAAACAATTCGGAGGGCACGTGGACCGGTATTGGTAACTGCTGTTCAGCTGTTCTCTAGCTCTAGACCCAGGAGTCCGGAGGGGGAATTGATCTTCGCGCCAGGTTCTTCGGGTGGGCTGATTACAAAATGTTCGGACCGGCTAGATAAGCTGTGGGATGGCGTGCATGGATCAACCACTTCACATATGCTGGTTGGTCAAGGGGAGGCTATGACGTTAGGAGTTGAGGAATTGAGGAATTGATGAACACCAAATAACGAGTGATATACCATGATTTACCTGCGATCGATCCCTAACCCTGTGTTCTGTAAGTCGTTGTATGTTCCAATGGCTATGAGGAGACCAATGTATTGGATGAGGAGGAAAATAATGACTGAGAAAGGTCCTCGCGCCACGCATGCAAAGGTTAAATATGTCCCCCCGTCCCAAACACACCAGCAGCTTCGGTGGTGTAGTAATGACAATATTGCTTCTTTGTATTAATTCCGCTTCGGCCGCATTAACCGAGGTGTCGGAAGTTTGACTCCTCTGAGAGGCTTTATTTTGTTGCTCTTTTTTTTTTACTTCGAGAGAAGTTGAAACTTGAAAGAAGTGGCGTGGGAGAGAGTGCCGGTTTTGTTGGTAGGTATACTTTTGAGACCAATTTTGTGATGAAGATGAGACTGGCGGGGGTTGTCGCTCAGAGGTCACGAACGACGTCTTTAGAAGATTCGCCTCCCCCACTCACCTGTACTGGACCCCATACATATACAGTCTCTCGGCCTAGTCTGATGAATTGGGAAATCTCCCCTCCCGGCCCGCCCTCTCTCTTTAGGCCGGGACGTAGGTCGTAGTTGATCTCCCTCGGTTCTGTTGGGAGGGTTTCACGTCCGCGTAGCTCTCTAGTATACAGAGAGCGCGGGCTCTTGTGTTTGGTGTCGGGTGTAGCTCGGCAGGACGGCGGGAAGTTAATCATGAACTATCACTCGACTATAGTATCTGCTGTTAATCGAAGCAACGCTGATTTTCTTCTAAAAGCAAAAAGAATGGTGGATTTTTAATCTTCTTACTCTTAATATCGTTCGGAGCTCTTGTGTTGCTCGGTGCCCGCTAAAAAAAAAAAAAAAAAAAAAAGAACCGGGAGTCGGGGGGAGGGTGTTCGGGATGGTCCTGTGAAGAGTTTTCTGGGATGATATTTTGAAGCAATAGAGAACCGAGAACATAAAGTATATTTTATGAACTGATGATTAGGAACAAGGAGAGGGAGAGAAGATTCGTGCTTTATAGTATAGTTTAGAGAACAAAATAGCTCCAAGATTAAAATACGGATCGTTTGGAACCACGTGAAGGACATGAAATATGTAGATAAAAGCCAGTTTTAGTATAGGAATAAAGATATAGAAGCTTCGCAAAAACGGTAAAGATATTTCGATATATCACTCCACGTATTTATTTCTTCTTTTATACACAAAAAGAACAAAAGGTACTGCAGATATGGTATCTACTACCCCCACCCCTGGATTGAACCATGGACCTTCTATAGACGTTCAAAGGTCAGGCACAACCACTCGGTGTTCCGGAAGGCGAGTGTTAACCGCTAGGCCACTCGCCCATGTGTGTTATTGGCCAGAAGTCTTATTTGTGTGCCAAGCCTATTATCGAAACCTTATCACCTCATCAGTGCCAAGCTAGATAAGCTCCTGGTGATAAGCGAGGTGTCAATTGTAGATGAGAATCTGATAAGATAATACACTAATCACTTACCCTCAATATCTGGTACTACATATATCACCTGACTAGCTGGGGCGTATTATGTCTATGAATTTAGTTGCCCCAAATGTATACTTCCTGCTGAGAAATTAAGTAACTCTAAAATGAAACCGGGAGCTTATTTGACTTGACTGTTGCCGCGGGATTGCTGATTATGTAGAACCTTACGTAGGTTACAATATCGATTGAAGGAGAAAGAAGTCTAGCTAGCGACATACTCGTGGGATTTGAAAAGAACGGGGATTCTCGTCATAGAGCAGGTGGGTTTGTTAAACCGTTCGGTACTACATACTCCACACAACTACAGAACAGCACCTCAACAGAGCAATTATAGCAAGACCACGTTACTGCCACTGAGGAATTCCATTATTCACTGGGGGTGAAGCCGTAGGGTGCCTGGCAGCAAGATGTGCTCGAAGGCGGATATCTTCGGTGTCGACCACCATCCTTTGCTGAAGTTCATTCGACTGCCGCAGAGTTTATACCCTTAGACTGAGGGTAAAGGAATTCCGTTGAGTCTTGTGGGAGAGTTTAGTTGGAAGTGTCTAATGGAGAGCTGAAAGAAATCACTTGAAGCTTGAGTTTCGGTATTATGGTACCACTCGTCCCTTATTGGTCTGCCTGGAAGGACAATGCATATTCTCATCATAAGGGATTATGAAAGCTAGTCGACTCGCGTTATTCATGACTGGTATTGTATGATGTGTAGTATGGAAAGAAAGGGACGATCCACAGAATGCCGGCCGGGTAGGGGCGGCTCATACGGGATCACTCGATATTACATGTGTAGCTCGAATTTCATATTATACGGATACGTATTCTTATTACTATAGGCCGAGAGAATGGATGCAATTTAAAAAGCAAAGTATGTTTAGTTGGCGCTAAAGCCGCAAACAACAGTCCGTGAAAACGTTTCTCTTCGTGTCGCATGCCTTTGACCGACTATATCACTCGGAGAAGTCACAGCCGGCACAATCAGTGTCAATCACCTACATACTACATTGGTAATACAGAAATTTACATTCGTCAAACCTTGTTATGTAAAGGATTCGTCTCTTCTTACTTTTAACCAGTCTCGTGTCGTTTGTCTTGGCTAAACTTTTATCGGTATCAGCCTTTTAAACTCGCTTCATCCCCCACTTCTGCATTACTCCAATTTCACCAAGTTTCAGCCTCCTCCCTTCTATCAAATCGTTTGATACGATTACCGGCATTGCCGGTGCTTCTCAAGTGGCACTATGTCGCTAACAAAACCTGGTTCACTGCCCCCGCACTCCCGGAATTTCTCTGCTAAACGTGTGTGGTGGCCTCGCGCATCACTTCCTCCTCCAGGTCTATACACTACATGGTCAATCCCAGCCTCAGACCGAACGTATGACGAGACCTCCCTAGAACCGCAGCATCATTGATTAGTGGACATGGAGACGGAGGAGTCCCCTCAACACCAAGGTATACGTGGTGCTCGGGGTCTTATTAGAATCTGGGACCGAAGTTTGGGTATAGACGCTGCCTAAAATCAAGAAGAGGAGGAAGTGAAAGAGCTAAAGGATTAAAGAACTAGAAGCGCTCTTTGTTGGCAATAATAGTGGATCTGGTGAGCGAGGGGTCGGTGAATTGGGGAATCGTGGAATTGGAGAGTCGGGGAATCGGATAAGCAGAAAGGCAAATAGACGATCAACTATCCAAGAGGTTCGCTAAAGTCTAGACCTACAAACTACCCAGTGGGTGATACTGATAATATGGGTATATAGATGACGACAGAGATATCTACTAGAATACCACAATATTATCCGCTCACGCTCTAGGAAATACAAACTGCTAAACTACGTCTAGGGCATCCCTGCCACGGTTATAAAAGGCAAAAATATCCTTATCCTTAGCTCCTAGCAACGTCAACCACCTTTTATGTTAAGGAATCCGAAGACATTTCACGAACTTGATATTAAGATGTTAATCGTGGATTAACCCTACTCTCTAGATGTATTCATCACCCCGCTTTTTGTTCGCTATATGAAGACCCGTATTTAGAGATGAGTGTCCCTGGCAGAATTCAAATACAACACAGCTTCGATAACAATACCAGTAGCAAGAAATCTCTAGCTACGCATGCTCAAATCACTAGAGTCAACAAGTCATCTGCAATCCTAATATTCGTGGGAAGGGTCTGAGAATAACCAAAGCATGGTACATACACCGCGAATTCGGGCATGTCCGTGGTAACAATATGTTAAAAGGTTTATGGAGTTCCCGACAGTCTCTAGTAGTATCTGTTGCCGAATCCGCTGCGGGAATCCTCTATATCTCCCCCGAAACCCATATGGAATCTGCCGTGCCCGCATGCACTCCTGAAGACGAACAATCCCTCGTATAACGTCGGCTTGCCCGAACCTACTGCACTTCACATTAACGGGGGTTCCCGGATAAGGTGACTCATGTAGTACGGGTGTAACGCGGTGTTGGTTGTGTCACCTGTTGCTGGAAATTAAAAGTGGTAAGTGCAGTTTCACACAGCAACCACTCACTTCCTTGTTCGAGGTTTGACGTCGATCGAGCCAATTATTATTACAGCTCTTAATTACCATAGCACGCGTTCTCAATGCTTATCTTTCCTAAGATTGGAATTAAGCATAAAGTTTCCCGGCTGCTTTTCCTGCATTTTAGTAATAACCCCTTGGGATCGTCGGTCGTTAGTTCTGCACGTTGGGGTGGCGCACACGCAGGTAATGCTTGATACGCCTCATTGGCCTTTCATGACGCAGGTACAACCCGGAGTTGGCGCTTGGTTGGAACTTGAATTTTAACATGCTACAAACAAAGGACAGTAGAACATTAGTTAGTGTTACCAGCTCGTATTGATTAGATGTAATGGTGGGGGTAGTAATTTATCACTGCTTTTTATCCAAATAAGATCGCCTTTTATACATATGCCTTCCTTATTTTTCTCCAAACCTAGACCTGGGGCTGAAGAAAGGGTACCTACATGCTGATAATCCTCAATCCCCTATTCTGGAGGAGATATAAAAGCCCTTCTTACTCCTCCGCATTCGTCCCATCCCCATCCTGTCGTTCAGCACTCCCTCACTCGTTCTCAACTCCAACCTTCGCTGCAAGTAAAAAAACAAACACTCTTTTCCAGCCACAAAGAAAGAAAAAAAATGCACGCCTTCACCCCTCTCTTCGTCTCTCTGCTCCTCAGCAGCACTGCTCTCGCCGCCTCCAACGTCGGCATCATGCCCCGCAGCATCCTTCTGAGCGGCCGTCAGCTCCAGTGCTCTGGTGCAAACCCAAACATCTGCGAGCAGACCGAGAACACAATCAAGTGCGGGCAGAACTGCTGTTCTGACGGAAGTACGTATCTCACATCCCTTCATTGTCTGTGTAGTAAACATGCTGATATGTGTTCTGGGAATAGCCAGCTGCGAATTCGGCTACAGCTGTCAATCTGGCGGGAGGTGCTGTGATATAACGTATGTTGCAATCAAGTCTAGATGTGAGGCGTTATTGTATGCTGGTGCTAATGAATTGTGGATGTAACAGTAAACCACTCTCCCAGTGCGGTGTAGCAACACTCTGCTACGATGCGAGTGATTCCAGGTGTCCCGGTTCTGAGGCTTGCTGGTTCGTATATTAACTTTCCCTCCTCCTCTTATTTACCGTCGTTTTCGCTGCCGGGGGTGCAAGCTTGAAGTACTAGTTCACGGCTAACAACACTCAAACTACAGCCCCAGCAGCGCCCCATACTGCACCTACCAAGGTGGTCGTGCCATCTGCGAGCTCAACCAGAGCTTCACCATCACCAACACGCTCACATCTACTTCCACCAACGTTAACACCATCACGTCCACCCACAGCGCCGTTGTGACCCCCAGCTCTTCCGCCACCAAGAGCTCTGGGGCTTCTTCTTCTTCTTCGGCATCATCATACACGACACCCCCCGCCTACAGCAGCTCTTCCACACCCACAATCCTCCCGACCACCACCATCCTCCCGACCACCACGAGAGTCGGCAGCAACACCACTGCACCGAACTCCACTGTGTCGCAGCCACCCGTGTTCTCCGGTGGGGCGGCGGGTAGGGAGGGATTTTTGGGCGCGGGGGTGGTCGCCGTTGTGTTGGCTGTTGGTGGGGCATTTATCTAGATCTAGCTACTCTAATATATATATCTACTTGCCTATATGTGGGTATAGATAGATGGAGGGGTTTAATATCTACGTATTTTGCGAAGGATTGTTACGTATTGTATGGTTAATTTAATTTATAAGAAACTTTAAAACCTATATACGGAAACGGAACTCAGGATGGAAATAAATATAGGGGGTGATGTAGTTGTATTGTATTGTTGCTACGTGATCATGACTACATGTAGACACCAGCTAACCCAATCCCCCAAAACCCTCCAAAAGAATCATTACCCCAAACGCCCTCCCCGTCCCCAAAAAGGAATCCCAAACAAAAGTTCCATAACACAGCCCACACGGCCCCTCCCCACACCCGATACAATTCAACAGATTACGTGCCCGGAAGGCTCCATGCCCCCTCCTGTCACCCCCATATCCACCAACCAATCCATCACCATCTCGATTCGATCCGGTTCGTATAGCGAGCCTAGCTAGCGCGGCGTAGTCATGGTTGATAGGACAGAAGGGAGAAGAGGGAACGCGGTGTCGGCCGGAACCGTATACTATCGAATCGTATGAAGTGTGTGGTGGAAGCGTTGTCAACTCATGTGCTATGGGGAGGAGGAAAATGAAGGAGAGGTCGAAGGGTTTATATATCCCCTCTTGCTACGCTACAGAGTTAAGTGGGGTGGTTAAAGATTGCGTGATAACAGTATGCCTAGGTATCTCCGACAGTGTGTGGTAATGCGTGCGCAATGGAGCCGTGGGATGTGACTCAAGAGTTCTACAGCGAAGTAGATATTCATATCAGCTTTTAATCTGATTAAACCGTAGGGCTGTACTTTCTCTATGTGGGTTACGTTGCTTTACATAATCGAGTTTTCCAGTAACTTTCAAAACTCAAGTGTAGGAAAAAAATGCGTCCCGATCCACGTCATGGCCGCGTTTGACAGATGACCCCCGCAAAGCCCCATCGTCAGCCATCTGTCATCTTCCAATACCGATATAGATGTCTGACGTTCTTTGCAGAGTCTCCCCGCCGCACCAGAATTACGGCTAGCCGAAACGCCCAAAGTCGGCGTCAGACTAAAGCTTTGTTTCCCGGGCGTTGAGTAAGTATCGCGTCATCGCGGGCAGAAAATCTAACCTTGTAAGACGGCCTTCCAACAGAGAAGAATTTTCAACTCGGAAACGTAGAACAACTCTTGCCGCTTGTCGGTCACCGCTTCTAAGTATAGAAAACAAGACTTACCGTGGAGCCCGTTGGGTGCGGTCATGTATCGTCACTCGAACGGGCACTAGCTGGTTGCCAAGCCTTTCTGATTTTTCCTATTTTTGGGGGCGGCGACAGTCTAATACATGTATGTATTGAAACTCGACTGCGATATGGGCCACTACTAAGTAGTGCAAAGCACAAGAAATAAAAATAAAAAAGCAATCAATTCTCAACCCCAAACTCCAGAGAGGAGTTTTTCTAGCGGAGTCAGCCAGCGGTCATGGAGTATCACTCAACCCGTCTTGTCTTGGCACAAGAGATTTCGCCACCACGTGAGAAGGCTGTTGATAGTGTATAGATCGACGTGTTTACTGTCGCGGAAGCTGTAGATAGTTGGTTTCGGGGATGGAGGTTGGATCCTCACTTAATTGTTCCACATCCCGCATCTTACCTAACAATAGAACTCTCCTGCATAATCGAAAAATCTAACCTCTGCATGTGCGACGTCTCCATATTCATTATTTGATTCTGTGACGGAAGGGACTCTCGGAAAATGAAAGGACCGGGCAAGATAGGGAGGATGTAGAGGCAGGCAAAATCCCAAGCTAGCGCTACAGGGCCGGTAGTAGGGGGCGGAAATAGCTCCTGCGCGGAGGGAATCAGATATGAGCTGGCTTCTATGCCGACTCTCTTGCCGCCTGGGCCGTGCGTCTCTTCAAACTTTGTTTCTGAATTTGTTATTAAAGCACAGTCAAGGAGTAGCTGGACGTCCTGTAAAAAGTTGTAGAGTCTTGAGGTGCCTGAAGACGAGGATGGGAAAACGATAAACTAAAGGTGAGCACGCACCGGATATAAGCACCGCCAATTTTTGCAATAGTTTTGGTAGTGATCTCTTTTCTTCGCGGTGGAGACTGATGTTAGGAAAAAGAGGACAGAAGGAAAAAGGAAAAAGGAAAAAAAAAGGATTACATTGAGAGGGCCACCTCCAATTTTGATAGCAAGAAGCACTTTGGAGTTGTTTTCAATCTCCTGTTATTCCTTCGTGTCTATATGCGGCCCGGGTTAATCCTCCAGGCAAGCTTACTAGCTGATCGAGTGATAATCTGTGAACAATAAATTTTGATTTCACTACTACTACAAACCGCGACGTGGGCTATTGGATGTGTGCCACGCACGTAGTTTGCGGTATTTGGGCAGTATAATCTTTGTAGTATGTAGTATCTTTGTGACTTCCACTATTGATGATGATTATATAAGAGAAGGAGCTAATCTCCTTATCCCCACACTGATAACATATGCATGCTACACCATACGCGCCATAGTATCCTGGTCGCATTCCAAGATGCTAACTATAACGCTCATACATACCTCTCCTTCTCTTCTCACTGCATTATGTGTTATCGCAATTAATTTGACATTCCTTTTTTTACAACTCCGGAGATAGAGATACACGAGAAATTACTCTATGAACGATACGTTCCTTTAAGTACATGTACATACATAGCAGCGGCGGCCGCACGGGCAGCCAGTAAACGGGTATATAAAGATTTTGGTGACCAAGCAAGTTATTATCCTAACACCCTCCTCCTCGACGGATGCTTTTCGCATTTCCACGAATCCTTCCTATGCCCATACTCGCCACAGGCAGAACATGTGAAATTCCCGAGCGACTTCCCATCATTGCTGGCAATCTTCTGCCTTAACAGCTTTGCCTTGACTTCCAGCTCTTCCACATACAGTTCATTCTTCGCTGAGTTGATTTCCGCGAGGCGTTTCTGCAAGCTGTCGAGATTGGTATCATTTGAGGGCGAAGTTCTTGGATCTGGCGACGGGGAGCGTGGAGGCGAAGACGGCGGGGTCTGTTTATTTTTTCCTTTTGACTTTGTGCGTTCTGACTGTGGTACTTTAGGCGTATGCCGCGCCTTGTCTTCTTTCGGCTTCCTCCCGCGTGGTGCTGGGGGGGCTGGCTCTGGTTCTGATGGTCGCGACTTCTTCTTTTTCCGCTTTGGCTCCTCCGGGGCATCGCTGTCGCTCAGCACAATAGGAGCCTGCGGTTTCTTTTTCTTTTTCACTCGTTGCTCCTCCGGGCTGTCGCTGTCACTATCAACGGGAGCTTTTTGTCCTGGTTTTGATGGCCGTGCCTTCTTTTTCTTCCTCTGTCTCCGCTCCTCCGGGGTATCACTGTCACTGTCACTGTCAACAGCAATTTTTCGCTCCCGTCCTGATGGCAGGATCATCTTCTTCTTCTTCCGCCGAGGCTCCTCCGGGCTGTCGCTGTCACTAACAGGAGCTTTGCGTTGCGGTTGTGAGGACAGTGATTTCTTCTTCTTTTTCCGCTGTGGTGCCTCGGTTCGCTCTGGTTTCGATGGGAGTGGCTTCTTCTTTTTCCTCTGCCGTGCATCTTCCGGGGATTCGGTATCACTGCTAACAACCGGAATTTTTCGTTCCTGTTCTGGTCGCGGTTCTGGCTTTGGCATGGGCTCTCGCTTCTTCTTTTTCGTTTGTCGGGGCCGTTCGGAATCGCTCACACTAGTTTCAGCAACCTCTGGCTCTTGTTCCACCGGCTGCGGCTTCTTTCTCTTCTTCTGCCCCGGCTTTTCAATATCGCTTTCGTCGGGAAACTTTGTTTTAACTCCAGATGCCCCTCTAGTGAGCGGCGCTCCGCTGTTGGCGGTACCGTTTTGGGTGAACCGGGGGTTTTGGGGAGTCGAATTCCTCTGGGGAAGCGAGTTCTTCTGGGGAAACGAGATCTTCTGGGAAAACATGTTCTTCCGGGGAAACGAGTTCTTTTGCCGCGGCCCCCGAGGGGTTTCGATATCGTTGCCAGCGATTGGGAACCTTTTTTTGACTGCAGATGCCCCGCCGTTCGAGATACCGATATTGGTGAGCTGGTGTTTCGGAGGTAACGGATCCTTTTGCTGTGGCTCCCCCAGAGGTTTGGCACTGCTGTCATCGATAGGCGACTTTTTTTTCCGCCCGGGTGCCTCCCCAGTCAGCGCCCCACCGCCCAACGCACCACCGTTGGCGGTGCCCTTTTGGCTGCGCTGCCCCCAAAAGAACGAGAGAATAGTCTCTACATCGCCCGGACTGTCTAACTCCAGTTGTAGACCCGAGGGGTGGCTTTCATCTCGCAGCACCATTATATGAATATCTTTCAAAATCGTACGCCAATTGTCCTCCTGAATGCTCTCAGTACCAGAAGGTACACCGGGTGAGTACAGTTGGAGGTAAATTGATGATGGTGACCTTGCGTTGGGTATGTTGGGTATATTCACTTCTCGCCGTGGAAACAAATCGAAGCGTAAGCAAGCCCGATCATTAGACGACCGTGGTGTGCAGTGTAGATACGCAAATTTTTTCGTGATAAATCCAAGATGATTTTTTTCGAGGGATAGGTTCAGCGTGAATTCGAGGCCAGCCCAGCTTTCTCTCATTTGGAGAGGCCATCGATCGGGTGCAGGATCAAGGGTCCAGAAAGTTCTAGGTGCGGGGTGGGAGTTTCTCGTGCTTATTGATCGAAGGTATATTCTGGTGTTCTCGACTGGATACTCATCGTTTTCTGCCCTCCGCTCTCGCATATCATAGTGTCCTCTCTGGCTGTATCGTGTTTGATTTAGTCGCTCCGAATAGTGTAGGTTTCGTGGGGTGTTATTGTCATTGATAGTGTTCTGCGCCTGGGCGTATGCTGCTGCCCCATACTGTCGCGTCTCATAGCGCCGCACCTCAAGGAAAGGAAATCGACCTTGTCGCGACGGATGCGCGAGGTTGTCTTCCTGGTAGTTTTGGTGGTGCCGATTGATTTCGGGGGTGGCGGTCTGGTGAGGTCGATAGTTGCCTGGATAATCGACAGGCGCCTGAGGACCATCATCGTGCTCACGGTCCATATCGTGCTCCTCCGCCTGCGGGGCTCTGGTTCAGAGGGCGAAGTGGAAGGTAAAGAAGGGCAAACACGACAATTGTGGCAGAAACTTTCTCGATTGTGTTACCGCCAAGATTTCCAATCACGTGATACCAAGACATGCATGTCTCGATCACTAACTATCACTCGGTAAATACTACTACTATGGTGCCCCCGGTCCTAAAGGTAACGAAATTTCAATCGCTTATAACGTCACCACCACAAAAGATATCAAAAACTTGTCAAGAGGAAAGCTAGAAAAAATGAAGAAGAGATTGTCATGACAGATTTTTGATATCTTTTGTAGTGGTGGAGTTATCCCTTAGGCGGTCAGGCCGAATCGCGATGTGTTACCGAACTTGATATGGTTAATGTTCTCTGATAAACGCTCTCAGTGTTCACTCTCTCCTCGAGTTTATTGCAATACGCTAGCTAGAGACTAGAGAGCTCTATCGCCACAATGATAGAACGAACAGTAACAGAGTTCAACAGAGCACATTAACCATATCGGGTTCGGTAACACATTGCGATTGGGCCTGACCGCCTAAGGGATAACAGATTGAAATTGGCTGTTTTTGTGTGTAAAAAGCGCTAAGAGTGAACAAAGTGGAACAGTATTATACCTATTTATACCCCTAAAAAGTAAACCTGCCTGGGCCGTGGCGGTGGGGCGCTGGGGTGGCTAGAAATAGGCCCTCTGATTGGCCGTGGAGTCAAATTGCAGCCACGATTGTTCCACTTCCATATGCCGCCGTGTCACCTTTAAGACTGGGCGCACCATACATGTAGTATGTTGTTCTTTTTATGAGAAGACTTGAGCCAAATCGTGTAGCTCGTGTCTCTACTATCCCAGCCAATCGATTAAAATGCTTCGAGAGCTCATACGAACTCCGGTAATGATATTGGGGAGCTCGAGCCCCTAGTAGCTGGTATATTCATTAACTTACTATAGAATTCTTGTTTGGCGGAATGATTGGTTCATATGCCTGGGTATTCTGTGTACTGATAGTGGTCACTTGAGAATGGCGCTCTATAAATGGCTTCTGCTTCTGCTTCTTACTTGATGATGTGTTTTGAAGATGGGGGTTTCCTGTAGGTTCCGCGTCGACTTACGCGTCCCTTCGTTCGTTTTCACTATAGTGGAATTAACCTATTTGGGCAATTCCCGTTGTAATCTACATGCATATATCTAACCCTCACTCCGCGAACCTCTTTGGTGTCCAATGTCACGTTTGCCACCCATTCTCTAAGGACCTTTCTAGCTTTATAACAATTTGTTCTCTTTTAATAGCGTTATAAACCCAAGAACAGCTAGTTTTACGTTTATTCCCACGCTTTCTCTGGACTCAAACTGGGAGCGAACGCAGGGATGAGCGATACATGTAGTTGCATGCAGGGACCGCCAAGTCTTCATGTAGAATATTACATGTGATACGCTAGTACTATTCAATACTAGCATCTCTGGGCTAGCTCGAGTGATATACTGTGATTTATGTCTCAAGTGGAATCTTGTGAGTTATTTTTCCTCTCTCCGGTGGACTAATAAAGCTTGGGGCTACGGCCAAGAGTTTTTGTCTGGTAAAAACATAGTCGGATATGCCCGTGAAATTCTAAATCTCTGAGTAAAACTTTGAATAAAGATGAAGAGGAGTCGCAGCGCCAAATACAGGTACTCATCCGCAAGTTTCCAGAAAAGGAATTGAGCTTTGATAATAAAGAAGGAATGTCGCGGAAACAAAACAAAACAAAACAAGGAACAAACAAGAGATACAGATGAACTTTATGTCAGCATAAGGGCAAGACTTGACCTGGTTTATCTTTAATTCAATAAATGAGACACGTACACGCTGGGGGTTTCTTTGAGATTGCATGCATGTATATCTTGATATGCGTTATGTATCATTTTTGTCAAGAGTTGATGGATATGACGAATGGAAATAAGGAAAATAAGCAGAGAGATCCGTGCTCTGACATCAAGAAAAATGTTTTCATAATTTGACCGCTCCCTGGTTGCGTTTGACTTGAGGAGGAAAGGCAGAGCCACTAGTGCCTCTGTTTCCGGGATTAAAATTCGTTATAGGTAAATGCCAAGATTCTATGAGCCTGCAGTGATAAGCAACGCTTTTGAATGGTAGATCGTGTCCTGGAATCAGATCCACACCTTACCCACCTTCCACAACTTCCAGGTCTTCCACACCTCACGCCTCTTCGACATCTGTCACGTCTTCATTAATTCCCACCACAGACATCGTTTACCCATCAACAGAATGGGAAGTTCAAAGCCCCTACGAGCTTCTACTATGGGAAAAAGAAGAAATCTTAGAGCGAGCTCTAATTCTCCTCCACCGCCTCCCACTATTGGCCGTTCAAATTCAACACGGGCTCTTCACACTAAGATAACCAGGTCGACCAAAGGTGTTGGAGAGCCATCCACGCCTCTAAATGGACCTTCCAGTTTAATGATGACTGGTACAAAATCTCATACTTCTCAGCGAAACTATACTTTCGAGGAAAGAAAATGGATATTTGAGCAAGCAGAAAGGGTTTTTAGCGGTGATTGTACCTGGGAAGATGTTACTGCCGATTTCAACGCCACTTACAATAGAACGAAAGAAGCTAGAATGATCAAAAGTTATTATACGCTTCAACAACGTGAAATTAAGCATGGAAGAGGTGTGGATCCACGGGGAATTAATGACCAGAGTTCCACAGAGATACCAGCATTGAAGAAGCCAGCTCGACGTAAGCTTGTCTTTGTTGATCCGGCGGAATCGGATGATCGCGATGAGCTTGGTCCAGACATTACTCCTAAGGGTAAAGGGACGCTTCCCGGCCCTACAAAATCAGATACTGCTAGAATAATAGCTTCAAAGAGTGTCTCAGAGGGTAGAGGACGGCCCCGGAGCGCATCTGATGCTGCATCTTCGGGCCCAGAGTGGGTATATGAGTCTGGAGCTCATAAAAGAAAGAAAATAGGTGTTTTTGAGTCGCGCACACGTACGGCTTACCACCCGATATTTGATTGTGCTTCGTTACTGACAAATTCTCAGTTTCACCAGAGGAGACAGGCTTGAAGACTAGGGTTTCTGCCCAGAAACCGGGGATAACTCTGCGACCTAGGGGGGATTCAAAAAATCAGGTCATAAGAAACTCGAAATTAATAGCAAAGCCTAAAAAAGCTGCGAAGCCGGTTAAAGAAAGCGATAATGAGGATGAAAGCAACGTCGAGGATGACTCGGTGGAAGATGTCGAGTCTGAAGATGAAGAGAGCGACGGTGCTGAGATTGCTGATCTTGAGGGCTACCAAGAGTGTAAGTCAACTTAATCTTTGCTAATTAAAAAAGAGACCACGCTACCATAGGATGTTACTTCCTCAACGGATAATTGCTTTTCTTCCACTAATATGAGTAGCAACCGCGAGCGTAGAGACTGGGACTGATAGTGAGAAAAGCCAAAGGGAGGAAGAGGAGGCCCAACAAGCCCCGAGTAAAAAGAAAGGAGATGGTGAGCGGGAGGAGGTAGAGGATTCAGTTAGCGGCGGAGAGGCGGTTGGAGTTGAGCAGCTTCCATTCACAGGGGAGCTAGATATCTCCGCCAACGAGGACAGTGCTATTGGCGAGATCGATAACCAGGAAAGCCCGGAGAATGAAGAAGGAAAGAGTACTTCTGAGGAGAGTGCCAATACATTAGCTACCTGTGCAGGGGAGATTACCGACCTGAGGAATGATGACGATAGTAACAGTGGACTATCAAAGGTCGAGTCTCCCAAAGAGGAGATACATGGTAAATTTGTTGCTTTAAGGTCGGTTCTGGAGAGAGAAGATGACAAAGACGACGAAAGCGAAGGGGACGTTGAAGATGACAAGGACGACGAGTACGAGGAAGCTGCCGAAATAGGATTCGTCACTCCTATCCCTATAAACTTCGGGCAAAGTCTTACCGCACCTTCCATTTCGTCTTCCTTACGCAAAATAACTAACGAAATCAAACCTTTATCTTCAATTAACTTAAACCAAGTTGATCTTGAACACAGCAGCCTACCTCTTCCAGGTCGCGACGAGATGGAGAAAGATTCTGTTAGTCGTGCTGGCTTTGATGCCGCTTCCCAAGCGGATGCACAGAATCAAATTCAGGGAAATCTCGAAAAAGAAAGTGTTCTAGTGAAGTGTTTTGATATTGTGTATCAAGACGTCGTTCAAACAACTGCTATTGATAATTCTATCGCTCGCCAAGTCCTCGCACCCCCGTCCGCCGACAAGGATAACGACATTCAAGTCCCTGTTTCTCCTAAAAACTCCCATCTTGCAAATAGCTTAACTGGTCATAGAAAAATCTTGAAAGGGAATTCTGCCCACGAGGAGCTCGGCAAGACCAAGACAGGATCAGCTGCACAACTGGCAGACAGAAGGGGGAGAGAGAAAAAGGGTCTCACATCACCGAAAAAACTTGCCCCTACGAACACTCCCGGCACTGTGGTCCTTGATGGGGTCGTGGCTGGAGGCCGAGAGAGTTTTAATGTGGTGGAGCCCTCGGGCGAGATCTTTTGTTAGTAAATTACTTCTATAGTTGCCTTTTGTTTTATGAATACTGACATCCTGAAGCATTGAGACCACATGAAGAACAGTCTTCTAAACCGCTGTTGGAGACAGGAGGATTACTTGATATTTCTCCAACAAGCTCAGTTGGATCTTTAATGACTTTCGCCCATGCGAGAAGGAGTATTGGGAGTTCCAACTCCCTTAAGGATCTGGGGAAAGATATGGAGCGCCGTGGGAACAGAAAAGGGGTTACTGGCATCGATCACAACGCTCGAGAATCCGGTAAGCCCTATCATCGTCTTAGCTTAGAGAAGCATAAATACGCTCGGGGTTGGACCTTTGGCACGTGCTACTCTTTCTAACCTGAACTTTACTTATGTGAATGAAGACACAGGGGTCGTTTGTAATACCAACGACGAGAAGCCACAGAGAATCATTGACCAAGGAATGTTCCAGACGCTCGGGGCGGTTCCTATCTCAAAGAAGAACACAAAAAGGGCCATTCCTCGAGCTTTGGAATCATCTATCGAAAGTGCGCAGTTACCCACTAAAAGAGTAAGGTTGGCTCACGCCGAGAACGAAAACACGATCAATCGAGCTGGAGCTGCAACCAATTGTGGAGTTTCTGTTGGGCCAACAGTAATCTCTGCACCGACAGATATCTCTCCCCCATCTAAAACTCAAGTTATGTTTGCTAAAAATGAGGGAGGGATTCGTCGTATTTATGTCGATCGCGGTGCTATTGGTACGAGCGTTCCCTCCGCTATTCCAGGTCCCATAACATGGAGGAGGATATACGAGGAACGGTAAATTAATCCCACCATGCGTTTTTTGGATTTCAAAGTTTAGCCGCTGAAAAAATTCTCTCTTAGCGCGAGTCTTCTTGATAGAGTCCTCACTACTGAGTTTCGAGAACTTGTGGAAGCCTTGAAAGAAGGGAAAAGTGATAGACGTCTGTTTATTTACACCTGCTCACAATCCGCCATTGAGTGGGTTACCGTTCACCATCTCAAGGCTAGAAAGACACAATGGAGAACTCAATGGGGAATTCAAGTCCCACCACGTGACCAGGCCTTGATCGAGGAGGCTGTTAAATTGCTCGAGGAACGAAAGAACAGCGGTAAAGAAACCGAGTTCAAGCGTGTTTGGGGCGGGCAGAAGGTTTACGAGGGCCTGATCTTAGAGGCACAAAGGGAGTATCTTGAGGCCCATGGTCAAGCTTCGTCTGGAACTACCTCTTGATTACTTAACCCATAGTCTTCTACGGTGCTATCTATATCTGATGTTGATCGGAAGAGACTATTATACGGATACATAAGTGTTGTACAGCGAATTACGGATGATGGATACACTTCAATTCTCTTGTGGAAAGTTTAAAATTGTCAGAAGTACTATAGCTGGAGTCCTTGTCTAACTATGTGCAAATCTTGTCATTTTCAACAGATTTGATTGACTGAATTCTTCTTTCATCGTACTCATAATCTGAGGGGGCGGACTATACGGCATTCTGATTTTCTAGTTAAGTAGCTCAAACAAAATAAGCAATATGAGATTAGGAGTTTCCCACTATGAATTATGATTGTTGCAATCTGACTATAAAATGTGACAGGTTAAATCGAAATAAAATCTTAGATGGCATATATGGATTCTAATAGGAAAGGTGAGAGATATGTAAATGATAAAAGGATCAAGTCGAGGAAAAAAGGTTCGCCGGTGGAAAAGAGATATAGAGTCTCCTTTCCCCGTGGGTTGGAAGCTCTTGCCGAGGATTTTGATAACTTACCCATCAACGCATGGGTTTATTCTTTTCCTTTTCCTATACTCAATGTCTTTAATTCGGTAGTTTAATAGAAGCGGCGTGGACGGCGCCGGTGGGAATTCGAAGTCTGAGTTACGCACTCTTTTTTTCGCGAACCTTCCCCTAGCTTCATTACTTTGTCTTTTCTTTTCTATTTTTCTCTACACTGTGAATGCTATATCTGTTATCACATTGAAATTGGTCTTCTATATGGAGCTGGGGGTATGATGAGGGGTGTTTGGAAAATGGCGCAAAGGGAGTATTAAGATCCGTTATGTTTTTTCTGGCCGCTAACAGACCTCACTGGCACCACCGGTCATATTATACTTGGTCACAGGTGTATGAGGTATTTCTAGCTGAGCAGACACGCGATAAAGAGATCATCTATAATCTATTTGATCTAAAATTATTATGAATTATAGTAGGCCGTATTATGACATCTAGCTAGAGTATCAGGGACATATTGCCAAACAAGTAGAATATCGCCCAAGCAGAAAGGTACAAATCATAGCAACGCAGCTTTAAAATTCTTCATAAAATTATCAGCTTCATATGCATATACTAATGGGAACTATATATACAGGTAACGGGGGGAACTCGACTGTTTCAATAAGGCTGTCGACCGATCATTCACATGTGGTGCAAACTTACCGGATCAGGTTAGTATTACAACCTGTGAGAATACATGTATGTATGCAAAGAAGAGTACGCTCAACCCTGCGACTACTACTTTATGTGAATATTTTCGCTTCGACTCTCCCTATTCATGAGTGGCTATAGGTCCGGTTTTAAAATATCGTTATGGGTTGCGTACTGGTGTCGCCCCAGCGAGCGCTAAACCTAACTACAAACAAGCGACCCATGTCACAAGGTACGTATACATGCGCCCGATAATGCGTGCTGCTGGGCCATCATCCTATGGGGAGATAGATCAAGTATAGCGGAGGGGCCTGGCAAACTTCATGTTGGCATCTCGGTCCTGTCGGATGGCATCCACCATGAGAACAACACGATACCTCGTAGTACCTAGAGTCTACAACGGCCGTGTACCCTAGTATTATAAGATGATTACACCGGGACTCGTAGGTTGTAATATTAGGCTGGAAGTTGGATGATATATATACAGACTTATGAGAACTACTGCGTAGGTCTATGAATCTGAATATTCCTCTTCCTATATGTAGGTAGCATTTATGTCCCCCTAGACATCGATAGGTATTAATTCACCAGCTATATGATTTTCGGCCAACTTGGCTGCTCTTTTTTTTCCAGGTGTTCCGGTACCCGCCGCGAGATGTATAGAATTCTGCAAGCTGTGTTTTTTGTTAATAACTTGTGTTCCCCACCATTCCCGACAATCATAGATGCCCTTGTTTCTGTGAAGTGAATGTAATTTCAACTGTACTAAAAAGGCGCAGAACAGCCATTGAGGAAGGAACGTATGTCGAATCATCGTACCGGCGGGAGTGATTATATTACTGAGGCCACCATCGCAACCAGGCAGATCAAATGCCAAAACTAAGAAAAATGCCACGATCATTGATTAAGCTGTCATGAATGAACTGGTGCGTGGACAATTTAGGACTCACGAGATTGAGAACAGCTTCCGCTATTTGGTGAACTTCTTAACTCGCCCCGGTGGTGGTGGTGGAGTGATCACTTTTTATCAGCTATGTCTACGAACTCCGAAGACCCCAATCCAGCTTCTACAAACTTAGCCTAGGATAGAGGGAATGATACGGACCCTCTACCACTCAATCGTGTTCAGCCCGGAATACCTGTTATCTCATTTTCTGTAAGCTCTGCTACGGATGGTCTTTCAGTCGAAGATACGGTACCTCAGAAGTTTGACCCGAACCTGTAGCTGGTACGTAAAGACTCTAAAGAAAACCCACATAATTAAGGGGAGGAACCAGTAGATATTGCTTATCAGAGATTAATTTTGAGCGGGGAGTTGAATCAGCCAAGGTCCGAAGGCAATCCATGGAAATGTACCTGGTGGGTAGGGATCGCGCGCTGCACTTCATCTAGAAAGGCCTGCATCAATCAATATGGTTGCGTCTGCGTACACGGCCGGTGTTTATAACGAGAGAGGGTAAGCTTTGAATTTAACAGTATAGTAGGATGAGTTGAACTAACGCTGAGATTAGATTCCTCCAATCAACAAGGCATGATAGAGAAGTCGAGCTAGAGCGAGTTGGGGGAGTTCTTGCTGCGGTCCCTGGCGCGCGCCATATCATAATCTATACAGACACGGAATATTTCCTCGGATTTGTTAAGAATTGGCGTCCGCTCTGGGAACGCCATGGTTTCGTTGGTGGGGAGGGAAACGTCATCGCCGATCATGAAGTGATCAAAAGCATCCTCAACATTATCGATAGGAGGACACTGAATAACAAACAGACGACTTTCGAATATATTAAATCAATAAGCAAAGATTTGTACTATCTTCCTCCGATACGGCCTAACGAAGGTAGCTCAGTGGCTTGAGTGGGAATAGGTATAGAATATTAATTTTGTAGTAATACGTTCGATCCAGGCCGGGGTACGTTTGGAAAAGGATTTCTGAAGAAGGGGAGGTTGTCTTGGAGAGAAATTGCAATTATATTAGGGTGTTATTGTAGCTATGGGCTTACTTGGTGTTGCGGCTTGGAGGTCGCGATCGAGTTGGTTCAAAATTCTTTTTTTGATTAATTAATCGAGTACGTACTTGATGGTACGTCAATATTATTACTGAACCAGCTAGTCCCTGAGACGGTACTGGCTGATATCCGATAAGAGAGTCTGAGCTTTCCGCTCAATAAAACATGTAACTACATGTATCAATATAAAGTCCCATAGCACACACTCTCTTCATACACCAACATGGGCGCTTATTATGTTGGTAGCTACATGTAGTTTCTCAACAAAACTCATATCATCATTGCCATTTTATTTGTAACCGAAGTTCGAAGGAATGAAGCTTCTGGCACGTTATTTGTATATAGCTATCACCAGCTGGGAAGCGCGTTAAAACTTATGTAGTTTTCGGGTTGTTTTAGTAGTAGAAGGCCGGGGTGGGGTATTGGCCAATCCAGCTGGTACAATCGATTAACGAACCATCTCCCATGACAAGCTTAAGTGCAAATATATGTAATTGTTATTATTAGCTGGGGTAGTAAAGTGAAGAAAATACTTGAATATTGAACATCTAAAGCAGTTGTTGTTTTCTAACCTTTACCCTACGAGAGAGATTGTAAAAGAGCCTATAACCAGTTGATAATATGAGATAATCGTTGTTCATACCGATAATTGTCAGTGTGTATAGAAATTAAACTTTGGAAAAGCCGTCTTGTTACACTCATACTAACGGCACCTAGGGCTTGGTCAATGTTAACCCCCGGCACTCGGATATAATAGTGTGAAAGTTGAACGGGAGGAATTTATGGCCTGATGTTTTACTATCTAGCTACCCCTCGTCTTATAAGACAGTTTGAATCATACAAATACCTTCTCTTCCTCTATTCATCCCTCATCCACCTTCTCGTTATCACTTTCGTTAAGAAATACTCCAAAAACCTTCCTTCAGACATCTTCTCGTAACATTCCATCACTATTTCTCTCTCAATCTGTCCTGAGTTTCATTGATCACATCCCTTTACGTCTATCATCTCTAATAGAAGTTGATCTGCCTTCGATTGAATCATCTCAATTATTTCAATTGAGTTTCTCTCATATCGAAGAATAGTTAATCTGATTTCGATTCAACTATCTTAACTCAACTTTTCTCATAAAACACATCCTCGTCGAATTGATGTATAGACCTACCACCCCCGCAACCCCGCCTGCAACTCCGGAAATAATTGTAAGAAATTCTCCTCCCAACCCTTGCTCTGAATCTTTGCTAAAATAAATTATTAGAATCATTTTCCAAACCATGTCAATTCTTTGAAAGAAGAATGGGCCGTGTATGCCCAAACTCACATTACTGATGCGGCCAAGCAGGCAGTAAGTTTCACCTTGCTATCTATATAAGCAGAAATTAGAATGAATAAAAACTAATAAATTTATTAGGAGTGGATTGCCCCAGACCAGTGGAGAGAGTACCTCAACGAGGTCTTCGACTACTTTGGTACTGGGGAGCCGGAGTCCAACGATAACTACCCACTCCGCCAATACAAAAACACAACCTCTTTCACCGCCGATGGCTTTCCCATCATGACCACCACCCCCCTCAGCGAAGAGGATATTCTGGAACAGCTTGCCAAGCGTCAAGATTTCAACAGTTGGAAGATCCGCAAGGCTCTGAAGATCCCCTCGAAACACGAAAAGAAGGCCGAGCAATCTCAAGAAACCACTGAGGCTATCTTTGAGTATTCACAAGCTGTCAAAACCACCATATTTACTATGGGGGGCAAGGACTTGGAACGTTTTACCGCACTTGGAATGCCTGGTGTGCCCGAGGGGGTACACATTAAGGCCTTTAAATGCTGGTATGCTTTCTTAGCAGCCAGATCATCTGCCCCTTTCAAGCCTAAGACCGAGACTGAGACTAGAGATGACAGCGAAAATCATGATCGATTTTTTGTCCGGCCAGAAACGGCGATGCATGAGAAGTGGTGTCATAATGGTCAAGATAATTACCAGCATCAGCGTTATTATGAGCGCAGGCGTTAAGAGTCAGCATTCTAATGCATCTAGCGTCAATATTTCGGACTTTGTCTGAAAGAAAAAGGTGGAGTATAAAACTATGGATATGAGGTATCATATCGGGATCCAGTTCATGACGTGACGACTTTTCTTTTCTTTTCTTTCTTTTCATCGACTTTTCTTTCCTACTTTCTCCTTTTGCTTGCTGATTTATGGTATGAATATGCTGAGACGGTTTATACGTATGGAGCTTGATAGGGTTGTTGATATTTTCTTAATTTGTTCTCTTGATGCGTGGCAGAAATGAGGTGATGATGATGATCATACTTGATGGAATTGTTGATATTTTCTTAAGTTTGTTCTCTTGCGTAGCAAGAATGATAGGACGATGCTTGATATATCTGGCTAGAGTTATAACGAACACTGGGGGGTCTATTTCTGAGATGAGTCGCGGATTAATATGTTTGCATAGGGTACGGAGTTACTAAGGAGGACTTGCTGTTATTATAAGTACTTGATTGATATTTCGTTTCTTTCTTTTATTTCCTTGCTATAAATAATGAAAACATTTTCGTGCTGTTAATTATTTACGAAGTGCTCTTGTCGGCGTAAATAGTTAATGGATCTGCCGAGCTTAATCATGAACAAAATTTGCGGTTGAATTCAAACATATACCTGTATCCTTGACGACGCAGGCTATGAGTTAGCAGAACATGGAGAATGAAAGCCGTGTGCTTACTGCTCGTAGTATCGGAATAACGGACCTTTCCTTTCTCTCTTCAACGAAACTCTGGTAGCGGGTTTAGGCGTGGAGACAGACGCGTGCACAGTGTTATATGGGACTACATCTGTCTTTACGTTGAACTGCTTCGTTGCACTTCTTCGAATTTGAGTACTTGTACTAGCGCTAGGTGTTGCCGCCGTGTCTTGGCACGTATCACTTTGGACAGAGACCGTCTTTGCTTTTCTCCAGGCAACGACAACAACCGGTAAGGTACACCTCGAAACTTTCGTCTTGAGTAGTAAGCTCTACTGGAACTTCAACAACGAAGCTTTCCATTTTTCTACCACGGTGCACAAGAAGGAGCAATCATAAAATATCACTCGACAGAATCGCCGCTTACAATCTTGTCCTCCGGGTGCACCATCGACGCAGAGTCTCGAAAAACCTTGTCCAGGCTTATCAAATGAAGAATAGAAGGGCCATATATGCTCCGTGGGAGAGTGGTGCATTCTTGCCAACGTTAACGGTGACGCGGTTGTCGCATATCGCAAGTGCAGATTCGTGGGGCAAGTTTGGTGAGTAGATCATGGCGTATGAGAGATGCAATCCAATGGCAGTGGGAGCTCTTGATATTGAGGGGATATAGGGAAAGACCGGTCAACGTCCGGCCGACATTTGCGGCGCTGAATATGTGGCCCATTCAGTCCATTCCCGAATCGCCTTGCTGCGTCTAACGCTGTCTCTGAGCTAGAGAGCTCTCGCAGCCCAGAGGAATAGATAGTATGGTTTGGTGGGTATTCTTGGAGGCCAAGTAATCTTTCATTGTCGGTCTTCTTGTTTTCCTATTGCTGATTCGTGTTTATCTTCAGGTTATTGTCTTGTCTTGTGTGCTCGGCTTCTCCGCTGTGTATATATACACACTCATCTACACGAGCCCTATATCAACTCTATACAAAGAAACATGCCGCAAGGATATTTTTTATCTACGGTACTCTAATTTAAAAGCACGTCACTACTCAAGCCGCCTATTGCTCGGACCGTTAGCGTAACTATTTCAATAAAGGAGGTCTATTTGGGGTTGAAACCTAGGCCTCGAGCACATTACTCTTCACTAATCGTATCTCAAACTGTCGGACCTCCAGACGATTCTGCAGAAGACTGTTCCAAGCTACACCATAGATCGTGGTCTTTCCACTGGTTATCTCAACCCGGAGCAAGAGTGGAGCTTGGTGCTGCAAGGATGCGGGGGCGGAGATATAAGGGATTGGCTACATGTACCGGCTAATATCGAGGCTACTCGTGGGGAGTATGGAAAGATCTAAATGGAAATACAGAGAACGCAAAAAGGGACTTTGGGTGTAGTGATGATATAATATGGTGCATCTAGCATTAGGTTCTCATCTCCCTAAAAGATTGTCTAGCTGCCTGGGAATAAGGAAGGCTTTCAAGTACATGTATTAGGGTAAGGCATATTTGGATTAATTATAATTATGCAAAAAAAGGACTTCATGGGCACGACTGCGGGCTGAAACAACGTACTGCCGTAGCTTACAAAACCTAAGTGACGTCTCTACCAATATGGCCATCCGACCCACTACTCCCCGCAGCTCCCTTCCATCACCGCCGGCAGCCCTGCCCGCGCCTCCCTCCTCTCCCCGCGCAACACCCACAACCTCGTCTCCACCTCCCCCGCAATCCTCTGCATCTCCCTCACCAGCTCCTCCCCAACATCCTCCCCCCGCTCCAGCACCAACATATCATACGCCTTCTTCGCATCCGTCACCCCCTCAACCGGCACCAGCCCCAGGCACAGCCTATAATGGTGCTCCACAAGCCTCACCACCGCCCTCGCCGCCACACTCAGCTCCTTCGCCGTCTCCATCATCAACCGCACCGCATCCAGCGGGCGAAACGGGTCAAAACACATGATGTACCGCCCCACCTTCCTTCCCCAGTCGTCCATGTGGTGCTGGATCGACTGCAGCAGCACATTATGGAACTCCTGCGGCAGCCCCGCCTCCTCCAGCCTACTCATGCTGCGGCTCGCCGCCACATACGGCGGCTCATACACCACCCGGTGGTCAATCCGATTGCCCAACCGCTCGCCAAAGATCTCCGCCGAGCGCTCCCCGCAGATGGTGAACAGCTTGTCGTAGCTCGGCGTGTCGCAGATCGCCCAGTCCTTCGCCAGCTTGCGCTGGCCCAGGTCGTAGACCGAGACGTTGTAGTGCGTCAGCATCGCGAACTCGCGCGCGACGGTCAGCGCGCGCTCGGACATGGCGTACATGTTGTTCTTCTGGGTGATTTTTGCGCGGCGCGAGTCGAGGGAGGTGGCGGTGACGGTGTCGATGAAGTGCGTGTAGAAGTGGCCGGTCTGGCGGCAGAGGATCCACATTTCGACCACCGAGGGGGGCGTGAGGGAGAGGTTGATGGAGAGGGGGGTGGAGATGGAGGGTGCGTTGCTGTTTTGGCGTGCCAGGGGGGAGCGCGGCGCGGTGGGGGGTTTCGTGTGCGGGGAGGAGGGGGAGGTGGGGGTGGGCGAGTGCTGGGCGAGGTGGAGGACTGTGCCGGTGCTGGAGGAGCGGGCGCGGAAGTGGTTGGGGGGGACTTGGATTGGGGGTGGTCTTTTGCGAGGCATTTTTGAGTGGGTTGATAGCGAATATAATGAAGTGGAGAATGTGGAGGTGATGGTGAGTGACTATGGATGTATGTGGGGTGTTGTTATATGATGAGAAGGCTGTGTACGATAGACCTGCATGTCGACAACAACCTAACACAACCTCACGCCAAGTGCAGCCGGGTGAGTAGCCCGCGTACTATTACATGTATTTGACTCGACGTTTGCTTTTGTGTTTCAGCATAGCTAAAAAACAAAAAAGTACTCAAGACAGAATATTTGTATAGCAAGGCCATGCCCACCTCCGGCATTCCTATGGGCACTTATGACACTGTGCTCTTTTAATCCTACATGTCGTCTTCTATGGCATGCATCTTCTGATCACCTGAGATTAGGATGTCTTGTGTTTGTCGGAAACAAACACCATCTGTTTGACGTGATAATATATCTTGGCAGTCCTCAGCACGTGCTATTACTCACGGAAGTCAACTCAGGCTCTCTAGCATCTTTCTACGTAGAATACCGTCCCGATATTGATTTCATTCTGAGCATTAGTTCGCAAGGACAACAATAATAACGTTGAACACTTCAGTGTGAAGGCAAAATACATTGTTCATGACAATATCATATACCATCACTCGTTGATGTTTTTGCTCAATCATAAAGCATCACTCGATGCCAAGACATTCATAGATGCCCAATGCAGAGGAACGAGTTGGAGCGAAGGAGGACCAAAAAAAAAATGAAAAAAACATTTATCATTGCGTGTTCCGTCTGAAGCTTAGCGAGATGGTTATCTCTGCACTCAATCCTCCCTGTCTGTTGATGGACACATCACAATCTACAAACATTTGAAAACATCAAAGATTAATATACATTTTGGTACCATTATTCCCACAAATCAATGCATCAGAAGATTATGATCGTCGCTTGAAGATGAATAGAACTTCTAACACTCTCGCCGGTGAATGCATAAGAGATTGTTATTAACCTCAAGTCAGCGAACTGACCTAGCTCCCATCGTGAAGTAGTCAAAGTTTGTGTTTGTGGTGACTCTAGGCTCTACGGGTTCGGATGAATCCTCCGCCTCTGACACAGGGACGCCATAATCGTTTTCTTCGGGTCCAGGATGTGACTCAGCTTCCCTGAGTATTCTTCTCAGCGTAACCCTATGATTCCATATAACACCACGCGGGTTTTCTCTGGTGGCTTCCGCTAGAATGTCTTGTGGATTTTCTGAGAACAAATTTAATAGTCCTACCTGCGCCCCGGTCGGATCGCTCGGGCGATTGTATATTTCAAAATGAAATGATCTTTCAGAATCAAGGCGCATTACCACTGTAAGTTCTCTGGCCCCGTTCGTGAAATAATCTTTGATACGCAACAAGTATCGGCGCGGTGATCCCGGATCCAGATTTTCTGCTCCGCTATCTCTCCTCCGATGATACCAAAGTGCGGAGTGAATATGAAGTATATGCTCGAGGGTTAGTATATTAGCCGGAATATCTATATTAACCTATAAGTTAGCGTCATATCTACCAGAACTATGTACTGAAGATTTCCGGAGCAAGGGTCACCCCTCACCTGGAATATGGGAATGAGGACTAGCCGCTCGTAGTCGAGCACTATTATAGGGAGTGGGGGTTTCTGTAGAGTGACCACCATCTATGGGATCAAACAGTTGCTCAAGTGATCTATCCCTCTCCGCGCGTCCTTGGAGAAAAGCCCGTCTCCTTGAAGTCATTGAACTACTGAGATCCTGCTGACTATAATCTTGTTCCAGTATCAGGGCAAAGATCACTTTTACCCCCTCCGACGACGTTCGAGCCAAGTGTGGGACGAAACTGATGATTGCAGCGCAATCCAGGTAGGCTCTCATGCATTCAGGGGCAAGCAGGCGTACCGGCCTGGAGGCACGTAGCCCGGGATCCCTATCTCTGGAACGAGTAAATGACGATTCCATATGTGGGTGTATCGATTCGAGTGTTTGATCAAGCTCCGCGAGTGTTGTTCTAACATGAGCTGTCATGAGGGAGGGAGTTTGGAATGGGGAAAAAATTCTGTATGTAATCGTCAGTCATATTGTCTGCAATGGAGGGTTAGGGAGATGTTTGGTGGGGAAATCTGACCCATCAACGCTATCTGAAGAGCTGCTCCCTGAACTGAGATAGGCTAGATCATCGTCCGGATACGATGAGTCCATGTTTGGGGGGTATGGTTGAAACCTGAAAATTTGGACACTGCAGGGGAGGCGGAAGTAGATGAAATACTCTATACAACCTGAAAGACGGCTTTTATTGATGATAACGTCAGAAGCTGGTATAAGAGAGACAAAGTTTGTTGCTTCATTGCAGCAATCAATAATCTGGTCACGCTGGCTGCAATATGGATTACGTACACCTTTTAAAACATGTTCCTAACGGGTTTTCTCGAACTTTTCCGGGGACCGTGATAGCCAGTATCTCAAATATATAGCAAATACTGTCCTCACCTGCCACGCCAGACTCACAGATGGGGCGAGAAAACCTCCGCCCTAGCCCAATACAGCAGTCTGGACGAGCAATGTTATTCATAGACATTACTAGGTCACTGATTCAAGGAAAAGAGCAGAAAATATGGGGCTGTAACAATTGTTAAATATATTGTAAAGATTTATGTAGAAGCTGCAACTATTTGATATGAAATATACAGATATGTGGTGTGCTTTTGATCGCCGAGCATATGAGAGCTCGCTACACGGCCTTTCAAGTCGCCGACTATTAATGCCCTCGTGAAAAAAATACGTATGTGCCTTTCTACGACACCTATGCTCTCTCCATGACCTCCCTATCTTCGTGTCTCTTTTTGTAATGTACCTAAGAATGATACTCTCGCTTCGCCGTCAAATTTTCACCGTAAAAAATAAGACGACAATTCGGCATTTAGCCCTGGGCCGCCTCAAGGAAGCCACTTTCCTATAGTTAAGGAGTGTTAGCTGTGAAATATACTTCAATCGGCATCAGGACAGATATACATTTTCAAATGGAGGGGATGGATGTGCCATCCATGACCGCACTCTTCTGTTACCGACGACTGGTAACTCTAAAGCTTCACGTACGCGTCTTGGAAAACTTTTTTTAAACTCTTCAAAATCCCGCAACAAGGGGGATACGACTGGACCAGTTGACTCGTCGTCTCTCACTAGGGTAGCCGGCGGGTCTTGACCGAGGCTGGGTGTGCTTCTAGTGATGGGACCTGGCTTGGGAAGACCCATCTGGACAGGGCTGGGGGCGCTTTCCGTTATGATGTCGATGGGAGCAAAGGCGTATTGGTCTTTATTACCGGGATAGGTTGAAGATCTAGGCCTACGGTGGATGGCCGCCAAAACTGTTGGAGCCATCGCTGGCGTTGAAGCAAAGGCTTCAGTAAGCTCATTCCTTCCAGTATCAGCCGGTCCATCAACAATAATCCTGATTGATGAAAGTCTCTGCGCCAATTGCTCCACCGCCTCTCCCTCTTGATCGCTCTCTGGTGTATCGACGGACATGCTAAATGATCTAAGCGTTTCTTCCTCCTCATAATCCTCTAGTTCATATTCTTCAGCGGAATTTTCTCGCTCTTCGGGGTCTACGAATATCTCGAATTCGTTAACCTTGTCTTCTTGAGGAAGAGTCATCATGGACATGGGGCGGTTTCTTGCGGATATTCTTGGTGTCGAAATCTGGGGCGTGGAAAAGGAAAATGGAATAGGTGCTCTCCGTTGTAGATTCCGGCTCCACCGCTCAGGTGCGGCTGGACTAGGCGGTTCTGGTCTAGGCGTATTCATCTGCTCTTGTCTTTCACTCGGTTCATTTTCTGTTGCTGGTAGAAAAGGCTGGATTAAGTTGCCTCTAGAATCCAAGATTGGCGAGTTCAAGAACGGCTGTGGAACAGGATTCCCGCGACGGGCACTGCTTATCCACGGGGGTGGATTTGGATTTGGTATGATAGGCCTCTCCCATTCTCGAAGAAAAATTTCATGCCACCCAATATCGCGGACGCGTCTGGGGCGGATAATCGGTAGTGTTGAAGCCATGCTAAAATGGATGTCATGGATTGCCGCGTCTCGCTGCGGGGGAAGGGGATGGCGCGCCCTGTAACGCCTTTCTTGCTCAGGCGAAGGACGCCACGCAGCCAGATATGCGCGCTGACGTTCCCAGACGGGCTCACGCTCTTCAAGGAGCCATGGAGGTAGATTTTCTTTGTTGTTTTCGGAGAGGTCGAGACTTCTGAAGAAGGCATCATCGGCAGCAGCTTGTGCAGCTAAAATGGCCGCTTCAGCAGCAGTTGTTGTCATGGCTGCTTGAAGTTGGATTTGGTAGTGATGATGGTCTATGAGAGGAGATGTGGATGTCGATACGCGTAGGAGCAGGGGAGAGAGAAGGTTGATTGATGTAGGAGAAGACCCCCTCCTAGACGATGATCGCCGGGGTAGAGAGCAGCCCCCCTAGTGTAAGACAAAGAAATATCTGCTCCCTAATAGGATACAGGCCATGAACTGATCACACGGCGAATCAATTAACTGTTTCGCTCATAAGCGGGGGAATGAGCATGAGGTAAGTGGGATGGTTCGTAGGTTTGTACCTCAGTGACACAGAGTGGGGTATGACGATATTTGGTTAAGGTTTGTTCAATCTCCCCCCTGGGCCTCAGCCTGGGCTAGTTTCAACGAATTTACGCGCACTTTCTATATATATCGAACATTCTCTCTCTGGGTCACATGGACCAAACTTTGATACATGTAGTCGTTGTCTCTGATATTGAACTTGATCGATTGAATACATGTAGATACGAGTAAAGCACTGTATACTATCAAGTTCATGTTCGAATTTGTGTGTATGTGGGAAACATTGCATCGGCTTTATGAAGGGGGAAGATAGCTGTGCTGGAAGGAACTCCCCTGCGTGTACTAAGATGATCACAAAGCAATTCTGAGCAATCATCTTTGCCGTCTTCTTTGTCCATTATAATCAACTACGTAAACACTAGATCTCTTGAATGAATTTCTATACTCAGTTGGACGATAAATCCGGGACCGTCTTGAAGTTCCATTAATTCCCCGTCACTTCCTCTCACTCGCAGCACATCCTGTCACTCGCGGCATCTTGTCTCACTCGTTGAATGGGTTAGGGTTAGTCTTGGCAACCATACCGCCATTCAACACTGTCCTCATGCGATAACACAAACTCTTTTGGGGTTGAAGTCATGAGTAGAGCGATGAAAAAAAATGGAATTTGGGTGAAATCATAAAATTGGTGGTGCACGGAATTTGCTGGAGCCGAGATTCTCACTTCGTTGCTATTCTATGGCTGAATTCTTTAAGCTCCGATTGGTAGAGGGCGTTGCAACCTAACCCCGGATAGCAAGGTCGACCCAGGTCAACTATACCAATCAACTGGGGGATACACCTAGACGACAAACAAGAAGTCCTCCTCAGAACGATTAAACCATCGAATTTCAACAGGAATTATCGAGTGAAAACTATAGCAACTCGCGGTTGCGAGGTATGGCACAGGTACATGTAGTGTAACGTACCACACCCAAACAATTGACCGTCGAAGGATGCTATCAATTTCATAAGCACAAGCTCAAAAGTAAATGTCGAAACCTTCAACGGCCTCTAGGAAGCGAGGCGCACTCGTCTATTTCAAGCTCTGGGAAGCTTACTATACCTCACCTCGTGGCGTTCGCAGCTCGCTGCTGTGCTGTATACACGTAGGTGTAGTGGGAGTGCTGGAGTTAGACTAGGAGTATTGGCTGGTGTTGGTCCAATTTTTCCCTTCGGGTTATCGACCGTGTGCAGCGATTTTTACCTGTGATTATGCCTCTCCTTCATTGCCGCGAGGGCTGAGTCCGCTTAACCGGTGCATACGCTCTTTTCCTACTAAACAATTCCCCTAGAATCTACTATACCACAAGTTGGAGGGAGGCACTCAAACCGCCCCATCTTTTTGATCATGACCCAGGTTAAAATCAATGCATAGGCGTTATGATACTCGCCCGGTAATAGGTATTTCTGATGTTTTACTAAGTGGTGCTTTTATGTTGATAGTCGCATGTTAACGTACACACAGAGATTGTTACAATTCTTTTACACGATAAGTTAATTATCTGCATTACTACGCTTTCGCGGCGGCTGTAAGATGTGATATATTGCAGAGGATAGGAAGACCCAGTCGATAAGGGGCCGTTTGAACACAAACTCAAAGTCCCGACTTCTTCACCTCCGGATGTGCTTGCATGTCCTACGAGTGGGCGCGCTTCGACGCTGAGATGTACCTAAGGAGCCGTTGAGTCTCAGGTAGCGGAGACCTTACGATTCTATCTTGACGCTACTTTCTACAATAACGCGATCCTAGTTTTCGTCAACCAATTCAAAATACCGGCACGACAGGTGCTAGAATACATGTAATTATGTGTGGCACTATGGACATAAAGCATGTACACGTTGATGAGATTATAGTAGAGAAGGAGCATAACCTGTGGGTATGATTAACTGCAGAGCTTAGAGACATATGCAATGCATCCAAAACTCCAGTATACGGTTCTCATCTAGCTCGCCACCCCTCACATTTCTTTTTAACTCAAAGGACAGTACTAAAAAAGGGGGTGGGATCTCTACAGCAGCACTACAGTAGTAGAGCGGTATTCTTATCTATACCGTATTCTTTCCAATACCGATTTATGCCGGCATTTGGAGAAATGTATATGGCAAAGAATACCAATTAGTGTCTTCCGGTACAGCAGATTAGGACTAGTTCTGCTTGTTTTGAGCCTAGTCTTGCCTTGATGGCACGTACATGTACTCACCTATGCCTACGAACACCTTAACATTACCATCGCCATCATCATTAAGTCTGCACCGGGTTGCAATTGCTATCATCATCGCCTGAGGGGATTACCTGAGGGGATTGCCTGAGGGGATTATTCCTCTTTCGCGTGAGATGTTATGCCTAGATCAGGAAAATTTATTTTTTAAAAGTATATCCCAGTTCTGGAACGCCCATCATCAGAGAATGAACCCCCAGGTATCTATTGATAGATTAATATCTGGTGACATTGATGGTTGAAATGCTTCAATCTCAAAATGCGGAATTAGGGTTAGGTAAAGTTTTAAGCATTTCTCTATATCTTGCAGTTCTGCTGGAGTGCTACTGTAATAGACCAAATTCGGTTTTACTACTAACCCTGCATTCTCTGGAATACGTATTCTGGCTACTACGGTATTCTTGCCGTATTTCTTAAATTTGGGTATTCTTAGAAATAAGTAATTTTGATTACACGGCATTTTACAGTAATGCTATAGCACTACGGTATTATCCTTCCTACCGTAGTGATATTATAGTGATCCCACCCCCTTTTTTCGTACTAGAGTCATTTGCCAGTGCTCTTTGATGATTAAGGCCTTCCGCTTCTCTGGCACAGAATGTCTTGGCTCCTGTGTCGTATTCTTTCCACCAAGTACAAGAGGCTACAGTTAGCGACTGCACAAGTTTCCAGATGACAGTTCGCCCGCAATTGTGGGGCAAATGACAACAAGGTCTTCCTGAATCGCCATAACAGTGATCATACTACTCTGCAACATTCCTATCAACTAATATATTTACCTTACTATCATTATCAAAATATTTATCACTCATTATCAGTATGCAGAATCGGGACCGTACCAACAAAATTCTTCCAAATGTCCAACATTCAAAGAGTCTCGACTGTCTGGCGGAAGGTGTATCGGTTGAGTATTTTCGAAATCCATGGGAAGATTGGAATGTACGCATAGCCCGTTCTCGAAGGAGGTGACTATTGGACTAATATCTTACATAAAATCATAGTTTAAAGGTGACCGGGAAGAGACATCCTCCTTGGACGGAATTTCCTCCTTTGACAAGAGAATGGACAAAGCTAAGAAAATTTACGTCCGAGGTCTATTGGTCTCTCATTGCGTCCATCACGGACGTGATAGGCTATGCGGTCCGTCAGAAGCTGAAGCCGAAGCTTCCCGCTGTTGGTCTGAGGTATGGCAGCAGGAGGAGGAGTGTCCCCAAGATGTTCAAAACTTCGATGAGAAAGAGGATGAGACAGATGATACTTTATCGCAAGCTTTCGCTACATCGGGGGAGGAAAGTCCTCAAGATGCCCAAAACCTTGATGGCATAGAGGATGAAAATGGCAGATTTTCCTCGGGAGCTTCCTCTGTATCGGAGGAGGATAATTCTGGGCCTGTGTCAAGCGACTCATCACATGAGGATTCCGATTCTCATCAATCTTACAACGCTGAGACCGACGATGATCATGGATACGCTAATTATAGTGCCCCAGAATTTACCGGAGTTAAGGGGTCGACATTATACGTACATATACCTCGAAGGAAAGATATCGGCGAAGTCTTTTCAGAGGAACATCCACCCTCATCACATCTAATTTCAGAAAATGACCTTAATAGAAAGTCATCAACCCAAAGACCAACTTCTGAAGCCACAGTACCATTAGATCAGGGTATACTCAAAGAATCGAAATTACCAAGAAATGAAAAAGGGAAATGTGGTCCAGCAAGGAGACATCAAGTCACCTCGCGTTCCCGAGCCCGACCCCCACCACCACAAAGAAACAATACACCTATCTTTGGTACACAGATTGTAGGTATCTTCCGTTACAAAAAATAGAGGAATTATGCATATGGCTAACGTGGATAAAACACACAAGCATGAAGGATCAGACGATCTATAGGTTTTACCGTAGTTGTTGGCCACTTGCGATTTATATTAGGTGATATGCTTTTAGGAGAGAATCATCCAATCGGGTTCGAGGACAAAGGTTCGAGGTACAAAGGATTAGCAGTGTGGGTGTGTGTTTATTATGATACATCTGTGATCTAGGAGTTTAAAATACCTGGCACATCACTGTAGGTTGATGGCAACTATCTTTCGTCAGTATTGGACGTGTACATGTACTCTAGAGGCTTTACCTATACTCTTTCTTTTGTCTAGAAGAGTCGGTGTTATTGTTTAATAGCCCCATTTATACAATAGTCAAGCGCGAAGGTCATGGAATATATATAGTTTGTGCCATGCATGTAGTAATGTTCTTTACCAACAAGAAAAAGCATGGGGCTGTCAAAAATCACATAATATCAGCCATGATATTTACGTTTCGACAAGCTCCGGTAGTGCAGTCTATGTTCAGTGGTATATTCAATGCTACACGTATGCTTAATGACCTCCCTCGCAACCTTGAAAACCAGAAAACTATATCACAGAAAACCTTGATAATCTCTCCAATTCCGTGAAACTTCTTCTATCCTTCGACTTGATATATGACCCCTCCTACTCCACAGCCAGAGTCCTGTCCCTCTCTCCTACGTGCATCAATAATGTTACCGGGGACCGTTTGATTTCTCCTTCCGCTTGAGGTCTCTATGTCGCTACACGACCTCCGTTATTCTAATTCTGTGTATATACAGACTAACGGCCCATGATCATGCTCAAATTACTGCGGGTACATTAGGAGCTGACCCGGCGGCTTTAAACACTAATCACCTTTTTGAATACCCCTTTATAGGAGTCAGAGATTGGTACTAAGAGGCTGTCTTATGTTTATGTCTTTTTCTGCACCTTTCTGCCCTCCCGGGGGGCTGCTTGCGTTAGATTCATATGGCCTTAAGTCCTTGAGTTCGGACTCAGGTTTCCGGCGCGTTAGAGGTTGGGCTGTAGAGAAGGATGTCTGTAGATAGTTGATGGTGTGTTAATTAGCTAATAGTGCTAGTACTGTGTGTTGAGCTTCTATTTCAGGTCTGTCAAGACGTTCCTATTTCAACCAATATTTGGTGATTCCGAGTGATGGTTTATGATTAAGGCATTTCAACAGCAATCCAATTGCGGCATCACTGGATCTAGGCCAGGAACCGGTGATTAAAACTCATCAAGCTTCTTCTCCATCTGTCAAATGAAGGTAGGTGCTAATGTACTATGAGGAACGAGGTCGTTGGCTATGCTATTTACTAAAGTAAGGTTGTAGTACTGCGATTCGCGGGCTGAATGGAAGAAAAATCGAGAAAGAGACCCCTCAGAAAGTTGAACTCCCAATTATATCTGTGGGAGAGTATTACACACCATATTTCCTTTAGTGCCGACTGTAAATACCGAGAATTCGGTTATTCCTCTCATGTATGATGTCCTGCGATGAATGGACCGGATTACATTAGCGAAGACTAATATAAACGCCCGGCACTCCCGCGCCGTTGCCGACGGTAGAGCTTGATTGGCACTCAAATATTGCCTGCTGTATATCATCCGTGGAGACAATTATCCGACTCGTTGAGCGTAGAATTCGCGGAGGTACTGTTGAGCTTGTGGCCCTAGGGGTCTTTCCAAGAGCATGCTATTTTGTAAGTGGTCTTAGGCGTGAGAGGCGACGAGACGAGAGTTGGGGATGTTTCGTGCCCATCATTACCCTGGTATGTCTAATATGTACTGCCCTTAATTCTGCGAACCTACTCGCCCTCTGATTGGCCAAGAGCGGAACCTAACCCTGACCTCTGCGTGGCAACGGGCTCACCCAAAATGCCACGGAATGTCAAATTCAACCGCGGCACTATTATCAAAATCAAAAAAGACCCCAAGCGGTACGTTTTGGGTGGTTATAGTATCTCTTCTTTCATACACAAAAAAAGAACAAAAAGTACTGTGCGGTTCCGGGATGAACTGGCACCACTCCCACCCCTGGGTCGAACCCTGGCCTTCTGTGATCGAAAGCAGGGCTAAACCTCGCGGTGTTCTTTGGCGAGGGTTATCCATTAGACCACTCGCCCATGTGTGTTGGTGGCTAAAAATGATATTTGTGCGCCAAGGATGGTTGGCTAGTCTATAATGTCTATAATGTACTGTCGCTAATTTTTCTAACATTGGAACGGTCTGATTGGCTGCTGGGTGCAGGGGTAGAATTAGTCAGCGCGACACATCAAATTTGGTCCGGTTGTTGCCCCAGTTTTTAGCCGGGTAATTATTCTATAAAGACCACACAACCGAATACTTCCATGGTTCACTTTCCAATACCACCTCCCCTCCAAAATACCTCCAATAAAAATTCGAAAAAATGTCTACCATTAAATGTGTCCAATGCAAACGGGACAAATCTGTTCTGGATTATGATCAAGATAGACATGGTGCACCACGTAAGACCTGTCAATCATGCTTGGTAAGTTCTGTTGACATTATCTATGTTGGTTTTTGATACTAAACAATATTTCAGCAATGTCAGCGCGAACAACGCAGGGTCAGAGCGGAGTCTAGGCAAATTCAAGCGAATCAAAATATTGAGGTATTTACTTTAAATTTCTAAACTCTCTCTCAGCTACTGAAATAATTATTAGCGTGCTCCTATACAACCTGTCGGTACTATTGCTCCCCTCGCTTTCATATCTTCCCGTTTGTACTGGAATCGATTGGAACTTGGGAACATGAATGTTGTTTGTTCTTCGTGCCATGCCCTGCACTGGCTGGGGGAATGTGTGGGTGGCACCGCAGCCGCCCCAACCTTTCAGAGCTGCTGCAAGAAAGGCGATGTTATCTTACCAGCTATAAAACGAGCACCACCTTACCTTCAATACTTACTGGAATCTTTGGACACCATAGCGAGACAATTTCGGACCAATATACGGGAATACAATGGTGCACTTACCTTTACGTCTGTCAAATTTACCGCTGATAACCGTCCTGCTGCACAAAACGGTGGAATTACCTGTTTCCAAATTCATGGGGAACTATTTCACATGCAGGGTCCTCTGCAACCTGCACCGAATACAACACCCTGTTTCGCTCAACTCTATTTCTACGATCCCATTTATGCATCTCAAATTCGCCATTCAGCACACCCAAGACTCAACCTTGAGATTCTACAACGTATTACTGCTGAATTGAATACCGTCAACCCATTCATAACTCTTTACAAAACCGCAAAAGAACGTTTGGACTCCCTACCAGCTGGGGAAAGCAATGCAAGAGTTCTTCTGAACCCACAACTACAGTTAATCATTGAAAGTGATGCGGACAAGCGGCGTAACAATCTCCCTACCAGTTATGAGATTGCTATAATCATTCCTGATGAATACGATCAAGCTGGCTTTCGTGATATTGTGTTGGCAAACAGGAATCCAGACCCGAATACAGCTTTCAGTATTATCAATCCAAATCACGCAGCTTATATGCCATTGCATTATGTTCTACTATTTCCGAATGGAGACTTGGGATGGCATTGGAGTTTACAATTGAGAAACGAAATGCAGCTTAGAAAGAATCTTCGATTAAGTCAGAGAGCATTTTACAGGTACGTTTGAAGATAAATACTCAATCAATATATATACTAACATGCATACCAGATACCGTCTACATTCACGTGTCGATGAGCCCAGGACTATCTTTCAAGCTCAACGTTTATTCCAACAATACTTGGTTGATGCATGGGCCGCATGTGATCAAAACAAACTCAACTGGATTCGCCTCAATCAAGGACAACTCCGATCAGATCTTTATAATGATCTGTCTGATGCAATGCTCCGAGATGATTTTAGCGCCGAGCAGACTGGCAAGCGGATTATTCTACCAAGCAGTTACAGTGGTGGAGATCGGTATATGCAACAACTCTATCAAGACTCCATGGCTATTGTTCGGCACTTCGGTCGGCCAAGTCTCTTTATAACATTTACCGCAAACCCCAAATGGAAAGAGATCACCGATGAGCTTCTCCCCGGGCAAAGTCCTGTGGATCGGCCAGATCTGATTGCACGCGTCTTTCACTTAAAACAACAACAGCTTCTTCAAGAACTTGTAATGGCAGCCATGTGGTTTGGTTATGCGAGGTGTTAGGGTACGAAGAGGAAGGGTTATGTAGTGTGGTTGGGTTTAGCGAAGCGGGTTTCTATTATGTTCTTTCTGTTTCTGTTATGCGAGAGTATGAGTCAGCATTGGGACAGGGTATGGATATATAAGAGGGGTATTGTCTCGTGATTTCTTGTTTCTCTTTCTTTTCCTTTCTTCTTTATGCAACCTCTGTGTTTTACAGTCACGAATACTATTTGGTTCACGCTACGTCATAGGGTTTACCCGGTATACTAGACCAGGTACAACCATCCATAGTCCATAGTCCACAGTCCCCGTTCTTGCCTTAGGTGTACCCTTCGGCCCCATAGTCCATAGTCCACGAACATCCTACGTCCACGTCTTCGCCTCGGTTGTATTCCTTGGCTTCATAGTTCCTACGTCCACAGTCCCCGTTATACTTAGGTTGCATCCTTCTACAGCCAACCGATACAACACCACCTTGCTTAGTTCTAGTTGCGACTATGTCCGACACCACTCAGGATACGCTGTTGCAGCGTCTTTCAGAATTTCTGACCACCTATGGTCCCCTCCCAGCCGATATAGACTTCGGCGAAGAACTTACGGAGGCTCATAGCCTTATTGCTAAATGTTTGGAGGCTCTCACCAAGCCTCTTGACATCCCCGCACCACTAGAACCCGTTATCGACACGGCTCAGGAAGAGGTCATTGCCGGCCTCACCACAGAATTAGAAGCAGCCAACGAAAAGGCTGCAGATTTTTGGCAAACCTTGTGCGATAACCAGGAAGATTCTACCGAGATCATCCGAGGTCGCGACGAGGTTATTGTTGCTTTGAAGATTGAGCTGGAGGAATCGAAGGCTGAAGAAGAAGAGCTTCGGTTCCGTCTGGCACTACACTAGGAAAGTCTCGCCATTGCCGACGAGAAACTCGCTGATGTTGATGATGAGATTCTTCACATCACTTCTATTGCAAAAGCCTGGGAGGCCCAAGCCAATGCTACCATTGCTGATCTTCGTTCTCGTATCCCCGTTTCTATCGCTACAGTTAAATCTCGCCATGTCTCCAAGCCTCGTTACCTGGCTCCTCGCGCCCAAAATCCTCGTTCCATTAGCAATTGGCGAGAAAGGCCACTTGAAAATGGGTCCTCAAAGCCGGCGTTAAAAGGTCAGCCCCTTTGGTAAAAAATGGCAAACCAAAGGGGCCAGCCCCGCCACCTGTTCCTGTTCTCCCTGCTGCTGCTGCTGTGTCTGAGGATAAGATGTCCGAAGACTCTCTTGTTGTTACCTGTTCGGTCTCTCAGAATCCCGACTCTTTCATTCCCACCTACGCTCTCATTGATACTGGAGCATCAGGATATGCTTTTATCGATGAATCCTTTGTACGTCACAACAATCTTGCAATGACCCCCCTTAGGAAATCTCGCCAGGTAGATGTTATGGATGGAAGACCTATCCAGTCAGGAGAAATTACCCACATTGTCGATGTTTCACTAGATATTCATGGTCACCGAGAAATTGCCTCATGTTTCGTTACAAAGTTGGGACATTATCCGATCGTGATGGGAATACCGTGGATGCGACGGCACGATGTCACCATTCGGCCAAAAGATAATCTACTTATTTTTGACTCTCGAAACTGTTGTCAACACTGTTCACTCAGTGGAACGACAGTCACTGTCCATGGAATATCGATCCCTCCACCGGAACATCATACTGTTGTCGTTTCAGCAGTTGAGAAATCCACCGTCGATGTCAAGCCACTAGTACCAAAGGAGTTCCACCATCGTCTCCATATGTTCCAAGAATATGATGCTTCAGTCCTTCCACCACATCGGCCGTCACATGATATTGAGATCGTATTGGAGGAAGGTAAACGACCACCGCACGGACCGATATATGGATTATCCCAGGTTGAATTGAAAGCACTACGAGAATACCTTGACGAAAATCTACCTAAGGGATTCATTCGAGCCAGTGAGTCGCCAGCGGGAGCACCCATACTATTCGTAAAGAAAAGTGATGGGACTCTCCGACTATGTGTGGATTACCGAGGCCTCAATGCGATCACGGTCAAAAATCGGTACCCGTTACCACTGTTAAAGGAAACTTTGGCTAAACTTTCGAAGGCACAGTACTATACCAAGTTGGATCTACGTTGGGGATACAATCAGATCAGGATAGCGGAGGGAGACGAATGGAAAACGGCATTTAGGACTCGTTATGGACATTTCGAGTATACTGTAATGCCGTTCGGATTAGCTAATGCCCCTGCTACGTTCCAACACTGGATCAATGATATTTTACGACCATACCTCGACCAATTTGTGACAGCATACCTAGATGACATTCTTATCTACTCGGAAACCCTGGCAGAACACAAAGAGCACATTCGAAAGGTTTTGAAGGTACTTGATGAGAGTCATGTTCACCTTAAGCCTGAGAAATGTGAATTTATAGTCCAGGAAACGAAGTATCTCGGCCTTATTCTCACCCCGGATGGGAATAGGATGGATCCAAAGAAGGTTGTCGATGTTTTGGAATGGTCCACACCAAGGAATCTCCATGATATTCAAGTATTTCTGGGATTTGCGAATTTCTATCGGCGTTTTATTTTAGGGTATTTAAAAATTGTTGCTCCGCTTACAGCTCTGACCAAGAAAAATGTTAAATTTGAATGGACGGATGAAAGGGAGGAAGCATTCCAGACATTGAAAAGGATGTTCACAACGGCACCCATACTAATGCACTTTGATCCGGATCGGAAAATCGTGGTAGAAACCGATGCATCCGACTATGTTTCTGCTGGAATTCTGTCCCAATGTGACGACGAAGGAATTCTACATCCAGTCGCTTTCTTCTCTAAGAAACATTCCCCTGCGGAATGTAACTATGAGATCTATGACAAAGAACTCCTGGCAATCGTACGATGTTTTGAGGAATGGCGACATTATTTAGAGGGGGCACAATTCCCAATTGAAGTTCTTAGCGACCATCGGAACCTCGAATATTTCATGTCAACAAAGTTATTAAACCGTCGACAAGCCCGTTGGTCGGAATTTCTTTCACGTTTCGATTTCGTCATTCAATTTAGACCAGGGAAACAAGGAGCAAAGCCGGATGCATTGACTAGGAGGTCGGGTGACCTACCTAAGGAGGGGGATGAACGGTTGACGCATCAAAGCCAGGTGGTTTTGAAGCGAAAAAATTTGGATTCAAAGCTAAGTTTGTTCGCGGGTTCTTTTTCAAATGAATCCGCTGAAGGAATGTCCACTGTAGAAGAGTTGTTTTCAAATGCTTATCAAGTTGACAGTTTCCCGAACAAAGTCCTCGCGATGCTTCGGAATGGCGTTCGCCATTCGAGTAAAATTTCACTTGCTGAATGTACGGAGGACAACAACGGTCGGCTACTTTATCGTGGCGCACTCTACGTACCGGACGACAATGACCTTCGACTAAAACTTCTAAAAGAATACCATGATAACCCATCGGCAGGCCATCCAGGCAGAGCAAAGACTTTGGAACTCCTGAATCGAGAATACTACTGGCCACGAATGCGAAATTATGTCGATCAGTATGTTAGGAATTGCAATGTGTGTGCCCGTAGCAAGGCATCACGCAATGCGCCCTATGGAGTACTCCGACCTATGCCAATACCTGATGGACCATGGATGGATGTATCGATGGATTTTGTTACAGACCTTCCGGAGAGTGATGGGTACAATGCAATTCTAGTTGTGGTAGATAGACTAACCAAAATGCGACATTTCATACCCACAACTAAAGAGGCGGATTCAAAAGAAGTAGCGAGGTTATATATCGATAATGTTTGGAAATTACATGGACTCCCTGAAACTATGGTATCTGATCGAGGAACACAATTTGTTGCGGAATTCTGGAGGTCCCTTTGCGATCGTTTGGAAATATCGCCAAAATTCTCTACAGCGTTTCACCCCCAGACGGATGGGCAAACGGAAAGAATCAATGCTGTGATGGAACAATACCTTCGAAGTTATGTTTCTTATCAACAGGACGACTGGGTTCGATGGTTGCCAATGGCCGAGTTTGCAACAAATAACCATGCTTCTGAAACAACGAGAATCTCTCCATTTTACGCCAACTCAGGGAGGAATCCAAGAATGACTTTTGGTCCTTTGGAACATGGTAGGACGACAGCGGAGGATCAGGCCAATAGTATTGCAAGGGAGATGAAAGATATATTGGATTTTCTAAAGGATGAATTATTTCGAGCGCAAAGGATTCAAGAAGAGTCCGCCAATATACGTCGAACTCCAGCACCTCACTATCGAGTAGGAGATCGAGTTTTCTTATCAACACGCCATGTCCTCACCAAACGACCATCGAAGAAACTTGATTGGAAACGCATTGGACCATATATCGTGAAGCGGATCGTTAGTCCTTATGCCTATGAGTTGGAACTCCCTCGTTCCATGAAAGTTCATCCCGTATTCCATGTTTCTTTATTGTCGTCTGCAGCAAACGATCCTTTACCAGGACAACAACAGTTACCACCACCGCCGGTCGAAGTTGAAGGACAGGAGGAGTGGGAAGTCGAGGATATTTTGGATTCCAGGGATCGTCGGGGAAGATTTGAATACTTGGTTAAGTATGTCGGTTATGACGAAGCTTCGTGGCAGCCATTGTCGGATGTCGAACATTCGCCCGATATTGTCAAACGATTTCACAAACGATATCCACGGAAGCCTAAGCCTACCAGGAGGTAGGTCGTAGAGGGGGGAGTGGTCTGTAATGGCAGCCATGTGGTTTGGTTATGCGAGGTGTTAGGGTACGAAGAGGAAGGGTTATGTAGTGTGGTTGGGTTTAGCGAAGCGGGTTTCTATTATGTTCTTTCTGTTTCTGTTATGCGAGAGTATGAGTCAGCATTGGGACAGGGTATGGATATATAAGAGGGGTATTGTCTCGTGATTTCTTGTTTCTCTTTCTTTTCCTTTCTTCTTTATGCAACCTCTGTGTTTTACAGTCACGAATACTGTTTGGTTCACGCTACGTCATAGGGTTTACCCGGTATACTAGACCAGGTACAACCATCCATAGTCCATAGTCCACAGTCCCCGTTCTTGCCTTAGGTGTACCCTTCGGCCCCATAGTCCATAGTCCACGAACATCCTACGTCCACGTCTTCGCCTCGGTTGTATTCCTTGGCTTCATAGTTCCTACGTCCACAGTCCCCGTTATAGAACTGAAACATAAACACATTTTCGGCCGCTATTTGGGATGTGTTTGGACCATTGAATATCAGAAGCGCGGTTTGCCACATATGCACCTGTTGCTTTTCCTACATCCTGATGATCGATTTGTTACACCTGAGAATATTGACAACATTATTTCGGTGGAACTCCCGGATCCAGAAACAGACCCTAATGGAGAGCTTCACTCGGTTATATCAAGTTGTATGGTTCACAGTCCATGCGGAGAGATAGCACCCAATGCGCCCTGTATGGCAAAGACAAATAACGGCGGTTCAGCTTGCTCAAAACGGTACCCCAAAGTCTTTCAATCAGAGACCATTCTCCAGGAAGATGGTTACCCACTCTACAGACGGAGAAATAATGGTAGAACATTCACTACTCCATTGAGGGGTATGGGATTCTCAAACCAGTTTAAGTTTGACAATCGCTGGATTGTACCTCATAACCCTTACCTTTCATGGCGTTATAAGGCACATATTAATGTTGAGGTTTGTGGCTCAATTCATGCCATCAAATATATACACAAATATATATACAAGGGTTCGGACAGGACAACGGTTGAAGTTGGCAATGAATTGGATGAAGTTCGAAGATATCTTCAGGGTCGATACATTGGGCCTACCGAGGCTGCCTGGCGATTATTTGAATATGGAATGCATGAAGAGTTGCCTGCGGTCATACATTTGGCAATACACATGCCTGGAGAGCAGCCGATATACTTCAACGCAGATGTCACTGAGGAGGAATTACAGCAAAGAATGGAAGCCGCCAAATCCACTCTCATGGCATTTTTCAAGTACAATTCCGAAAACTCTGATGGAAGACAATATCTTTACCAGGAATTTCCTGTTCATTTTACCTACAACCGTCAAAGTCGATCCTGGAGTCCAAGGAAACGTGGAGTTGTTATTGGTAGAATGTACCATTGCAATCCAGTGATGGGGGAGAAATATTATTTACGTCTACTTCTTACAGCTGTTCGTGGTGCCAAATCTTTTGAGCACTTGAGAACAGTTGGTAATATCCTTCATCCCACATTCAAAGCAGCATGCATTGCGCTTGGTCTGTTGGAAGATGATCAGGAGTGGATTCAATGTTTTACCGAGGCTATTGTTTTTTCGAGTGGATCGTCTCTACGAACCCTATTTGCAACGGCACTGTTATTTGGGGATGTAACTGACCCTCTCACACTCTGGACTCAATTCGGAATCAAAATATGTGACGATCTCCCTAACGCATTACGGAACAATGAGTCACTTCTGTTTCCTGAAAACATGGAAAATCCACACCTCGATTACGGCCTGTATTTGATCTCACAAATACTTGCTGACTCTGGCAAAACCTTAACGGACTTTAGCATTCCTCCCAACACTAATGATTGGGGATTCACAAATGGAAATGAGATGATTGCAGCTGAACTCCGATATGACAATCAAGCGGAAGCTCATTCATATGAAACCGGAGTTGGACAATTGAATGCGGATCAATTGAACTGTTTCAACACCATCATCCAAGGAGTCGAAAACCCAGCAAATGCGCATTTCTTTCTACAAGGACCAGCCGGGACCGGGAAAACCTTCCTCTATAAGGTTTTATGCAACTATTTCAGAGCACAAAATAAGATTGTTCTTTGCGTCGCATCTTCTGGAATTGCAGCACAATTACTTCCAGGGGGAAGAACATCTCATTCACGATTCAAGATCCCAATTGTTATCAACGAGTCCTCAACCTGTTCTATCGACAAAAACACTCTCCTGGCTGGATTACTCCGTCGAACCGCGCTTATCATCTGGGATGAAGTTCCAATGCAACATAAATATTGCTTTGAGGCTGTTAGCAGAACCTTAAATGATATCAATGATGCTAATGATGGTGCCTTATTTGGAAATATCCCGGTTGTGTTGGGTGGGGATTACGTGCAGATACTTCCTGTTGTGAGGCGGGGGAACAGGGGACCTATTGTTGCAGCTTGCCTTCAAAGTTCTATTTTATGGCACAACTTCAAATTACTTTCTCTCAAAGTTAATATGAGGGTAAGAGTTGGAATCGCAAACAGACAATTTGCCGAATGGCTTGCAGAAATGTCATACAATCAACAATGGAACGGTACAATTATTCTCCCACCATTCATCAAGATTTCGACCATAGTTGAAGACCTCTGCCGACATGTTTTCCCACTCGAGATTGTTAGCAGAGCACATTTGGATCCTACGGTTTTTTCAAGGCGTGCTATCCTGGCAATGAGGAATGATACAGTTGCCGATTTCAATGAAATAGTACTCCAACAGATATCAGGGGAGATCGAAACATACTTTGCCATTGATACCGCGGAATTCAGCAATTCAGAAGAGAGTGTGGATGAATTACCGGCAGAATACCTCCAGAATCTTAATCCCGCATCTCTTCCGCCTTCACAACTCAAATTGAAGATTGGAGCACCTATTCTTCTATTACGGAATCTTTATCCAAAGCAGGGGTTGTGTAATGGTACCAGATTGACGGTTACCAGGCTGGGACGGAGATGCATCGAAGCACGCATATTGGGTGGAGATTTTGATGGACAGATTAAGATTATACCAAGGATCAAACTTTCAACATCGGAGGGGGATCTACCATTTATTTTAACCAGAAAGCAGCTTCCAATTCGGCTCTGCTTTGCCATGACGGTAAATAAAGCGCAAGGACAGTCATTGGATGTAGTTGGTGTTGATTTGCGTATGCCATCATTCTCACATGGCCAGCTGTATGTGGCACTTTCTCGGGTCACTGATGTAGATGGATTGAACGTTTTACAGTGCTAGCAACGTGGTCGACAGACAGAAAACGTGGTGTAACCTGAAGTATTATTATAGTTTCCTGTATTTTAATTTCCTTTACAATGTTGTATCAGTCAGATATTGTACTTTATAATATCAAAAAGTGCGAAAATTTACACTGTAAAACAATACAAAATGAACAAAAAAAGTGCATCGAGTTACCTCAGCCGGTTATCTTCCACACACATCATTTTACTGATATAAGCTTGAATAAACGACTGGAGTATTACGCCCTTAGCTCCTAGAGGAATAAATTCATAGGTACACTAAGTCGGACAACCCTCTTCCTCTGCGGCAAGGCATCTTATCCACAAGTGGATAATAGGATGCACCTACGAGGCCCTCAATTATATATCGCCAGACCTGGGATTTGAACCCCAAGCCTTTCGACATATGTCAGACATTTAACCACTACACTAGATAGCAATCGCTTGAGAAAATAATTTCAGAAGTTTGTGTTAAAGCACACTAGCAACAGAACTATAAAATTTTAAGTTGGGCTAACAAAATTAGGTCACATTCAAGCGCACACTTCGCCTTGGCGAGGTGGCCCACCCCTAGTATGTATGTACGCGCCCCATCCTGGATAGAGAACTACGCCATCCTACATAGCTTATACCACTCAAGTTTTTTCTAATCTCCTCTAGAAAGCCTCGCCAATTTCTCTACAGCATAGACAAGAACATCTAGTTGCAAGCTCACCCTCACAGAAATATTCGAATAGCCGGCTCTTCCATCGCGAGCTTGAAGTGAACAAATCCAACATAAAGAAAAACTGAGCTTTCCATAATGTATGCAAGATGCCCTTCTCTCTGTTTATATACATGACCCAGGCCCCACTTCCTTACTGTTTTGAATCCCAAGCAGATGTAGCCGAATACTCCAATCGCAACCTTTATCCTACACTACCACGTAGCTAATTGCCCAAGCAGGATTTCACAAGCCCCGGATACTTCTCTTCCAGTACCTCGACAATCTCTCCCCACATCTTCTTCTGTGCAACTTGGCCTTCCTCGCTTGTGATGATCGCCGCTGGCCTACGTTTGACGGATACTCGCATTAGTTTCCATCTTCTTTCTACTAAGGAAGAAGGAGAAGTCAACTTACGGAACAAGTTTGCAAGATGTGGTGTACCCTCCATGGCTCTCTTGTCCCCGCGCCGCCGCATCCAGAAGAGTTCTTCCGCCCCTCTCTGCACTCTTCCCCACAATCGTGACGAAGAGGTTCGCTGCAAAACTCTGGTTCCTCCCTAGCTCAGACTCACACATTCCTGGATTCACCATATTCACTACAACCTCAGGTTTGCCTATGTCGGCACCCGGCACCCTATTTGCAAGCTCCCGGACAAAGTACATAATCAACAGCTTCGACAACGGGTACCGCTCCCACTCATTCGCCGGGTCCAAAAGATACTCCTTGTTATTTAGTACCTTCAGGACATTCTTCGTCTTGCGCTCCTGGAACGTGGTCAATTCATGCCCCTCGCTCCCAACAAGCACAAGTCGTGGTTTAAACTCCGGATGTAACCTCGCAGACTCCAGCTGTTTATGCAGAACCCACAGACACAGCAGCGCCGTCGACAACACATTTACCTGTAGCACCTCCTCCCACCCGTCTACGCTCTCCTTCCACCCCAAGCCTGCCATCGCAGCGTTCATAACTGCGACATCCAGCCGCTCCAGGCTCATCATTTTGTCAATAAAGTCCTTCGTTCCGGCAAAGGACGAGAGATCGAGCTGCCACACCTCGACAACGTCGAGTCGCAATGTGGAGGTCTCGATGTTGCGCTTAGCGGCTTCGCCCTTCTCAAGGTTACGAACGCCCAAAATGACCTTAGCAGCGCCGAGGCGTACGAAGTGGCGGGCGGCCTCGAGGCCAATGCCGGTGTTGGAGCCGGTTACGATCACGGTTTTACCGGTGTAGGAGGTGTTAGGGTAGGGTGTAGGCCAGATACCACTGAGGAGGATGCTGCACACGAAGCTGAAGGAAACGTTCGGGGGTGCCATTGTGGATTTTTGCGAAATTTGTTGGGGATTGAGAATATGGACCACTCTGTTGGATGGAGCTTAAGAGCTCTTATATCTACTACCAACAGCTATGAACGCATAAATACTTAAAGTAAACTCTGGCAGATCATCATTCAATTTAGGGGGTGGCCTTGTTACTAATCCCTGTAGATCTCATTATCCCGGCAGGAATAAAACTTGCTGTGCTCCATTGGCGAACAGAGCGCTCGTTACAGGGACAAAGCCACCGTCAACTTGAGATAACAAATAACAGTCACGGCTAGGAAGCCCTGTAAGAAAAAGTAAAACATAAACGCTACATACACATCTCCCGGAGCCTCGATTTATGGTTGGTTTAGCGGGGATCCCACGACGCTACGCGGGGCGATCGTTTGATATCTTCACCATGGGCTGTGTCTACAGATACGAGGACGCGTACTCTGCTTATGTGTGTAGGATTAATTATTAGAGTACCTAATATTCGACTATGCATGAGGGCTGCTAAACACTTTACTGGTGCTGCCGGTTTTCCGGATAGAGCAGTCGATCCGATTTGTACGCCCATCCTTTAGAGTAAGAGTAGTTTTTTGCTACGTATCATTGGTCCCTATGAGCTAGGACGTCGCCAAGTTCATCGGCACCAAAGAAGATCCATCCGGGTGCAGAATCAAGCGGTATGCCGGAGGACTTATATCTCCCCGAGATATATTGCGCTTTACACTGCCCACTTAGTTCGGACCATTGGTGGGTTGAGGCGTATGGCAACGGAGCATAAGGTATCACTCGAGCGCTTGGCGGTGGAGTCTCGACGCGGAAATAAATCGATTACTGACTTTAATTAAGTACAGGTTTTAATTAAGTATATAGGACATAAACTTGATATCAGAGGTACTACATTAGTGCTCTTCTGGGCTAGTACGGGATACTTTGTGATGGTCTTAATTTTCGGCATTGGGAGCGCGGGAACGGTCCTCAGCTCAGCTGGGTATCGGCGCGAAGGTAAAGGGGCTTTGAATTTGAAGCTTTGATTGCTCTATCTCGCGACTAATTGGAAGGTATTCTTGGGGCATCTCTCGGCCATTCTGGACGTTTTTACGGGGTCCGATATTGTGTTGCCAGTTGATAGAGTAGGAGGAGCGTATTCAATCCGGAGGTTCTAAATAGCTCCAAATGTCTTGTGCGTAGACTCAAGACAATTGACACCTAGAGAGGTCTTCAATTGGTACGAACATAACTACAAATACTGCTAGGATATACAAGCATTTTCCGGCCTTTGGCCGGAGTAGGAACTGTTATGGCTTAAACAATATCAGTTTACCAACGCTTAAGATCACTGAAACCCCAAGATGCCCTGTGCACATATCTGATATACTATTTGGTTGACTCAAGGTATGTTGGAACCAATATCTACTGGCTGACTCAAACATATTTGATAGAATATCTACTAACTCCAACATATTTGATAGAATATCTACTTACTGACAAACATATTTGATAGAGAAAAAGAAAACCCCTCAAACCTGGCCAATCAAAACCTTTAAATAACACATTGCATATCGGTATATCTATATACTTATTAGATAAACAAAGAAACTTGGATAAAATAGAGAATCATGCGCCATTCACATAGGTAATTACATCCACCTATCATTTACGCAAAATCAGGAAGGAATGGTCGTATTTTACATTCATTAATGTGTTTTGTAGCAAATAGCCATATAGAGAGAGAAGCCGAGGAAGAGCCTCTTCTGTGGCTATGGTGATTGCGTACCTGGGATTTATGATACCAAATTGTTCGCCTTGGCCCCGAAATCGTGAATAGGGGTTTATCGTCAAGTTTCGTATACACACGCAACTGCTTTCTTGATAGGAACGTAGCGGCCATATTTGAAGCGGAGGAATATCTCCAACCGGAAGAGTCCTTCAGACCACCGCCGCAAGCCCGCATAGTTAGCCAGCTTAGTCTGGACTATACTATCAAACCCATGCTACCGGGTAAGAGGTACCATGAAATGTGACTTATAGTGGGGCGGATTATGGTTGAAGAGACATGCTAGGATATCAATTCTACGCCTGATTGTGGTTCGTCTCATCTATTAGCAGAGATCAAGGGACCTGGATGGAGCTATGTCTACATAGTTGATATCCGAAACTGATGGAAGTTAATCTAATAGCAAACTGGCACGCCCTCTCTGGGTCAATTATCTTTGAATAACTCAACCCGACTTTTGGGACCGCACTCGTTGAACCCGGCGATGGAAACTATATGTAGAGATGTAGAGCTAGAGCCGTGCTTACGGTTAACGAAGATAAACTGGCCCTGGGAGGAGTTGCTGGCCTCGGTAATCTAATCTAATCTTATCTTATCTTGATCATTGACAGGGTTCAACGGATGTGTAACTCTAACGACCCCGGCCGAACACAACATTAACAGGAACACGGACTTTAATTCTTCACATATTATGACTTTTAAAACCCGTATAGAGAAGTGTTACTTAGCCAACTATAAGGTTAAAAAAATGAACGTTAAAGGTGCTCAGATATCTCTGTTCAACTGTTCGCACAAGAGGATCCAGAGACAAAAATTATTCCGTTGCGGGGAATTGAACCCCGATCTAGTCGGTGAGAGCGACTGATGCTAACCATTACACCACAACGGATTGGTTGAGTTGAGCTCTCAAGAAATTATGAAGAATTATTTCATTTGAGAACATGTTTCATGAAAATCATGAGTGTGGTGTAGCCTGGCTATTGGTTTGCGCGAAGTATATTTTACCTCGCTTCCAGGTCATGACGCTAACGGGAACCCTAACCCTGGGTTTTAACCATGCGTGCGTTCCGGCAGTGCTAATTCACATATTTTCAATATGGACGACACTGTGCAGCAAATAGCCTTGAATCTTCAGCAGATCCGCAGGATTGACCGTTGGATGTCATGAAAGTAGGCGGCGGGAGTAGAAGATAATCGTACTGCGATGATATGGCAGGGATACAGTCTGGAACGATCATAGGTTTGGACAGAGGCTGAGGTCGATCGACCTGTGCGAATTATTTGTAAATCATCGCCTTAGATTATTGAAAGCTTTTATAAGATCTTGTTAAGTTCGGGTTTCACCATGAATACTATTTAGTGCTGATCACTGGGAAGCGACTAAAATGGGACCTAGAAAGCCTGTATAACGCCCGAAAATTTGAATAGACATATGAATCACAGCTGGCACTGATATATACTGCCCCCAATGGAACGTTAGCTACACTGTAGTTGGTTTTAGGGGCTAAGTTAGCTAGATTTCTTCCATCCATCATGTTTCCTATGTAAAGGGAAGATGCGTACCAAGAGTATGGTATGGAAAATGCCATATCGGCACCTATTTACTTGAGAAAAATAAACGCGCGGTAAATAGTTCAACAGATGGTACTATGTTGGCTGTCATATCGCGCGTGGTGAGGAGATCCTGACCAATATGTCGGCGGGTGTGCAAAGGCGCACTATACCCTAGAAAGTCATCAGTAATCTAAAATAACGACTAATCTCGTGACTGCGTGGAATTTTCATCGTTCTAGGCATGCTAGAGTGGGAGATATTAATCTGTGCGTAAAAAAGGAATATCAGCTACTTTTGAGAGATGACGGGGGGATTCTGGTAAATATTCAATAATTGTAAGTTTTGTGAAGAACTTTGTTGGCTCTTGGTTCTCTATCCTGGCAATCCTGGCGTCGGCGTGGGACAAACTCCTCACATGGAAATGTGTCCTGTGTCACTATCTCGTTGCAACGCACGTGGTGTATATTATTTCCCGAAACTATGTAGAAGGCTTGAAGGTTCATTAGGCTTTGGTTAGACGAGATGTCTGGCAGATATATCTTTCAAGTAATATATTAACTTCAAGACGACCTTTTTTAAAACAGGGTATTGATTGGTCCCATGTATTATCTCAGCCCGTTTTTCGATTCTGAAGATAAAGTAGCTGATAGGTATATGAATATAGTGTAATCGCATTCAAGATTACCTTGACGTCACTTAACATACTTGTAGTCATGCACTTCCGAGAAAGGTGAAACAATCCTATGGAAAACCGCAGCAGGTACAAACTCTCGATATTCTTTATCGCATATTCTGCGCTGAGCCTTTTAGTATTCTGACCAGGATTACACTTCGCAGGGGCATACGGGGGTCGGTATTTGGTCGTTAAGCTCAGGAGATGTATGGTAGGGAGCGCGATAGCTGGTACAGACATTAAACCCTATTCCAGTTGTTAAGATCTTGTACAAACGCCCTGTTCAAAGCTCTAGATGACATTTCAACTTACATTGTCTTTCGCCTAGTAGCTCTATCACTGAGTAAGCAATCGCCGATCGAGTGATATTTTGTGTTTCTCATTACTGTGAGGATGATGTTTCTTTACTCCCATCATATCAAAATCGCAAAGAGAACTGGTACCCAAGTTCATGATTCGCTACGTAACCTTGACTGCCACGGTCACATAATATCACACGTGTGATTCGCATACACTTACCGCGAAGGGTATAGTGGGCCACTAAGCATTCAGCGTTCGAAAAACAATTGCAATCACAATCAATTCTTTCCAAAGAAAATTTCTAGAACAGCTTCCGGGTCATTTCCGGCTGTTTGGCGGATTGATAAATCTATTCTTGGCCTTTACGCATTGGTAAAACTGAATCCTCCAAATGGTCGATTTTCAAGTTGCACTACAGGGTTATCGTCAGCTCTCAAAAGGTCTTCTAGAGCAGCATGAAACGAGAAGTTCTTCACGAATGTTGAAGGAGAGCAGAAGTACCGTTTCAAGATGGAGGTTTTCGCACAAATTTATCAAAAGTATACCGTTTGCAGAGATTTTAAGATATGATCTCTTTCGTATAAAGCGAGAATATTACCAGCAAGAAATAAATTCCTCATTACTCTCATCAGCTTATTCCATCAGGACCTTAAGCCAACAAAGGACTATTAAGTACAATTAGCTCAAGCTTCAAGAACATTCAATCATTGACCAGAATACACACAAACCTCAAGATGAGCGCTCCCAACACCCCAAATAGTAGCCAAACCACCGCACCACCTAATTCTCCAATCTTCGGGAATCCAATCGCTATCCCCGACCGCCTCCGCGCCGCCATCGAAGCCAAAAACGCACGCAAAGCCGCAGACCATGTAGAAATGGAAAACGAAGAGATAGCCCGTGGCATACGCAAGCTTATGAGCAGAGCCAGCATAGAATCACTGAAGCCAGAGACTGAAGAGTCTACTGCTATCCTCATGAGGCCTGCGCGTCCAGGCCAAGGAACCAGGGACCCAGAAGCCGTGAATCTACCGGCGAGATTGGCGAGGAAGATAGAGTTGGATACTGTGAGAGAAGAGCTTGAATGGGAGAGGACAGAAAGCGAGTGGCATCAAGCAATGACTAGTCGGGAGCTTCCTGAAGGTGCTGGTTGGTATTCAGATGATGAGGATGAACATGCTGATTCTATTGGCAGTGATAGTCTGGTATCGGGTGAGGATGAGGCCTCATCTCCAACTGCGGGTACAGACAGTATGAGAAGAAGGGATCGGATAAGGCGTGCAGGAAAAGGCCTACTTAGAAGAATGAGTAGTCTTATCCCAAGGACCACCAGGACACCTGAGCAGAATTGATTATGGAGTTAAGCTATAAGCTGCGAGGGTTTCCGAGTGGCAACATATTAACCACTTTGTGTTTGTTGTTCTGTAATTCTTATAGATGAATATGTGCGTCGTAATATGTGGAATGCTGATAGATGAGTACGTGTGTCGAGATATAGCGGATGTAGCCTAAAAATGGTGTTAGTTACTGTTGAAAGAATCTTATGAATACTCCTATTTTCTAATTTTGATGGTGATAAACGGACCTAAGCATGAATATCATAGTCCAAAAGAGTACCAGACGTAAGGATTTAGCCTAAATCGGGACTTGACGAAGCTTCAGGGAGGTCCATCTGCGCGTGTACCCACACCCGGTACTATCAAGATTACGAAAATTAATTATAACTTTATCCTCTAGGAATCCCCATACATGTACACATATAGTACCGACCCTCATTACTTATTATAACTAGAAGAAGGGAGGATGGAGTCATTGGTGTCCCAGACTGAAGGCGATCAGTTGCTTCAAAAGGACCGTAGCGGTCGCGTCGATCTAGATAACCCGGCTTCGTTCCTTTGCCGAGAGTTGGTAGATTCAATCCAGCGATGCGAGCCTGGGGAGTCTTTGAGAAAGTTATTCGTGATGGATGTTAGTTTGAAGGATTACTATGTGCGGACGTGGTCGGGATGATGGGATACATATCCCTCCAAACTAGTACAACCCTAACCCTACATAGGGTGCGACCAATTTGAAAAACCGACGAAAGATTTCTAAAGTTTAGATTACGTTGCGTATTGTAGTTTCTGGAAGCTGGCTCTCGAAAAAAAATGACCATACAAATTCGGCAGAAAAAAATGCAGCAGCCAAGTAATGGGTTGCTCCTATTCTTGACCAGGGTTCGAGACCATACTTAAAGTTCCCCTGATCTGGAGGAGCTTCAAATAGACCATCGCATATAAAGGTCAAGTCTAAATCTACATACGTACGTGCTCCTTCGGGTCTTCCAAGGAGAGCCAACGGTACTATCTACGCCGCTTGCAACAGTACAACTACATGTACTTCCACATTTCCCGAGCTCGTTCCCCGATATCCGGCTGTGTGTTACATGGTCCATGCGGCCTCCGAGACGCCGCTGCGAAGACTTATGTGTTTACATATCTCGTCGCTGATCACCGGCATATAAAGGACTAAATACGCGGCGTGGATCATTCAGGCTCGTTTCGGGTTACAGAAGCTTAAGACACAGCGCAAGTAACAGCGAGTCTCCTAGGAGTACGGGCTAGGACTTAGAACTAAGATGGCGCTCCACGGGTGTAGCGCCTCATAGCATTTCACCTGAAACTATGTATATTCTTTGTAAAACATACGTAAATATATGGAAAAGATGCAATGTGGGAAGAAGAGTTGAAGAGGGAATACGTATTTTAGAACCCGCTCGTAGATTCAAAAATTTACAGCATATCCGATGAGAGCAGCTTCGAACCGAGGGCAACCTCCTGAAAACTGGCTTTAAGTCGGGACTGCACAGAATGATGGTAAACTATAAAGTACACCCAGGTGTACATGATACGTCGCTCCTACAGAAAAGGGGCCGCCGAAGGCCGTATTCGGTGGAAGAATTGCTCTATTACAATATCTGTCTACGTGCTCTTTCCCAATATTAACTAATAATAAAGCTGGAGCGGGTACGTACGTCTGTTTCGTAAAACCTACAATGCGCCTGGAGCTGTCCCTTTTTGCCATGATATTCTGCCCTCCCGGATAACCAAATTCCCCATCCACCCTGTTTTAAAAGACAACCTATATGTAGTTAGATGATGCTGTCTAGAGAGTATGATGGTGTAGATTACATTAATACTCAACGAAGCCGTTTCCCATCTGGCGGGGAGGAAGGGGCCCTCCATGAGGAGAGTGCAGTGACGTAGGGAGGGTTAATTAGCCCTGGTCCGAGTGAGACTGTGTGACCTGACCTCGGATCGCACTTCCGGGTATCCAAGAGTAAGGAGTACTGCGGAGATACAACAAATTAAGTTCCTGATTGTGTTTCCGGAAGCAAATGAGAGTTTTTATTTGAAAGCCGATACACGTCTCCATTAGACCCGCATACAATATTTTGGTCAGCCATCGATCCAATAATAGGTGGCAAATGTGCTTAAATCTGTTTATAGAATTATGGAATGAGCTACGGCTAGCCGAAATGCGTGCTCACCCCGTGACACTGCGAATGATGTTGCCGATGTTTAAGGATTGATACTAGCTAGTATTAAGATACGCGTATATTTTGACCCCGGGGACTTTGGGTCGGGGGATGGATAGTGGAAGGGTCGAAAACCCTCATAAATGCAGGAACCTAGGAATCACGTCTAAATGTATATTTTTATGTGATTCTCAGATTAGATTGATCATGAGGATCTGAAGTGATATCTCTCTTCAGCTAGGCTTGGGGGTGCTTGGGTTATTTTAAAGCGATGAGGCGGCCGAAAATCGAGAGAAAACCCATAAGGACACAATGGTAAATCCAATAGCCGCAGCTCCACGTGGTACTCGCTGAGCAGCTCCAAACAAGCGGCAGAACCTGGGTTTTTCTTGCTGTATTGGTAGTTCTGCGAGTACCCAGGCAAAGAGGACACGGTGTCTATCTCGATGTTCAGAATCCGCATAAGTGCTGTCAGAGTACTGTCATGATAGGTTCTGGTATTGCCAATCAACACTCGATATCTGTATACCTGTTAGAAATTCACGCAATCTATATGATTGCACCATTTTTTGTATATAACGCATGATGAGAAGTCAGTAGGGGAGGAGTGTCAATTTCAAATTCCGATCGCGTGTTCGGATATCAACGGAATCCGATGGCCATGAGTTCCATGGTTCCAAGTCCGATAGATAACGTCCGTCGAGAGCATCAGAAGAATAGACTTCCGCTCCAATATAAACAACTTTCCTCATATCAGGTGATTCGTCAGCAAAGCTCGGAAAATAAAAGGGGGGCATCTTCCTCTCTATCCTCTCTTTTTCCTCTTTCAACTTCATCATTTGTGCCGTTATTTATAATCCTCCGTCATCTATCCTCGAGAATTCTCATCTTCCCTCAAGAATCCTCATCTTCAAGAGTTCATTTCTCTGATATCTACCATCAGAATACCCCATCCTCCATTCCCTTATTTCTATAATTATCTTATCCCTCTTCGATCTCATGGTTGCTCGTTTCCAAGCTTCCAATCCGCCTCCAGCCTCTCCTTCATTTCTTTGGGGCCTAGATTGATCTGACCAACTCCCATCGTCATCTCCCCTCTATTATCCCCATCCTTGGGCTTCCTTCTTCCCTCGGATTCCCCTCATTCGGGATCATTTCCACCCAACGCCCTCATCGGCTGGGCTCTCTCTCTCCTGTTGGCAATTGGGCTGCTCATTGCTCTTTCTAGAGCAATTTCCACCCAACGCCCTCATAGGGTTGGGTTCCCTCTCTCCTGTAGGGCAGCTGTACTGGGACCTCCAAAGAACAATTTCCACCCAACCCCTCGTGGGGAACGGTCTCTGCTCTCTTGTAGGGTGATTATACTGCATTTACCTCTTCTCCATCAACAACTACACCTTCATCTGGAGGGTCGCTTTCCCCTCTTTTTCTCTCCCCCTCTATATCTCTCTTATAGAGCAATTGTACTGCCGCCACCATCTAAGAGCTCCTCGTGCGTCCAGCTTCTATACGGACAGCATAGAGAGCTCGAAGAAACAGCTTATCCTTCAAAAGTTCTGGCCAAGGGCAAGTCATTGTGGTCGGGTCCGGCATGCCGGATTTGATATGTCTGGTAGTGGTAAGGCTGAGTTCCTTTTGTTGCTGCTCTTTGTTTGTCGTTAACTGATACTGATTCGAATAGTTTATATATACCACATACTCTAAAGCCTCCATTGTTGAGCGGAGATGATAAGGACCACTCCACACGCAAACAATATCACTGGCAATGGATATGGAAACTGTGAATATCGAGAGGTACCTCCGGGACTACCGATTTTATTCAGGAAGATCTCTTTCCGGGTGAGTGAGTTAATAACCAATCTTTATGGCATTCAAAAGAATATTTATTGATATTGTCCACTGTGAAATTAAAGACATAGTTCTGACGCTGCCACATTAGACATACACATCATTTTGCCCCTCCGAGATTTCTCCAGAGATCAGAAGCCGACAGCATCATTCGTTTGCCCTCTCGGGAGAGGGTAACGAAGTATCCGCTTCATTGCTCTCCTGCAGGGGGTAACGAAGTATCCGCTTCATTGCCCTCCCGGGAGAGCAATGAAGTATCCGCTTCATTGCTTTCTTGGAGAAAGTAACGAAGTATCCGCTTCATTGTTCTCTTGATTGGTGGGGTATATTTGTGGTAAGAATAACGTTACACCTCTCATTTGGAATTCGGTTTACTAATGTCTGTAAGTAGATATTAGCACGGACAATTGAGACAGCGAAGGAATTTATCGTAGTTTCCACTTGCTCCCGTGGTGGAAGCCTCACGGATCAACCCTCGCCAGGGGTATCTGCGTCTTTTAGGTGTGCTAATTTTGCACGTCAACCTGTTACTTATTTGAATCCACTCACTAACTGAATCGTCAAATCATTCAACAAGGGATTCTAGCCAGAAACCCACCTATTTCTAATCCCGCCAAGCAAATCACTGGAATTATGCTTGTTTCCTTGTTTCTGGTTCGCCTCCCAAGCTTTCAGCAATTATTGAGAAGACAGAAGGATGCTAACGACTCCTTGGTCTAGCATGGATGTCACAATCAATTTCGTGAGCTTGCTTTCAGGTCTCGCCGAGGAAGGTTTCCTCTTACATGGTGAGATGACGGACTTCTTTGAGGATTACAGGAGTTTCCTCGGTTTGTCACCATAACCTTCGAATGGTATGTGACCTTCCTTCCTTCCTTCCTTCCTTCTTAGCTCTAGTTGTTAGGAGAGCCCCAGCGAATTGCAGTTCATACTAAGGCATTTTCTAACAGCAACCCGCAGAAATTCCCACTCTCACGAGTGTCATTATCAAAGGGATGACCAGAGAGATGGCATTGTTGGTTTGTGCCAATCTTTGAGCAATCGGAATCAAATTCCAAGCGGTGCTAGGCTTAGATAGTTTTAAATGAAAACTGATTTTTGTTCGTCCAAATTAGTCCAACTACTATGATAATCGTGATTTGTAGTTACTCAGTATCGAAATGTCCGGATCCTTTGTCATATTTCTTGGGAAGATATATTATATTGCCATTATTCGTGAATGCGTTTGATCGCGGGTGAGTTGTTCTAGTCGAATGGTGCTAGAAACCGTGAGTGAGTATGTAGATGCATATGTGAGAGTTATGCCAGCACTCTTACATTGATGTCAATTGTTCAATACTGGATAACGCCAATTTAGCTAATGCATATCATCAACTGTGGGGGTCTTGCACACGAGATCGATTCTTTAATGATGAATAGCGAATAATCTTCCAGTGAGGCTACATTTACCTTTGCAATTGGCAGCTTTTAGCCTGTGGATTTCCAGGTCCCAGAAAGCCTCGAGCAGATGGCTCTCGTACAAAAGGATGAAGTTGATACATCATACATGAAAACTCGATGCCAGGTTTTTTGTTGAATTGTGGTTACTATTTGTGCTTCTGATGGTTTGTTTGGTGATGTGAGGTCCTCATGAGACATGCAAAAGATGCCACTATATTTTACCTTGCTCTTATCTAAGCAATGGGTAAATGTATATCCGAAGAGCCAAGCACTCGATATGACGTGTTCCCGCGTTTCCTTAATACCGGCCACAATCTTTGCCCCCTCAAAAATACAAGCATAGTACCCGAACTATATCAGGTGCGGTGAATTTCAACCTTAATTTTCGATGTGGCCATACCAGCAGCCCTAACCCTCTCATGGCGCCTTATCTCTGTAGCTGGGCTTTGATAGAACATCAACAAACGTGGTCTCGCAGAATCCGAAAGACTTGTACTTGGATTCACACCTACCCCAGGAAGGCTGATTTAGTGGTTCCTTGCGTACCATATCGCCAAATCGAAAGGGAACAGGTATATATTACTATCTCCTGCCTCATCTGTTATCCATAGGTCAGGACCATCATCCGAGATTGCTAGCATGGTTGTATCTTAGCCTGTCTTCTATCTGGGAACCTACCGACTTAGGATGTTGGCTCGGGTTTCACACTACCGATGTAGATGGAATTAAAGTTTATATAGCCTCCTTCTCAGCACACATCGCTTGATTACACTGTTCATTTCGGGAAAAATATCGGCGAGAGTTAACAGGAAATCTCCCGCAAAAATTTGGCATGTAACCTAATTCGTACTACTGATTATTTTGGAGTGGGCCCGGGGGGGGGGGGGGGGGTAGAATCCCGCCACCGGACGAGGGAATATAGATCGGGCTACAACCCTGATTTTAGTCTAGATTAGTAAAGTATAACCAAAGAACCTCTTCTGTAGGGATATTACCGCTCTGAATTACATATCGCTGACCGTGAATGTGAAGGATCGAAGGCAGATATAACATATATGTGGTCACCAAGCATCTATAACGAGTGCAACATGTTTCGTCGAAGGCTTAATGGATACTTACTTCGTAGCATGAGCCTTATGGAGTTTTTGTCGTTATTTTAGGATACTTCATATTTTAAGAACTCAGGCTGGTATCAATCTGGAGGGCCCGTGGTGTTAGCTGGTGTTCGGTGGTGGGAAGATATATATTCGTCGGTACCATGTACCACTTCTACCCCGAATTGAATGTTATTGTAGGATCAGGTACCTCGATTATATATATCTCATGAGAGATAACTGATTTCAGGGTGGTATGTGTCCAAGCTGTATGGTGTGACTTTGCTTCTTACGTCGACAACCTGTCAATCATAGGATATCACTCGATATATGATCTTGGCAGCTGGGCTGCGAATCGAGCTGATGAAGTTGACAAGGCCGTCAAGAGTACTTCCGGGAATTAAATTAAAAGCTTGGAAGCTCGTATTATGTTAAAATACTTCAGTTGCTTCCTGCGGCCTTGAGTGCTAACCGAGAAGGGAGAACTGTACTATTGCGCGCGAAGGTAAGCCTAACACCACTAAATAGTTTCTATTCCGAAAAATACCAGTTATTTACGAGGTTGTGGATATCCGGATATTCCAAGGGCGATTTTAGTTGCCATCAGGCTTAGCACCGGGTTAGGGGGTTCTGTTGATAATGAGTTTTGTATTCTCAGTATTATTCATCAGGAGATGTGAGCTGGGACAGATTATCCTGACTAACTATAATCAAGATAGGACATTGGTAGCGGGAAGGTAGGGTGAGAGTGAATTTACTCTTCCCGATGCCTTCAACTGCTGGGAAATTCTGCTTGGTGTCTATAAAGCTTTACTATCGAGAATATAATGAAATTGAACCTACGAAGACAGTATAGCCCACGAATTGACACCGACCTTCCTCTATGCGATTACCGATATACAGCAAAACCTACCATAATTCCACCCCTACGGTGGCCAAACTTTGCTGGAAGTATCGTAGGGATAGAATTTAGAGAGAGGTATTTGTTAGTAAAACACAAATTCCGTTCCCTCCGGGCGCTGGAAGTTTGGTAGGGATGGAATTTCGAGAGGGTGGAGTTATGATAGGTTTCTCTGTACCCTTATACGGCGAAAGACTCTTATATTGGTTGGAACTGCAAGAACTAGAAGAGGCAATATAGTTACTGCAGTACTAGCAGTTAGTGGTCAACCTCATTACCGTCGGCTTTACGATGACAACAATAAAGTAATCGGTTAGATAGTGAAAGTAAAATATAAAAAAAAACTTTAAAATTTCAAGCTCCCTACAGTATTTAGTTATCACTCATGCCTTTCATTGATCTTGAACTCTTGTTACTACCGTGAATAATATGTGGTTTGGTATGAATACGTGTGTAGTGACCAAAAAGAAGCCCTCGCCTTCTGGATCCCCCACCAAGGCCTGGGGTCACGTCCATCATGATTGCGGCGCTGTTGCCATCAACCCGAGATATAACGCGACGAATAGATCACCGTACCGCATTTATTAACCTTAACGTGTCAATATATATCGGAGCTCTAAGGCTAGCGATCGATTACATGGCAATGATAGCCCGCGGCGGTGACGTTGTCTAGTAAAGCTACATGTACGTTACCGTTACTGGGAAAGTTACTGTTACATATAGTTGTCCATGTCAGGCATATATCTGATACGTATGGTTAAGCATGGAAAGATATATGTAGTAATCTCTCCGTCCCAAGATTTTATGCGTGGTTGAAGCACACTTACTTTTACATCGAACCCCTCGTCTTTCATATTAGAACACTAAGGCTGAACAGTCTCCTACTTCCGCCTAGACTAAGGAGAAAAGAATATATTACAATTTGGTAGCACTTCTGCATCGCCGGCGCATGAATTGTGATTTTATCTGAGGCCTGTGATTGGAGTACATACACCTCGCATCCCGTGCGACCTTTGGCTAGAGGGAGTATCGCGACTGGAAACGTTTAAAACTCGATAAATATTTGTCCTCTCATTGCTCGGCTTTTTTGACGATGGGCGAGGAACTAGCGGACGCGGTGAACTTAAACTTAGAACCTCCCGTTTTGAAAGGTACGTTGCATCTCACTTTACAAGTGGAATTCGAACTAGAAATACTTATTATCGGGGTCTAAACCTGATAGGAAGAGAATTTCGGGATGTCGTAGATAGTGCTTTGCTTGAACATCGAGTGGGCAAAAACTATCGTGTTATCAATAAATACGCTTCCCAAAAAATGCTGGACTCCTCAGAGAAATCAAGGTGGGGATACTTGAACCCGGAGGATCTAGCCAAATTCAACAAGAGACTGCTGGAGCCAAAACCAGGTCATTTCCCAGCAAGCCTAACAGTCGATTTGCAAATTAGGATGACCTGGATGTATATCACATTTGCTGGAATAGTTGAATACGCGTCAGATCATCTGGAAACTTTGACTGAAACTGAGCTTCAATTATTGGAACTGGCTTCGCAACGAGTGAAAGATATGGACCAGTTAATCACAAAAGTATGGGATATGCAAGCATATGGTCACATATGGATGGGTCATTTTCAAGGGCCGAAGGCAGCATTGAATAGATTCCCACCAGAATTCTATAAGGAAATCTTGGATCGATGGTGTCGTCTGCGAAAAGAAGTGAAGGAAGACGACATCCAAGGCGTGAGATATCTAGATGAATGGATGCAAAATTTCACAAGACGTTACAGAACCCCCAAAACGGAGATGCAATGCTTTGACGTATGGACGGCTATCCATGACGCTGGTGATGAGTGTCACAAAGGGGAGGTAGTAGAGGCGTGGCGAAACGCGATTAATCAGTTTCGGCACGATAAAGTAAAAATCGGAAAAATAGAGGATGCTATTGACGGGATCGCTGCAAGACTTTCGTCGGAGAAGTTAATGATAAAGGATGAGGCTAGTAGATGCGGTTGGAACAGCAAGCATAGTTTCATGGTAGAAAAGAAAAGGATGTTTATCCACAATTCGCACCTAATGGTTGACTTACAACTGCGTCTCAAAATGCGTGCTCACGGGGAACAAAAGGAATTTACTTTGAGTGATTTAGAAGCTTTAGCTAAATTACGGGAGGATTCGATAACAGCAGGTTTGGCCGAAAAAGCGCCGATGGGGCTTTCCGGAAATCCAATCAACATTTGGTTTGACGAAGTTATGTTTTACCTACCATATGAGCGAATATGCTCAGGGTTTATATTCAACTGGATCCTATATTGTACAAAACTGGATCATATTGAGTTTTCAATCATGTTTTGTATGAGTTTTGGTATTGTGGAGGAGGACACTAGGAATTGGTTCACCGATGACACAAGAAAGAAAATCCCTTTATTCATTACCGAACTCAAAGGTTTCGTGAAGAGAAGGCGCATGAAAAAGAAGAAGGGGAAGGGAGCTGCGGAGAAAGCTCTGTCATTGGTTAGTGGTCAGAATTCGAATGGGGGGAAGGAGAATAATGAAGCACCAGAGGAGCTCGAGGTTTTGAGGAATGACGAGCAAAAAGTGGATGCAATAAGCGATCCCGGAAGATCAGATAACTCGGCTAGGGGAGCAAGCGAAGATTCAGAAGCGAAGAAGGAAAATTATAAAGATATCACGGCTAAAGATTACAATGAGCCTGAGGATACCGAGAATATTATTGCTCAGACCTCCGGAGTGTTGAAAAAGAAACAGATCTTGAGCAGGATGATGAGACCTCGGCAGAAAATTAATGGTTGTTTAAGGTCTCTAGAGGAGGATAGTCAATCTGAAAATGGGGATGGTGGTAGCACTAATGCTAGCTCTCCTCCAATATCAGAAGATAACTTTGATCCTATCTTGAAATTAGAGACTGTCATTGTTCAAGAGGGCTTGAACGAGGAGATGATCAGCAAAGGATGCTCTCCCATAAAGGGAGTTCAGCATTTACCCATAAATCATGAACAGGAAGAGAATTATCCACCTCTAGGGAGTGGGGATAATCCCCCAATTGGAAGGAAAAGGCAAGATGATGGAGAAGGGGGGGGAGTATTGGACCTAATACCCGTGAAAGGAATTGTGGATCCAACACCTGTGAAAGAAGACGATATTCAACCTCTATCACCAACGGGGACCGATCACAAAGAACCCGAGACTGACAATGCTAGTTGTAGCAAGGTTGTTGATCAAGGGGAGACAAAGATTCCGGATGCCTCTGTATCAGAAACGAACGGAGGTGACATTTCCGGTGTGAGCCTGGGACATCCAATCGACTCAGCCAATGAAGCACCTAAATATCTCTCCAAAGAATCTGAGACTGACTATGCTAGTTGTAGCAAGGTTGTTGATCAAGGGGAGACAAAGATTCCGGATGCCTCTGTATCAGATACAAACGGAGATGAAATTTCCGGTGTGAGCCTAGAATATCCAACCTACTCAGCCAATGAAGCACCCAAAAATCTCTCCGGTGTTGGAACACCGAAAAATATCTATGGTACTGGGATGATAGACGGAGTGCGAGAAGCTAGTCCATCGTCGCCTGAAGAAAAGGACCATAAAACGCCCGATATAAACATAACCGAGGTCAAAACCATAACACGTTCGGAGATTATGAGCGACCCTATTGATGTCGTGGAGTGTCGAGAAAAATCGTTCAAAGGCAAGGAGACGGATATGTTGTCTCCAAGCGAGGACATCATCCAGGATGTCACTGCCGAGAGCGATGGAATGAAGGCATCTTCCGAGAGAATACTCTTAAAGGATGCCGGGAGTGCCCCTCAGAACACTCACGAGAACGAACAAGAGTATATCGGGATTGTCGCTCAGAACCCTCCTGATCCAAGGCAGAGGGAAGAAGAATATTTTGGTTATATTATTTTGAGTGAAGATGACAATAAACCCCCTGAATCCAGAACAGTACCGTTTGAGAGTCAATATCCACTGACGGGTACGGAAGCCAAGACACCTTCTCCTCTCACACAAGAGCTAATATAATCGTTCGACATGTAGCAAGATACACAGTGGAAGGTCTGCCGACGCAAACTGTAACCATTCAGTGCAACGATCCGGCCTGTTACATACATGTAGATGATGGGAATGGTGGCATGATACCATACCATCCTTCAAACATGGGTGTTAATGGTGGAATGAGCTATGCACAGTCTCAGACATATCAGCGAGCACACTCTCACTCAGTACCTATATTTCATACCGTTCCCACGGGCCCGGTCTTTGCTACACCTGCCTCTGTTAGAACTCAAACTAGTACGAACCAAGAACCAAGAGGTGGAGGTAGAGGTAGGGGTAGACCTCCTATCGTTGGGTAATTTTTTTAGAAGAGAGATTTCATGCTCTCAGAATGATGAAAGATAAATAATTGAGAAGAGTAAGAGTATCGTGATTAGGGAACATGTAAAACGAAAGAGGAACGAACAGGAATGTGGGAGATTCAAAACGCGGAGTTGATCAGGAATTGAGTCCCCGCAGTAGTTCTAGAGTATATACTTCCAACAGTACATTAAACGTGCAAATTTCAGATCTTGAAAAGCCTGGTAGAGGTATGAGCAAATTATCTCATTTTAGCTCTTCCTTTCTCAGTTCCTCCGGCACAATAAACTAGCTCATTACTCTAATTGTACAGTAAAATTAACAATGGCTACGCTCACTTTGAACCACGTCACATAGATATAACCTTAGGAACTACGCGTAATAATTAATTTTACCGGGCCTTACCCAATCTTTTTTTAAAAAGTATCCCGTATAGTGCCAACATCAACCAACGACCGGTCATCCAAAAGCTCTGTGCTCTCCCAAAACATAAAACCCACCCTTACAGCATAAATCTCGAGTAGAAAGCTTCATGAGAGCCCTTATGTCTTCCCGCTTGGAACAGAATCTCAGTCATGAGCTATCCTCACTTCATTGAATCTTGACGTGGGTGTGTTAAAGCAGTAGGGAGATTCGCCGAGTAAACACGAGACTAGCTACCAGATTGTAGCCTCAAAAATCTAGGTGTCTGTTCTGAGAGAAGGTGGGTTATCGCTGATTAAAAGTTGGACGGGAGTGTATTGGGGCGAGGTAAAGATTGTTCGTACATATGTTGAGATCTAATAAGATGTGTTGTAGCTCTTCGGCAAAATATAAACTCAAAAAGCTTCAGGTAACACCCTAGATTCCCCCCCCCCCCCCCTTTTGTGAAAAGAAGGTAATCATGAAATATCACTCGCTTTTCTAGAGATTGGTGATGGCGTATCAGAGCGATATAGGAAGTATCTATAGATGGATTAGAAACTTTGAAACCGGTTATGACGCTCATCCCGGTAAATTTAGAGTTATAAGCGCCCCATGTGTCTCTCCTGGGGCAAGAGTTAAATCATTGAATATCACTCGCTGTCAAAGAACTCGACGCGAGGGGTGGAACTGCGGTGTGTTAACCTGGGCATACAGGAATGCCATAAATACAATTTGAATCGAAAATTGGAAGCCTCTAGATATTTTAGATAAAGGTTGTTGATCATTAAGACTGATTCGCTATCATAAACACCGAGGAGGGTGGGTAGGAATGATGGAAAGAGGAGTTAGGTATATCTAAAATTATATTACTGTCTATGGGTATAAAGGCGTGATATCCATAGGTAACCAAGAGTTAAAATGCTTAGATGTCTTTTCCGAGAAACGTATGTTAATCATAAATTATCACTCGCGGTCTCGAACACAGGCGTCAAGAATAATAATGTTGAGACTTATTGCATTGTAAATTCAGTTGTACCGGCGTTTAGAAACGCGATTATTTATGCTCTATGTGGCTCGTACTCTCCAGTATCAGTTCACTACTATTCGGGGGCCTGTCTGGCGGAGGCTTGGGTAAATGTTCATATACCCTGTTAATACTCCGGCTTTACGGATGTATCTACCACGTAGAGTCGGCCTAGCTCTGAATATAGCGAGGAGGAGTGCTATGTAAATCCTCACCTTGAAGGTGAGGAAATATACCAGTCGGAATAACACCGCGGGGTTGTATCTGAGTGATAAAAAGTGGATTTTGGCAGATCTGCGGTGGAGGTGTCGTCTACTAAGACAATCACCATACTTAGAGTGTATAGTGCGAGTTAGAAGTCCCTAGGTATCACTTCTATGAATATATGAGTTAATCACAAGATATCACTCGCGTGATTCAAACATCGCGGGGGGGGATCGAAGCGATAGAGAGAAGAGGTATAATTACTTTGGAGTGGAATAAGGTATTTTACTGTTTATGAACACACATATAACGGGTCCACGGCGTAGTTAAAGAGCTGGATGTTTTAAAACAGGCACTTTCTTGAAAAACACTGAGTCATGGAGTATCACTCGCTGTCCCGAAAATTACTGGAGAAAAGTTGAAATAATTGAGCGATGGGTAGAAGCATTACGTATATTTGTGAGATACATGTAACTGTAACTATCTCTAGAGTATATTCTTTTCGCTAAAAATGTTGCTCTCTGTAGTGTTCGTTTTACGGAGCTCCGTTGCGATACGGTCAAGAGGACCACCTAGGTGGCGGTGATGTGCACACTAAGAGTCTTAGGGAGGAGAATATTAGTACATGTAAAGATATTTAAATATGTAGAATGATAGAAAAGCTCATACAGAAGTTATACACAGCCATTGCCAAAATCCATCTCTCCACCTTCTTCCCCGGAATTGTCTCCACCATACCCACCGCCGTAATCCACACCGTACGTCGCCCAGTCCTATAAAACCAATATTAGCCAAAGCCTTCAACAAAACCCTCCTTAATTCCCAATCCCGCAGTTGCCACAAGACGAGCAAACTGGTCATCTCTGGGGGCCTGCGGGACCTCGCAGACGAGCTCACAGGTCATTCTGCGAGACAATGAAGGCAACAGACAAGCTAACTGGTCATCTGGTTGCGCCACACAGAGGAGGAGCTAGCAGGTGGTCTGTGGGTCTAAGGATCAAGAAAGGCGGGAAGAGAGGAGCGGAGAGAGAGCAGGAAAGATGAGAGGATGGAGTAGTTATTGATCCCTAATCCCGCAGTTGCCACAAGACAAGCAAGCTGGTCGTTCGCGGGGACCTGCGGGACCAAGCAGACGAGCTAACTGGTCGTTCTGCAAGACAACAAGACAATGAAGGCAACAGACAAGCTAACAGGTCATCTGGTTGCGCCGCGCAGAGGAGCTAGCTGGTGCTCTGCGGGTCTAGGGATTGAGAAGGATAAGGCAGGGGCAGGGAGTGAAAACGGGGCAAGGGGGGAGAGAGCAGAGAATTAGACGGCGGGGTTTACTTCCCGTGGTGCATCTGAAATAAAGATCAAGAAAAAGCTTGTGTATGGTATGTTGTTACTCCGGTTGTGCATCAAGGAAGGTGCGATAAAATTCGAGATAGCTCCCTTTCTGAACTTCATTTCTCTCTCCCACTCTTCAAGCCGCTATGTTCCTACGCCAAAGTTAGAAGAATCACTTGTAATAGCCACTGAGACCAACATACCACATACGTCTACCGAATTATTTCCCGCGCCGGAATTGCTTGTTCAGAACAAAAACAAAGCTAAACAGGTCATCCAGAGAAGCGATAACCGAGCGCCAAACAAGCTGATGGAGACCTCCGGCTCGAGTAACACCAGTCTATGAGCCGTTTTGAGGTTATAATAGCAGTGTTGATAGGTGTATTTGGGACGGCCTGGGTTTTTCGTTCCGGTCGGAGGTTAGTGTTGAGCTGTTCTGGTGCGAGAAAGATGGGACGCGAGGGAAGTTGGTCTCAAGTGCCGGTTGCTCATCGTAAGCGATTTTCTGTGAAATATTTTGGGCGAGTGGGAGGGGTTGCTGTGGAAAGATTGAAGTCGAGGAGTGATAGCTTGCTGAGGATGGGTGGTTGTGTTGGTGTTGGTGGAAGTGCTGCCTCGGGGATGATGTTAATGGTTGGATTCTTCAGGGCCGGATGGGACGGGCCGTTTTCAAGTTTCAAGTTTGGTGATAAAGGCGTGCTAGCTTCATTCGTTCCACAAGATGGTGATACTCAATTGTTCCGCAGCCATACAAGTTACTCTGGCTGTGGTGATTTAATCCAGAGTCTAATAAATACCCTAGAGCTCGAGGCTGAATCGTACCGGTACTAGTAATATCGAATCCGCCAATTTTGGGAGTTTTGTTTTCACCTTCGCGTCTTCGGTCAACACCGGACATGTTTAAATCTGCTCTCTAGTCATTTACATAAACACCCGCATGGGAAATATTCATACAATAGAATAACGTTAATTTGCCGTACATACTCTCGGCAAAAGACGCTTGGAACTCAACACTCCGCAACGGCCCTACATGAGCATATCCGCAGAGTGTCCTTATCCTTTACCAAAACGCAAATCTCCTCTCAATCTTCCTTCTAAGTACCGGAAAACTACGGAGGCGTCCCTCCCCACGCCACTCTCCGCGCCCTTCCCCGCGCCCTTCCCCGGCCCCCTCTCTGTACCACTCCCTGCACATCTGCCGGCGGCCCTCTCGGCGCTCGCTGGGGCCTCACGCGGGGGAGCTGTTCCAGTTGGGCTGCCCTCACCCCCCAGATATTAACAGGTAGGGCAGTGTTCGGCTGCATCGCCGCTGTGTCCCCGGGGGCAGGCGGCCGATCAACGCGCTCCATCTGCACAAGGCTCCCGGGAGCAGGCGGGGGATTGGGGCGTTGCAGGCGATTGAGGCGCTGCAGCTCCCTGACCTCGCGGAACAACTCGTCCATGTACTCGCGATTAGGCGGTTGACCGAGGCGCTGCATCTCCATCCGGTGCCTGAGAGCAAGCGAACTTCTCTGATTTATCTCTCGGCGTCTGGTGGCCATTAACTCAATATTCTCTAGTTCCACATTGGAAGGCGGATCTTCGCGCTCCACCTGCACAAGGTTCCCGGGAGCAGGCGGGGGATTGGGGCGCTGCAGGTTATTGAGGCGCTGCAGCTCATTGATCTCGTGGAACAACTCGTCCAAGTACTCGCGATTAGGCGGTTGACCGAGGTGCTGCATCGTCATCCGGTGCCTGATAGCAAGCAACCTTCTCTCATTTATCTCTCGATGTCTGGTGGCAATTAACCTAATAGTCTCCAGTTCCACAGCGGTAGGCGGATCTTGGCGCACCACCTCCCTTCGCACCTCCTCTTGCTCTTCAGCGGCGAGACGAAGCATATGTTCTTCGATCAACGCATGCATCTCCGCATGAAGGTCATTCCCGTCGTCGTCGTCGTCGTCGTCGTCGTCCTCTTCCTCGGAGTGGTCTGCGGCGACTCGCCGGAGTGGGGGGATAGGCGGCGCTTCAGCGGAGGCGAACCCGGCCAGGCCGAGGATACAGATTACAATGAACAAAACGATATTGATTATTGACATGTCTGCTGCGGCTATGAGGGTTGTAGTATATTATTTATGGGCGGTGAGATACTTGTAGATGTTAGATATTGCGTGAAGATTTTGTGCTGTGTTGGAGAGTGGAAATGGGGGCGAGGAGTGGGAGAAAGGAGAAGGAAGGGGAAGAAGGAACGCAATTTGAGTAAAACGCAGTTGTATTGAGGACAGAGCTTCAAGTTTCTGATAAGTGAGGTGGCATCTTCTTTTATTAATTCGGAGATGATTCGGTGTCCTGTTCCGTTTTCGATTGAAAAGACAAGTGTATGGGATAGGATGTGGTCTCATTTGCGCGGTATGTACTGGTTGCGGATTCAGACATGGGCAAGCTTCAGAGTGGAAGTATCTACTTGGATCTATCTATCTACATGTATCTGTCTGCATATCTATATAGATAAAAGAACAGGTCGGCAAAGGTCTTTCGCTAAAACATACAAGTAGCCCCCCTACCTGGTGCCCTCGCCATGCGCCATTGAACGGAATAAAATAAGTACAACTCATGAGGTACTACTGAGGCGCAGGAGGTGATGGGATACTTGGATACCTGTATTTAGACCGTAGGAGATGAATGATAGGCGGTAAAAGGCATAAAATCCGAAGGATAATGGAGGCAAATATTCCCTTCGGCTGTCGAAAAATACTCTCTACTTTAAGATTATGTAGTGCTACAAGCTTGAGAGTTGCAGATCTCTTTAACTCTCTTATCTGCACACCACCGGCCCTTATCTTCCATTCCAGCGCCCACTGTATCAACAGTATTTCCGGTAGCATAGTTGATAATGCGCCTGCCTGGGTATCAGTAGGACCTTTGCCATGGGGATGGGTTTGATACCCTCGGTGCCTATTTTTTGAGATTTTCTTTTTCATCTGTGAGGGTGTGGATAAAGCAAGAGATAACTGTAATAAAGAGATAGTAAATATAGAGAAAGATGCAGAGAATTGGGGTAAATTATAATATAACTGACCTCCACTCCCGGTGGTGCAGTACTGTGTATTAAGCTCACGAAGAAGCTGCTGTACGTGTAGGCAATTAACTGCTGGCCTTCATAGCCACAGTTAGACACTGGCCGCCATCCTCCTCTTTCGTGTCCGGAGAAAAGGCTGGTGCAGACCCCCAATGCCGGTGGGTGGGCGGTTGAATTTAGGCGTTGTGTTGGGCACGAACCTGTTCGAGACGAGCCTGGAGCTCGAGCTGGCTTGGACTGTTAGAGAAAATGCTCAAGGTGTTCAAGGTCAGGGGCTAGGCTCGAGGTCAGGGGCTAGGCTCGGAGCCAGGCTCGAGCCTCTGTTATTATGCCTGAAAATAGTTTTCTTGATACAGCTTTTATTATTTAAACACGAACTCTGAACATTTGTCTTAATTTTATTGTTCCATTTTGTTTCATTATGATCTTAAGATAAACCGACTAACAATAGTCCGGAAGGGTTGAGCTTGGACTCGAGCTTTCTTCAATTTTGGATCGAGCTGGCTTGAGCTTGTGGGAAAGAGGGTTCGAGGTGCTCGAGCCTAAATCTGGAGCTCAAGCCCGAGCCAGCGGTGCCCAACATTATCTAAGCTTATACGGGGTGCATTTCATTCCCGAGAGTACCTATATAGAACTTCAACATACTCTCATCACAACGTGTGAAAACGTCACCGACAGTCTAGAGATATAGTTATAGATGCTATCAATAGGCGGATCGATACCATCACCCGCGAGGAATAAATGATAGGCCCTCCCAGTTTAATTGAGGCCATAGCATTGGGGAGAGACAAGGAGGCGTGTAATATAAGTCGGTGCATATAAACATAGGCCGACACACCGGGGGGCCCGAAAACATGTAGTCCAAGATCCGCAGGGGGACGGAGCTCTCATGCCCGTATGGCATTTAGCGTTGAGGGATAAGTATGCTAGTTTTGATGTAGAAAACTTAATAGGATGTTCTTACTTCACTTTTTGGTCTTCTATTCTTTTTTGATCATCCGTTACGTAAATCATGCCAAGCTTTGAGATCATAGGCGGTCACTCGCGTTAATACCAGCGAGTGATAGTTCATGATTGAGAAACCGTCCATTGTGAACAGGGTTCTGTTAGTGCTTTGAGTTGTATAGTGACATTATTTGGCTGTGCTATAGTTCAATAGTCTTTGGAGCATCTCGAACGGGCAAGGAACATCTCGGTTGCTTCTTGCTACTAAAATACTAGGTGAGAGTTCCCAGCTGGGGCATTCCGGCGACCAGTGGTTCTCAAGTAATCCTTGGTTCAGATAAAAAGCCCGCAGGAAGATTTTTGTTCTATGCAAAGGGGATGAAAGATGCATAGCTCGGGCGCTCTATCGTTCTAAAGAGCGACCAGGAAAAGCGCTTTATATCTCTGAAACGCATAGAGTACCGGGAACTTTTTAAGCCATAGGTATATATGCGTACTTAATGCGTTAATCAAGACTCTTGACATATAAGCTACATAGAAAGACATATTTAACATAATGAAAGGAGTAGTACCTATAGTGTCGTCTGGGACAATGGCCAAATTTGGCGAATGGCGAATGGCGAATGGCGAGTTTTCAGCCAATTATAGAGTTGATACCCAACCAAGCCAAAGGGGTCGGTGAGCTTTTGTTGACTCGTGTTGGTTTTGGGCGGTCGATTCACCATCGGAAAAGGCTCGACACTGTCCCAGATAGTCAGTACACAAAGAAATACAATTTCGGTCCCATCGAAATTGGTATCCACCCCAACCTTCGGTGACTTGATGCCAATAATATGATTGCGATAGGATAGGAAGACAAAAGCTCTCTAAAGCATCAACACCATATTGTATGATCTTTGATCAATTTTTCTGTTGCGACATTTGCCGTGGTAAGTGGTCTTTGGATTTGGGTTCCGGATTCCCTCAGGGAGCTGAAAGAAGGACCTTTCGTGCGGGTCGCAAGAGATGATCGCTTCATTGTGGTGAGTCTCTACTATGTCCATGAAAGAACTCCATTTTAAAAATTCTGGAGCCCGGGGTTGTCTGTGAAGAATTGCTTTTCTTTGCGCCTCATATATTTTAGTAATTATGCCTGAGTCCCTTTTTTCTTCTTCTGGGTGTATAGAGGGTTAATTATTTCACAAGGGATAGCATGGAAAGAATTGATGAAGAAAGGATGAAATGAAATTGGATATTCTTAACGGAACTTATATTTAATCCAAGGAAGTTGAGACTAGAAGTACTATGGTTGGTGTTTGGGAAAATTTCGGTGTGGTAGTTTTTTGTGTCGGTTTCTAGCTTGTGTATGGTAAGTTAAGGTTGTAGTTTCCACTCAGGCTATCTAAACAGGACTTGAGAGGGTTCGGAGAAAACTAAGACAAGAAGCTACCAATTACCTTCAATAGGGGATGGTAGCCAGAAACCTCGCTCCAAACGCGCTAGTCATAAGTAGCAGCGAACTCGGAAACCTCTTTCAGCTCCTCGGTAAAGACTCAGAAGTTGACAGAGGATACTCCTATACCTCCAGGAAGCAGGCAAAGAGAGAACAGATTGCAGCGTGGAGGACGAGGGTAGTGAAGGGGAGTATATATGTCTTAACCAAAGATCTTTGCTGAAAGGGTTGTGTTTAGTAAAATGTTGGATGAAATCGCAGTAGTGTAAGGATAGCCGCGCCTGAACCATAACTCGCATGTCCACTAAAGAGACATTAGCATTCTATTTTTGGGTGGCGGAGGTTCTCGTAATTTTGTACGAGGATGGGTCATGAAATGACTGTAGCTCCATAACCACAAAAGATATAAAGGAGATAGTTATGTGTTGAGAGAGCTTAAGATTGGTAGAACATGCCTCTCAGGTATAAACCCCAATTACCGACTGTGTTGATCAGTCGTTTGGGCAATTTCTGCTGGTTGCTATGCGAAAATCACAAAAACGTTTATCAGCCGACAATACTGCAACAACTTTGATCAAAATGAACAAGAACTCGGACAAGTTCGAGAAGCCTATTCGTGTCCAAAAACTTACGTTTCTAATAGTTGAGCTTCCCTAAACAAAACTTAAGGTGTCTTTAGATCCCGGAATAGCTTTATCTCCGAATTGTCCCGCGTTCCACCCATTTTTAGCAAGGAGGTATTGAGCAGGCTAGCTGCTATTGGAGTCGTAACGCTGCTAAAAGAGTGAGAATATACTTTACGGTCGAAAGGGTCTGTTGATGGAGGGCGAGGAGCATGATTTTCGATGGATTTGCGAGAAAATCTACCGAAATGCCCCACGGCTCAGTGCTTGAAAACGGGGCCGGGGTGCTGGTTGCAACGATCTGTAGATCATATTCCTGAATTCATATTCTCCCGGAAAGCGGAGACAGAATATTTCGGAGAGCCGACAGGCTGGATGGATTTCATCAGGGCCGCCGTCAATCCGCAACCTCATACACTGAGGTATGATGATTAGCCCAAACAGAACATACCCTTTTTTTTCTTTCTTTTTTTTTTGCCGATTCCCTGACGATTGCGAAGGACCTGAGGATATTACCGTCATATAGGTTATCTCCTTCAGACGAAGAGTTCAATTGAAGATTCATGGGAGATAGCCACATTTTTCGAGGCCATGTTCTTGTTTCTCCACTATCTAGGCCCTGTCACAAAACTTCGAGAAACTGATCAATTTAGTACTCCTAGATTTTGAAAAGCCCAACTATGGATGTAAGGTTCTCAATAAGGCTGGTAGGTTATAAACACCTAGGATACTCTCAGAGGTCTGGTGTGGGCTCTGGTAGATATTAAGGAACAACAATTAGCTTGTCATCTTAACTTGTTGTGCCATGTACATACCTTGGTTTTCTCGCACATATCATTCCAACATTTCGTAGATCACCCTTAGGTAGGCATAGGTAGGATATAACTATGGGTTCCGTTAAGCCTTGGGGATTTGAGTCAAACTCGGCCGAAACCGTAGCGTAAATGGCAGCAACAAACGTAGATTAATCATGTCGTCTCTATTTGTAGGCTTTTGTTTTCTTCTCGTCTGGTCGAACGGTTAGCAACAAACCCCTCAGGGCGCAGAATCGATCGCGACGAACCCCGAGTTATGGTATTAAAGCTCCGAGAAGCCAAGGAATTTATTTCCTGTTTACTGTGATTGTACGCACGTTAGCCTTGATGCTATAAATCCCGCTACTGTATTTTACCCTGCAACGTGTGCGCTACTCACAGTGAATGAGTTGAAGAAAAAACCAGACAAACCCGGCCATAACATCCAAGTAAAAGCCAGAAAACTGGAGAGTATGAAGGAAGGAAACGGAAAACATAACGCCGCTCTATCTAAAGACGGATTGATTAGCCTATCTTATAGTTCAATAGGCTCTGAATGTGTATGGGACAATTTTACACTCCAGAGAGTTTAAAATCCTCCGCTTGCATTCCCGGGGGTGATGTAAAGCGGTACTCGACTCTGGAGATGTATATATATGTAAGATGGCGATCGATGTATAATAGATAAAGGAAAGTCAAAAAATGACTCACGATTGGTTTTCTCACCCAAGAATCAAGCAATTTCTCACATGAACTATATTCCCAAAACGAGGAATATCATTATTTTCCGGTGTTGGTGCGCTGCACTGCTGAAGCAAGCCTTCGATTGAGATCCTATACGGACACCGGCCTATTATCGGGTGTTGAAACTTCTCAAGGACAATTTGATACTACTAGATGAAGGTCAGCAAATATGTACATGCCCAAAACACGGAGTAAGAGTTCACCACAGGCCTGTAGCGAGATTCGATACTATTGCGAGAATATATCCTTCGACGATTTGTGTCAGAGTATTAGCATCCTCATCTTTGGCTCGAAACTGATGAAAAGGACGGTCACAGGATGGAGGTTTCATCAGCGAGAGGGTGAAACTGATTGGAGAGCGATTTGATTTATCTATTCGGGTGTCCAGGCGAGGTATCTCTAGAGGATAAAAGTCTGTTGTAAACGCAAGGGAAAACCGAGGGATTCTTATAGACTTCGGAATTTGCTGGGAGGTTGTTTTGTGGTTGTGGTGAGGAAAATGGGTGAGGTTAGGACGTGAAGTTGATGCTGGTTGGATTGTCACATGACTGACGACCTCAACACCACGCCCGACCACGCATGGCGGGGCTACAGATAGGAGAATAGTAAATTGCAAAGCGATAGATACTTGTTTTCAGAGAAACTGCCAGTGGATATGGTGAGCCTCAGATGAAGTAAGAAGTAGATGTCCTGATGGAATTCGGAAGCTGTCAATCAATTGCATGAGGCGTATAATGTGAAGATCTCAATCACGAGATTTACAGCGCGAAGGACTTAGAGATATTTTTTTCTAAAAACGATAAAAATTTTTTTTTTTTACTAAACTACATATACCAAACTAAAACCAAAGACTACAAGATTCACAGTGCGAGAGAAAGATGAAGCGTTACTTTTTATAATAATACTTTTTTTTAAAAACTAAACTAAAACTACAAAACTAAACTAAAAATACGAAACGAAAAAGAAAATACAAAACGAAAAAGAAAATACAAAACGAAAAAGAAAAATACAAACTACCTAAGTTACTCCTCCTCTTAACCATTTCCAACTCTTGTGCCCTTAAGGCCTTCTAATCACTCTACCAAGATTCGAGGAAATCGTTGGCAGAGGCTTCGAGCTCGTGGGATTGTAGTGGTTGCTCGGGCGAGAGGTAATAATATTTTAATGGCTGTGAAGCCCCGACCATGCTGATAATGATGATGGTAAGTAAAGGCCGCAGCCTTTCTTCGAGCTCGTTGGATGGTGACTCGGGTGATGGTTAGTCGATAAGGTTTTTTCGATGCTGGCCGCCGAACCAGATCGTAATCGTAAGCGCAAAGATGATGGTAATGGTAATGGTGGTACTGCTGGTAGTGCTAGTGGTGGTGGTGCAGTGCCGACGATGCTGATAATTTTAAAAACTGCCGCTTTTCTTCGCGCTGTGCGGAATGGTGTTAAGCGGCAGCAGAGTCGTTCGATCCTGTTGGCCCAAGAAAACCCAGTCTCTGTTGATGTTTGTGATGGTGCGAGACTTGGTTCCCTTGGTGCCTTGGATCCCGCTCCTGGTAACTGTGTGGGAACAGTCCGTCCACGATGCTCCCTTGAAGGTGGTTGAGAGCATCGAATTTTTGTTGTTCCGGAGTCGGCGATGCTGGTGCATCTCGCGGAGGAAGTTGGTAAGTGATTTTTCGCTGAGCCCGTAAGGCTGGTCGTCAGTCCAAGCACGATTGCTTGACTGCGGAGGGAGCTGTTGGTCGTGCGGCGCTCGTCCCGGAGTTGGTTGGTCGCCCGTGAGGCGAAGGTCTTGGTGCCCGTGGGGCGGATTCCTCTGTATGGCCATGTGGCCGGTTGTCGTTTCTTGCCCTTGGAGGCGTCTCTTCCCATGTCGCCTTCCAGGCGACTCTCTCCTCTCTCCCCAATGGAGACTCTCTCCTCTCTCTCCCCAATAGGAGACTCTCTCCTCCCTTTCCAACAGGATACCTGCTCCTTTAAAGGAGACTCGTTCCTCTGCCCTTTTGGGGCCTCTCTCCTCATGCCCGTCAGGGGCGCCCTCCTCATACCCCATCCTCCTCTTGCCCATAAGGCCTCTATCCCTTAGCCCCTTCAGGCCTGATCCTCCACTCGCCCATAAAGGCGTCACCCTCATGCCCATCCAGGCCTTTCCATCCTCCTCCACCTGCCCATACAGGCAACTCCATCTCCTCCACCCTCCACTTGCCCATAAGGCAACTCTCACTCCTCTGCGGGATGGCTCATCACACCATCCCTCCCAAACCCGCCCACGATACCGCACGCCGACGGACCCGATCCTGGCAGCCCGATGATCGACCACCAGGTGAAAACGAACTAGTAACTCGATGTAAGCAACAATCTCTCGAGGTTAATACTTACCTGGCCTTTGCACCCCACGGTGTCGGCAAGCCCCATTTCCCCCCCTTCAAGCACAGCACGGGCACCAGAGGTTTGGCGCGTGACCTGCCGCGGCCCTGTTGACGCCTCCAAGGAGCCTTGGAACTTTCCCTTCGACCTCGCGTTGGTGGAGAATCGACGGATCCAGCTGAGCTGGCACATTTAACACCCTTCGTCTGGACTGTTCTGGTTCTTGGGTGGCGGTTGTGGGCCGGCAAACATAAACATAAACACCAGGTAAGGAAAAGACATAAGAAAAACATGGTGGTTTTTATGCCTGTGGCCGGTTGCTGGGGTCCATTGACAGCTAGAGAGTGCCGGAGTCTATTACTCCGGCACATGGTGGCCACGACCACTTCTTTTGTTAGCCTGATACACAGAAAACCTTTTTTGAACAGAAAGGAAGAGGTGAAGGCACAGACCTTTGACTGAGTACTCGATGGGAAATGTGTTATCCGGTAGCCCGTAGGCATCCCGGCGGAAGTGGCAGGCCTGCCACAAAATTGTTAGCCTGATACACAAAGAACCCTTTTTTTAGACAGAAAAGCAGGAAAGATCGGTACAGACCATTAAATCCAGGAGAAAGACTGTTGGAGGGTCGGGAGCGCCAGGATGCCGGCCAGAGGCAAGAAGCTAGAAGTTGTTGTATGGTTAGTAGTTGGTGGTGTTTATGTTTATATTTAAGGTCCGAAGACCGCCAGCCCAAGAACCAGGATCCAGAGTCACAGGTAGTGCCTCGTCCCAGCCAGAAACGCCGACCAACACCAAGGAGAGGCCACATGAGGTCCGTCCCTCGGAACCTCGGAATTGCCTCCAGGGGGCGGCGGGCCGTTGCCTCGCCTTTTGGTGTCCATTCGTGCTCTCCGGCGAGTCGTGGAGGTGCTCCCGGTGTGGAGTGGTCGGGCCAGGTATGTCGTCCCCTCGGGGGGTTGCTGCCTACACCGGTTTATCAGTAAGTTTTCTCTCCTCCACACCCCGGAAAATCCGAGGCATGGAGGAGCCCAAGCCCGCAGGCGCAACAGTATCTCCCGATGAGCAGCAAGCTGCCCACCAACCGCCAAAGTCCAGACTCACCCTCTCCCTCCCCCCTGCCACGCTTCCGCCGCGCCTTTTTTTTTAATTTTTAATTTTTTTCGTTGGCCTTTGCGGCCCCTTCTCAGTCTTCTATACAAATGTTAGTCTCAAAGTCAAAGATCAAATGTAAGGAAATCACTGGAACATACGGTTGACAGCTTGGCTGCCCAGCCATCCGGTGCTGAAGACTGTTGCACCGGATGGTATATATATATATAAATTTTAAAAGATGTTGTAGATGGTGGTTATATATATATATGGTGGTAGATGGTGGTAAATGGTGGTAGATGTTGATATATGGTGGAGGTATATGGTATTATATGGTAATATATATTAATATATGGTAGTATATAGTAATATATGGTGATCTACCAGTAGAGTTAGTTAAATGCTTCCAAGTATAACGGAGGAGTTGAGCACGTACTAAATTGCCGTTCTTTGAACAGCCCAGATCTCTTTATATTTTTTTTTATATTTTTTATATTTTTTATATTTTTTATATTTTTTATATTTTTTATATTTTTTATTTTTTTATTTTTTATTTTCCTGCTCTCACAGCCGGTCATATGCCGGCTGTGAGATCCGTACCCGCAGAGGAGTTCTGGTACGTGCCAGAGCGTACGAGGCGGTTGTTGGTGTACGCTGGCGAGTTACTACAAGTGAGTTAGCTGACTGATGCCAATTCGAAGGGAGGAGGGGACCACTTACCACTTGCTGTTTTGGCAGCCCGCAAGGGGCAGAGCACAAATACCCAGGCGCCGAAAGGAACGACAGGCACCCAGGCAGGCGAAAAGAAAGGACTGATAGCTCCCCAGGCGGGGGGAGCAAGGCCGAAGACCCAGGCGCCGAGGGAAAGCACGCGCCGAGGGCAAAGACAAAACCGGAACCTCCCACGAACGGAGGCACCGAAAAACCAGGCCGAAAAGACGGGCCCAGAAACCCACCAGCCGGAAAAACCGAGGCCAGCAGCCAGCAGAGAAAGGCAAAGGGCACCAAGGGAGGCGGCACCCCGAAAACTCCAGAAGGAGCAGCAAAACCGAAACCTGCGTGCCAGAGAGGCAAAGCACGCAGGCACACGGCGACCAGAAAGACGAAGGCCACCGCGAACGCTCCTCGAGGAAGCAAAACCACCCACCCGCACACCAGAAAACCAAGGCGAGCAGGCAAGCAGGCAAGCAAAAACAAACGGCAGCCAAAGAGGCGCAGGCCACCGTTCAAGCTCCCAGAGGAAGCCAACCAAACACCCACCACCCAAAAGACCGCGGGCAGCAGGTAAAACACACAAGAGCCGGTAGCCCTTGCCCCCCTCCCCCCCCAATCCTCCCTCCTCCCTCCCCTTCCGATCCGTGCCGATGACTAGTCGACGAGTGCCTATATGCCCGGGTCTTCACCCGTGGGCAGCCAAGGGCTTTAAGCTGCTGCCCCGGGAGGTCCGAGGTCCCACTTGGCGCCGGTTTCCCAAGCGTAGTGGTCCCACTTATCCCCGAGGCAGCTTCCAGGCGTGAACATCCCCCTCGCCCTTGCCAGGGGTTCGGGAGATACTGTTGGACAGAGGGCTTGCCAGGCCCAGAGTCCGCGACATTACAGCATTCGGGAGCCGTTTTTCTGGGTTTTCCCAGGTATGGATGCACCGGTGTGCGGTCCATACGTGAGACACCAGGATTGTCGGTCTGTGAGAGTGTTAGTTTATTGTATTCACAAGTGAGATATAAAGATATAGGGGACTCAGAAACTTACTAAACCTCTGACAACTCGTCGCCAACCCGCAACACACCCAGCGGGAGTAGGCTGGATCCCCCGTCCCTCGCCACTTCTTCCTTCACCCCCTTAACATCCCCCTCGCCCTTGCCAGGGGTCCGGGAGATACTGGCGGACAGAGGGCTTGCCAGGCCCAAAGTCCCCGACCTTACAGCATTTGGGAGCCGGTTTTGGTAGGCCCCAAGTGTGGATGCACCGGTGTGCGGTCCACAAATGGGATACCAGCTTGTCAATCTGAGAGGAGTTAGTTAATGATACTCGAAGATACAAAACAGCGCAGTTAAAGAGATTGACAAGATACTATACCTTTCCTCTGATAATAATATTCTGCCCGCCACACACCCAGCGGGAGTAGGCTGGAACCTCCGTCCTTCAACCCCTTAACATCCCCCTCGCTCTTGCCAGGAGTCCGGGAGATACTGGCGGACAGAGAGCTTGCCAGGCCCAAAGTCCCCGACCTTACAGCATTCGGGAGCCGGTTTTGGTAGGCCCCAAGTGTGGATGCACCGGTGTGCGGTCCACAAATGGGATACCAGCTTGTCAATCTGAGAGGAGTTAGTTAATGATACTCGAAGATACAAAACAGCGCAGTTAAAGAGATTGACAAGATACTATACCTTTCCTCTGATAATCATATTCTGCCCGCCACACACCCAGCGGGAGTAGGCTGGATCCTCCGTCCCTCCCCACTTCTTCCTTCACCCCCTTAACATCCCCCTCGCCCTTGCCAGGGGTCCGGGAGATACTGGCGGACAGAGAGCTTGCCAGGCCCAAAGTCCCCGACCTTACAGCGTTCGGGAGCCGGTTTTGGTAGGCCCCAAGTGTGGATGCACCGGTGTGCGGTCCACAAATGGGATACCAGCTTGTCAATCTGAGAGGAGTTAGTTAATGATAGTCGAAGATACAAAACAGTGCAGTTAAAGAAATTGAGAAGATACTATACCTTTCCTTTCATAATCATATCCTGCCCGCCACACACCCAGCGGGAGTAGGCTGGAACCTCCGTCCTTCAACCCCTAAACATCCCCCTCGCTCTTGCCAGGAGTCCGGGAGATACTGTCGAACAACGAGCTTGCCAGGCACGAAGTTCACGACATTACAGCATTCGTGAGCCGTTTTTCTGGTTGATCCCAAATGAGGATGCACCGGTGTGCGGTCCCCAAGTGAGATACCAGTTTATCAATCTGTAATGGCGGCGCAGAGAGAGTTAGCCAATGATATCCACAACTGGTTTATCGAACAAGAGGCAGAAAGGAAGGAATTCTCAAGATACTATACCTTTCCTCTGACTTTTCGTAAGCACCCGCCACTCTAACCCAGCGGGAGTAGGCCGGACCCTCCTGTCCTCCGCCAAAATCGCCCTCCCTCCTGCCACGCCACCCCCCACCGCCGCCGTCACCCTCCTGAGAGAGATCTAGCAGCGGCGGAAAGCGCGCCTCCCCAAAGTCTCCCCCTGTTCCCCACCGTGAGGCAGCTCCCCGGTCCCTTGCTGCCCAAAGATCGGAGGACCCGTGGGCTGCGCGGTTCCCGGGGGGCCGGGATTCGTCATTGGGAGCGACCCAGCCAGGGCCGCCCCCTCCGGTTGTGCACCCCCTTCCTCGCGGGCAACGTTGACCACGCGCCTGACCCCCCGCCGCCGGGACACCGGGGCAATACGCCTGCCCTCCACCCCAGAAGAGGCCAGCACCGGAGGGTGCTGGGGCTCCACCGGGGCCTCCTCAGGCGGTGCGCACTGCTCCGCACTCTCTCCCACCGTCCCAGCAGCGGCTTCTGCCTCCTTGGCCGCCTTCTCGGCAGCCTTCTCGGCGGCCTTGCGCGCCATATCCTGGTCCTTCCAGTCGGCCACCATCCGCCACTGCTCCATGGTGATGATGACCCCGGAAGCCCGCAGATCGTCGAGCCAGCCAGGGTGACCGACGGGCCACCCCTCTGCCGGCCGCTCTGCTGCCCGCTGTGCCCGGAGCGCATGGCGCTCCGCCCTCGGTGCCAATCTGGCAACGTATTTCGGGCGCGGGTCGTCCGTCACCAGCGCCGGTTCTGCGGCCTCCTGGACGACCGCAACTGCCTCCTCGACCGCCGGTTCCTCAGCACCTTCGGTGCTCTCCTCTTCTGCCAGTGCCTGGTCCTTGGCCTTCCTCCTCCGGCGGCGGGCTTTCTTAGAGCCTCCACCAACCTCGGGGATCGTGCCAGGGGGGCGACAGTAGACTTGAGCAGCCTCAGGCTGCGTTGGGGCGGGCGCAGGGGTCAGCGCGGGCGGCGTCGGAGAGCGCTCGACCGGCACCTCAGGCGCCAGTTCCACTCGCGTGAACGCGCCCCGTTGCCTCACATTCTTGGCCTTGCCAAGCACCTCCGGGACTCGTAGGGTCCCCGCGGCCCTCGGGGCGAAGAAGAACGGCTTTGGGGTGCCGAAGATGCCGGGCTTAGAGCCCCGGTCAGCGTCGCAAGGAGGAACGGACGCCTCTGTCATCTCGATGTCTGGGCTCGAGATGGGCAACCCGGCAGTCGCAACGCCCGGGACGGTGCTGCTGAGAGGCCCCTTGCTATAAAGGGCCGACTCGGCAAACAACGTCACGGGTGCGCTCGGGCCGGGCACCAGAGCACGCCTCCTCCTCCGCGGCTTGGCCAGGGTCCGTTCACCGTAGCCCATCGGTCCCAGGTCGTCCTCGTCCATCGCCATCGAGTCGTCGGCCGCGGGGATGGGAGCCTCGGGGGCGGTGCTGGCGTCGGCCATCTCTATGTCCGCCGCGCGCGTATTCTCCGCCGTTTGCGGATCCGCCGTTTGCGATGTCTCCGCCGGACGCGCCGAGAAGAGAACCGCCGTTTGCGACACATCCGCCGTGTACGCGTGCGCTGCCGTATCGTGGGAGTCTGCCGTGGAGGAGTCCGTCATGGGCTCGTCCAGTACGGGAGCTGGCGCCTCTGGAAGCTCCTCATCCCATTCGGCCGGTGCCTCGGCGGGGGCGTCGGGCATTGGCGCCTCTGCGGGCTCTTCCGCCGCGCCGACAACCTCCGACTCCTCCTGTGCCTCGGAGACAAACGTCTCGTCGGCCGTGTCCATCAACTCGCAGTCAACACTGCTGTCTGATGGACGGGGGGAGTCTGAGGGGCTGCCTGTAGAGCCAGGTGCGTCAGTATGTGTTTGTGCTGGTGGTTTGGCAATGGGTTGCACCGGTTTGACGATCATTACCGGTGCAACGGTCATTGACAGGAGTGGGAGGGAGGAGAGAATGTGTGGACAAGACTTACCCTCGACGAGGTCCACGACCTCCAACAAGGCGGAACTCCCTTGTACAACCACCTCTACATGGACGTTAGCTATGGATTCATATATGTAATTCAAGAAACAGAGAGAAGAGAAGAATAAACATACCGGTCTCATACGGCCAGGTCAGTAGGAGCGGTGTCGCCACAGCTCCTTCCCCAGCCTGAGCAACGCCCACCGGTGGGACGCTGCTCGTGTACAAGACGAGGGGCCAATCCTCGTCAGGGAGAGGAGTGTCCGCCGCCAAAGCGAGGGCCTCCTCCTCCTCATCGCCGTTCCCCACAGGGAGGTCCAGCTCAGAGTCGAACTCCTCGACCCTGCTTGTCTCGACGCACCCGAGACTCCCTTGTTCGGCTGACGCTGTGCGGTCGTTAGCCATAGGTTCACAGATATAAAAGATATCATGAAGAATGAAGAGAGAGGGGGAGAACTTACACGCATCGTACGGCCAGGTCAGGAGGAGCTGTGTCGCCACAGCCCTTCCCTCCCCGGCCTGGACACGGCCCACCGCTGGAGACGTGCCCGTGTACAACACGACGGGCCAATCCTCGTCTGGGAGGGGAGTCCCTACCGCCAAAGCAAGGGCTTCCTCCTCCTCAGTATTGCCGGTCCCCAACACAAGGAGGTCCAGCGCAGAGTCGGATTCGACCCTGCCCAAGTAGACGAAGCGCCTCTCCTGATCCTGGAAGAGGCGCCAAACAAACTCGCTGACCAGCCGAAGCTGAGATCGGTCAGGACCAACCGCACCGTGCCCCCCTCCGCTGGCGACGTCGACCACCACGCGGTACGCGGGCGATCTGGGGGGTTGGCGGCTCCTTTCACGCGCGTCGCGCGCCTCGCGACGTGCAACGGCCTTCAGGAACCGGCCGAACAGAGTCCGACTACGGTAGTAACCGGCTTCTTGGTACCGTACCAATTGACGAGCAGGCGCCTCACCCGTATACTCGTCCCTCTTCCCCTCCGCGCAGACATCGGAGACCCTTCGGAGCACCGCGAGCATGGCCGCAGCCACACTCACGGGCCCAGGCAGGCCAGGAGACATGCGGTGTCCACGCCAGAGCACCAAAGCCGACGACGCCGACGAGCACCGGAGCACTTCGTCGACGGCGCCGGGGACAGGAGCTGAGGCGGGGACAGGAGGAGGAGGAGGGAAAGACGGGAGGGCCCCGAGCAAGTCTGAGAGCCCGAGCCAGTTCCGCGGGCATGGCCGAGTAGCGCGAGCCACAAGGGGTGCCGGGGGCGGGAGGCTCGGGCTTTGAGCCCATGCTTCGGACACACGGCTGATGAAGTGCTGCCTTGCCAGGGCCTGCGACTTCGCCATGATGTCCAGCTGCATGAGCCGTTCGCAGCTGAGGGGAGAGGAGGAGGAGGAGGAGGAGCCGGAGGTGGAAGGAGGGGGAGGAGCAGCGGCAGCAGCGATTGTCATCTTCCGGAGAAGAGATTCGAGCTTTTCGCACCTCCTCTCGGCCTTGATGACCCGCGCATCCTTTTGCTGCTCGAGAGCAAGCACAGGAACCTGCGGGGCCACAGTAGGTGGGAGAGGAGGAGCGACGGGGGCGGCGGGAGCGAGGGCGGCAGCGGTGGCGGCAGCAGAAGCGGTCATCTCCAACAGGAGAGATTCGATCCTTGCGAGCCTCTTCTCGGCCTTTGCGGCGCGCGCATCCTTTTTCTTCTGCTTCGGAGCCAGAAGAACAGGAGCCTGCGCGGCGGCCACGGTCGGTCCGATCGGAGACTGCGCGGGAGGCTCGGGGTCGGTCTGAGTGCTCGCCGAGAAGCCGGACCCGGTGCCGCTGTCGGTCTGCGTACAGGCCAGAGAGACACCGAGGGCGGACGACTCGGTCTGCGTGCCGGCCGACGCGCCCAGGTCGGGGGCGTCGGTCTGCGTGACGGCCGCTGTGCCGTGCTCGGCCGTGCTCGTCTGCGTGCCGGCAACGACCATGCGCTCGCGGCGGCGGCGGTTGGCGGCGGCATATGCTTCCTCCACCTCCTGCCAGGGCGGACGAACGAATTCCTCCCGCGCATCGTACCACAGGAGGCCTACGCTCTCGCTGGGTGGGGGAGAGTCGCGCGGGACGGCGGCCCGCCTTCGCACCGTCTGGAACACCAGCGGGTGCTCGATCGGTCGGGTGCGGGGCGGGTCGGCGAACGGATCGGTGGTCGGCGGTCGGCGGGGGCGGGCGAGAGAGGTCGGAGGGGGGCGGAGAGAGGTCGGGGGGGGGCGGGAGGAAATCATGGTCGATACAGTAGATCCGTTGATCGTACTATTCGATGATGATTTTTGGCGCTGGGTGAGTTTGTCAGACTCTCGTTAGGATTTCGATAGTTAAGAAAAAAGAATTTGTTGCCAAATTTTTAGTCGAAAGTAAAGAATTCCTGAATGACAAGGAGAAAAGAAAGGAGAAGGAGGCACGCGCCAAAAGATGGGAGGGTGGGCCGTTTGCTACTATCTGGGGAGCTGTCTTGGCACTTTGGGGGGGAGGAGTCACGCAGAGGGGGATAGCTCGATGATTAGGGGTCATTTTACAATTCTGAAAAAGCCAAATCCAGGGCAAGGACCGTGGGCATCTGTCACCGAGTCTACGAAAATCCATCTATCTTGTTGGTGATGCTGGCTGTGGAAAGGTTCGACGACGACAGTTCCCAGCGTTGACTTTCCATGGTCCTCAACACAGGATAGAGCACAAGATAGTCACTGAGAGTCCACCCCACCACAAGTGCATCGAAAAAGGTCGTATAATCACGCTTTCAACGGCGTTCATCTCTGCTAAGTGACCTCTATCTATTCATATCTATTTCATCTATACCAGGAGTGTAGTTCTAGCACTTGAGATTCCTGCGGATCCATCATTGACGTGAGGTTGATCGTAATTGGGCGGATTTACCCTGTCGTTGCGACGCTAGCCGCTAGTCTCTTGGCAGCGGAACTTTAGGTGTCCTGGAGAGGAGATTTACAGAACCAGAGAATGAGGGGGACTTTGGAAGGCTTTTGGGAGTGGTTATTGGTGGAAATGTGGGTGTGAAAGGTTGTGTTGGGAAAGAAAGTTGACTTTCACGTCCCAGTTTCGTGTTTCGCACATTTCTTTTTCACTTTCTGGGGCTTTTCTTCGCAGTCAAAGTTCAATTGATCTCTAGATAGATGGACAGGCGGGTGGGGAGAAAAGAGAAGTCGATGATGGCTCTCCTTCTAGATACTTTGATTCTGAAACCTTAATCTTACCTACTGCTCGTGTTGGGGCACTGTTCTAGACTACATGTAATTGTCCCGATACCTTTAGCACTGAGAGGTGGCCAGAGGGATTAAGTTCACGATTCTTAGGCTTATTGACTAGATGATCTTTACTTAGAGAAACTGTATGGCTGTATGGATTTATCGTACAAGTTTTACTGCATTCGTGGTCCCTACGGTTCTCCCTGTAGTGGGGCATTTCGAGTTCTGACTTGGACGTTTTTTTTCCCACTTTTTTTCCCACTTTTTCCCCACTTTTTTTCACTTTTTTCTCTCTCGCTCTGTCTGACTTTTCACTTTATTTTTTTGCAATATGTCTCACGTTTCCCCTCCCCTCCTTTTTATTTATTTTTTTTTTTTTTTTGCTATGTATGTACCTGACTGTGTTCTCCGGCTCAAGGTTGAGCACATATGTAGACAGCTGCTGAAGTGTGTTGCAGATAGTTCGAAAACTGAGTGAGATTTGATGATCCTGGGCTCTACTTAGGGTAAACTACATGAGCAAAAGTTCTAGAGGTTCACGAGATTAGAGTATTGGCTCGAATAATTGTCTAAGCCTAGGTTCTTATGTCACAAAATGAGATGGGGCGAGAAGAGAGTTGTCTTGTCATGTTTTGTTCTCTCTCGTAGCGATATAGCTGCCCGAGCTGTGTTAACTTAGATCGGTAGAAAGTGAACACTAGTAGATTCTTCTTTTGTTTCTTTAACTTCACTTAATGCTCTGGAGAGACCTCGTGAGTTTATCTAAGTACAGATGCTGCTCAAGCATGTACCAGCTCAACTCAGAGGAGAGTAGACACCGTTACAAACAAGAGTTCTTATATGATGATCTTGCTTTACTGCGCTCTAAATGTCACTCCTATCCTTCAAAAGACCTAGGTCAACGTACACCACGCCACAGCCAGAGTGGAAACAGCCAGACATCATGAAGGCTATAAGGTCGGGTGAAAAATGGAAGCACATCTACATCTACATCTAAGCTGCTTCCCCCCAAGTAAGACGCAATTAATGTTGCTTCCACTCTGATGTTACTCTGTGTACATCTTCATCTTCTCTTTTTTCCGTTCTTCCCGCTTCATGTAGCTAAGTCCCAAGAGTCTGCCAGTTCCTGTAGCTTTTTCTGGGTGGGCGATCGACTTACTTGCTCTGCTTGGAGCAAGCTGGCCAACCAAAGGCTCAAGACAAACTAAACCAACCCCCTCCTAACCCCGCAGGGGTTAATATCTTGTCACAAAGGTTAAACATACCCACTAGATGAAGTACACCTTCCACTCCATGACCGGTATTTGGCCACTCAAGGGCTGGCTCCAGATTCTGTCCGACCTTCCCAGCTGCAAAGAGCCTAGAGGGGTTTGTGGGTGCTGCGTGGTATGGGGAGTTGGTTGTGTTCAGAGAGCTCGGGGCCGGGGTGGACTTCTGTATGCCTGTTTTCGCACATTCGGTGAGCTTTGCATAGGTATATAGGTAGTCAACCTTGCCAGATGTCTAGAGGGATTGGTGAGAATTCGTGCACAATTGACGTGTAAAAGGAATTGAGCTCGAGGAAATGGTCTGTTATGTGAATCTGCCTTCGATGTTCTGCTACTGCCCTTGTTCTTGTGGCTGTGGTACGTTGTGGTTGCTGCGGCCTTTCCTCTAGTGGGGCATCTCTGACTTAGAGGTTTTCTTTTTTTCTTTTTTTTTCTTTCTTTTTTTGCGCACCCGCCTCCCCTCGTACTTCCACTTAGTGACGGGACAGAATCTAAGAAAGGTTTACACCGGTGCCGATATGTAGATCTAGAGAGCGGCGAGACAAGAAAGGAGCAGAGCAGGCCTAGAAGTACCCTTTAGTTTGCATCCGTTGTCTACCTAATTATGCTCTTCTTCCCACCCTGAGTCTTGAGATCGTGGTTTTTGACCTCCTTTCAAACATCTCTAACCCTATAGCTATGAAAAACACAGTGATGCCAGTGCATTTATCGCCGGAAGCCACTATGACCAAGCAGACACAAAACCTTGGCCATTGTCTCGAGGTATTCAACAATGCTTACAGATCAAAAGGCCAGAGTACGAGACGGAACTTAATTAGGGCCTGCCGCTTCTTGTACTCTCGTGACTATCGCTATCGGTCCATATTCCCATCTCCATGGTACGTGAGTTTGATGTGTGAAATTACAGTTGATAGACGATGAAGGGTAAAGGTTTTCCGTCTTTCTTTGACTCCACTAGATAGGCAGGAGTCACCATGATATGATGGCAATTGATCGGATAGAGTGAAAGAAAAAGCATCTAACCCGTTGTATCAAAGGTCCATCCATAGCGCGTCCTAATCGAGTTAGTGTTTATCGCCTGTCCTTGGCATTCAAATGGGACTCAGGGCGAAAAACACACATGGGCGAGTGGCTTAACGGTTAACTCGCCCCCCGGACGGACACCGTGAGGTTGTGCCTTGACTCCGATTACAGGAGGTTCAGGGTTCAATCCAGGGGTGGGGGTAGTAGATATGGCTGGACCATCAATGCTACCTTTTGTTCTTTTGGTGGATGGGCTGGGGGTTCATTCTTTTACAGGATTCGCTAACAAAAACGCGGGTTTCTTCATTTTTGATTACTTCCCTTTGTGCGTTCACATTTTGCTTTTCATCCTTTTATTTTCCACTTTTTTATTTTTTATCCTTCATTTTCCTCGTTTTCTTTTTTTTTCTCTTGCAACCTCCCCGCTCTAGGTTTTTTTACTTTGCTTGGGCGAGCCAACCAAAGGCTCAAAAACAAAACAAAGCAACCCACTCCCACTATATCTGGTTCATTTCTCCCCAGAAAGCTCAGTAATTAACCCAATCCCGCCAGATGTACCAAACTTTGTCAACGGGTACTTATCTATCAGTGAACGCGATCAGGCATGGGTTCTCACTGTGTCTTTCCCAGTTATAGAGTGCTTACGTTTATCCTTTCAGCTTTCTCAGTCATACGTTGCTGTCCTGGCGATCATCGATTGGATGCACCGTTTGCTCGTACATAGAGCTTAAAACATGTTATCACCACTTTCATACCCTCTCCGGCCAGATTTCCTACCCTGTTTCCTCCCAAACGACACAAATCTGCCCCCACACACATAATCTCATGCGAGGATCGAGACCACTGATCACCCCATGGCCGAGGTATTACCGAATAGTATACATCATTTCCCGACACTCCAGGCACGGTTGATCATTTTATGGTCGAGAGTGAAGCAATGCTTACATTCACCTGATCAATCGAGCTCTTTGCCGTACTAGTCGCATCAGATCCATGCTATTCACAATTACATCTACAGAAGCTGGACGTTGAAAGAAATCGGGACCACCGAAAAGGAGGAGACAAGGCCTTTTGAGCTAGAGAGGATTGCCATCCGTCAGTATAAAAATCTCTGCCTGTACAACTCAGTGGAATATCTAACTTGAACTAGATTGTGCTCTGGCGGAATCATTGTCGACGGTCTTCTTCAATTGTCTGCATAGATCTCTTCGATCAATATGCTACATATACCATCACATCCATGCATCAGAAGACGCTGAGTCTCGGCATTTCAAAGACTATACTTAGACTTTGAGACTTTGAGAATTTCAGTTCTGTATCGACCGACCTGTCATCTGTCTTTTTCCGCCCTGTGTACCCTTCGGTCCTTTGTGCGATCCTTTCAGCTCACGCCGACCTCTGCCTCTTATACGGTTCTCTCTCCCGAGCCGGGAACCCTACCTCCGTGAACAGAGTCCAGCTTCCCACACATTCAGGATGACAACTACCCCCATGGATATGTGGATATTAAAGCAGTTTGGCCTACACTTTTATGGCCTACACTTTTATGGCTTATACTGGAAGGCATTATATACGGATTGAAATATCCAGCGGGCAAGATCAGCAGCTGGCCTTGGAGGTGTATACGGTATCAGAGCCGCAGACTAGCTAGCTGATGGCCAGGGCTGACCCAAACAGAGTTAATCAAATCAATAAGATCGAAGAAAATAAATGTTATGGACTCTGATCTTTTGGTTATAATGATTGTGTGATCTGGTGCTGGATAAGGCTCATCTATGTATATTATATTGGAAGATCAACTTGCCTGGCGGGAAGAGCTGAGGCTACATACACTAAGATGCTATAATAAGTACACTCTCCCAACTGTTCAATAATACTTAATTTATCGACACGGTGGGTATCAACTAGTTCAAACTAATGTCATCCCAAAGGCCGCTGTTGAAAGAAACGTTTAAATATCAAAGGTGGGACACGTTCGGCGATCTGGGAAACCCGCTTTTCTAGTAAGGACGGTTTCGGTGTTGGCAAGCCTCAAACAGATAGCAAAAGCGGAGTGGTTGGGGGTTCGGTGAAGCCGGAGTTGCTGTCACCTGTGACTTTGCCCAAGGCCCAGTGCCACGAATCGAAACTCGGGGGTTTGAGCTTTCCATGGTGGGATGCTGCTAGTGGCCATTATTTTACTCTAGAGAAAATGGAATCAATAACATGAATGAAACAATAGCCAATTTCAAAGTGCAACAATGCATGTCGCTTGAAATGTTTTGACGGGAGTCTGTTGATATTCTGCAGGTGAGAAAACACTTCTGGGATGAAACAGGTTATGAAAACAGAACACCCAGCACAGAGGGCTTTTGTTTCTACAGGCGTTATTTTGGGATCGAAGATATCACCTATGATCGGCCATTGTGGAATTTGCTTATACAATAAGCAATTAACACATGACCAACAGGCAGCAAATTGGGTTATGGCATCGCAGCCTCCCCCTACAACGGCTGTGATATAAACCGGACTTCATACTCTGCATTATGGCTGTAACCAAAAAGGAATTGTTAAACTCCTTCCAAATCCTTTGGTCCAATAATTAACGACTTGTTTGGCTGTTTTAGATATTTCGGACCTCTATATAGCAAGTCTTCGTTAAGTGAAGACAAGGGATGATTTCCGAGAACGAGACTTGGGGCCTGCCTTGGTCCACCAAACGTCAATGCAGACCTAGAGCGGTTGTCAAAATACACCTTTGTTTTGACCTCGTGTTGCAAAAGGAACCTCCGCTTTGTTTATCCGTCTCAATTGTCGCTCACATGTAATGCCGCCTTAATGAATAAAGATAGGAACTCACTCCGCAAAAGACGAAGGGAATGATGTGGGATATCTCGACTTCAGATGGACGCCGAGCTCCAATTCAATATAAAAGAGCAATGTAGTATATTGGCCGATGCTGGCTTTTGAATCTGTGGAATCTTAGGCAAGAATGAAAAAACAGAGTTCATATCAAGGGAACAATTGAACGAGTATCAGTGATCTTCTAAAAAGATTCATTAATTTCATCTCGAATAAGCTCTCGATTACTCACTTTCTCAACAACTGTTTTAACTTTTAAATCTGAGACGTCCGCATAAGTGGACATCATTGGCTCATACATTGAGGAAAAAGTTTCAGAAACTTGGCCGTTCATAATAACTGTAAACACCGTCCCCGGGAGTCTACATGTCAAATTATGCGCAACGCCGGACCGTCTCATAGCCCATGATCATCACAATTCAGAAAAGGGCTACTTCCACAAGTTGAATGATATGGTATTCATAGTACAAGCTGACTCGTGCACCTAAAAAGTCCAGGTTCACGTATCTTGATATGTGGAGGGTTGCTGCCCACACGGGGCGAGTGATATTCCACGATCATGGCTTTCTGCACAATTAACTGGTTCAATTATTGTATCAATCATGTTTCAGAGGTCTTAGCTATCACTTCAGCGTCTCGGAACAGTACAGTTATGTTTTTGTAAATAATCTTCAAAAGTTGACATAGTCAAACGCCGAGTGATATCTCATGACCGCATTTCTCCCTGTCTTGTTCGGCGAGTGAGAGTTTGTGACCGCATGGCCGCAATACCCCTAACCCACAGGGAACTTTACTGTTCATGAATGGTCGAGCTCGTAAGGAATAAAGCTACAGATAGATACCGTAGAGGCAGGTTCATTGAATTAGAATACGTCTTCTGCACAAACTTGGATGGCGTAGATAGAGACGTTCGGGGACGCACCATTCATCCGGGAGTTGGACATGTTCTAGGTCATCTTTGGTCAGCGAGAACTTCAAGGTATCTACATCTGCCGGCTGTTACGCGGGGTAAGCTGCGGTCTTGGTGGTTGGGAGCTTTGTTATTTCAGTTGAATGCCTCGTCTCCCTAACATTTCATCTTTGCAGTGTATCGCCAGCTATGTGTCACCGTTTGCAATGAGAGAAAGGTAGACCTTGAAGACAAATTTCAAGTGAAAATCGAGAAGTTTGAAATAGACGGTCATTTATATAGGCCCAATTCTCCCCCACAAACAGCTCATCATTCAAACATCTCATATCACAACCGCACCACCGAACTCCATTCAAATCAACATACATCTCTTCTTCAACAATCTACCTTCAAACCTCAAAGACACCATGCCCCGTTTCCGCCCAATCGACGCCGAAAAGCCCGCCACCCGACCACAGAAGTACGGAGCCGCAATGTACATCCGCGCCGAATTCCAACACCGATCCGCACTCTACATCCGGCGCAACGAGTACCTCCTCCTTCCTATTCGTTCTTCCATCCCCCCCACAGAGCAGACACAAAACTAACACCTTCTACCAGACAATATAATAACGAAGCACGCATAATCAACCGGAAGCGGTGCAGAGGGCTTCGTGCCGCGGGCTATGACTACCCGCCGAATGGGCTAATCAGGCTGATCGACCCACTTAGCGGGTTAGCGTGCAGGGAAGCGCCGTTTCGGCTGCAGCATTTCAACACTCTCCCAATGGCCGAACTTGTGCTCGTAGGTATATTTTATGGTTTCAATTGGAACCCGAATCAGGCGCCGGTTGTCATGAACCCGGGGCCATGGCATACTAGACTCGAGATGATTGAGGAGTACAAGGCGTTTATAGGCGCTAATAACCACTGAGGCGGAGATGATTTATCATTATACTAGACACGCAAATGGAGATGTAGTGTAGCTGGTATTTTATTAGAATTGTGGTGCGCTCATATTAGAAATAAAAAGTCTTTTGAAAGTACTTCAATTTGATTTTGAATCTTTGAACACTAGTGAACTCTGTTCGTGTTGAGTAAGATTCATTGACAATTTACGACTTACAAATTTATCATTTCCCTCATGTGCTCCATACTTGATGGACGGGCATAATTATTGGTAGAGCTTGGGAGTCAATCCGTCGGGCTTTAGGATGATAAGAAGATATCAGACTCGGAACATTCAAAACGCAAAAAAAAAAAAGGCACTACAACTAACCACTCAACGGTTCAATAATTGTATCCATCGCTTATACGATAGTACGGGATTTCTCAAGTCTGAATCGACTTGACATTGGATCGCCTGTGTGATTAGTCAGTGCGCTCACCACCGAGGATGTAGTACGTGCCCGAAACAAAGAAACGCGCAGGCCGGAGGACAAGCAACAAACACAAAAGGTTTGTTCCTGAAACCCCGATAAAAGAACCCATCCTTCTCCTTGAGCTTTCCTTTGTCGCATTGTGCGCACCGGACGTCCGTTGACATTTTGTCGAAAGCTATAAGGAGAACTCCCGGCACCAGGTGCGGTCTAGATCTGCGCTGCCTTATATCTCTCACCAAACCCCCGACTTTCATATACGAAGTATACTACACAAATTGAAAGGCCCAGAATGCCACCTGCACCAATCCCTGTACCAGCTCCTCCCCCCATCCCAGTACCAGTCCCCGTCCCCATCCCCATACCAGTCCCCATCCCCAACCCGCTCGCCCGAGCATGCGATGCCGAGGTGCCAAACGTCATACCCGTCAGGGACGTAGCCCCAACCTTGTGGATTATGCAGGAGGCGCTGAACAGTACCCACATGACAGTGTGGAGAAACCAGTATGTAACTATTCTTGCACTCCGGTTCCAGATTGAAGGGGATGAAAGCTAAGGCAGGTATCGCACATCGCAGCGTTTACAACTTGCAAGCACGCAGGATCAACCGCGCCCGTAGTCATGCCGTTCCTGGTAATGCATCGCGCGCATGGCCGAAGTACATCAAGATGGTTGAGATTGTCAACGGAGAGGTGTATCACCCGGCGCCGAACGATAAGGCATCGATCCACGCAATGACGCAGGCGCAATGGATGCTGTTGGGGGCCGCCTACCAGTTGCCGTGGGTTCCGGTGGGTCCTGGGAGGACCACGAGGCCAGAGTGTAGGAGAGATTACAAGGCGTTTATTGGTATGAGGTCTTATTGATTGTGGAGGGAGGGGCCGAAAGAAGGCCTCATGACAGAGGCTGGAGAGTTATCCAAAGCTCAGTCGAGGTGTTAATTATTTATATCTTAAAATCCTGCAAGGAGTCCCGAGTACATAGTAGTGTGATGTTTATGTGGAGTAAAGCCACTGAGTATGTTGTTGCAGGTGTTCATTGATAGAAATATTTCCGTGCACTCATCTTAGTAATTTCAATTTTTCCGCTTGTTGGTATCATTGACCTCTGCCTTCAACCATCACGACAATGAAGAATTAAAAACATCACGACTTTTATAGCAGCCATTGAAAGAGTGCGCGTATCCCGTTATTTAGAGTCGTATATCCAATTTTAACACTGATTGGCTTGATTCGAGCAACCACATCTCTGTAATGTTCGTCCTTGGTCCAGCAAACAAAGACAATTCCTCGGCTTGAGTTGCCTCGCTTCGGGTTGCCTCGGCTGCAGCCCGGTTAAAGTCAGAATAAGCTTACGGGTAAATGCAAACCCAACGTCAACTGTTCTAGTGGCCATCTTCAACTACATGTACATGTAGACAACATCCCAGCCCATCGACTTCAATTTCAACCCTTTTAATGACTTAAGCTATAATACTCGGGATCATCGATCACGATATGGAAACCATGCATGAGTTTCACTATTCAACATCAGGATCAGAGTTTCAGAATTTAGATATTATAATCTCCTTACAAGCATGGGCTGGCGAACGCATCAGTCGGCATGGATCACGGGTGGGCTTTAAGGCTTTAATATCACGTTTCACGAACAGATACAAACACCTCTACAAAAAACATCACACACGAAAAGTAAACCCACGACCGAATGTTAAAGCCCAAATACAAAAAATTTATTCCCGCGCGGGGTGTCGGGGAGAAAAACAGCCAGATCGGCTCATTCATTCCCTCTCAACCGTTTCCTCCCACCGGTGTAGCATGATTGTCCTTGACGGACACAGAGCGAGCACCTGATTCTTCCCTCCACCGGTTGAATGCAAGGTACCCGGGAGACCGTGCACTTATTGCAGCGGCCGGGTTTGGTCACGCAAAACTTCCCATCGATTGAAAATTTGCCCTCAATGAAGGCCGCAGACGCAAATGTTTTCTTGAGACCTAAAGAACGCTCGGCCTCTTTCATAGTCATGAAGTCGGGGAGGGGCTTTTTGGGAGATGTGGGCGCTATACAAATCGTCCCCAACGAAGGGGGAAGAGTTAATATTGGTTCCAATCTATAGAGCAGCAAAGCTGGAAAAGTTAGTCTCACCTGGCGGGGCAACGTGATGAGCCTCAGCAATCGGGGGATCCTCGATAGGCTTGGAGCAAGGTGTGAGGTCTGGTAGTTTGTTAGGTTAGACAGTGAATAAACACGAGGAGGCGGGAAATGGGGAGAGGAGTAGAATATACCATTCTTCTCGGGAGCATCCTTAACATTGGGGTCCGAGACCTTTTCCGCACCTACCTCTTGGGCGTTGTTGAGGCAATATGGGCGGTCCTCGGCTGTGTACATAGCCCCTTCTTCTCGTCAGTAACAGGGCTTACTCGAGAGCTAGAAGGGTTTGGGACATACATTGGATTGGGGCGGGATTTTCCATCGTTTGGGCGTTCATTGAAATGATTTGGTAAAATAGGTGGGATCTTTGGTTCAAACTTCTTCTTGCTGTCAAAGTGGTGAATGTTGGGCAGGAAGGCGAAGTCTATATTCATATTTACAGCATTCAGATTTTCATTTCTGCAGCTGCCAGCGGGTAATGCAAGCGTATGGTCGCCCTGCCTTCGTGCTGAACCTCGATTCCATTCCGGGGTGTCTGTTTGGTTGAAGAGGAAAAGGAGAAATGCGAGAAGTACAACTACGGCAATATCAACGCTATTCTAAAGAGCTGTATAATGCGCTGATTTCTTTGGGGGTTTTAGTTTGTTATTTAGTGATTTCAGAGTTTCTGATATGGAGAGGTGTAGACACTGCACTGCCTCACTAAGGGTGGGTTTGAAGCTTGTTACAAACATGACATTATCACGCATGTTTAAAGACAAGACTAATTATTCAGGTAGACTACTGCCATGAAATTATTGCTTCCCACCTCATAGATTTCTCAAATCACTAGCAATCAGAATTTGTGGGAAATTCCCACACCTCGAGGGCGTTGGCCGCGTCCACAGCGTTCAATCCAAAACGGCATACCAAATGTGGCAAATGCTCTCCGCACGTAGTTATTGACGTCCAGCTGCAGTCGAACAGGGCACACCATCTCAGACGTTCTCATGCTTGTTGGAATGCTACCTTTCCTGCCTCCTCGCGGAAAGAATCACCGGTGGTTGAAGATCTTTCTTGACGTATGGGGTCGGTCAAGAGCTTGTCCACCTGCCAGGCAGCAGCATCTAGTGTTCGGAAACAGTAGGTACTAATCTAGAAAATGTTCTTCAATTCGCAATTGATAATACTCTTTTTGATAACTTTTATACTCTTCTAGTCCAACGATATACCATCACCGCACCAAATTAACACAAAGAAAGACACTTTGGGCCATGGAACGGCCTCCCCCATCCCCGGGACGACCCAGGGGGATGACAGGAGAACGAAGACGGGTAAAACTATATATTCAGGCGGGTTTGAGGGGATTAGGACTATATGTACTTTGATCAACGTTACATGTAGTATTATAAGGTCCCCCGGAGAATCTCGGATCTAGGAATGTTTTGTTTGGAGAAACCCCCATTTTACACAGGCTCCGTCGAGAGGTCAGATGATTAATTTCAGTTGAGTATTTGTTGACAAATACACGGGGTCGCAAAAGTTTGGTCCATATCTCTCCATCCGATGCTTTCTCAACCTGAAACTTCTTCTGGTCCCCGACCTCCGATATGTTGATATGAATGTAGAGATCTGTGATGGAATCCTTGCGAACAACATATAAGGGCTCCCGGTGTGCAGGCAGCAGGTGACGTGCTCTAATGAACGGAAAATATAAGTAGGAACCGGATTAATTTATCAGTACTATTAGCATATACATCGGTTCTCTCTCCCCGATGACCATCCGAATAGTAAATACTCTTTCTCCAAAGAACTGCCTCCCCCACCTTATTTGTCACTAGAAATCAACTCGGCACATCACCCTGGCAGTAGACGAAACTGAGCGTAGGAAACGATGTATGAGTAGGGAGAACGGTTTTCGTGTTCCTCGGCGAGAAGCGTGATATTTTGATTGGGAAGTTGTTCAGTCTTTTGATGGATAAAGAGGCCGCGTGAAAGTTGTTGTGGTGGGGTTGACTAATGTGGGACCAGGCCTCAATAAACAGACCTTGTATTTGCGGCAACTACTCGCCACATGCAAATAGGTGACATGGTCTCAAACCTCCAACGTGGTTCGCATATTAATTCAAAAGAAATTCTATATTCCTAAGTTATTGTGTTTCATCAAATAATTATCTCGCAACGTCGCCCGTCAGGTGTAATTTACTTCATAAAATATCATTTGATAGAATTGAAGAAGAAATTGCTTTTTATTACCACAGCGACATTGACAGAAGGTGTTCAGGAAAGAGAACTTTGACACTCAAAAATAGCCCAATCTTGCTATTCCATATTCTCGATATGACAGAAGCACCAGGACAGACCACGATGTCTCCCAACCGTCAGCCAAAACCCTCGATATCTAAGAGCTTCACGGTCGACAATGCCTGAAATCCTTGATACACTGTCCACACCTCTCAGTTGTCACCATTCTCCCCTCCTTTGCCCACCAACAAGGCCATCTCATGAGCGTACAGTACTGGCAGCTGCCTTCTACCGCTGGGCACAGATCCCCCGCGATGCTGATCTCCCCAAGCACATACATGCCTCTGGCATAGTGGAGGGGATATCCCATTTCGGCCACGGCTGCATTCATTGTCTCGTAGTCTGGCACTGGGCCAAATATCTCCGAGGCCTCACTGTTCCCCCCGTGGCGTGGTTCTTCTAGTGGAGTAGTGGCGCGAATTGGTGCTTGTTCCGGGGGAATGATGGGCAGGCCGCTGCCTCTATTATCAGGGTCGGAGGGGCGACGCGGTGAAGCGGAATAAGGGCGACGGCCAGGGACTGAGCCGGCAGTGTTGCCAGCTGTGAAGCCAGCGGAGTAGCCAGCGTTGAAGCCCTCGTTGTAGCCACGGGCGTATTGAGTGATTTCTGAGCTGGTTTTTAGTGAGTGAACGGGGTACCTAAAGAGTATGGCAAAATACCTTCTTGTGCCGAGGACATTCCGGAGCGCTGAGCGGCCGGAAATATCTGATTTTGAGGCCCCGGAAAGTCTCCAATCTGTAGACCTACAAGAGATCGCGCATTTTCTTCACCTTGAACGATGAGAGTAGAACGTTCTGAAGGATTCCGAGCCGGAGATGAGAGCGGGGAACTAAAGATCAAAAGATCAGGTTCTTCCCCAGTGCATGATGGCGGTGGATAGGGTTGATTAGCGGCATGCTTATTTCTAACCCTCTTCCGGTGAGCCATTGTGGCGGGCGTGCTTTTGATATGGTGGTTGTCTCTAGTTGCGCTTGTATTGTCGTGTGAGACGAGATGGGGTACGTTCCAGAGGGTGCTTAGACGAAATGGTCCCGACTTAACACCTCCTCGCTACACTTACATACACTGATGGGCTGATAGTGCCTGACTACATGCACCTATGCTTTTCGACTCTTCAAAGGAAAAATGGCCATATAGACTGAAAATATATTCCTCCCTTTGGATTTTAATCATCTATTCCTCCGGCTCTGCGTCGCGGTACGTCTATCTATATATATCCTTGGATCAATGGATGTGATCCTCTGCCTTTCCGGAAACTGAACAAAAGATCGTACCAGAGATAGCGGTGATCGACCCCACTTAGAAGCGCAACGATTTAATATCCTACATCAGCGTATCCAAAGGTCCACTTCTGCGCATACCTAATCTTGATCACCTAATTTTGATCGCCAACATCTCAATATCACCTTGCATTATGACTTGAGGCAAAGACAACGTAGTACATCAATGCAGATTCTTGATCTACTGTACTTTCTGGGACGGTGGCCAAACTCGGTAAATGGCGAATGGCGAGTTCTCAGCCAACCATAGAGTTGATATCCAGCATCAATTGGCAAAGAGGTCGGTGCGCTTTGGTTGACTTTCTTGGTTTTGCCTGGTCAATTAGCCATCGGACAAGGCTCGCCATTGTCCCAGAAAACAGAGTACCGGGAAATAATAGGGCAAGATTAGCAATAACTAGGTTTGCAATTCTTGAACATAACTTTGTTGGAACCTGAAGTACGTACAAGCAGAGTATTAGAAGCAAGTAGACACTAAAAGAATGCTAGCAACCGTGGAAGACCATATAAACAACAAGCGACTCGTCTATTGTAAACCTATATCAGGCGCATTTATCCTTGGATCCTACTCAACTCGGGCTATGAGGGTAATGGTGGAGCTTAACGAAGATCCCATTGGTATTTGATCCTGAGATTAGATTTAAATTGGAGGTAGAATTAATTCATTTTTGTGAATTGGAGTGTGGGAGAATAGACGACTTGAGGAGGGTTTGAACACGTGACCTTTGTGAGGAATATGTTTATAGTGCAAAGAAGATACTATTGCGCCGCTGAGTTCCAGCGACAATGATGGGAGTTTGTTGCTCTTTATATACAGATAGTTCTTAGTACCACGTGATCCCCTGATTACATAATCCTAGCGCTAAGCCTCCTTATTCCAACTATGAGTCATCCCTTATACATGAGTAATTACCATACATAACCGATGTCGCAATGCCATATTTTTACACTTCCCCTCACTTGCCACATCGTATCAATTCTGACAATTTTTGGTGAGCTGGTTTTGGTAGTCCTTTGGTCATTATGTCCGCGACATTGTCTTCGGTAGGGACATAGAGGATTTCGAAGGTTCCGGCTTCGAGTTGTTCACGTGTGTAGTGGTAGTGAACGTCGATGTGCTTGGACCGGTCGTGGATGCGTGGGTTCCGACAGAGTTCGATAGAACCTGTGTTGTCGGCGTGTATGAAGTACTGGTATTGTTGTTGGAGTTCGTGCAAGGCATTACGAATCCATACCAGTTGTCGAGCTGCGAGGGACAGGGCCATGTATTCGGCTTCTGTGGTTGAGACTGCGACTGATTTCTGCTTCCGGCTTCTCCAGCTGATGGCTGACTTCCCTAGTCTGAACACGTATCCTGAGAACGATTTTCTGTCATCTAGATCTGAAGCGTAGGAACTGTCTGAGAATCCGTCGAGTGTTCTAGTATTCCCCTTCGGGTAGAACAGGTTCCAGTCTTTGGTTCCGTTGAGGTATCGGAGAGTTCGCTTGGCTGCTCGTAGGTGGTCCTCAGTTGGGCATGAGGAGTACTGAGAGAGAGCGGTAACGGCATGGGTGATATCAGGTCTGGTAGCTATACTCGCGTACATCAGTGATCCTATTATGGATTGGTACTCAGTTGGTTTCTCGATTTGGTCTTCCGGTTCGCCTTTGTGAAGGTTGAGGTTCGGTTCGAGTGGTGTGCCAACTGGTTTGCAGTTACTCATTCCAAATTTATCCAGGATCTTGTTGATGTATGCGCGTTGTGATAGCGTGATACCGTTGTTGGTTACCGTTATTTCTATTCCCAGTATGAACTTCGAGTTACCGAGATCCGTACATTCGAAATCTGCCTTGAGTAGTTGTCTGATTGCTTTTCTGAATGGGGAGTCGGGTCCGAATATCATGATGTCGTCTACATACACCGATATATATAGATGGTGGTTCTTATGTATGAAGACGCATGGGTCGAATTTGGCTGGGACGAATCCTTTCCGTTGAAGGGAGTCTGCTAGGCAAGCATACCATTCACGGGGTGATTGTTTTAGTCCGTATATGCATTTTCGAAGTTTACAAACCTTGTTGTCCTGCCTGTAGCCTTCAGGCAGTTCCATGTAGATTTCCTCCTTCAATACACCATACAGGAAGGCTGACTTGACGTCCATTTGTTGTGGTATCCAACCGTTGTGTGCAGCTAGTGCCAGTAGGAGTCGTAGAGAATCATATCGTGCAACGGGGGCGAAGGTCTCATCGTAGTCTTGGTACTGTACTTGGGTGAAGCCTTTAGCAACGTACCTTGCTTTGTACCGTTCGATTGTTCCGTCCGCGTTGTGTTTCAATTTAAATACCCACTTTCCTTTGACTACTGCTCGGTTGGTTGGTCGGTTGACAATGTCCCAGGTATGGGCTTTGTCAAGGGCGTCTTTCTCAGTCTGTATCGCCTTTTTCCATAGATGTTGATCGTCGCTGTTCATGGCTTGATAATAGGTTGAAGGTTCGGTTACAAGGTGTACACGGTAGATCGCAGGTTCATTGGATATATCTTGGTATTCTAGGTCCAAATCCTTTCTGGCTTTTATAATGTCGGCTTTGAATTCTTTAATCATTGCTTGACATTCGTCTTCATCTATTGGACCGTCCTCTCGTATTGATTCAATGTACCCTTTTTGTTGCTCCTGTAGTTGTATTACCTTGTTGTTGTATTCCTTCCTTCTTATTTCCTTATCAAGTTCATAATCCATTTTCTTACGGACGCGATTCGATCGTCTTGGAGCTGGTGGTGGATCTGATTGTTTTGGAGGTTGTGGTGGTGTACCTTTGGGTGTCGTTGACGCAAGTGGTTTTCCTTTGAAACCTTTGAATGGTACGACTGGTGCTGGAACTTTCTCCCAGTTGTCTCTTGGGTCTCTCGGTTGTCCCATAGGTACGGCAGGTTGTTTTCCCTTGTGTGGTGTAGCCGGTGGTGGTTGTCTAACCTGTTCCGGTGATTCCGGAAACAATCCTGGCATTTCTGTACGGTTCTCTTCGATTGCATTTGACTCGGGTTCTGGATCAGACCTGTCTTCTGATTCGTATCCGTCGTCTGATGGTGCAGTTGCCGTTTCTGGTTTCAGGCTGGGGATGAAGTCGAGTTCCACTGAGACTTCCCCTGATTCAGGAGGGGGGAATGTGACGTCCCGACTTTCAATTACCCTATGTTGTGTTCCTATCCAGATACGGTATATTTTATTACTGTCTGAGTATCCAACTATGATTCCTTCATACGCTCGGGGTGCTAGTTTGCTTCCTGCTGGCCTAGAGTTTTCTGGGATGTGGACATAGCATTTTTTACCGAATGGTTGAAGGTGTTGTATACTTGGCTTGGTTCCTTTCAGGGCTTCAAAGGGGGTCTTTCCCTTAAGCGTACTGTGTGGTAGCCTGTTTTTGAGGTAGACAGCTGTTGCGTATGCTTCTCCCCATAACGACTTAGGATGGTCCATGATCATGCACCTGACCATTGTGGTTACCGTCCTGTTGAATCGTTCTGCAACTCCATTAGATTCAGGAGTGTATGGGGGGGTCTGTTCATGAACTATTCCTTGTGAATCGAAGTAGTTCGTTATGTCCTTGTTGATGTATTCACCACCACCATCCGTTCTGAATCTCAGTATTGTTGTGCTATACTGTTTCTCGATCCTGATAACGTAGTCCTTGATGGTCTTCTTTGCGTCTTCTTTTTGTTTCAGGAGATATATCCATGCGAAGCGGGTGTAATCATCGATGAAGGACATATAGTACTGAGCTTTTCCTTGTGACTGTATACTGAACTTTCCAGATAGATCTGAGTGGATTAGTTCGAATGGTCGTTTGGATCTAGTACTAATTGGTGCAGGTTTCTTGTGTACGCTTTTTGATAGTGCACATTGACTGCAGTGGAAACTTTCTGGTTTGGGAGGCAGCCTTTGAATGTCGTGATACAAGTTTTCTAGTGTCGCAGGGTGGCCTAACGCTTGATGCCATTCATCGTAAGTGGTCAAACGAACTGTATTGCTAACTACTTGTACATTCCAAAGTCCCTTCTCCAATTTTCCCCAAATTATTCCTTTCTTTTCTTTTGTAACCAACTTGCTTCCTCCTCCTGACTCCGTTCTAAATCCCTTTTTGTCGAGCACGGTTTCGGAGACCAATCCCACATTTCCCAAGGTTGGGACCAACAGCACATCGGTGAGGAGAATGGAGGATCTACTTCCATCGGGAAGGTGGCAGCTGAAACTAGCGCTTCCCATTCCGGTGACAGCGTGGTTGGTTCCATCAGCTGTTCGGACATTGCCGGTGTGAGGTCGGATGTCGATGAGTTGGTCTTGGAAGGGTGTGACGTGAGAGGTTGCTCCAGAATCAAGGATCCAAGTAAGGGGTTGGGAGTTGTCGTGGCGTACCATACAGATAGTGGTTGTAGAGTCATTTACTACAACCGATGCCGAGTTGTCCTTTCTCCTTCCCTTTCTGTTCTTGTTCTGTTCTTTGAGCTTTCTGCACTCCGTGTACTCGTGGCCTTTGTAAGGCTGTCCCCTTTTCTTGCACCAGGTGCATTCCTTGTCGCTTGTGGTACTCCTGGTATGGAGTACTTTGTTTCCTGTTTGAGGGGCTACCTCATCCAGGTTCTGTAGTCGTTGGCGAACGTCTTCGTAAGTAACATCCTGTTTGGTCTGGATGTTGTCGACAACGTTGCTCATCGATTTGGGTAGCGAGCTTAGGAGGAATGCCGCCATGGCTTCGTTGGATTTGGTGAGGGGTAGGAGGGCCTGAGCGAGTTTGTGGTCTGCGCTTTGGCATCTGGACTTGAGAGTATTCCAGTTCGCATCGAAGGTTGCGAGATGCTCGGTCAGTGATCCGCCTTCTTGCATCTTCGTGTCTAGGACGCGGCTGAGGAGGGTGATCGTGGTGTTGGGTGAGAAACGATCGTAGAGGTCTTTGAGCGCCTTCCATGCGTAGAATGCATTTTCGGCGGAGACGACTGTTGGTTGTATTTCTTCGCATACAGCAGAGATGAGAAGGCTGTGCATTTGTTTACGAGCCTTCTTTATCTCGGTCTTGCTGAGTTCGGTGTCATTCTCGTCAGGGTTCTCGATGCTCAACGCTTCCCACCAGTCTACAGCGTCGAATGTTATCCTCCAGGCACTCGCCCAAGTTTGGTAGTTGGATTGCCCTTGTAGCTTAGGGAGTCCATCAAACTTGAGACGAATGTTACTGGTGGCTGTTGTCTCTGAGGGTTTAATCTCAGCAGCCTTGGATGACGATTCTCCTTCTGAAGGCATGATGTTGTATGAATTGTTGTTGAGTTAAGCGAGGTGGCGATGGTGTAGTGCGGATTCTATTTGGCAGAACCCGGGCTCATAACCTGTGAATTGGAGTGTGGGAGAATAGACGACTTGAGGAGGGTTTGAACACGTGACCTTTGTGAGGAATATGTTTATAGTGCAAAGAAGATACTATTGCGCCGCTGAGTTCCAGCGACAATGATGGGAGTTTGTTGCTCTTTATATACAGATAGTTCTTAGTACCACGTGATCCCCTGATTACATAATCCTAGCGCTAAGCCTCCTTATTCCAACTATGAGTCATCCCTTATACATGAGTAATTACCATACATAACCGATGTCGCAATGCCATATTTTTACAATTTTAAATACAGGTATTCAACTATATTAAAACGACGACGAAAATAATTTGTTACTATCCATTACGTACATACACCACATAAACTAAACACTTCATCAACGATCCTGGGTAACATAATGAAGGGAAAACCGATCAATGTCTAACTCGACCTTCCGCATCCTGATCCTCTGCGGTACCTTACAACTTCAGTCATGGTACCTCGACTTTACCGGTTTTCTCGCTTTAGCTCAAGTACCCACCCAAGAGGGATATCCACAGTTTCACCCTACGCTATAGTTGCCTTCCCCTTCTGCGGAGAGCCATATCTCCACGCCTTAACTCTCCTCTCCGCCCTAAGCCTCAAAAATTCATATTTCGACAACCCTGGCACACGTTTGATCAAATGCCTCTGGATCCTTGATCTGGACTTCCGCTCATCTCCACCAGAGTCACTTCCTACAGCTTCATGAATAACAGACAGCCGTTTACCCCTTTTCGGCGACTTTGAAACCCTACGCCTAGGCGTGGTGTAACTTCCACCACCTGGTGGTCTTCTCACGGGGGTCTTCGGAGCCTCCGGTTCTGGTGCTGTTTTCTCAATCCCAATTTCTGGTTCCATCGGCGGATACTGCGTTTTCCACCGGTGGGAGGGAGTATATGGTGTCCCCTCACTCGAAGGGCTTTTGCAGTGCATTGTTGCCAGACCGCTCAAATCGGGATCGTGTGTATTGGGCTCATTGAACCCGGGCTCCATAGGCTGGTAGGCCATCCCCGTGCGCACTTTTTGCGGCGATATGTTGTTATCGGCAAGCGCGCCAATGCCAGAGTCGTTATCATCATCGGATGAGGTGGTGGAGGGACCTGCACTGAGGTATTGCTGCGCGACCATGGGGAAGAAGTGGGGCTCATCGATTTCGCCTATGTCGGAATTGTCTGCGAGCTCCGGGGCGACTACGGGGTCTGCGGGAGGGGGATGCGGTGCCGTAAAGCGGTGGCTATATGTGCTGAGTTTCATGATGGGCGGTGGTGTTCCGTGGTGTTGGTGGTTAAGTTGAGAGAAAGAAGGAATGATGGTGATTGGAAAGTATGGATGAGACGGAAGAGGCAATAGATACTGAATGTACGTCTCTTTGTTGTTGAGAACATGTTTCGAGACATTTTTTGTAGGTGGAAATCTTCCTTGGCGAGTGGCGGTGTCAATTTCTTTGTTCTAACCTGATAAAAGAGCATCAAAGACCAGAAACAATATGAGCTCAACCGATAAAAGATTCAGGAAGTTATCCTTGCGGCTTTGGAGGAGATGATGGATAAAATGAGCCTAGCCTCGGATTCTTCCCAAGTGACTTGAAATCGAGTGATACCTCATGACTCCAACTTCGCTTGGAAATGAGGAATCAAACTACGACCAGTTGCAGAGCATTCATAATCACCGCTGGCAAGTTTCGGTGTCGGTAATGTGACTCTAGGTAAACTCGGGAGTGAAGTTAGAGCATACTCCTCATGTCGCAAGCTAAATACCGGGCGGACGCTTCGTGATACGCGTGTATACCTGGGAAGTATAGTGGGCTCTCAATCTCTTGCCGTCCTGCAAAGAACCAAACTTGAAGTTTTTTTGTTGCAGCAACCTAGGCAGCATGACATGCTTGTTAAATGCAAAATCTCTTCAATATATCTGAGGTATCAGAAATTGCAAGTCGAAGTCGGAATATGGGTACCACGACTAGCTCTCTGCCTCCGCAGTGAAAAATATCAGTAAACGGCGGTGGCATCTAATATCTTTTACCCCAAGGGCCTAAACGACCCCACCTGGAGAAAGGGGAAGAAGGTAACCCTGATGTCTCCAAATAACCTCGTCTTAAAACGATGATCTGTGCATAGTATTTATGGGAACAGGCTTTGATGGGATTATGAGAGGCAATATCTCAGTCGATACAGATCTACGGATTGATGGTGTCAGCACCGGTTTTATTTTGCTTTTTGATCGTGGGCGTCGTTTATTACCGTGGAATAAATGTGAGGATATCTGCCTGGACATGGGAGTGAGATCTGCCTTGTGCGGAGGTAAATTATGAGTGCTTAGATATATTAGTATAGCAAGGGGAGCTAGTTTGTGGTGGATTTACAAGTCAATCCCGTTGTTCTAATTTCGCCTTCAACATGTCCGGGCATGTATGTCTAAAGGGGAGGGGGGGGGCGAGTAAGGCATTCCAAGTAAATGAGTACTCCGTACTTTCTACTTATAATTACCCTCATGGTCCCCTATACCCCACTCCCCGCAGCACCTATCTATGTTTTGCATGGCGACGTCTTCAAATGAACGTTTGGGCCCCATCACTAGCTGTGATCTCGCTTTCGAAAAGGCCAGCAGATAACGAAAGAAATTCCGGCAGCCGGAAATCGTTGCATGGTGATAGTCTTGAGGGTTTACGGCCGATATGTGTTGTTTGTTCATGCATGTTGGAAGTACTAGCCGGTCGGTCAAAATCCAAGTGTGATGACCGGGGGATGAACTGTTGCGGTCGATCAGCTAGGTGGTCCGAGCACAGCTTGGCACGAGTGATAAACCGTGAGTAAAAAGAAACTCAACGTTTTTTTTTTTGAGAGAACATTGATTTTCTTCGATTTTTCCTGGATTGACTTAATTACATGGCCAAAAGTAAACTATAATTTCCCTCTCGGCCGTGTTTCTTGTATCTGGGTTAACAGGAGTACGCTGTGTAAAGCGGGAGAGCAACGCGTCACAGTATATCACTCGGCAGCTCTACTCTCGTTGGTTTTTGATATTTGGCCTTCCCGCCATGGCCTATTAAGTTATATTTCATTTTTCCATAGTGATTCTTAATCAAATGAAGTTGTACGTGGCTTCGGGAACTTTGTTTTATGCAATGTACTGATTTCCAGCGTTTTTTGTCAGTTGGCAACAATATTAAGAGAGGGCTGTTCAGAATTTGTCACTACGTGTCATATCTCCTATTCGGGTTAATCCCATCGACATATATCCGGGTCAATTGTTGTTATCTTTTTAGGATTTAACTGCGGCGAGCATTGATCGATATAATGCAGAGCCCGTTCATTTTGGACCCTTATGTCAATATTTACCATTTCCGGTTATACTACAGCGGTTTATTCTTGAGAGAAGATGAAGTGAAATGCTTTACACTCGATTGAAAACAACGTTTTTAGATACAAAAGATCTGGCGGGGCAACTATCCACAAAGAAAACACAAGAAAAAAATTTACATCGTGACTTTCTGACAGAACCCTTTACACCCCAGGGACTAATGTATTTACTGCTCAGCGGCGGCGGCTCTCGAAAGAGTCCGCTGAGGACGCAGACTGAGCTGTCGAATGACGATGGTACGGGTTCTCGGTGAGAGAAAACCTTTCGCGAAGACTTTCCCGAATCTCACCTGGCTCTGAGCCGGTACTGTCCAGGTTTGATAATGTTAGTAGGTACCCTAATAACTGATGTGTCCCGAGGGCCTTACCCAGATAGTTTCGAGGCGATCGAAACATCTTCACCACGGCCTTTAGGGTTGAGATTTTCGTTTCCGGCGTTTGGAATCTTTTCAATGATGGAGGAGAATGTAAATTTCATCCTTTTGTTGAGAGATTCAGTTGAGACATCGTTAGATAGACCGCTGGACATTGGATTTCCCGACTTGGTAGCAGAGAACTTCCATGCGGGTACGTGGCTTGGAGTAGGAGTGTTAGATCGAGGAACCCTGGTTGTAGAGCTGGCGCGACTTTGGGATGCACGCGAAGGTGGCGCACTTCTCACATCCAAAGTACTCATACGGCGAGTGGGCTGTGCCGAACTTGCTTCAGCTGAACTTGCTTTGGCTGCGAGCTGGGTCGCGCGAGTAACCTGTTGACTAGACGAGCGGCGGAGAGGTTGAGCAGATTGCGCTTGACGAACGAACTGCCCCTTGAGAGGAGGAGGAACCTCCCCCAGCAGGGTCAGGGAGTCAATATCGTCCGCGTTTCTCATCTTTGTCGGAACTGAAGGGGTATACAGACATTTCTCAGATCCCTGATGCCTCTTCTGACCCCTAGGGACTCCATATTCATCTCGTGCCGGTCCAACTGGAGGCACTTGACGAGCATCAGTACTATTAGCACGCCCCGGTGGAGGTGGAGGTGGGGGTGGAGGTGGAGGTCGAGGTGGAGATGGAGGTGGAGGTGGAGGTGGGGGTGGGCACAATGCGCGTCGGTGGGGGATATTTTTATTTGCCTGGAAACCAAAGTTCTCTTGCCCTCCCCCCGCAACTGGATCTGTACCACCACCTGTAGTGTCGGCTATGATTGCTCTCTTAGCAATGTCACATGCCCTGGCCAAGGTTTGAGACGCCTCCCAAACCTTCTGGTACGCCTGTTTGACACTCTGAGCCCACGCGAATTCAACATTATTGTACCTGACTTGCAACTCGTTTCTTTGCCTGTGGAGGGCTTCCGCATGAGAGTTATCGATGGTTGGATTTCCGTTATCGTTAAAGTCCAACAAATCCTCGAGAGCTTTTTTGTTCAGTCTGATCTCTTCATTAAGAAGAGCTTTGTATTGATGTGCGGAATCGAAATTGGTGGCAATATCGTCGTACAATTTCTTGAAAGCCCTCGAATCCTTTCTTTCAGATAACCCGATGCCATAGTTCCCCTGCCCACGACCCATATTATCACGAGGCCTCGACATGTTTAATTTGCTGCCCTATATCACGGACTACCAGTGAGTTAATCTTTTCCCGGCTGATACTCTTATGGAAAGAACATAGTGACTTACCGTTCTGGATTTTATCTCCTCACCAGTGAGGGGTGTGACGACTGTTAATGTTAAGGATGCCTCTCTAGGAAGCTAAAGATGCGTTTTCTGACCGAAACCAGTGAGAAAGTGGGGTGTGGGTAGAGAGGTGGGAGAGAAACGTTACCGCAAGTTATAGTCCCACGATCCGGGTAACAGTGCTGTTCTGACCTGGTCGGCCAAATGCTCCTAGAAATCACCTTAAATCTCGGTAATTCGAATGGCATCAAAGAATATCAGGATATATAATTAAGTTGTTTAATGAAACGGTAATGATCGATATTCTTATAATCTACAGAACCTGCTAACGAAAAGCGGAAGTATCTGTAGTTATCCCGGGTCAACTGCCGAAGCCTTGGCGCTAGAGACTTAAATGTACGTACATGTAGTCCATACTACATGTAGATTTAAATCTAAGATAGGGCAAATTGTGAGTTTAATTCCGCTCAGAGTACTTTCGACCTACACATGAGAATTATGGTTCTCCGTACACAAATATACCGGTCTCATTGAAGATTCTCACTTTGCTACCCTCATTTTCGCGCCCTAGGTTGGTTCGCCAAGAGTTAAAAAAGAAGCTAAGGTGCGAAGAGAGGGTCCGTTCAAGTGATCAGATAAGACGACTTCATCTCAACTGCGATACAGGAAAATACGATATAGTTTACACCGGTGGCATGCGGCATCGTGTGAGAATACCGAGTGGGCTCAACATGCGGTATTGGGGTCGCATTGTTTTTGTTCGTCCACACGTATAAATTTACTATAAAATAACAGATGTTCTCGTCCGGATTCGTTCACCAATGACTTTGCCTTCCTAATCATCTTTGTTTTAGTTAAGAGAGCGGGTGTTCTGCAGATTGCTTTGCGATGCAACTAGACAATTATAAAAAGACATAGGTCAAAAGAATTAAAGGCTCTGGTCAAGGGTACTCGAAAACATAGCTTTATTAAAACTAACTATAATTACATAGACACGAGGAGAACATTAAACTAAGAATACAATGAACTCTTCTGAAGGAACAAACCCCCGTATCAAACGCGTCTTTCTGCCAAAGAAAAAACCACATTTGCAAGTGGTCCAATCAGCAGAGCATACCCACTCCAGCAGCAGCGACAACAAGTGCTCCAAGAGAACCGACCTTGACAGCTGTAGCACCGCTAGTGCTAACCCCAATAGCTGCACCGCTTCCACCTCCGCCTCCACCCTTCCCACGACCTCCACCTCCACCTCCACCTCCACCTCCTCCACCTCCACCACCGCCCTTGGGAGCATTAGTATCTCTGCCCCCGCTGGGTGGAGGGACATCGCCTTCCAGATCCCGCTTCTTCATGTCACCCGGGATGGCATTCGGTGTGCCGATCAATGATTTCGCTCCCCTGCCGATGGACGCAATCATCTCTTCTGGGGTGGTGGGGGTGGCTGCTGCATTAATGAGGGCTGGGGTGGTAAGGAGGAGGAGAAGAAAGACGTGGAGAACGGAGAAGTCTGACAATTGCATGATTGCGAGGGTGGTTGTTGTAGATAGGTTATTTTTATGTTGCTTGTTGGTGTAGTAAGGGTTTGATGGTAATATGAGGGCTGACTGTGCTTAGATAGGATTTATAAATAGTTAGAAGTAATATAGGGTGCATACGCGCCGTCTTTAAGTCAGGCGGAAGATGGTTCAGGCTGTTACTACAGTTCTATTGATCCACATATCACAACCTCATAATTACCCATGAAGCCATGAGAAAAGAATTCTATCGAGTGCGCACAACTATCTAACTCAACTCGATTACAGGCATATATAACATCAGACCAAATTACTATTGGGCGAACCTTCAATTAATCGAACTTATTATTTCGTTAGGGCTCGAATTAATACCAATCAATTAGAACTCACGATTTGATCAGTAGAAGCATGAGGCTTGAGATACTATCTACACAGATAGAAAGAAACCTCATATTTTAGGTTTGACGGGTTCACAGCAATCGATGGTACATGAATATGGGCCAATATATCTTTTCAATTTAGGTTCACTTCTCTGCATCCTGAAACCGTGATCGTAAGTCCGTTGGAGGCTTCCAATTCGGTCAAAGTAGGTCAAAAATCGATTTCTTAAATTATGGTTTAGAAATAATAGTTCACATTAATTCTAACTAGATGCTTCCTTTACCACATTTATCTGCATACAGGTATTGTATCTAGGTCGTACCCTATCTAAGCCGTGTACAAAAGTTGAGCAAAGTTGCATGACATTTGGCGCACAATCTACATCTACGTAATACAAGAGTTCACTAATCAAACCATTTATAAGAGGAAGACCATTAAATAAAATTAAGTCCAACTCCCACCGCAACAAGACCCCCGAATGACGCGACTCCCAGTGTTGTAGCGCTAGAAACCTGTCCATCTTCAGGTGTCAACCCTCCCCTCTCTGTGCCAACCTTCTTGTAGAGTTGGTCCTTTCTTTCTTCTTCTCTAACTCTTTCTTCTGACATACGTCCTTCTTTATATGCACGTTCATCTTCTGCTAAACTCTCAGAGCTTACACCTGTAACGATAGGCATAGGCACAGGTGGATGTGAGTCCACGGCCGGCGTACTAGCAGCGGCTGCGGATATCGCCACGAGGATGAACATTTGTAGGACGGCAAAGAGCATTTTGGGTTTGATGTCGTGTGGCCTGATAACTATACTGTGGAAGCTAAAAAGCGCCTTTTAACCGGGAGTGGTGTGGTAAGTATACGTATATGATGACTTGCCGTGGGGGCTATGTTAGACGGTGGTATGAGTGAGTTGTGTTAGTTGGAGGGTTGAGCGCTGTTTAGATTGATCTTATAAAGGCCTGTTGACCTGTGGTCGAGCTTCTATGAACATCATGACCACAGTCTACCAAAGCCTTCTCTTTCGATAGTGCCCTTCGGAACATATAAAATTTTGCGATGTCTTCCAAATCAGATCTCACCCAGGAGGACGTGGCTACTCCACTTAGATAGCGCCCTTTGAAACCTTCTAAAGGGTTGGAAGACTTTAATCAAAACTTGTGTTCATTCCCGGATATGCTTAGGTTTTTCATTGGCTGTGTAACCGCACATCGAATCTTGCTAATGTTAATAGTAGAATGAACGTTGACAGCGGTGCTTTGGTAAATGCGTTTCCCTCCGTTTCTTCTAAAGCAGCTCTTGCCATGATAGTTCCTTTGTTTGGGTTGGCTTCTTATGCGAGTTCTCCTCCCACACCGAGGACATTTGATTTTGGACTTTGCTCAGAAGATGTCTCCTAGCTTCAGATATATGCTCCCATTGCAAGAGATATTGATGCCCACCGTTCTCTTAAGCATAACCCGGAGGAGAGATATACACAACATGCTCTCGTTTCAGAGACCCTCAAGACTTTCGGTGCTTTCTGTTGAACCATGGCCTGTCTATTTCCAATCAGGCACCCAATAATACACCTGATCTGTTGCCATATTAATACAAGCTCGGCCATGCCCAGTTAACAGCGCGATTACACTACCTCCACCCGCGACACGGCCGCAGTATCTAAGATGATCCCATACGAGAGCTACAAATTATACCGGCCATATCTGTTGATCATACCAAGGACTTCGTGATAATTTCAGCCTAACACTCTATAGATACTTTAATCGTTCTGTCGGAGCTGAATCAGCCGGAGGTGGGATTGTGAGCAGCGGCAACCTAGGCATTGATGAGAAATGATATACGGGGTTCGAAGGAGGTTCGGAGATAATGAGCATGGATTCCTGTGATATTGTACCCGGGGTTCGGCGGTGTAGTGACTGAAGCTACTCTCTTATTTGAGAGAAGCGTTTGATGGGTATAAGAATAGCGGGGAGGTTTTATTATTGCGTTATGAGAAGAAAGGTAATCCAGGACAGATGAGGTAGGCCGAGGAGGGGGATCCGGGGATATGAGCGGCAATGTTTTGGTTCCCGCTAACTGTTGTAGTTGAATGATGTTTCATGGGTTCTGTGTGAAATTGATGTGCCGTTTCACCACTACTGTTGCGCGTCAAATCGAAAAACACCCCCAGAACTAGAGGCCAGGCTTGGCTAGGACTAGTGTATGCTAGTCTCAACCTTTTAAATTTTCTCCGTAGCGCAGGTGAGAGAAGCTACGTCTAATATGTACTGCCCTTAATGCTGCGAACCTACTCGCCCTCTGATTGGCCAAGAGCGGAACCTAACCCTGACCTCTGCGTGGCAACGGGCTCACCCAGAATGCCACCCCCAAATGCCACGGAATGTCAAATTTATACTGGGGGATATTGCGCACTATTATCAAAATAAAAAAAGACCCCAAGCGGTACGTTTTGGGTGGTTATAGTATCTCTTCTTTCATACACAAAAAAAGAACAAAAAGTACTGTGCGGTTCCGGGACGAACTGGCACTACTCCCACCCCTGGGTCGAACCCTGGCCTTCTGTGATCGAAAGCAGGGCTAAACCTCGCGGTGTTCTTTGGCGAGGGTTAACCGTTGAACCACTCGCCCATGTGTGTTGGTGGCTAGAAATGGTATTTGTGCGCCAAGGATGGTTGGCTAGTATACATGTATGTACATGTAGTTTTTTTTCACGCCTGATCAACACGACACCGGCACCAAACGAACCTGGTCCACCAACCGCACAGCTCTCTATCTGTCTCTTAGGAGAGTCCCCCAGAGGAATGTGGCCGTATTAGATGTATTTTACACCCATCAAAGCGATATACATGTGTGCACACGTGCACATGCCCAGCTTGAGGACAGAGTTCTGCAGAAGTAAAGAACATGTTGAGCTTACCATAAGTAAGAAGCTCACAAACCCGTACTCACCGAATACTTTTTAGATCGTCACATCACATCATATCACTTACTCAACATATATCCAGAATATTAAAACAGGCAGGCGCTGTACTTCTACTGAGGCCTAGACGGAGAAAACATAATGGGCGATAATGTCGATCCCCCTCAACAGCTGGCTTCTACCGACACCAGCCCATCATCTAAAAGACAAAAGCCGAATCTTTTCTTGCATGACCTACCCAAGCCTCAGGCTCAGATATCCCAAAACAAACGCAAGGCTTCAAATGAATTCCCGTCTTGGCTCTTAGGCACGCCGTCGTTGAGCACTTCCGGCGGAGTTGTAGGAATGCCGGGAAGCTCTACGCATCATAATGAGCGGCATATCGTACCACAATCTACTGTTCCTATGCCTACCGATATGAACATATTTGAGGAAGAACCTCTTGGAGCTGGTTTCTTGTCATCTTTCTTTGGTGGATCTAGAGAATACGATTCACCCTCACCCCCTCCGGGGGATGGCGGCAATCCTGATGTCGATATTTGTGATCAGTATCTTAACTCGGATGCCTGTGACGGCGATGATGGGAACATGGCGGCACCCGAACCCCGTAAGATGGATGATGGATGTGTATTTGCTACCACCAGACACGGTGAGCAAGTTCTGCCAGCAATTAACACGTTGGAATTTCTGACACGTCGCCATCCAACGCCTCCAGCCCCCGGAGAGACTGAGGAAATCCTTTCATCGGTCCCTCTTAGCTATGATATACCGAATATATCATCGAAACCAGAATTACAACATCTTCTACAGGCCGAGACAGATATTTTCACCGCAACAAGAGGTGATGGCATCACTTTGCCCGCGATCAACTCTATGAGCATGTCCATGGGATCTTCGGCGGAGCCTCCAGCAGTAACCATACCCGCTTATGTTTCCCCACCGAACCTGTCGAGATCGAGGGGTAGAACACGTGTACGAGAATCTGACAACCTAAGCGGCCTTCGGAGACTAGCGCCTAAGCCAGCCCCTGTAGCGGAATCTACGTCCCCAACCAGCTCGGGACCAAGGTGTCGAGGAGGCCTTCGACAGCGAAAACCTCCGCCCCCACTCGTACACGTTTGGGATCGTTCAGAGCCATTAGCGATGATATCACTGTTGAATGATCACTTTCTCAACATATGTATTGATCTGGCTTTGGACAAGATTCACCTCCACCGGTTTCCTGAAGAAGGACCTCTCATCCAATGCACTTCTGACACTATCGAGATAAATAGAGTAGTTAAGATCAGTGACTACTATCGGCAACCTGATGGTAGAATAAGCACCATGACTTGGGGTGATTTGACCTCACCAATCATGATATGCAGGTCTTGCGGCGAAGAGTTGGAGATAGGAACAATATGTCAGCTCACCAAAAAGCTACTCAACTAGGGGTATAATGCGGTTCTGGGTACGGCAGCTCACTGTATGAATATTGCGGGGTGTCATGTATCCTTTCTTATGTTGGTTATCGTCACTTGTCGATGAGTAGTTTACATGGTGGGTCCAAAGGATTGGCCAGTGTTTGAAGTATTTATATCGACTCTGTACTATGATTGTACAGCGGGAGATTTTCAATTCTTGCTCTTCAACTGTTAAGTAAGGAGCCAATTCGAATTATTGTAATTCATGAAATAGCATGCATCTCCTGATTACTCTTCCCAAGTTCTGATAATGATAAGTATTAAAGATGTTAATAAGTTCGTTGGTCAGATGTACCACTAATTGAAGTGTATTCAATATGTAATAAACTCCTCTTTTTTTTTTTTTCCAGATGTCTCGGGAGTCTCAGCCCACTCAATTTTCGTGGATCATAGCCTATCACTCGAATATTCACTTTGCTCGAGAAGAATGATCGTTGATCAAACATTCGCGTGCTTAGGTGCTTCCGACTGATGATATCTGGGTCGTAGATAAACCAATAAATAGAAATATTGTATAGTAAGAACGACCTCAGTTGGAAAGGTACAAGGCGCCCTATCGGACATAGAATACAACATAGGAACTGGCTTTATCGCATAGAAATATTGTAATTAGGACAGTATTAGTACGTCGTCTAAAAAAGGGTTGAAACATTTTGAATGGTCTTGGCATGCTAGAGTCGTCGTGAAGCAGCAGCGCGTACGTGCTGGTTGCGACATGGAAAGGACGGTGGCCAATTCTTCACACTCTCCGTTTATTGACACGTATCTGCGTGAGATAAACAACTGGACCATTCCAAATTTGCACACGTCTTGTTGCGCTATCGCCACCTATACACGCCTTCTTTTATAAATACCACTACACACGAAACAATTGTGAGTCTGTCACACTGTTATTCGAAAAAGGATCAACTCTAAGATCTCCAAATTGTCGGGATACAGGTTTTCAATCGATCGTCCACCCCATATACATTCCTCTTGATTACCGAGAATATCAAAACCCGGTTTAATGGATAACTCAGGTGAATTAATCGCACCCCCGATAACCACCGTCCCTATTTCTTGATAGTTCAGATTGGCTAACCTATCTAACAATGGCTCTAGTTATTTCTCCGGATCAAGGCCCGGTGACAGAGGAAGTCCAGAAGAACAAGAAAGAGCAGAATACCGAGGAAGAGCAGAATACTGAGGAAGAGAAAGAGATCAGGGAAGAGTTGGAGACGGTGGAAGACCGGGAGATCGATGAAGAGCGGGAGACCGAGGAAAACAAGGAGACCGAGGAAGACAAGGAGACCGAGGAAGACCACCAAGCGACCAGGGATATTGTAGGCGCGGCGGACGATGAACCCAAATCTCGCCAATCACCATCAGGTGTTGAAGCTTTCCTCCGATACCATGCGAAGGAAAGGGAACTAGAAAACCTCAAATATTTAGAGGTTCGAGCTAGCGCCCGTCGAGTATCCCAATCATCGGACAAGAGCGATGACATACCCGGTGGAGTGAGAATCTACAGCTCAAAAGAGACAGACCACCTCAACACGCCGCGTATAAGGTTTACAAAAGAGGGTGCTGCGCTCTACACACAAGGTGGGTCGGGCCATTCCCGTGATCGTGAGCGGGGTGCGGGGAGGAAAGCTCCCACGCGAGAGAAAATGCTTGCAATACCAAAAAAGATATTTGCAAACAAAGACAAGCGTGAGGATCGTATGCGTGCTCATGAAGAATTAAAAATGTCAATCTCCAGCCCCACAGAGCTTGCTCGCCCGATCTTACACCCGTGGCACCGCTCGACCCCCGATGTCATTTATGAACGGCTTTGTTTCCATTTTAAGGACCACTGCGTCGATGTTATTGGTAATAATGTGATCGTACATAAAACCTACAAGTGTTCGATCACTTGCACCAGTACTCCTGTCCATTGGTTGTGGTTGGCTAAGCCGACGGGGGTTTTTATACGTCTATTGAAGGGAAAGGGGAAACAAACGTGTGTGAACGATCCGGGGTTCAGTGTACCTGTTATGATGTGCAAGATGTGTAGAGGGAGAGTCGACCTCGACTATGAACCCTGTTCAGCCGGATACGGCATCAGTCCTGCTAGCCCCAGTGGGAGCCAGGTGTGAAGGCCGGGTCTACATGTACTTTAGCTCCTTTCAAGAGCATGAGTATTGTGTGATACTCAGCTATCTTTGGGCTTTATAGACGATACATAACTCGTCTACACTGGTTACACCCCTGGAAGACATCAAAGCATCAGAAGTATAGTACTCTGTACATTCAGGTATTCTTAAAATTGCGTTGGAGGACTAGTGACAGTTGGTGAATCTCATGTTATTACCTACAGAAAATTGAAAGCTAGTATCAAAATCGCCCGATACCTGCCTCAAATATGGTTTCCTGTTTCGGGGCTGTAGTACATGTTCGTCCAAGAGTGTCATCCGCAACGCCAAGCCAGCCGACAAACTAAAAACTAAACGGCAAGACACGAAATCAACATGACACAAAATCATGGCGCATGGGCCTCACCATCAACAGAACGAGAGCCTATAACCTGCGAACTTTCTTCCAAATTGAACGTTATTTCGCTTCACCTCGCTAGCCAACATATACATCGGAACCCTAACCCTGCCGGCGGCTTCGCCTCGGGCGGTAATGGAACATTATCATACACTAATGAATGTCCCAAAGCTAATGTGCGGAATAGTGGTCTTCAAGAAGAAAATATTAATCAGATTCCTTGGGGTGTGTTTCACTCCTAAGCTAGGAAGGTTCATTGTTCTTTTGACACATGTCATGTATGGCGCACATTAACACACGCATTTTGATAGCAGGTGCGTTTATTATGTTTAAATACACACCCCTCATTTTCGAGTGCTATAGAGCCCCCGAACATATCGGCTGTGCTCGACCTGGAGAATGCAATGGGTCTCCGTGCCAGGATAAAAGACGAGGTCATCGCTCGCCTCACTGCCAACCAGAAAGATATCATCGCGAACATCCTCACCACCCGGCACAACCTCCGACAGGTCCAGTCACAGCTCCTCAACCTCCATCAAGCGATACAAGTCGAGATCGATGGAGGCGACAAGAACAAGCAATCGCTCAGATATGAAGGATATCTACATGCCCACATTGACCTCGCACAAAGGCTGCAGGATGACCTGGAGATACTAAATAAGAGGCTTGCGGACACAGAGGTGGCCATGGACCGCTTTGCAGGGCCTGTGCATGTGGAGCCGTGGCCGGAGGGGGATGGGATGTCGCATGCGGTAATCCTAGAAGACATGAACAGGTTTCTGAATGTGTTGTATTGGTTTGGGGTGGCGCTGGCGGCGGTCTTTGTTTGCTTGGCGGTGTCCTCGATCTTGCTTCTGGCGGGAGGTCCGGATTCGCGGCCGGCGATTCCAAAGGTGGCCCCAACGGATAGATACAGGGACGTGTTTAAAACGGTAGGTATTCCTAGCTCTAGCTCTACCACGTCTGTTTATCGCGCTTCGCTAATCCAGGCTCTGACCGGGGGTGGTAGTCATGGAACGATGGAACAATCGCAATGGATAAACACAGGAGGCATCAGTATCACGAAGGTCGCAACCGCGATCCTCAACATAGTGCCGTATCAGACGAGGAAACTGATGAGCTGAAAGCCTGGATAAAGATGGACACGGCACGGAAATTCGAGGCGCTCTTGTCGGGGGTCCCAGCGATTGAGAGCATCGAGGTGTGGAATGCGGTGACAAGACAGGCCGAGATACAGGAGTGGAGGTTTCTCCAATATGAGACAGAAGTTCGGTTCGCTGAGGGGAAGCTAGGACCGATAACGCGGCGGGAAGCGGAACAGTACAGACTGGATTGGAGTCGGAGTCGGCGGCGGGAAAGGAATAATGAGAAGGATGTTGGAGTGTCTCCTGAACGAAAGGGGGCTGAAGGAGATGAAAATTGATGGTTTCAGTAGTTACTCGTGATGGTGTCAACTATCGATCGATACAGACGACTAAGATTTATAATTTACGAATTCTCTCGTAGAGCTCATCAGCTACCACAATACAGCTTCTAGACGAAATATGCGATCGATGATGTGGAGACACTCTATCAGGTCGCGGATTCCTGAACTCATTGACCCCTTTGTCCGAAGATTGTTTCATGACTTTTTCCGAACACACACATGTAGAGAAGAGCAACTACACGTTCTCATTGTGGATATTGTTGTGTCGAAACAAAGAAGTGTAGATTTACCGAGGTTGGGGACAGGTCGCTTAGTCACCAATTGGCGCAGGCTTGATGATGGCCCTCAAAATAAGTACTGAGAAAAAGAACATTTCTTCAACCTCCACGTACTGCCGGATAAAAGCGTTGGTATACGGTAGGTAGCTAATGCGCGTAACTTCCTAACAAAATTTATGATGCTTCCTTCACTTCAATATCATTATTTGACTGTACACAAAAAGAACAAAAGGTAGCATTGATGGTCCAGCCATATCTACTACCCCCACCCCTGGATTGAACCCTGGACCTCCTGTAATCGAAGGCAAGGCACAACCTCACGGTGTCCGTCCGGGGGGCGAGTTAACCGTTAAGCCACTCGCCCATGTGTGTTTTTCGCCCTGAGTCCCATTTGAATGCCAAGACTGCTTTAGGCACCATGACTAACCTGGCTAGGCGCGCTAGCCAGACATACAAGTACTACACGCTGCAGCGCAACCCAGAGTTTGCACTTCGGTGGTCATTCCTAGTGAGTCTCGGTGGTGGTAATGCGTGCATCTGTCAATTATCAAGGGTTATGGGGCTCCGGCGATCATCATGAGCTACATAAAAGGAAATACTCGAAAATTAATTGATTAGGGGAGTCATTTACTTAAAAATATTTGTGGTATGCGTTCGGCGGGCGTGAAGTTTCTTGTTGTCTCGTTGTGGTGCTTTCTTGGAGTGCGGCTCAACACGCGCTAATCCTAACTCTATCGGCCAAGGAAAACGAGTGATGTGTTATGAAACGAGTGACGGTTTGTGACTCGCTTAATCAGTTAGCGGTCCAGCATACATATACCCAAACTACACAACGTCGTATCAACCATTGTGAGGACCCCCAACAGTGGTATGATTTTCTATAGGCGGGAGGATTGTTGGGGACGATTGAAACACTGTATATGTGAGAATAAATCCATGGTGATAGATGACTTGCCGATAGGATTGAGATAAGGAACTAAATATTTTAAAAAGAAAGGCTTGGCGTCGACCATCACCGTTCGCGAGTGATATACCATGACGCTACCAGAAAACACCCCAGAATGTGTTCAATGGTTGGTAAATGTTGCATCTAGCGCGCACAGTGGAGAGAACAATATAAAACTCCAAGTGAATGAAACATCTATTGCTACGCAAGCTCTCTCTTATCCTTCCATGACCTTGTGATACATACTCGGGAGAGACCATTGGCTGATTTCTCTCATCCTTGCGTACATGTAGATCTCAAAGTTTTATAATTGAATAAGCGGACATTTAAAATAACTTATCGGATTCTGCAGAGCGGCTAGATGAGCCAATTAAAGAGAGTTAGGATTTTAGAGAATGTGCCGATGTTGGGTCTTTCAGGACAATCTTGAGCCTCTTTATTCTGCCGCCAAACAGTCATTTCGATCAACGCTTGGGATGCGATGCTGGTCGCTTCTTTCTCACATATTGAGGCAAATAGAACCTACTAGTACTACATGTAGTGAGTCTGGTTATTGAGGTCCGTTTTTTCATCACTAGTTACCTGTTGGCAGAGGGCATTGATAAATGAAATTGTCTTGCTAGACGATAGTTTTATTCTAAACACTTTTGCTACTTCTCTTCCCGCGACCCAAACCTTTTCTTAACTCTCCAACCTCTACCAATTCATCGTTCTATCAAACCTTCTTGTCCCTATGATTATCAAAAGTCAACTCTCTCTAATTACCGGGGACGAGAACGATCCCATCTGATGTCCTAAACTCCTAGGCATAAGTTCTTTTTTTCTTTTCTTTCCGGTCTAGCAACTTCAGCCAACCCTCGTAAAAGGCTCATCCATTGTAAGCCAACATAAACAATTCATCAATATTAGTACTCCATTCAGAAGGAGCAGGTACCTGACTACCGCCCGAACCAGACCCTCTACTTCCCTCCTCTCCACCCGAGCCAGGTTGACGATCCCGCTTATGGTTGTTCGAATTAGACCCACTATTCCTCGCTTTAAGATGAGAAGCAGACGCACGATTCTCCTCTTCACCGCCGGAACCAGACCGACTGTTCTCATATTGACGTTTTCCGTCAACGAACAACTTCAACCTATAGAGAGTTCTGATAATCTCCACCAACTCCACCTGGTCGTTCTCTTCAACACCTGAAAGGTCAAGCCCTGTAACACGCACGTCAACGTCCATCGTGTCCGCGTGTACCACACTCAGACTCTCCACATCAGCCTCACTCCCATCACTCTGTTCAATGCCCACTGGCGCTATTCTCAAATCCGGATACGTCAATTGCAGCGCCGCCAGCACATCTCCCGGCGTCACTCTCAAGTCCACCAGCGTTGCCGCAATCCTATCCATCTCCAGGTCCTCAAACGTCTCCTGCGCAAGCCCAGAATCCGGCCACGCCGTGGCACTCCTTGCGCTACCCGTCGTATACGAGCTCACTGAGGCACGTGTAGAATTTCCCCTCAACGCGCGAAACACACCACCCGCCTGCACAAGCCTAGTGAACGCGGGTCTCTCAGGTGGCGGCGGTAAATCCGAGTCACTGCTAGAAGAGTCACTTCTGGGGGGAGCTGTGGCCTCCACTGAGTAGTCGAGGAAGTAGTTCCCAGGGTCACCGATATGAGCGCGGTAGAATGCGGAGTCCCAAGCGTGGTCTTCATCTTCGTCCTCGTCGGGTACAATTGGTATGAAGGTGTCCGGTCGATGTGGTACGACTGGGAGGGGTGGTGGGATTGGTGCGGCTTCGTCTGCGGTGAAAGGTCGGAAGGCGGGGCTACTCTGGGCGGGTCCCCGGACTCTCTGGAAGATGAAGATGCCGCTGTGGACGAGAAGGAGGAAGGTGAAGAAGGCGGAGATGTCGCCGAGAACAAGACGGACTGCGCTTTGATTTAATTCGACGTCGGGGAAGAGGTAACGGCTGGTCAGTGTGAGGAATTGGTTATTCATTGTTGTTTTGCGTAATTGGTTATTGGTAGGTTGTATTTCTAGGTTGTACGATTTAGATTGCGTTTGTAGGTTGTTTTGAACAGGATACTGTGATTTTGATGCCTGGATTGGAAAGGAGTGACGTGGTATTTAAAGAGCTTCTTTTCGTGACAGAACAGTATTCAGAATACTCAAGATATGGATTTTGTCACTTGAAAAATGAAAATTCGTTTCGAAGAAATTCAAAATCACACCATGAAGCATGAGCTGGATTTGAGGAAAGCTGTATCAAGCTGATTAAAGAGACAGATCTTCGATGTCAATGCTTTCATCATCCTGAATGATATCAAGATGTTCGATCCAAGTATATACGGCGTATTGTCGTCTCTTAGGATTGTGTCGAAGGTCATGCCGGGAGTTAGAGCATCTTTCGGTAGGGTGGTGGTCTCATCAGGGTGCGTTGGGGCGCCAGGTAGAATTAAATTCTTTTTAAGGATGCTCCAGGAGCAAAGGAGGTTGTGTCTATCCTGAGTCGTGTATCCCTGAGCCTAACCAATTGAACTTCCCTGGCCCAGGGGAGCTGTGATGACCGAACATCTGGCCACGTTTGGGAGGGTGTAATCATGAAAGCCTTTGTCGTGGAGCGCAAGAAAGAGCCGTTCTTTAAAATAATCCTGGTATGTTTGGAGAACTTTATTCTTTTGTCTTCCGGCGGTGTAGGTTTCCTCAATCACACAGAGGTCGTTATCCTCGCACATGGTGGCTGTCACAACCAACCACAATCTAATCTACTCAGGATCTATGGGAGATCTTCTTTCATGTAACCTCAAATCGCTAACACTTACCTTCCACCAACACTTCATGTCGTTCTCAACAAAATACCTGAATCGGAGGTCCACCCTACAATTCCGTCTCGCTATTCACATCTTTTACAACCTTTGGCTCTCCATCTACGCGTGCTCTTCGGTCACTTTCGTTGCCCAGGATCTCATTGCAGCCAATAAGTGCCGTTCTGCCACTATAGGCGAGACATAAACTTCGTTTTCTCCATCGACAGGTGCCTTCTTACCACCTGTAGATAGGTCCATCTTTTCCTCTCAGTTCAACAGTGCCATCTTGCCACCGTGAGCTGCAGAGAGAACCATTCTTCCCCGTCTAAAAGTGCCTTCTTGCCACTTGTCGTCAATGACTGGAGTTTCATGTCGTTGATATCCCTACAGTGCCCTCTGGCCACTGTGGGACAGACTGAGCTACCTCGTCTACAACGTCACGGTGCCTTCCGGCACCTGCGGCGGATTTATTTGCTTTTCCATGCCTTTTCTGGTTTCTGGATGTCATGTTGAGCTCTGTGCTAACGTATATAGAGATGAAGGGAAAGGGATGATGTGACTGTAAACTTGTACTGGCGGTCCTCGGAGCTATAAGGAGGGTATGTTGTAAGCACCGCTGCCTCGGATTGCTGTGTGAGAGACTTGCTAACAATGTGTTAAATTAGTCGTTCAGCATCGATAACAAGCATGCACATGATCAAGTACGACGAGTCGCAATCTATATTGCTACTATCAGAAGATCGAGTTTGGAAATTAGGTTAGTAACCGAAAAACGAATTTTCGTCCCTACGAATTACCTGTTTCTCCTTTCACTCGAGTTAGAGGTTCATATTTTTGCCAGACTACTAATTTTCTAATCATATTTTCCAGTGGCAGAGGCGGGAATTGTACCTTGGTGAGGGCCGGGGTCTCCGATATTTGTGAATTACTGGACCTAGTAGAAAGGATTACCAAAGTAAATAAACGCCCTATTCAATTATTATAATATATAGTTTACATAAACCTCAAGTACTAATATACTACCTCCTGTTAGGAATCGCTCAGGTTGGATGGCCGGTTAATAACGCGAAATAGCCGTTGATTATCGAGATTTGAAGTTTGAATATGGATAGGATTTGAATAAACACTATTGGTCCAGCCTAAGAGGAAGCCTCCTCTTCAAGAACACTGGTTTCTCAGTGAAACCTAATTATCAAGGATAATGAGATTACCGTTTTCCACCAATGTGAAAGATCTTGTACTACAGTGCTGTGTGCTTGAGAAATTATTTTATCTTCATTGCCCCTTCCGCCTATGTAGTCACCACGGAGTCAACCAGTAGTGAATACCCCTTGTCGCTTGGGGTTCCTTGTGACAAACCTGTTGACTGTTGATTTTAACAGAGCGAAAAACCCACTTTACATATTGGCCCATTATAAGGTCCCGAGAATATATACAACGTCAAACCCCACATCTGTAGGCTTTGCCACCGCCGAATGACGATAATCGAGGCTCTCAACCCATGCTTATGTCATGAATGGGGCCAAATAAGAATTGACTCAGCACTTCATTCCGCTCACTCCCGCTCCCATACATTCAGAATATCGCGTCATGAGGGCTAGACTAATTTACTTTCACAAAATGCCCGCCGCAGAGGGGCCCGCGGGTGATAACCCTCCCTAAATTGGACATCCCATCAAAAGATTTATTTTTATCAACAGTAATTCCCTTCTCATGCTTAACCTTTCACTTCGACCGATACTAGTGTCCTTTACATGTAGTAGAGGTATGGGTACCTACTTGTATGTATCAATTCAAAGAAGAATGGTGACAAATAGTTGTCTAGGTTGCTGATGCCGTCGCCTCATAGGGTCCGACAAGGTGGTCGTGTAGGATCAATGTATACGATTGGAGAGTTTAAATATCACCTTGACACCCCCGAATCGAAGACTCTAAGGCAAACATAAAAACTTTCTCATGAACGCCAAGCTCAGAAAAACGAGATAAATCCGATCTATCGCACCCGGACGCGATTATTAAAAGTGAGAGTTCTGAAGTCTTGTAGTTCTCGATCTTGTTACAGTTGATCATATCCAGTTCCAACACAAACATAGTAACGGTAAACGGAATCGAGTCTTCCGTTTCGGAGGCACTGGTACTGTTCTTCTACCTTTGGTGACATACTTTGCATCACCAGGCATCAATCTAAACTTTCTGGGGACTTCTCGTTGCCTTACTAATACAGAGAGCAGTTGTTCTAACATGATTTACCGTACTTCATGAAACACTTTTCACTAGGTCGAGAGAAGTAGAAAATTGGCCCTTGAGTAGCATGCCATATATCCGAATGCAAAGGGTCAGAGTCCCGGGCAAGAAAACCAAACCGAATCGAGTTAGATACATGTATCTTACCAGAAAATCTACAATCTTGGCATTCAAATAGGACTCGGGGCGAAAAACACACATGGGCGAGTGGCTTAACGGTTAACTCGCCCCCCGGACGGACACCGTGAGGTTGTGCCTTGCCTTCGATTACAGGAGGTCCAGGGTTCAATCCAGGGGTGGGGGTAGTAGATATGGCTGGACCATCAATGCTACCTTTTGTTCTTTTTATTTACATCATACAAGTGAATCGTTTCTGGTAATATCGACACTCTTTTTTCTTTCTTTTTGCTAGGGGTTTTGGACTGGCGAAGAAGACGCTCATCCGATCGATGTCTTCACCATTTGTGGTAGGAGTAGATGGTCGAACTTGTAAAAATGTTACCACCTAATAGTTTAGAAGATTTCACATCTAGTTTTGGCCTTGAAGGATGAGATTTCTCGCAGTCACTGTCAAACATACATTGTAGTCGAATGTGGAGGTGATATACAAGAACATAAGTATAGGATGATTGGGCGAAGAAAGAAACAAAAGGTGCCTCCCTCAACGGCAGGTGAATTAATCTCCTTATTTCGTCAAACGATTGGTGCTGCCGCTCACTTTTCAACACTTCATCGCCTGCTTCTTTACAGAAACTCTACAAGCCGGCGCACCAGAAACCCCATTTCCTGGTCATCATACCCACCAATCCGTCGTCCCTCTGTTCGGGTCTATCACGCACCTGCGGCGAGGATTCCTTCACTCTTCCAATCTGAGCGCTGAAGCATACAGACCCTGGAAAGCGCCACTGCGAGATATTGTCCACCTCCATCTCATACTTCCCTTGGGCAAGGAGGTATCCGCTGTAGAGCAATAGACTTCTATTGCTTAGGGCTCAATAGGGCGGTAGCTACGAGCAGTTGGTGAGACAACCCGGTCTCTCTCCTGTGTGTCTCCCGAGGTTTCTTCATGATATAAAGTACCAACACCCATATATGAGTAGCAGAAGTCCAGTACCAAACCTTTATTTTCACGCTTCTTCCCCTACTCTATCGCGCTTGTAAGACCAGCAGATACACGATAATACCTCACAGAGCAGGACAGCCGTGTCAAGCTCATTAGAGCGAGACCTGCCTTCGACCTCGTGTGCAGATAGGGAAGAGAGTATTGTCTAGCATTCAGGGAGTTACATCAAAACCTGAATTTCAAATTGGAAAAGCTCCATCGCCACGCATAACACTGTCCCACCGAAGTGGTATAATTGCACCTACGACTCCATCGAATCCAACGGAAGAGATAATCGTTGCTGGGGCGAAACCCACCTCCGAGGAAGAGTTCGGTGTAAAGAGTCTTCTAAAAGAGGAGATTATCGATAACGTCTTCCCTCAATCAAGCAACACCCAAAGACCAACCTAAGGCGACATGGATGTATCCTCCAAGAGAAAAAGGTCGGTAGCGGAGCAGAGCCTAGAGGCCCTACCACGGAAGAGGGTATGCGGAGGTGATGTCTACACCTTCCGTCTGGCACCTAAGAACAAGCTGCGGACAGCTCCCCTAAAGTTTATCACAGCGCCTAAGCAGTTTTGGATGGTTCCCGATCAAGTGGTTCCTGTGAAGAAGAAAAAGAGGTATACTATCAATAGGTTTACAAGGAGAAAGGTTGTGTGGGATTGATCGTGTCCTGTCACTAGTAGTTACTCTACAAAACATATTTAATCCTATATGAGCATCCATCTTACCACTCTCTCACATACTAGCCAGGACCCAAATGATTCACACTCTTTTCCACAATCTTTGGATATCGTTGTCACCGCTGCAGTCATTTATACCGACACACTCTCCGTAAAGATTTTGATTTAGAATGTTCGAAAAACGTACACATCTCTCCAATTCCAGACAACTACCTCTTTAGACTTCATGTTTAATGAGATACCTTCAGCTCTCCAGGTGTCTCCACCACCTTATGAAAAATCGAATTTTTGTTGTGATATATAGCCTAATTATTTTGATGATCTTGGGATATTCATTGCAAGTCGGTCCTGCCTACGATCCAGGACTATGGCTTTCTGTGTATCTCTGGCATTGCAAGATGATAGATTTAGTATGACATTTATTTCCCCTGAAAAAGACATTGCACCTCGTGCGCATGTACCGATGTCATGTCCTTTAAATACATAGAGCTAGAGTCTAAGAGCCTGAGCTTGTAATTATAGTTCTGAAATTCGATGTATGAGAAGAACAGGACATTCTTATTTTGCAAAAGATATCCGTAGAGATAAGGATCAGGGTTAAATCTAAAGCAATTAGTTTCCACAACCCCGGGGCGGTCGGGGGTGGGGGGGCCTTCGAAGACCTCACTGAGTGCCCTCCAAAATGGAAAATGCACCGAAGCACTTGCACCTCTTTTTAAAAAAAGATGCTATAAAAGGGCTTCTATAGAAAATTATCTTTTTCTCTCAATAAGCACCCGATACACATTCAACAACTTAAAAAAAGATGTCAACTGGTGACAACAAAAATAACAAGGAGCTTGATACAAGCTTCTTGGACAGAACTCCAGACAAGGAACAGCTTCCTCATAACGATGAAGGCTCCATGGATAGATTGACTAGCAGTGATCGTATGTCTTATCCAATCATATGTTGATTCATTTATTTGCCTTTAACATGTTTTTTTTCCCCACTTGTTTATTTAATTGTTGCTCATTGGTGATTTTCAGAGCTCGATGACCAGCCCGACCCCAGTCCTCTCGCCCGGAAGAGTACTGGAGTAGGTAGTCGCTTGACGATCCTTCCATTGAGGTTTATTCTCCCGAGTGCTAGTCCCATTGAACTCCAAGAACATCCAGTCCAGGATGCACTGGTCCAACAGGAGGTTACCGATAGGTCCAGCGAAATTGAAAAGTATTGATTTGATTTGTAATTGAGTTCCTTCGCGATGGTTCTAACAAGAGTAGTGATCTTTCCGCTCCCCCAACTCCAACTCCACTAAACCCGGAGGTCACACTAGGACTCAATCATATTGTCGACACCAACACCACCGGTACCTTCTACGAAGACACGCTAGCCTTCGACCACCGCTTATTCGGTGAGATCATTTCAACTGCCAGCACTCCTCGCAGTACCTCCTTGGTCGGCATTGATACGCAGTCGTTCGACAACCGCCTCTTCAATTTCACCTCCACTTCCGATGCCCAGAAGATTGAAGCCTCCCTCGCAATCCCGCAGAACACTGAAAACATTGAGCTCTTCGATTGGGCCCAGCGCTACGGAATCTCCACTTCCGATGACTGCTTCATTGATCTTCTTAGTGTCGTTCGTGTCAAGCCTATCCCGATTGAGATTGAGAGAGGTATCAAACGCGCTACTCCAAAGGAGTTTGCAATGCCGGCGGCGAAGACGATTTGTAAAGAGGTTCGGAAATTTCTTGCTGTGGCGCCGAAAAGGAAGGCTGGGACAGCGGATATGAAGCATAGACCGAGAATCGTACAGATTTCAGTTTGGCCCAGGAGGACTGCGGCGAAGGCCTCTTGGATTTCGGTTCGTGGGGAGAGGTAAATACCCGAGCTGGGTAGTGACAGCTCTTGGTTCAGGGAAGAAATTAGTTACTGTGTTAAGATTAGTGATAAATGGGGTTCTTACATATATGATCTTTATGTCGATTTCTGTCAGATACGACAGACAAACCCTGATCTGTGGGTGTTAAGTCCAGTATATAAAGAAATTCTTTAAGATATCAATTATCAATCACTTCATTCCGTCTGTCAATTATACCACCTCTTTCCATTCTTTTTCTGCCGCAGAAAATGTGCGGGGCTTAAAAGTCATAATTGCGAGAGTGACGTTCTTCGTGTTCCTGTAGGTTTGTGTTCGGCCGGGTGGGTTAGGGTTGTGAACGGCACAACTCAGTCTAAGACCCCCAGTATTAAATAAAGTATTGTAACGCTTATTACGCGCATACTTTTCGTCGCAATTCTAAGAGGCGATATACTACATGGATCCAGAACTATGCCCCGCATTTTCTGGGCTTTAAAAAAACTAATATGAGTTCCTTGTAAAATACAGTGATGATACATGTACAGTTTAGTGTTCCTTCGATAAGTCTTATCCGGAAGATTCTATTCGAAAGAAAATTTGTTATAAATTAGGCATAATTTGTCCCTTCCTGATCCTTTATTCCTTCCTACTTCAAAATGCTACTTCCCGCATACGTCCGCCCAACCATACCCGCCCAGGAGCTAAACAACACCAGCCAAAGAGGATGCCGCTGTACAGCCCAAACCGTTCCCATACTACGTGTGAACCTACCCTCACAGGATTGCGGTTACCATTCGCTCAAACGCTATTTTCCGGCGTATAACTCAACCTTATGAGCGCGTGCCTCAATTTTTCTTACTCCCCAAACCACTAAACCGACGACCTGAATTAACCCTTCACCTGCCACGACTCAACCGCTTGTTTCCAACAAAAGACGCTATAACGACACACCTCCTTCCTTCAGCTCAATGTCCGGCCAGATACACTGTGAATTCCACCACGTTGGGCTACCTAAAAGTTCATCAAAGACCGCCATCCACCTACTAGGAAGGAACACATCGAGCCAATATTTCGACAACATAACTACCGCGAGCGGGCTCTCGCATGTCTTTTCTGCGCCGCCATCGTCTCCTATCCGCGACGATCTTGTGTATCGGACATCCTACCATGCGGAGGAGGGGTTGATAGTGCTAGCATATATACCACGTGCGGAGGGGGAAGGGAAGCTGGACGTGCGTAGTTCCGGAGGTATGAAGAAATGAGACCTGTAGTTGACGGTACCTATACTGACGTTTGTATAAAGATAGTAGATTTCCCTACGGCTACAAAATATCTTTCACCTGTCCTGTATCTGAGCTACTTGAAATCGAAAAACTAGCACTTGAATATGTTATTTCAGGTGTGTTCTTCTGCACCTGCCTCTTGCTCCATTCGATTCTAGTATTATAATCTGACTACGATAGCTTCAAAACCCTCGGAGAACAAAAATCCCGCCAACACCGGGCGAGACACAAATTTGGCGTTCCGAAAAATCCATAAACTAGTCGAGAACGCCTGCAGAGTAAAGATGCGGTGCAGGCAAAGGCGAACAGTCGCCACATCTGAGAATTGGAACTCCCCAACCTTTAGAAACCCGGTCATTCCAAAACCCTACGTTTATCCAACAGGTCTTGAGGGGTTTCGTGAAGGTATCCCAACCCCGGAACCTATACCCATTAATTGGGGCGTGTAGGTACCGCACAGTGAGACTCGAAACTTGATCCTGCTAATACTGTGGCACGTAGCAGACCATTGGTCGGGCAAAAAATAGTGAGCAAGGCTTATTCCCAACCGCCGTCCCAAGAGATAGAAGGTGAATCTCACGCAGAGACTCAATTCACTGCTGTAACTCCACGGACCATTGCGCTCCGCTCTATTATCACCTTTCCGGAGATCAAGGTGGTACCAAGAAAGAGAAAGCTACCAATAAGCTTTAACATAACGACTGGGGATAGAAAGCGGCTATGCGTAGATCTGAGCATTTACATCGAAAACCTGCATAATCCTGTCGAAGATTTGGTTCATGACGACGATGACATCTTGGATCAGGGTCACGAAACCACAGCTAGTGCAATACCGAAGGATGGTATCTTCGATGATGTCAACGATGTACCGCTGAAGACTGGCCCTTCTTGGCAGGATTTACGCCGTCTTCCGTGCGGGAGAGTTTGTTTCGATCCTGCTTTCTATGGTTGTTGATATTTACCATTGACTCTTGCAAGACAAATTACCTTACTGTCATTCCGTAGTTAAGAAAATATATATGATCTTGTGTTGAGGTCAGGGGAACCTCTATGGATGCCTTGTTGATCTGGGAGCTTGTTTACACATTATTATCCGTCCTTACGCGCTTCCGAAATTACACTCATTCTTATTCTAAGACCTATTATATTTGATCTAAATTACAACGACCCAACCATCCTTTTATCCTATTCTAAGGGAGTAGTAATGTTCTAGCTCAACCAGGAAGATCGCTTATCCACGAAGTTTCCTGAGTGAACCGGTTTACCCAGGAAGTTTCGTCGGTGGACTGAATTCTTCCTCAATGAACTGGATTTGAAAACCTTCAGTCCATTCATGAAGTCCAGGTCAAAATCGGTTCATTCGGGAAGTAGTCTCCAGTAGAATTGTGCCCATAAGGCTGACATGAATCTGATCATGCAGAATGTTAAAGGTTAATTTGACCTACTTCTGAGCTCACCACACCGAGTGTATTGATCTCCTATACAACACCCGTCCATCGGCTAGATTTGAGAAATGTTAGTAGCAATGTGGTTACATATGTGATGAATGTAGAAAATGAATATCAAGATTAAAAATAATATGTATAACTCTCAATCGGTAATTATGGTACCAACATGCCTGGACTTGCCCCAGCATGCGAACTAGATCAGGTAGGGCAAGACTTCCTGGATGAGCCGGTTTTAGCTTGAACTTCCTGGCTGGACTGAAGGTTTTCAAATTTAGTTTATTGAGGAAGAATTCAGTCCACCCACGAAACTTCCTTGGTAAACCGGTTCACTCAGGAAACTTCGTGGATAAGCGATCTTCCTGGTTGAGCTAGAACAGTAATAAGATATACTGGTAATCAATGATCTCAATGAAAATTCAATTCCTCCTACCAACGCATCTGTCTCCTTCTGAACCCCCTTCGAGATTCAGAATTCTGCGCCTTCGGGCCTGGAGATCTCTTTGGTCACTGTTTGTTTCCCTGATAAGTATGGTGAATAGATAGGGATGATTGGCCTCATCGTGGTTGAGATCAATACGATGTCTGGATATTCCGCAGCTGTATTCCATGGTGATGGCACTATTCATTCAAATTGTTCCGAGGGTGAAAGCACACTCTGCTGTTGCGGTAATATACACCACGGTTACCCTAGATTTACTCTCTTATCAACCCCGCCCGCCCCGGTAGTGTAGCACAAGTACTCTTCCCTCATAAATACGGACTTACTGTACCGGGCAATTGCAAAGCGACAACACTTGTCACGGTCACCTTAGAACCGGCAGTAAATATACGAAAAATCACTATATATAGTAATTCTTGGCGCTTTGTCGTTAACAAGATTCTTTTTGGTCACAATTGATAAGGATACCTCTCGCAAATACGGTAGATCCCTTCCAGTTCCGGTCCATTTTGGGCAATTGTCGCTTTCTCCATACGGGTGTCGTTAAGGACAGATGTCACGCAAAGTCAACTGTCGCTTTGCAATTGCTCGGTACAGTATACCATGTGGAAATAGCGGTTGAGGGGTAGAGAGGATGCTTACTCCGTCGAAAAGAGTGCTTGACTCATTGCAGTTGAGGTAGCGCGAGTGGAATTACGGTCGAGTAATACCTGCCAATTTTATATATCAATCCACGCATGCAAATAATGCTGTAAAACTTACATTTCTTGTCTTGGTGTAACGCGATGATCCTCCTGGTGTAGGTGTCACACAAACATATCGTATTTATGCTTTTCGTTGAGTAAAAAAGAAATTTTGCAAAGAGAAGAGCATGTTGCCGTGCTTCGATACTTGCTATCTTTTACCCCGCCGTAAACCCTTACTAACAAAACCCCCCAAAGGCTGCCCCATACCCACTAAGATAAGATAAAATAACTTGTGTATCAGAGTGGAGTTTAACATTTGGAGGATGTGGTTTTTCTCTCAGAAAAAGTTGAGCCGCCAAACACGATTAGCGTGGTTACACCAACCTTACACCTCAACCAATTTTTGCAAAAGGTTGCATTGATGGCAGCCGCCATATCTACAACCCCCACCCCTGGATTGAACCATGGACCTTCGACAGGTACAACTTGGCACAACCTCTCGGTGTATCCGGAAGGCGAGTGTTAACCGGTTGGCCACTCGCCCATGTGTGTTGTGGGTGCGAAATGGTATCTGAACGCAACGGCTCATTGCAGGTAACTAATGCTATTCCTATTAGGTGAGCTGTGATGCCGGCCATTGGGTTTAGACATTATCTCTACGGGCTACACAATCCTAATGATGAGCACGAGGCAAGACGAGACCATTTTGCATCAAGTCTTGTCTTGCCTTGTCTCGTCCCATCATGGTCTCGAGATGAATCTCGAAACTAATACCACCTCCACCAAATCATGGTAGGGGCCAGTGTCGCTCATCCTCATTTTCGATAGGACAAGTACATAATTATGGAGATATAGAGATCGGAACGTGTACATGTAGTTACTAGTCGGGTAGCTTTTAGTATAAATTTAGTTGAACATTTTGTGTTTCGCCTGTTGAATACTCTATCGCAGGTTACACACTCATCCTCCCTGGAGGTGGGCTCTGCGGCCGAAGCCAGGTGGCTTGAACATACACGTACTTCTGCTGTATCAGTATCATGTAAAGGATTGATAGAGAAATACTTTAAACAAGCGTGAAATACGTTCTGAAATTTAGTAAGAAGCAGAATGTATGTACTCCTGCGATGAGGTTGACATGCTTGGTGGCCAAGAACGAGTGATGTTTCATGATTTCTTGCCGCACTGGCAAGGCCACGCAATGCGGCTCTCGAGATGTGCCAAGCTGGTGCCTGTAACAGACTCACAGGCTTAAGAGAATTGATTTATTGGAAAATATGAATACTGGAGATGTGAAGTTTATTGCTGCATTATCTACATGTACAGAACCTTACAGATATTATGCTATCAAACGTTCCCAAGTTTATCGCCCCAAAGGGCACCGACTAGTACCAACAGTGCCGCCGGAACACCAAAGCCTCACAACCCCATATGGCCATAATCCCCCATGATTACCTCCTTTGATTTATTCCTTCACTGAACACCAGAAACAGATGGACGATACTCCCAAACCCGACCACGAAAGACGACCGGAAAACTGAGGAGGGTGTACTTACTATGTGCCCAGTATCGTTCTCTAGGGTTCGCTTGGTAGAGACCTGGCCTCCCCTTGAGCGAGGTAATCGAGAAACCCTGGGGTATGGAACGTATCAGACACGCCCTCATCTTCAACGCAATTGAAAAAATCGGGGTGGTCAATCCCTATTTCTCCGTCATTGGGGAAGAGATTGCCGAGCGAGTTAAAATGCTGGTTGTCGGAAGTCCTCACTCCGTCGTACTCAGCAAGGCAGGAGAGGAAAGGCGGTTCAACGACTCGGTACTGTCCTTCAAATGTGGGGACACTTGTAGAGAATTCAACTGCGGAGAGCCCCACGTGTTGAGGATTCGGCGGGTAATTAACTCCATGGCAGTTTGGAAGCTCACCGAACACATACGATGACTGGGTTTGTGCATAACAACCATATCCACTATCGCCCTCAACGTTCATCGAAAATTGCCTCTCGAAACCCCAATAAGTCTTACTTGCCATCGGACGGATGACGTGTGACTGAGTGGTCAGCGTAGGTTGGGGCTGCGAGAAGTCTGATCTCAAGCCAGGATCAACCAACTCAATCGCCTCGCCAATAGAGGAGGGATGGACCTGTGACAAGAAACTATCCTCGCCACCTCCGCCTATTAGGCTGGATTCGGAGCCCTGCTGGTCCTTTTCCGAGCAGCTGGTGTGATACCATGGGATAGCCGGGGCGGATCGGCGATCGATCTTTTGAGCCGAGCTGGCTGTGTCCGCGGGCGATAGGTCGCCTTCAGTATTGGTATTAGTAAGGGCTGTGGGAGGCCGGCTTGGGTGAGGAGGGGGCAGCAGATGAGCATCTGCTCTATTGCCGGTAACCAGATGATGCTCTTTCTGAACACCGTCCCTTCCGATGTGGTGTAAATATTCGATATAATCATCGGCGGTATGAACAAAGTTCCAGTAGGAGAACGTGCCGACCGTGTTAGGTTTCAGGTAGGCAATGAAAACACCGGACCACGCTTCACCGCTGAGGTCCCCTCTATTCAGATTGAAGATTCTACGACGGAACGTCTCAAGTCTATTTCTAGATGTAAGATGCTCCAGAACCCTGGGGGAGCCTTGGATTAACGGGCCATCCACTTCAATTATAAGCTTGTGGACAAGAACTGTATATATGAGATCTTTGGGCTTCGAGCGTCCTAATGCCCTGTGCTTACGGATAGACGGAGTACTTTTCAGGGCCACCGTTTCACCAGTAGGGGATTGTGGGAAGTCGGGCTGAGATTCCACTTCATCCTGGATAGCAGTGCAGTTCCGAGTATCAGCGGGGACACCCTCGCTGCCAATGGTCTCTATGGTATTTTCTTGCCCGTTGTTGACTTGCAGACTATCATATTTCATGCCGGTGTTATAAGCCAACAAATCATCAGAGCTTGGGAATGCCCAAACTTGACCATTCTCAGCCTGTTTAGTCAATAGGTAAAATGTTAGCTTTTGCTCATAGACAATTGATACCTGCATAGGGTCTTACCACGATGCTCCCTTCATTTTCGAACCCTTCATTTGTTGGAGATTGAAGCTGCAAAGAAGATTGATTAGTTCCCATCGACTAACTTATTCAAGAAAAATTCCAATTCGACTCCTCACCTCACTTGGGGTATCTGAGACACCTGGGTGGCTCCTTCCCATCTTATGGGCCTTAGCCTCGGCCTGGCTTTGAAGAATACGAGACGAATGTGTAGACGTGGCCAAAAGTCTCTGAGGCGATAATTAGTCAAAGTTCCAAAGAAAGAAACTAGGACGGTTGCCGGAATCTTGATCGGGATACTACATACCTCCATCTCTGGCTCAACCAGCCCCCCGACCCACTCTGGGACCTCTGGGAGAGATATAGACATTGCTTTCCGTTCACTGGCCTTTTTTTCTGCCTGTCTCGCTATAGCCTTGGCTCGAGCTTCGTCCGTTTGGATACGGCGCCTTTTGGCGGGTTGCACCTCCAGCTCTTGGACACGCACCTCAAGCAAATTCTGAGTAGGCTGTATCCCAGTTACCTCAGAGTTATCATCATCTTGGAGTCGTTTGTGTGGGAGTTGAGTGAATTCTTCATTACGCAAATAATACCACAGATCAGCATAAATCTAAAACCATTTAAATGACCCTGGGAAAAGGAATGGTGGCTTTATACCAATTGGTAGCGTGGATATGGAATGGATTGGATCAGTAAGCCGTGGCATCCCGAAGTACTCACGAACTCCATTTTCAGCCTCCCAGTTCCGCCGAACCGCAGCCTTATTAAGCCTATCTTTCCTTTGAAGCGCCTTCCTTGCAAGCTCCTCCTGCAGGCTTTCTTCAGCTGTCTTCGCCGTTTCTACAATCGGTAAAGCGAGTTCCATGGCTTCACGCCTTTGCAAATTTTCAAGCGATTCCTGGTGCAACTCACGAAATCTTGCATGTTGCTGTTCTTCAAGAGGGAGCAAGGATGCCCTGTAGATTTCGCGCTCACGATCTGTAAGCGTGGCATGCTTACGCTTGGTTACGGTTCCGGGAGCGAATATACGATTCCCTTCGGCATCACGAGTGAAGGGATCCACCGGTGGTGCTCTGCGTGCCATTTCTTTGGGCGAAAAAAAAAAAAAGAAGAAAAAAAAGAGAAAGAAAAAAGAAAAAAGGGCAAAATGGTACACCGAGGTGTGGACAACGGCAGAAAGACAAGGAAATGAAGTTAGAAATGTGTTTTTCTTAGGAGATATGGCCACCTTGCACGAGCAGCAAGTAGAAGAGTGGAATGATGCGTGAGGTTCGACCCAAATTTACTCGGCACTCGAGAGTCTGGATTAAACGGAACAGCGTTAACAAATCTTTCTGGTTCGGAGTGGAGACCTTTGTTCAAGGTAACTTACAAATAACGATTAATTATATTCGGGAACAGGCGTATGTGGACTTGACTGTTCCTTGAGATTTATATATTCAAAGATAGTCGATCCAGCCAGTAGAGAAGTTTAAGTATGGCGGAGTGGGGTGTTTAGTGGGAGTTAGAGTGTTTTGTGGAAGGAGGGTGGAGAGTGAAACTTGAGAGCTCGGGAAAGAAAAGAACGGGGAGACAGCGACAGGGCGAGTGGGGAATAAAAGTGGCAAAAGAAAAAGAAACCGAGAATTGAGTGGCTGAAAACGGCGGGTAACCGCGACACTGGTGTAGTCGCTGCAAAGACCAGTATATTCGCAGTTTCCTTTCGGCGCCCTGACTTTCGGGAGATGTTTGAAGGATACCTAGGTTTGTAGCGACCTTGCGATAATGTTTATGCCGCTGGTCTTCTCTTCCTTTCAAGTATTTTGCTAAATTATAAGACGGCGGTAGGTGATTTCTATTTGGTGCTCGGTCGATTGTGCGCGAGACTGTGGAAATTCGGGTTAGAACTTAGCCAGATGGAACCATATCCGGCGAGGCGACAAGCCTCTGGCTCAAAATCACGCAAAGCTGTATCTTTACTACATTTACCAAATCATGTGACATAAAGTCACCGAAAGTTCTGAATTAAAGAGAAAAGATGGGGCCCGAATAGCAATTGATAAAGATTAACAACTCATTCCGGATCCCAGGAAAGAAATAACAAGGCAGAACAAGCTCCCCCGCGAGAAAACTAGCTCAACGGCTACCACTTAGTACAGACAAAGATTTTGTTCCGTACCCGGAGCTGAAGCACAATTAATTATCTTCCGAATCAAAGCCGGTCAAATCATCAATCCTGTTTCCAAACCACTAGCAACAACGGAAACAATGGAAATGATTCTTACGCGGGTTATAGTAACCTTTATAATCTAAAACGGCTGGTATATATAGCCTTAGTAATCGTAATAAGATATTAGGGGTGGTAGCGGAGTTAGTGGCTTGGTCCCCGGCCGTGTCGTGTGTAACCATATCTCGCTCCTCGGTAATAGAAATTGTGAGGATTTCGAGTGATTATCTGTGAAACGAAGCGTCAGACACACTAATCATACTTCGTGGATCTTTTTTCCATTTTTCTTTTATACGAGCGGTTTCTCGCTTAAAACTTTCCAAATCTTGGTATCGTTGAAAACATCTATGTAAAGGCCTAGGCCTCGTCTTTTTTCTCAATTCGCGATGATTTGAGTTGCCTAATTTCTTCACAATATGTTCTCCCACCTCCGCTGCCACTCACGGAGTATCTCACTCTGTAGGATCACCACTACACTTCGGTGAACCCTTTCTGTCATATATCTGCGCCTTTATTTCGTTCAATATTTTGAATTCCCCCAACCTTGTGCACGTGAGAGGAGAGGATGAGAAAAGAGGGTGATGTGGCGAACAACAACCCACTCTGTGCATGTGGATTATGAGCCTTATGCCCCGCAAGCGCGAGCTACTCCAAAATTGCGGCAACCAACAGTGTGGTTCTACCTCGGTCCTGGGAGCAGATTTCTTGATCTACTGTTTCATATTTCGAGGAAATACAATAGAGAACAGGGCAATCTTAGCTCTTCTCGAAGCTTGACCTCTGGGTGTTCATATGCCGGGGGTGATATTCTCTGGCCGAATTTCGACGATTTTCGGGGGGAAAAAAAGATTAAAGAAAGAAAGGATACGGAGATCCCTACTCGTTAGGTCTACCTTTTTGTTGAGTGTTCTCTCTAAAGATCAGTATACAGGCCAGCCATGGAATCGACAAGGTAGATTTTTGTTCCTGCCTATCGCTTCTGTCCAATCGACCATTCTAAAGTTGGAAGTTTATAGCTAACATCAAGCATCACAGTACACGAGTATGTATACACCCGAAGTCGCGCCAGGAATTCCTTAGATATAGAGGCCAGTAACGTAGCCTTCTACGAGAAATATTTCTCAGTCTCAAATGCACTCGCCCATCCCGTCCAGCTTGTAGTCGTCTTTGCGAGACTTACCCCCGTCACACGTAGACGATGGCTGAATAGTTCGACTTTCGGACCTGTGTGAACCAGTTCTGTCTGGACGTACGCGGGGGTTCATACACTCAGTATAGAATTTACGATCGGAGGACATCTAACATGAGAACTCGCCAAAAATAACCTGATGTATCGAAAATGGGAATCACTCAGATATTCAGGTTTCATGCCATTCCAAAGACCAGGCCCTCTATGGCATGGCAGTCAAAGAGAGTCTTCAGATATACATATTTCACAGCACATAGCTTTACTAAGATGAAGGCTAAAAAAGGTATGAGAAGCAATATCATACTCCGTCAACCTACAAATAGAGCTCTTCACTTGCTGCTATCTAACTGGGCAGTAACAAGATGCTTCGCCCCCCAAAAAGCATTACACCATTCTCGGGGAGAGTATTCTCCTACACACCCTCTCTCCAGATGCCTTCCTCCACCACCTCACTCCAGCAGCGCGAATCAGCCCGCAGTTACCACTTCCGTGGCATGTAGAATCCCGGAAAAGCGAAAGATTTATCATGTCGGAGTTGCATTTCTGGTCACAATTGTGGAAAAAAGGGCTGGCGAATGCGTTCTGCGCCAGGGTTCTAATAGGATAGCTCGCTTTTTAATATTAGATGGCAGTTATATCAGTAATATAAAACTGTGGATGTAATGGAAATCGCATTTGAGTTGTAGACAAGATCGGAATAGAGTACACACGGTGAACCTTCATATGGTGATGAGGTTGGACTGATGTGATGAAGCTTCTTGTGGTGGTATATGTGGAAGGAACGAACACTTGGAACCTGTCTGACAGCTTAAATATGTATTGCCTATAAAGAGGCCAAAGAAGTCGACTAGCTGTACCAGGAACGTATTTTGCTACTTCAGTATATTCTCTGCCTCTTCATCATAGATGTCCTCTCCACAGTGGAGGGGTCGCCTAAAAGGTAATTTTAACTCCGGGGGTGGTGGATTGCTAACGGATATATATACCAAAGATCTCATATAAAGATCAACTTTGAATAACATTGGACTATGAGGAAAGAAGTAAGATCAATTATTAAAAGCCCTCATGAAATTATTTATACCTAAGATACCCCCAGCGCCCAATTACCAGCCCGTCTATATCCACAAAACAAGAAAGACCTATAATCGCCTGCCCATATCCACTGAAAGAAAACCCATAGACCCAATTCTCTCCAGTATACCTCAAGTCCATACAAAAGCTTATGTATCGAATACCATTAAGTAATCCGATCAAACAATGCTCCCCTCACAAACGCCTCCACATAAATCGCCATCGCATCCACCTCCCAATCATGCCTCAACTCCCTCGCCAGCGTCCTAATCGCACCTTCATCCCCCTGCGCCAGCACACCCCTGATTGCGCCGTGTAGTCGTGCAATGCTGGTCCCTGTCTTGTCCAGCCAGGCATATGGCGGCAGCTCCGGTGAAGAAGGCGTGCTGGAGTGAATTGTCTCTGTGGTTGGTTGAGGTGTGGCAGGTTTCGCAGCTGGCTCGGGCGGGCTGGAGAGAACTATCTGTGTGTTTCTGCGGGGCTTCGCGGGTGGTGGTGGTGATGGTGGTGCTGGCGGAGTCGAGCCATAGAAGATTGCGGGGGTGGCGTAGCGCGGGGGGGTAGTAGGCTGCGTGCGGAACTGGGGTGAGGAGGGGAGGCGGGGTAATGCTGGAGCTGCGCGGGCGCGGCCACGGGCGTTCGTGGTCGTGTGGAGAACTAGAGCGCGGCGGGGGGCCGGGAGGTATGTAGGGCGGGCACGGTTAGAAACAGGGGGATTTGAGCCGCGAGGATGAGGTGAAATTGGGCCGTGTGCGCGGTTCGGGCCGGGGAGCCTTAGGCCGCCGGCGGCATTTGGGCCTGGAAGATTTGGACCGCGGGGTGTATTCCCACCGCCGGCGATATTCAGACCAGGGACACGGCGGGTGAAATTCGGGAGTTCACGATAAGCAAGGCTCCTACTAAGCGCTAATGATTTGGTATGATATGATGCTGGAGGTTCAATCGGTTCAATCATGGTGTGGAGTTGGGAGGTCGAGGCCGACCCCTGATGTCGGATCGATGGAATTGGTGCCTGGCGATCGTCGCGCTCATCTAAAGGGCCCCATTTTGCAGTTAAATGCTCAAGACGAGCTTTCGCATTCCGGGCCTCTGTCTCGGCTTGCTTTGACGGCTTAGGCGGATCTGCAGTATCTTCGTCGTCGCTGATCTCGATGACGACCTGCTGTCTCCGGGGTGACAGTGGCGCGGGGGGTGCTGGTTCATTGTGGTGGAGCCAGTACTCGGAGTGGTTGCTCGTGTCGCTGACCTCGCTGAGGGGACTTGAGGTGGCATAGCCCTGATCGGCGGGGTTGTCCTCGTCGAAGACGTTGTTTGGCTTGGGGCCTGGGCGTACGGACGAGGAGCGCCGGGCGGAGGGACGTTTGAGGTGTGGTTTATTGAACATTTTGGTTTTGATATCCAAGGGAGAGGTTGAGAGGTGGTGAGGTGGGCAGGATTTGGATTTTGGTGGTTTGTATGTGTTGGTTGTGGTTGGTGGGGTTGCGTGGGGTGTGCATGTGGTGAAGCATGGGCTGTCACTCGGGGATCTCTTTCTCTTTCTGTTGTCCTGCTCGGGGTACACAAACTGATCGGGGTTTGCAGCATACTTGTGTTGTGGTATATCCATAGGACAAAGAAGTAAGGAATCTCGAGCTCTGGTTCTCTTCTCCATCATTCTCTTCTTGATTGGTCTGAGATTTCTGGTAGCTGTTTATTTAAATAAGATGAGAGAAACGATCGGAACATGGGGCATCCTCGTGTCAATTATACAATATCATGTTTTCGTGAACTTGTACCCCTGGAAAAACACCGTAGTACTGATGATTAGTTACGTAGAATTAAAAGGTGGGGGCGGGGTGGTTTAGCGGTGAGCTGGAATAAAGTGAGATAAGACCATACCAAGTATTTGAAGTCATTGATTTTGAGACGTAAAAGTTTGCATTTCCCGTGTTAGGCCGCTAGACCGTTGGTATATCTTCAGAGGAGGTTGGTTGCTCTTTCGGAAGAAGTCTAAAATGACACCGTTTTCGGTAGACGTGCGCTGCAATACGTGTACTTAACACATAATGCAAGATGACACAGTTTTCTATGATCTGAGATCAAAAGAAATAGTTCATTTAGCTGCATGCTCAGACTATATCACCTTACCTGCAAACCCCGAACTTTCCAATAGAGGTGTTCAGCTCCAAGACCGAAGAGAAAACATTTTGATCCTGTCTATAAAGTCTCGGTAAGCCTTGTCGTTCGCATGCTCTGGATGGTAGAAATATGGTGATTGAATATTTTGGTTCTTCCGTAGCTTCAGGTTCCGGGCACAAAACTCAAACCTGTCCTAAACCGTTTACGGGCAAGCGGTGGTTTTGAGATCTAGCGCAATATCCTGTCCCACAACGTCTGATAACTCCTGCTTCGCAAAATCATTTACATCACCCTTTCGTCCACCACCGCGTAAATCAATTCTTTTGCTGATTCTACTTAACCATCTCTATTCTTACTTGGTGGGGTACGTGCCGACGGCTTCAACCAATATATATGTGCAAATCTTCTATTGCCTGCTGCGGGAAATCAATTGTGAGGATTCTATATTGTCAGATATAGATTTATAGGTGGTATTTATAATATTCCTGTTCGTATTTCTTAATACTATCATCTCATAATGTCTTTGGAAAACACTTTAATCAATCAAATTACAGTCCGGAACTATTAACAAGGCTTTAAACACCCCCAACGAAAGGTCAATTCGCTGGATCTAGATCCATATCAGTCCGCAATAACCGCTCACTCCAAGCGTGCCCTCTTAGCAACACGCTTTGTTTGTCCTTCCCGCTTTCTCTTTTTACCGTAGAATAAATGTGCCTCCATCTTCGGTATTTTCTCCTCTCTGTCAGCGGCTCGATACTCTGTGTAGTTTTCGTCAGTTAGCTGAAAATACCCTTCAGGAAAGATATCGCAGAGAATCATACCATAAAATGGTTTCTCACGTTTGCGATAAAGCCGCGACTTATTTTTTCTTCCTCGCTCCTTCTCTTCCGGATAGCTATACGGACACCCCCGGAACTTCTGATAACGGGTAGTCACATTCCGCTGCGATACTGGTTTACCAGATTGGCGGTCCAGGTTGAGCTCACATGGTAGACATCTATTGACCACGCCGGCGCCCAAGGGCAATTGGCATAGGCGGTTGCATTTAGGGCAGGCCGCAGGTTGAGCAGGCGGTTGTATAGGGAAGCCATGATCGGCATCATAACTGCCAACAGGACTCCCATGAGTGGTGAGCTGGTGTCGACGTCTACGCTTGGGAGGGAAGAGAAGAGAGTCTTCGCACTCGAGCTCGAATTTCTGGATCATGAACTTTAGTTTTGCGTATTCCTTCTCGGTCCACGCGAAGCAGGTGCGGAAATCGCGCAGGTATTCAACAAGCCTCTTTATTCCTGTATGGCAAAAGCAAGTTAGATGGTTATTTTTGACCAGAGTGTGGCTTGTTGGGAGTATACGCACGTTCCTGGCGGCCGTTAAGACCACTACGGATCCTGATCCACTGACTGCAGAGGGCCCGTATAACCATATCTGAGACCTCAGCGGCAGAGGTCTGTTGATAATCGCCTAGCCTTTCATGATCCGATTCCTGCGCGTCTTGGATAATCAATCAGCCATCCATACAAATACTCTCTGTTCAACCAAAAACATACCTTCTCTCTCCGCCCGATCACACAAATCATTCAGCTGCTGCATCAGCAACCTCCTCTCCTCCGGCGTGCCGGTGAAGATATTAGACCAGCCATAATCATCCCCCTCTGCCTGAGATTCCTTCACTGGTGAGCTGTCGCTCCACTCTGAAATGTCGTCGGGCACGTCACTTGCGGCCTCAGAGAACGGTGGTTCAACGTAGCTTAGGTGGGAGGGGATGGATGAGCAAGTGGTAGAGGTATAACCTGGGCTTCCGGGAATTGATAATGGGCCCGGTGGTTTGCCGCGACTGCTTTGGTCGGAGGTGTCAGAAGAGGTGTCATCCGATTCTTCGGTATTGGGCTCTAGATTGGTGTTACTAGCATGGTCGGTAGCCTTGGATGATGTGGTGGATATGCCATCTTCTGTTTTCTGGGACGAGGGTATCTCCTTAGCGGCGGCACCGGCAGCGAGGATACGAGTGATTTCAGGACTTGGGCCGAGGGAGCGAACAAATTCAGGAACGGCATTGGGAAGACGATTAACTGCAGGAACAGCGGTGGGAGGGCGGTCCGCTATAGGAACACCGGTGGGAGGACGATCCACTGCAGGAACGGCGGTGGGAGGGCGAGCAGCTGAAGGACCGGGGACAAGAGAACGGATACCGACAAAGAGCTCGTAGCCCTTTTCAGCTTGTTCGAGACTAGTGGAGTAGAGAACCCGTGCGTTGTAGGCCCTTATAGGCGGACTACCGGGGGGGCGGCGACCTTCAGGTACAGGTGGGACGTTCATTATTGGGATTTTATTGACGAATATTACAGGATAATATTATTCAGGTGGCACAGCGCTGACGAGAATTTGCTCAGTGGTGAGATATTGACGAGACGGTGAATATTCTGACGACAATGATAGTATTTTATACACTGCGGTGGAAGTAGGAATACTTATGCATTTGGTTTATAGAGAATGCCTCAAGTGGTAGAGAAATTGCGGCGATATAAAATAGAAGTCGAACTACGAGTACACCACCACACACCTCTCCGCCTAGCATAGAATATACGCAACGGCCGTGAAACACGATAAGAAGTCCATTTCAGTAATAATTCTGGAATTCAAGTTTGTTCTCTGCAGGCAGTGGCGTACAAGATTTAACGAGGAATGTAGTGTAACTCGCTTGTGAATAATTGAATGTTTGTTTATATATCCAATTTCGAATCCTATCAACGTTGGATAGAATGAGGACTTAAAACCTTGTTGGACGAACCTCTTTTTCTTTCTCGCGGTGTGTCGTGCGAAAAAACGCATATGTTAAGGGTGGTCACGTGGTAATTAATAGAGAGCGAGTGGGGCGAGTGATATTCTGTGACTCGGATCCGACCCAAGTCTGAGGGACCACCTTGGACTGTGTAGGATTGTGCACATATCAGAGATCTGGGTTTCATAACCTTCTGATGCTATAACGAGATCACTGAGGATCCTCTACATGCACATGTATACAATTTGCGAGGGTCGTGAGGAAACATATGTGGGCTCGTTAAGCTAGGTAGCCAAGGGAATACGTGTAAAGAAGTATAAAATAGGACACTTCTTGGATAGTGGTTAGAAAACAGGCCAGCTTTGCATCATATGTCAGCATGAAGAGGGGAAATCTCTCCGACACCTCTATAGGATTGTCAATCAGAATACTTATTAAACTAGCTAAAGATATCGTGTAATAGTGGAAATGATTGCTTTAAAAATAAGAAATAGGACTCGATTGAAACATGTTATAGAACATACATGTATGTAAGTATTCTATGATCTATAACAATACCTGACATGCGGATACTTCGGACATCGTTTAAATTAACGCTCGCGGAGTAGCAATCCAACAGAAAAGATACAAGAATTGCCACATTACATGAAGCCCGATCTCAAACAAACTCAAACACAGCAATCTCGAGCAGATATAAGCCTTTATTATCTGATACGGAAAAAAGAAACCCAAACAAACACTAAACCATATCAAACTACGCTCTGTGAGCTGAACCGACTTGTGGACGAATGGCCACCTCGGCTAGTTCGAGAGGACTAGGCGTCGGGGGAGTTGTTGGTGTTGTCATTGACATTGCAGCTTTCAGGAAATCTGTTGCCGTTGGCAGGGCGCAAAGTGGATTGTTGAGCTCTACGAGCTCTGTCGCTAACTGGCTCTTGAGCCGCCTGACCCGGCGTTGCGACAGGGTGTCCTGCATTATGGCCCAGGTCAACGGGGGGGTAGTCGGCGACAATATTGGAGAGCCAGCGGTGGACATATGGCCCTGGCTGTCTTGGAGGGGTAATCTCCTGGGCCCTTGAATCAGAGACAGAAGGAGCGGCAAGAGGAGCAGCCCAAGGTGGAACGTTGCTATCTTCGCGATGTGTCTGGAAGGGACTCTCCATGGCAGTTTGCTGCACTGGAGTATGAACGGCTCTACTCAGACGGTGATGAGCTGTAGAGACTGCGACCGGAGGCCTAACGGGCCGGCGATACGGATGAGCCCGATCTGCGTGTACATTACGATGATCTCTGGCGGCAGGTGCTCGAGGCACAACTGCTGGAGTTCTTGGAGCATGAAACCTCAACTCGCGTTGGACAGGAAGGTCGACTGCTCCACCTTGTGGCTGATGGTATTGGTGAAGCAAATTAGGCAGGTTCCTGATATCATGTCCGTTGGCCACATTGGATCGGTTTTCATTGTCATATGGGTTGAAGCTGCTTGGATGGAGGATATCACTACCGGGATGGGTATTGTCAAACCCACGAGGGTAGTGATATCTATTCTGATTCCGTGGGAACATATTGTTTGCGACTTCGCGGAGCTGTCTACGCCACATGCTCCCATTTACTCCAACCCCAGAGTCGGGGTGTTGTAAGGGGTGGTTTAGGACTGAACCCGCAGGAGGGCGAGGTTGAAGACCGGCGCGCCTGTCAGAGCCGTTTGTAGAAGATACCGCAGGATCAGGGCGGTGGCTCCTAAACATAAACGGAGGATTGTCGAACATTAGTGCAATTTGATTGTATAGCGGATGCCTAACTAGACGGATGGGTTGCTGATCCAGTATGTTTCTAACAGCGTTGTTCCAAATGCTTATCACGCCGATGGGAATTCTACTATGTTCTGGAACGGGTCCGCCAGTGTAATCTGGCAGAGGAATCCTAAACAAAAGTTCTCGATCGTCTAATAGCAAGTGTTGCATTCGGCAATCCATTAGAAATGTATTCCAAATCCGAGATACGATGGCCTCGGAGGCAGCATTGGCAGGACAGGGGCGGAGGTCGATTAGGTACTGTAAGTGTCCAATGTTCGCGGCCGGCTGCAGCACATTTGGGCCAGCATGTTGGCGGACAGGGTTGCCGACAGGGGGTTGATCTCGAGCTAGCCCTCTATGTGCTCGGTTTGAAACATTGTCTTCGCCCGCGAATCTGCGACCATTTGTATGATCATGTTGAGTACGGATACCAGAGAGCCTGCCTTCTGTACTCCCCAACTCCTGAAGATTCATTCGAAGTTCTGCCTCGATATTTCTTTGCAATTCATCAAACCGCTGTTGCGCGGATTCTTGTTCCTCAATACCCACTCGAGTTCCACGCGGACTTCTTGTACCGTTCAACCGGTCGTCACCTGCCAGGCTATGCGTGGTGAAATTGCTTTGACCAGAAGCGTCGTTGGAGTTGCCAATACCCGCCTGTGAATAGCGAGAGGCAACATGGAGATTGTGATCATGAGGGTAACTTTGTGGTCTATCGTTTCTCACTCTGTGCATGTTTCGATAGTTCATAGTGGCAGAATCGAAGGCACTTTGAGGCCTTGTATCGCCGTCGACCATGGGTCTATATCCCGGGGCCTCCGCTTCAGGTTGATCTCTGGGTTGCCTACGTGGATTGTCAAAGGGCAGCCTGTCATGCAGCTGCCTTGCTCTGGGCGGTGGCGGGGGAGTTTGTGGCAATGAATATTGGTCTCCAACTTCCGCAAGAGATCCCGAATTTGAGATTTCTTCCATCCGCTGGTCTTCTTCGTACCTCCGGAGGTTCTCACGGTACCGTATGGTCTCTAAAATAATTCCAACTAGACATTAGTTACGCTTCTCTATTGTAGAGGAAGGGTAAATATGAGTTCTTACCAGGCGCACTGAACGTATCCGGAGAGTCTGCCTGCCTCGTCATCGTTATCTGATTTGCGGGTGGTGCTGGAACAATTCTGGATGTTGCTCCTGAGTTTTCTACTTTAATTACACGGATATTTCGAGTTCCAGTAAAGTTTCCGATGATGGGTGAGGGAGAATAGTTTTGATTGTCTCTGTGTACGGGGTCTTGCAAAATGTTGTTCTGCAAGAGGGATGGTTGTCTAAAGCTCCCACTAACATTGGATACAAAGTTCTGGGCGCGAACAGATCTTGTAGGTAATCCACTCTCGTTCTGGGGACCCGTCAGTCAACGCAAATTTTCTTGATGTTAACTAACATACCAGTACCAGACTCTGCATCGCGTCATTCCCGGTCTGTTGGGATTCTTCTACATCAGTCTTTTCTATCGCCACGTTCGCCGCGAGTTCTCGCTGCTCCGCTGTACGCAAACGAAATGCACATGATACCGAGCTGTGATGGCTCACGGACGACAATGTACTATCACTACTCATAGACATCGAGCGATAACGACTTGATTGGTCTGTCCCCAGGTCTCCATCCGCTTGACTCGGCGGGGGGTGTCCATCTTTATCATCGGCCATTCTTAAAATTGAGATTGTCAGTTCTAGGTTCAGGAATCATATTATCAATCGGAACCAACCAATGAACATGTGTTTATGCATACCTTGAGTTCTTCCTTTTCTTCCCGATATCGCCTCGAGATAAAGGCCCGATGTCAGCCCAATTGCAGCCCAATTGATGATGAAACGTTGATGAAAACGGCGGTATGGATTGCAGAGACGCGTAGAAAAGGGGAAGAAAGGAAGGAGAGGGAATGGAAAGATACGAAGAGGGTGTACCATCCCTTCTGCCTGTGGGAATTGTTTGTTTTGTTGAGAGCTGTTACCCCGACGATTGCCATCCCCGTCAGGTTTTACGAGGATCCCAAATCGCATCCAAATTGCTTCAATGGCACTAGACCGACCAAACAATGGAACCTACCAGTTACTGACTCTGTGAAACAGCTTGTTTCTAACATGTATGATTTTTCAATTAAGCTGCGAGAAAGGACTTGGATGTTTCATGAGATATCACGATGGATTCAAGAACAAATAACCAGGCTCTGTAAAGGAGATTTGGGGATGACATTGTGGCTGGATGGCCTACAACATCTCCCTTGCTGTCAATAGCCTACGAATAATACGAGAACGGCTGGCCGGGTAGGTTCTACCTCTTAACTCAAGGTGTATCATTGATACTCGAGAGTCGAGACACCTACCACTGGGTACTAGCATACAAAGGACCCGAGAAGGAAGCCATCGTGGGTTCTTTCCCGATCTCCCATCCAGGAGCTACGAGAAAGATCTTTTTCTCACAAGCATCAATCAAAGGACGCACCAGAAGTACATACAATCTCTGTAAAACATTGCGTTCGTGTGGGTTGTTGAATCAAACTCTTCACATAAAGCATCGCGCAGGGAGAAAAAATAGACAAGAAAAGAATTGCTGTTCAATTGTTAGGTTCTATATATCTATTTCTTTCATCCCCTTCCCAGTCAAACTGCGTTTCTGGTTTATCTATGTGGTTCCGAAATTTGGCATTCAGTGCTGTTGATCAAGGTGACTGGATAACAGGTTTCTAGGATTTCAACAATTATCCTTGCAAAATTTAACTGCCTTAGGAATTTGGTTTTCTTCTGATTATTGCGGTGTGAAACGATGTAGCAATTTTAACTCGTGAAAAACGATGAAACCAAGAAAATGCAGTTACCGAAGAAAGTGCGCGGAGGAGACTTTTTTTTTTCCCTGTCTTATGGACTCAAGCGCGGAGGAGAGTTACAGCACCGAGCTTTACAATATCCTATCACTGAGACTAGCTTACACTCCTTTTCCCATTTCTGCTTTCTCTCTCACCTGAATGGAAGGCTCTCACGGGAGTTGTTTCTTTTCAGACTGGTGTGGAACACCAGAGAAAATGTTTTTGATTTTTTCTTCCTTTGCAAGTGGGTGAATAGCAATGTGACTCAATAGTAAAAGTAAAGCTCTGGGGGAGGCACCGATATCTTTGCTTGTTTTCGAAATTTCCTGTTGGCAGAGTTACTTATGCTCTGAAAAAAACATAGTAATCTCTTGTCGCATCCCAAGGAACGACTTTATAGGCCTAATTGCTCTTTTCCAGGTTTTACATTCGGCTATTTGCCGCATGTGGGCGATACATTTTGTAATCCAATTATCTCAGGGCCGGTTGGTATATTCGAGCCTTATCCATAACTGACAAAACCTTGAACGGAACGCTGGGAACTACAGCGACACCTATTATGCTGCTTGACCTTTGTGGGCTTAGGCGGTACGACGATGAATTCCATGAATTTTAAATTTGACCTATTTTCACTTTCTTTTCTTCCTTGGAGGCTTCTGGTACTATTATTCTCCTTGTTTATCGCAGTCGCAATGTTCCTATTACCTCGTACCGAACCTTTCGACTATGTATCGCTTTTCAAATTGTGTCTTCTCTCGGTGCTGTTGCCCTTCCATGGCCATGTATATCTGCAACAGCCTTCAAATTAAAGAATTTTCAAAATAAAATCGGTTTCATTCCTCCGTGATGGCAATGAGGGCGATATCTCTTCCCAGTCCTAAGCATGTCTTGTTCAACAGCGAACCTCCGCTACTCCTGGGGATATATCTCATCGACACCACACCACGACTCTAGAATAACAGCTTTCCCAGACCTAAAAAGACAATTGAACTAGTAATTGGTGACGGCAGGTAGATAAATATGGAAAACCAATATATTCCTGTTGTGTGGAAGTGAACAACGTCTTGTTGCAATGGGGTGGAGGTCGATGAACTATTTAGGCAGGAGCTTCGTTCGAGACATTGATTTAGCTACGTTGAAAAGCTGTAAAGGATCACTGGTAAAGCGCTATATACACCTTCCCAGTCGGATCCAGTCCTCTGTTGATGCGGGACAAGTCCGCAGGGTTCAGAACGAGAGACTTCCGAGAGCACAAGGGGCGAGGCGAAGATGAGCCGCCGCCTATGATTCAACCTTATTAGTTATTATAGAGGAAACACATCAAAAGGGTGAATATTACCCTTCATAGGTGGGGAGGTCCTCATCCTGGAGCATGATATGATCCCACTCGGAATTGTGGACAGAGAGAAACATTCATCTTCTTTTATTTTTATTCTTTTAGAAGGTTTTAGAGATGTGAGGAAGGTAGGAATGAGGAATATAGCAGTGGCTCGGAGAGAGTGCCAATTATGAGACAACAGGTTTCATCGAAAGGATCTTCCTCCCATCTTCTCCCGGGGGATTGGACAAAGTTACAGCCCTTTAACCAATGTCAGTAACTGGTTAGGGTAGTCGAGTGATGAAGGATAGCTAAAAAAATTTATTCTCTCTCTGGTGAAGGTTCTAGTCGCGACTCAATCCACCGTGCATCGTTTCACTGAACAGCTCTTATTTTCCCATGTAGCCAGGTATAATATTTCCGAGATTCCTTGCCGACATACAGTTGGAGTGGTAGTGCATAAGTTCTTTGTAGGTGATCAAGATTTATGTTTTAAGCAAGGAGTTCTTTTCCATGCTGTGGCAGGAAACACTCTGTAGAAAGGCTACAAACTATCTGTGTAGGCATGTGTGGTACTGGATACTTCGGAACGCCATCAGTTCCTGTAAAGCGTGCCAGCCTGCCCTGCTAAAATATAGTGTGTGTGCAGCAAAATATTGAGAGCACGGAGTCATGGATGACCGAGCTCTTGATCGATGCTCTGATTATAAGGACCAAGCTCTTTCGGGAATCTCGAGGTAGGCCACTGCTAGTACCATGCATCTAGTTCAAAACAGAAACGAAACGCAAGAAATCCGGCCGCAAAAGCTGCAGCAAATAAGGGGGAGGACGGCCGAGGGCCGCAACACGCCACCCCTATAAAGTAGAAGTACAAAATATACGCCGGTTGACTTCTACTTTTACATCCTTGAGAGTTTACGTTAGTATTATTTGTTACGGCGGAAAAAGAGGACAAAGGAGGTCAGCTCTCCTACCAGTTTCTCTCCCCCGGAAAAAGAAAAAGAAAACTCAAGAAAGAATGTACGAAGACGAAAAAGCGAAAGAGAGGTAGGAAGGAAAACATAAACCACCATATCCCTGGGATGAAATGGTTGGATAAGGTTTTTGGGTAAAGGTCTATCAAGGTGATCTCCAGGCAGTCGAAGAACCACGTAGAAAACCCAAACTATGCGCCGTCGCAACCAGATGTGACTACAAGTACAAAAATCATTTGATACCTGTGTTCTAGGCTCACTTTCAGTACACTCTATCAAACCCAAAAGGTCTGTATGCACAAGAGCTAGAGGGAGGTTAATTAAGTACGGTTCTATTCAGCAGATGTTCAGTTTGAGCAGGAAGCGGTGCTAGCTCAGTGCCAAAAGCTGAGGACTATGTACATGATTAACTTCGAAAAAAAACAATCACAGATAGGTCTATGAGATGACACAGTCTCAAGTCGCCATCCATGATGCGAAGTGATGACAACCTAGCCTTTCTAGTAAGAGACGGGTCCCCCTACATGTAGATAGAGAGCAGCAGTCGCAATCTTCCAGATAGTAGCGTGACATGCTGTCACTCTCCCCGCACGCCGATATCGGTTTTGCACTTTCTGGTTAGATTACACGCCCCGTTAGATATAACACTCGCAAGCTAATCTGTACGCCACACCAGCCACAAACTCAGCGGATTGTATGTACGCCATATTAGAGTTAGCACAAATAATTTCCCCTGCGGGCGAGGAACGTTCAGGGTCTACGGGTTGCCCCCAAGCATTGAGAAGACATTAGTCGTCAACAGCAGAAAGAAGCGCACTGTACTACCTTAAACCCGGCGCTCTCGTGATACTTGCGTATTAGACATCATATTTAAAAATATGTTGGAGTGGGAATTCTTCATCTTTCGAACTATAGAAACTGTTCTGTGTTCCTGCCACCTTATTCCTCTCTCGGGTTCCTGATGTTGAAAATTTATCTGCGACATGAATACATATGTAACCATGTATATATTATGACAGTCTACATGTAATTGTAGACAGTTTCGTTTTTTTTTTTGATATTAACTTTGTTGACGACGGAGGTAATAAATGTTTTCGCGAAGGAGTAGTCCTGTTGATTTCGTACTCCCAAAGTGCTTGAGCTCAATTTAGTAGACCATTTTATGATATCTCTTGAACAAGTCTTTTGCCTGGTGCTGCTTGACTGTCCCACTTGTCCCCGTCAAGAGTGACAGTAAGCAACGTCCTGTAAGCGTGACAGAGTATTGTAAGGCTGTCTGACCCTGGATGCCCGTTTTTGTCGTGTGCTGCCTTGACGTCGTCGTTCACAAAAACGCCACTTCTGCCCAACCACTTGGTATAAAAGGAGAGCTCAACCACCATCTTTCTCCTTTCCTTCTTTTATTAGGTCGTCAGTAGTCGGAAAGAAATAGGTTGTCAACAATTCGATCGCAAAATCTTCTGCTTTATAATCCTTCCATTCACTGATCAAGGATATTAGAGGTAAATATTCAACAACTTCCAATATACATTCCTCCTTTGAACCACATTTTTGTCACTTCCTAACCAAAGGATATGGATGTAAAACCCTCACAACTGACACACTTTCAGATGGTCGCCCTTACGAGGAGCCAGGCTCGAAAGAAAACGGAGGATGAGGCGCCGGGGGAGGGGATTGCAGAACCTGTGCAGGATAACGCTTGTATTTCACAACCAATACAACGCAGACGGAGGACGGCAAAGCAACAACTTAACAAGAAAGTAAATTCAACTAAGAAGATTGCGGAATCTAGGGATAATACTTCACACCTCCCACCTCCAGTTAGCCAATCACCAATCCTGGTCCTCGATGCAACTTCCCGGCCCTCCGAGCCATCATTAAGTGCGTCCCAGACACCGACCGAGGAGTCCCATTCATTATCACCAAGTCTGCCAGATGCTCCACCAAATAGCCCTGACAACAGCTATAACCTGTCTCCGGCCTCACACTCAGCATCCCAGGTAACACAATCGTCGCCCAACGTTCCAGATGCTCCACCAATTACTTCCCAACCCGTCTACAGTGCTTCTCAGGACATACAGTCATCGCCTCAGGTTATGCAATCACCTCCGCCGGGTCTAACTGCGCCACCGAATACTCCGCTACTCTCCAGCGTTATTCTAAAGGACCTGTCTGACCGCACACACCCACTACCTCAGACTCCAGAAGCCTCTCCCAATACCCCATTCTCTTCCCCAGTGTGTGAAATATTACCTGAGATTCCACTGTCATCGCCTCAGGCTCCGAATGCCCCAGACAACAGTTATTGTTCAACGGTTGAGGTACATTCCGAGGTTCCGCATTCACCTGTGCAGATTGTAAAATCATCACCCAAGAGCTCGAAGGGATTACCAGCCAGTCTGGTTGCCTCCCCATACAGATTCGATTCAGTGGTTGAGCTTCCAAGCTCACCACCAGAGGTAATTCAATCTCCTTCTAAGGACTTAGAGGGGTCACCAGCCAGTCTAGTTGCCTCTCAATATGTTTCCGAGTCTGAGCTTGAGCTTCCAAGCTCACCACCTGAGGTATCCCAATCTCCGCCAAAGGACCCAGACGGGTCGCCAGCTACTCTAGTTGCCTCCTCGAATGTTTATGTTTCTGAGTCTGAGCCTGAGCATGAGGTAGCCAGCTCAGCGCCTGGAGTATACCAATCCCCGTCAAAGGACCGAGACGGGTCGCCACCCAGTCTAATTGCGTCCTCAAAAGTTTATGTTTCTGAGCCTGAGCCTGAGCTTCCCAGCTCAGTGGCTGAGGAAATTCAATCTACGCCCAACAGCCCAGAGGGTTCGCAAGCCAGTTTGGTTCACTCTGTATGTGTTTCTGAATCATCACCACATGGTTCGGGTAATCAGAATGAAGTCCTATTGCCAAGGAATGGATCACTCGGTGATACCCAAATGTCCCCGAAACTTCCTCAACACTCTTCAGAGGATCCCACTCAAGCTTTCGGATGGCATCCACCAGACCGTCCGCTCCGCACTCAAAGTGCTCCCTATGAAAGATTTGATTATAGTTCAGATACGCCCCGTGAGCCGGCTGAGGTATTATTAATCCATTCCATATGTACTTAGTAGCAACTTATTAACGCATGTTCCAGCCAATCTCGTCTGATAGAATCCTTTGGGATGCTTCTGACATGCCGAGGGAGGCACCCATTGTGGCGCGTGATTTGTATCCCGAGCGTGTTTCACCTGAGGTAAAGCTTGAAGAAGTACTAATCCACTTACTGTTAATATTTTCCCATATTGATTTCTAATGACTCTTCAGGTATCTCCCACCATGCAGGAGCTCCAGCAAAACGGGCCAGAACAGGAAGACGACCATCATCGGGCCATATCTTCGCCTTCTCCGGTAGACGATGCCGGGTCCTTTATGCCGTCCCCTGTTGAACCTCCAGCAGCTGTCGGTGCCGTAGGATTAACTGTTGATGCTTTGAATCGTTTCAACGCTGCCCAGGTTAGATATTACGGACTCAATTAATCCAAGGTTTAATACTAACAGACTATATAGCCGGATTATATGGATGGAGATTTATCTGATGATGATGAGGATTTGGATGACACTAAACTTACCCAATTTCCCACTTACCGATATGCACGTGTAGACCCCAAGATTATCCAGGATTACCGTGCATTTGGTGCTGCACAGCTGGAAGCGCAAGCAATGAAAGACGCGGCAGAGGCGCCGAAACAAAATATAGAAAATCAGTCACAAGTGGAGTCTGAAGTGGATCAGGAGGACGAATTTGAAGACGCTGATCCTCCGTCTCCAATACAGATCGAAGGGGAGACAGTTGCGAGGTTTGAATCAGGCGAGGGTGCTGAGTCTGTCGAGAGTTGGATTGCTAGAAGTTTACCTCCTCTGATACATGACCTTCTTCAGTATGACAGAAGAGACATTAGTTCAGAAGAGGGCGCCACGATGTGGGTATGGACGAGACTGGCCATGAGAACTCCGATTGATGAGAGAAACCCGAGCTTGTTATGCCTCCAACCAGCGCACCCACCTAGCTCTCCAATTATGACTTCTCAGGAGCATGTGAGTAATCTTCAAGGCGAGAAGGATTTTCTCATAGGCAGGTTCCAAAGAGGGAGGAAAGGAAAGAAAATGGCCGCGTGGATCGAAGGCATGGGAGAGTGGTTTGACAAGCATATTGGGCCAGAGAAAGCCTGTATTGGAGCCCATGTGTCAATGTTGTTGGATGAAGTCAGAACTGTGGCCGTTGCTTACATTGTCGGCGAAGAAGAAGACGATGAAAAGGCGTCTCTTCTCCGGAAGCTATCACAATACGATCCTGATGGCTCTCCAGCTCCTAGATTCGAGTTTGAGCACGCCGTACGTCAACAACATCTTTTGGGCGCCCGTCCAGGTGAGAATGACCGCCTCAAAGAGCACCGTCTTCTCGGTACAGACTACTCAAAAAACCAACCGTTTAAACGCTTGCGCCATAAACCAGAAGAGTTGCCCAAGAAGAATTCCCCTCTTCGTCAGGAAGAAGGATACCAACCATCTCTACCAGTTCCGCCAGCGAAGTCTAATCTGCGCGTCTGGCCTCATCATCCGGCGCCTCACTCTGGCCCGGAAAGCCCTGACGGAAAACCAGATCCCAACGACAACGGTCCTGACCCACAACAAGGAATGACGCATAAAAGACGTCGTTCAGATGGCACGGGAGACGGGCACTACGATGATCAGCATAAAAGACGTCGTTGAGGTGGTGCGGGAGATGGTCACTACGATGATGAGCATGAGTATCGTTAGCTCAACGGTACTCTGTTGGGAAGGATTATGGAGGCGTGAACGTTTTCTTACTTACTCATTTGTCAGGTTACATCACTTTTTCTAGGGCGCGCATTTCCATGTGCCACTATTTCATTATCTTCCTGTTTATGTTTCATATCTTGTGTAGATTATGATCAGATAGTTTGATCGTTATTGGTTTCTTTCGTCATGAACCACCTGGAATAAAGTTGTCAACTGAATGAGGTTCAATTGTTCTTATCAGCCTTCGATCGTACCTTGGTGTGGTTTATATAGTGCACATGAGCGGGATGCCCCTTTAGGTGCCAGGAACAAGGGTATTTTACTGATGAAGTACGACATTGAAGGGATACTAACACAGTCAGATATTATCTATAAGGAACTCAAGGAAAAGGTAAGAGATCATTTCCCACGAACAAAGGTGAAATACATACTGACTTTGATGAACTCGACAAAACTCAGATTATCAACTCGATGCGAGCGATCGCCACGTTCCGGAGACTTTTATAGATGGGTAGATCTGATGGCGGGGGGAGATGAGACGTGTTGTGCAACAAACGCAGCAAAAAACGTCCCTCTGCGGCTTATCGGGTACGTCGGGGGGGGAAAGATTTGCTTGTTGCTACATGTACACAAAGATCACTAGTGCCGAAGCCCTAACAAGTACATGTAGCCACATAACAAATCCACACCAGCAAGGGTGCCCAGCCAGGAATGGAAGGGACAACAAGAGTAGCAAGAGGTCTTCAAGACCTTTACTGTACAAGCTCCCAAGCACATCTATCTAATGTCCGGTTGCCGGTGTTAGAATATTGATGCACTCCCGGGAGCAAGGCAGAATGCAATATCCAGGCAATCATTCTACGGAGTCATCAGATATATACATTTTCGAACGAAATCTTTCATCTTTTACGGTATTTCTCAGTCTGGAAAACTTAAATGGGACCGTATCCTCCAAATATACATGCAAGAAACATGTCAAGACCTCCGCATGAAGCTAGGCGGATGTAATTGGTGCTAAAATTACATATTAAAGCTCATGGTGGAGATGGGATGACCTAAGTGGTTTTATACGACTACAGACAAAATACATTGGACAACCTTATAAACGTTGAGTTACATGTACATGCAGTGTTGAAAAAACACACAAGCTACGAGCAGAGAAGTTTGGTTGTTACACAAGGCAGCACAACCAGTTGGTTGCTAGCCGAAGTGCACTAGACGGAAAGAGGGAATTTTCAACCACATACATACTCCTGCCTGGCCAGATTCCTATGTCCTTTTGAAGTTGATAATGCTACTAACCAAACAACTGCGGTCCTGAGAATCGGTAAAACTATACCCAATCCAGTGGCAGAAACCACAGCGAATTAAATGGAAAGGTTGTGGTCAATACTCGCAGTGGCTCCGAGAAAAGGATCTGGGTTATCTTATCTTATCTTATCATATCAGGATCAGGGACTGAGAACTTGATTGATATTATTACGTGAAGACAAACCGATATCAGTATTTATGCGAAGATTTTTGTTTTGTGGCGAAAATTGCTGCTTTAAAATGAAGTATTGATTAAGATTTTTCTGCGATTGTTTTATACTATGTTTGGCAATGATCTTTCTAGGAAAATCTCTCACTTAGCTAATTAGTTTACAAACCGAAGATACATGTATACTAAGAGAAGCACTAAGTAACTCAAAATATGGAGCATTTAAAATTTAATTCCCTTTGCTAGTACCTATCCTTTCCTGCGACCAAAGACTCAGTTATCTCTCAGGTCAAGAAATGCGAATATCGAGTGACAGTCCATGATGAAGATCGTCTTGCGTGTTTGAAATAAGTTCCCTCAAATGGAACGGTCGCGACCAATAATGAAAACGTCACAAATAAAGAATAATAGACAGCATGCAAGTCACTGAAAGTAGTTGTGTCCTTGGCATATGGGTTCCTTGGTGGGTGAGTCGGGTATGTCGCCCTGCAGTCATTGCATATCCGCTTGTGCCCCATTGTTTTTGTAAATTAAACCCGCAATATCTGGCTGTGTTTGCGCAACGCAGAATAAGAGGCGGAGATCTACAATAGGTAGGAATGTGAAGAAGCCACGCTCTCTAAGGATAGAGGCTCAGCTTTCAATAAAGCTTTCGGTTTGAGACTGGAACAAGAGTTTGTCTTTTACGAGTTGGAGGTCTGCCAGAATATGAATTAATACTAGGATGGCGCCGCGGCAATGAGTTCTTGCCATAACCGCCTTAGCAGTGCTTTCTTCCCCCGAATCTAAATATTTTCCCTGAGCCTGAATGAGTACAGCGATCTTTGCTGGGTTTCGCATCATCTCTGTTTCCTTTAAATCCAGTGAATCACTTTACTCGTTCTTTGAAGTTGAGAGCCCTTTTTCACCAGCAGAGAAAAAGTGGACATGATACATCACCGGAAGATTAGCTTTTGCTTTGTATGAAACCAGGCAAAAGGTGATGGCTTCAATTGCCGTTTTAGAGGTTCCTAGCTCTTGACGGTTCTCCGATTCCTTGAAAGATTGTAGGAGGGGTGTAATGCTCTCTCATATGAGACATTTTCTTGAAGGTCACCAAGCCCGGGCTCAAGCTTGGCGGTCACCGGTCTGTTTATTATTTTTCCTCCTTGCCCCTCTCCCTTAGATTTCTCCCTACCGCGTTACTGACAGTTTATCCTCTAACAACTTTCTTTCTCCTTTTCCATTCTTCACTACACCACACTTCCCACTCTACTTCTGTAACTGTAAAATCCCAAACACATTCGTAAATCCCCAACATCAACAACACCCAATTAAATCTTAATTGTTATTTCGAAGCGCTTCGCCTTCGACAGTCTTCGGACATGAGTTACGACTCGGCATGGGCAAACTCCCGCAATGGGTGGACGTCCGTACTTCGTCGTCCAGACGCAATGTGGATTCCACCAAAACCTACAGTCGACAGTGAGGACGAATCGAATGAAGACCACGAAAGGAGTGAGAGCGACGAAGACGATGATGAATATGAGGATGACGACGAGGACGAGGATGACGACGACGACAAGGACAAGGAGAAGACGGAGAGTCCTCAAGAAAAACCCACAGATTTTGAAGAACCATTTCCACCACCACCGTCACAGTATCCGCCGGGGGTACGCTCCTGGAGAATGAACGCCGAACTCTCCGTACCGTGGCCTGATATAAACATGGCAGAGGTAGAAGAGTACGCCGAGGACCCAGAAGATGAAGAGGACGAGGAAGACGAGGTTGAATCTGCACATGAATCGGAGGATAAAGACGAGGTCCAATCTGGGGATGAATCTGAGAGCCTATCTGAAGGGGTGTCGGTCAAGAATGAGCCCGAAAGCGACGACGATACCGAAGACGGGAAAGGTACAGTTGATGGTCGCCCTCAAAATGAGCTTCAAAACGCGGTTAATTCACCGATCGATGGGAAGACGTCAGAGACCGCAAATAGGCCCAAGAGGAGAAGGGATACTACCGTAATGGTAGTGCAAGGAGATGACATTGCGAACAACCATAAAGCGCTACTTGGTTTAAGTCTGCCTCGGACTACTATTAGTGGCACATCGGACGGCTCTAAAGAGAAAGAGAGGCCGGCTAGGAGTCTTGTAAATGAAGCTGCATTTGGCAAAGTTCCATTCCCTCCTCCACCGTCTCAATATCCCCCAGGCGTCCGCTCCTGGCGAATGAACGCAGGTCCCTATGTCGTACTGCCTAAGGACCAGGATTGGGCCAGACCAGAGAGGGTTGCTGCACGTTGCAATGATCGCGCCTTGTATAAGCGGAGTGTGAGGGCTCGGATCAATTCAGAACTCGATAGTAGGAAAGCTGAACCCGTCCTTCAAGTTGGAGGGGGTATCCAGCAATCGTCCGCCCCAACCTGTACTGAAAGTCACGACAATGTATGTTGTATCGAGCTAGTCAGATGATCAGATTTGCTGTGCAGTGTGAGCCCTAACTAACACTGTAATCAATCTAGCCCGGTATTTCTCCCGTTGGAGCAGCTCCGGTTCCAGACAAGGCTCAAGGATCGTTGTTGCCTCCTGTTGCTAAGGAAAAAGAAGTAAGTCAAACTTAAAGTTCCCCTGTTCTACATGGGTCATCATCCTGTGGAGGTGGCAGATTCTCTCTTCTAATCCATCTTACTTATATCTGCCAACTTTTAGGGCTCTGCTGGGGATGTTTCTCCGCATGATTTATCTGTCAACGTTCCCGTTATTGATCGTCCAGATGTTCGTCCTTCTTCTTCTTCGCTCGCTTCCAAGCATGATGTCATCATTTACTGACATCCTAATAGGAAATCAAGTCCAAGAATGCGAGGTTTCTTCGTTTGTACTTCAGGTTGAGTAATCATCTTGATGCGAAAGATCATCTTCACAGGAAAATTACCATCAATGAAGGCTACGCAACTCAACCTCGTCTTGCTGAACACGGCTCAGAGACCGGTTATTTTGAATTTCATGTATGTTTCTTCTCAATAATTCTAATAACTCCAATAATCCCGCGCCGTCTCACTAATCTTACTTTGTAGAAACGCAATATCGTGCACCCTGCGGTTGAACTGAGAGGGCCATGTGCTAGTACTAGATATGTATGAGCCAGACCCTCTGCAAGGATTCATTCGAATACTAATGTTAGTCGCAGAACGGCCTGCGTAACGAAGCTCTGCTGTCGGAAGTGGAGGAAAATATACCTTTGTGGGCATCGCGGCGGCCTCTACCGGTCTTCGACGACCAAAACAATATCACGCCCCGGGCGAGAGAGAAACGCAAAGTTGAAACTATGGATGATGGCCATGAAAATACCGAAGGCGAACCTGCAACGAAAAGGACCGCGACGGTCGCCACAGTTAGCGCTCCCGGAAACCCGTTCCACAGTGCAATCATTATCGATGAGGATACCGATGATCATGTCGCACCAATCAGGGCAGCTCAAACTAGTTCCAACCCTGTGGCTCAACAGACTCAGGACGTCTCAACTCTTGTTACTCCACCTCCTCCGCCGAGGGTAGTTAGTCCCAGAATACACAGCCTTGAGCAAAAACGCAAGTTCAGAGCAATGTTCAGGCGCATAGTCGTCAATAACAGGGCTAGAAGCAACTGGCTCCCCGCCGCACCGGCATCATCTGGATACGTTCTTGTGGACCCTGGTGCATATGCCGTAGAACCTTCCCAGGGGAATACCGCCTCCATCGAGTCTATTGAGCTGGATTAAAAAGCTTTATGCGAGCACCCCATTCCACATCTACCGTACTCGCACCTTTGGTGGAGATGTGTGTTATGGTTTCGAGAAGATTTCACCGAAGATGAGCAGGCTTTGGTGGGGTATCTGATGGTTTTCTTTCGTTTTTCTCTCGTTTTCGGTTATCTTATTTGGATTCCCTTTCTGTCAGAAATGTTTGATGCTATCTTTTGTTGATTACTATGGTGGTTCTTTTTTCTTCTGTTGATATGCCTTTTTGTATGCGACTTCTTGATCACTCCGGGTCCATCTCTGTATGAGTGAAGCACATCTTCGTATTTCACAAAATCAGATTAAGGCACTTTACCTTTCGTCTTTCTAAATGATTTCATCTTGATTTTTCTCTTTCTTTTTATTTCTCTTTATCAATTTTACTTTGATTATATTGCCCATTAAACCCAAGGAATATAGATCTACGTATCGAGCCATGATCCTATTCCGCTTCAAGTGTTGTGAGAAAACACTGAATGACCACCTCCTGCCATCTAGGAGGCCGAATACGCGGGATAGACACTTCTATAGAAATTCCATAGCACTCTAACCAAATTTCTCAAGACAAATGCCATATAGAGATAAGAATTCTGAAGACTTGGCGGTGGGAATACATGGAATCATTCCTTATCACTCGCACATTCTTAGTATCCCTGGCTTTTGAATTGTAGTAGATTGTGAAGAACTATCGATGATATGCTACAGAATAGCTACACAAGTCATGTACATATTTCGGGAATATAAATGGTTATTATAGACTGTCGTATTGAATGAAGTGGTTTCATTTACTCCCCGGACGTGTAAGGAGACACCGTGGGCTGGGCAAAAAGTAGGTGGTGGCAAGAAATAGAGGTGAATTATCGGAATTCAATTCCTGAGGCTAGAAAAGGGAGATCCTGTCTCGTTACACTTGCTGGGTTTCCTTCTGCCGGCTTAGCCCCCTCTGGTCGAGAGAAATCCGGGTTTTATACCCATGTATTCTATACCTCTATAGATAAGCGATTAAGAAATACAACTAGCTATGAATAGTAGGTTTTTTACCTCAAAGAACACATATATCAGGCTCCTGACGTTCATTTCCGGACCATTTCTAGGGTTTAGGTATTTCCGTGGGTATTGACCCCCTCCCCATGCCCAAACAGAACCACACGCTGTGGTAGAAATCCCTCTACATGCATCTAGATGTATCCATGAAGGTAATACTGCATCGGTTGGCATCTCAAATATGGGTTCGATGATCGAGTAAACTCAACCAGGTTCATGATATTCGAGAATCGAGTGATAATATATGACGCGTTTCCGTTGGGCAATATCAAGTTGCCCAGCTGCAGCTGGCCAACGTATATTCCTAAGTATATAAGACGTAATTTCATCTTAGTAAACATGATAGAGAAACCAGGTAAATGTAATCTAGTCATAACTGGGGACAAAGGCATTCCTGACACTCTCAAGAATGAAAATTTACAGACTCTCCATAGTCCCGCATTTCAACTACCATCCACAGCAGATGATCGAGAGCAAGTCCCTTTTTCCGATCCGGCTTATGCAAGTAATCTTTCCATAAGTTCGTTATCTCATCTTTGACAACTTCTGCGGCGGCGACCAGTTCGCCAAGTTCGTCGGGAGTAGAGATAAACCCTTTCTTCTTCTTTGTTCAACAATTGACAGCTTTCGAGAAAGAAATGAGTGGATTATGACATATGGAGATTGTAGCTATCATTGTATAGCTGGTTAGTAAAACCTGAACCTTTGTTTTTAGCTCATATCAACCATATCGAATATAGGAGAAGCTGGAAAGACATCACATCAGCTGCGACCAAGTGGAGAATGTCTACTTGGGTGAGGATTCTACATTCCTGACCAATATTATTCTTAAGAGGGTTAGAATCTAGTGGGCTAGAATAATAGGAGCTTGACCTACTTGGCGAAGATAGGATAAGATTAAGATACCTCTGAGATATTATGGTTGAGCATGAGAACTAATATATCCTCGGTCATGATATCGGGTGTCTATGTATGGTTATTGTTTGTAGAAATACTGTTGTCCTACTACTTTCTTCCCTAATGCGGATGACCTTCGTGCATGTATCTCACCGGGGCGATGAAGCTCATGCCTAGCTTAGTTCCTTGCTCGGGATATGTACGTGGGCTCATCAAGTAATGGCCGGAGAGGGAGTTTCATGCGGATTCTTCATCTACAGAGTGCCGATATGGCTGTTTTAGATTTCTGTAGAGTGTAAAATAAGGGGTGCACCCCAGTGTACAAGGTCATAACCTGGTTCGAAGCAGATATGCTCCTTAGAGGAACGAGATAGCGACCGATCTTCAGGCTGGTAATGTTCCAGGAATTAATACCCGAAGGTGCGCATTCTTGATGGAACAGGAGCGCAGCGAAGACCAAGTGAGTAGAAAAAAGATTCCTTTCGGGAGTCAGCGGAAGTTCTCTTACTCAGTTCATGGGAAGCCCTTCATAGAAATTGGGACTTGACGTGTCAGGTCTGGGGAAACGGATAATCTGACCTATCTTCTCACTTTTTGTGGGTGTTGAAACGTGTTTTAAGTCAAACAGGATACATGGGCATCATATGCGTACAGAGATCTTGTCTTCTGAGGACAATGGGCATAAATGTCCTTCTTTGTATTCACAGAGTGTTAAATCAAAATTTACTCAATGCATCACGAACAACGCGGGTGAGTACATGAGGATTCTCCTGGTTGGGGGGGAACATTTGGTTTAAAATGATTCTTCCAACCTACTCGCCCTCCAATTGGTCCAGAGCGGAAACCCTGACCCTGCATAGCAACCAGCCCACCCACCCAAAATGCCACCCCACAACGGCATACGTACCCCAAATTTAAACGGTATGTCAAATTCGTAAAGATCTTTCTTTTCTCTAATTACACAGACTAAATAAACTTTTAAAATATACTCGGTGGTATTGAGATATCATCAACGGGCCCCCCAAATCCCCGGCGCCCACTACACAGGTGTATGGGATGGATATATCAGAGAGCTTCCCCATTTCAACAATAATAGAACTGAGGTAAAAGAAAGAAGAAACAAAAAAACAATTGTTTGTGTAGGGGATCTAAGCGGGATTCGAACCCGGTATCCGCTGTCGTCATAAGTTTCCTAAACCGGAGGCATAGACCACTACACAAACAGAACTTGTTGGATAAACTGCGTGCTGGGGAGGATGGTAAACGACACACGTATACGTACATAGTCTCGTACCCATCTGTAAGTACCGTACTTGCAGTAGCTTCCATGCTAGCTGTCCACCAGTCCCAACAAGCCGTCCGTCGGTCTTCCTTTCTGGCGTATGTACAATGTACATAGTATCTGTTGGCGGGGGGTGTCCATACAAGTTACACAATGTCTAATATGCACTGCCCTTAATTCTGCGAACCTACTCGCCCTCTGATTGACCAAGAGCGGAACCTAACCCTGACCTCTGCGTGGCAACGGGCTCACCCAAAATGCCACCCACAAATGCCACGGAATGTCAAATTCAACTGCGGCTTTATACTGGGGGGTATTGCGCACTCTTATCAAAATAAAAAAAGACCCCAAGCGGTACGTTTTGGGTGGTTATAGTATCTCTTCTTTCATACACAAAAAAAAGAACAAAAAGTACTGTGCGGTTCCGGGACGAACTGGCACTACTCCCACCCCTGGGTCGAACCCTGGCCTTCTGTGATCGAAAGCAGGGCTAAACCTCGCGGTGTTCTTTGGCGAGGGCTAAACCGTTAGACCACTCGCCCATGTGTGTTGGTGGCTAGAAATGGTATTTGTGCGCCAAGGATGGTTGGCTAGTACATACATGTATGTACCTCCACCACTCACGGGCCACAGGAGCGCGTGCTCAGAACAAACCAAAAAACATTACATGCGCGATATAGGTACTTGATTACATGTAAGCCATTGTCACAAAGGCGATAAAAGCCATCATCAAGAACCAAAGTCGAATTAGTAAAACAATTTTTCTTCATTTTTTATTTTACTCATTTCAAACCATACTGCAAATCTGCCACATGCGCCGCAGCCTAACCATTAATTCCATCCACCGCATTTTCCAAACTCAAAGAGCCATCCAACAAGCAAAGACCTATTCTCTACTCCTTCAAACCGACAGCTAGCATACGATAAAAATCAGTAAGTGGCTCCGGATAAATTTAAGTCTGCAAAATAATAATTAACAGTACTTACCATTTACAGAAACCGCTCTTCCACTCTACGCCCGCTGATCAGGGGCTCACCGGGTTCCCCGTGCATCGATCTGATGGTGGCGCGACAGAACCTAGCGTCAACAGCGAGTACATCGGCTGCAAGCGGTTCATAAAGATCGTTATACGCACTGGCCGGGTTCAGCAACATAAACCTCATCGCGGTAATCACAAGCTGAAGACGAGGACTAATTTCGGCCATGAATTCAAGGATATCGGTGAGATGTTGTCCACCGGCGGCCGCTGTGCGGAGATACTCATAACAATCGCAGATTTCGCGGAGAGCCAGATAAAGCGTTTGGTCTTGGAAGCAGCGTAGCTCACAGGGAGCCCTGAACATGATATGCGCGGCCTGGTCGGGGTCGGAGTTACGTAGCATTTCGATGAGTCGGCCAATGTCCTGGAGATGGCTTATTTGAAGAGCAACAAGGTCGAGAGTGGCGGTTTGGTCCGGGGAGAGGCCGGATTCTGTCAGACCTGGGCTGGACGAAGCATCGGGAGCAGCAGTGTTTGACATGATGAAGGTGAAAGGGCTCCTGGAATGCTGTTCGAGATGGAAAGCTAGTCCCGTTATCAAGATAAATTACACCCTCGAAAGAACCGGAGTCAGAAATTGATAAATCTCCTTCCCTACAAGTCAGCATCAATGTTCATAACGAATGATCAGAAAGAAATAGTAAGCGGAACAGGAAGAAAAAACTTTTATTACCGGGAGAAACTTTCACTCCAACCGGGGTGTGGGGAGTGGTAAATGGTGTTAACAGCGGATGTGTCAGGAGATGGATGGAATTCGAGAGGTCTCAAAAGGTGGAGGAATAACACCACAAGAGAAAAAAAAAGCTAGTGTTTATTGTGGGAGTCTACATGCAAAAAGCAGTCGCAAAACACGAGGGCGATGTTATCAGGAGGGGGGTCAGTGATCGCCATGGAAAGCATCATCATTATCTCTTATCAGACACTAATGCGAGGACCTAGAACTGGTTAGTTCTTCGTGTTACGTGCTAGAAGGTGGAGGACGAATAGTAATGTTCTCGAGAACTCAGTTTTATGAGGAAGAAATAGAGAGGTTTTCATTGAGAAAGGAAGGCGCTAAGAAGGAAAGCTTTGGTCCAAAGAGGGGCCAGAGCAATTTGCATCAGATGCACGTTTCGAAACAAACAGAAGAACGGCCTTAATCCCTTTGCTGGGAGCAGTGGGGCGGAAAAGAGAAAGAGCGACGTTGGCTAATACGACCTTTCTTCGACAGATAGATACAATTGGTTGGATATGAACATTCTTACGATTTTCGATCTAAACGGTAGATACACATATTCAGGAGATCCACCTTGAATGCTATTGACTTCAGGAGTGCTTGCCATGGAGAATATAGGTCATGCACAGAGTGAAAATGGGACCGAAAAGTTCATTTTTCACTATAAGGTAGAAGGGTATGATTTACCCTCAACGGCTAGAAGACGAGATCTCATAGCGTTGGACCCTGATACAGAAATACCGACGGTACCCAGGGTGGCTCCTCACTGCGTCGCACCATATTCTACTCATCTCTATCTACAAAGCAAAGAATTGAAGAGTTTTTGAGCTAAAATACAGGAGAGGTAGGGGGCAAGGTGGTCACCGCGCCTAGGTTCCGGGTCAATATTGAAAACATGACAGGCCCACTGCCCCTTCTCCCGCAATATTCCTATGGCACCCCCGGTGTGCCCGGCGAGAAAATGAACAGCCTACGGAAACCATCCCCACCGAGTCGAGCCAGTCGAAATTAATAAGAAACAGACGAGAAAAGCGCGAATGTCCATTTTACGGGAAATGGTTTGAATGCTGTCGTCTACCCCTTTAGTGTTGATGACTAAATCGTGCATGAAGAACGCTGGCAGGACCTGCAGGGGGGACTAGGATGTTGTGGCTAGGGCACAACAACACACGACGAAAGAAAAAGAACCAGGGAACACGCATAGCGTTAAAGAAAGCGCACGGGAACGCGACTGAAACGAGGGTGGAGAAAATGTCCTCTTGCCGCCGTCCTGAGCTGCCCGCCTCCTTCTCACAGAGTACACGAGACGCGCCGCGCATTCTGGCAACCGTACACCCCCGAAGATACAGCGCCTTGTCGTTCCGACATGAAAACATTTTTAAAATAGTGTGAAGAGGACGGTTTTAAGTGTGGTAAGGATTCTTTATTTCTGGATACTTTGGGGTGATTTAGATGTGCTAGAACTGCTGGGGTGCTGTGGAGTACATGTACTTGTAGTCGCTGGCCTTAATAACCGGGACCATGTACGCTTCTCCCTAGGACTCCCAGGCCTCCCAGACAACGACGCATTGGCCGTAGCCACAGCACGCACAACCGCGAGTAACGAAAAGAGTTATTGTTTAAGGCCTGTCAAGCTCTGAAAAATCCGTCGCAAATCGTTAACTAGGTTTGCCTGGTGGAAAAGCGGGAGTCTTGAAGAAGGTCGCGTATTGAGTTGAGTGCTAGCAATTTGACGTTTCGTCTGTTCGCCTGGAAGTCACACACAAAACTTGGACATATCCGTATTGTAAGAAATGAGCCATAGAATTGTTGGACCATGTTGCATATTACTTGTAGATTCCGGGGAAATAAACAACTGTAAATTAAAATAGATATATAAGGATGGTCATCTCACGGCCGTTTTGACGTCCTCTTCTCCGATTAGGACAGGTGAGTGAGTGATACCGCATGATTTACTCTTTGAGCATATAGAATGTTTACGCCTCGATCATCCAACATGAGGAGAATGAGTATCTTTCCAGGTGTTTTCTTTGGCATCACTTGATTTTGAGGGCCTAGGGTCTATTCCTGAAACCTAAAGGGACAACTAGATCATCTTCGCAGGAGAAGAATATCTGTTTGATATGAACACGAATAACTAGGCCACCTCCGCAGACAGTGGCATCTACTGGCTAACTTGTCCTCTGAAGCATAAAAAAATAGAATTCCACACCTCCTCAACCAAAACCCATATCCACCTCTCCATCCACCCCTCGGCCCTCTATCAAAATGTCCACCCCAGCGCCCCCAACACCAGGCATACCCGCCACCCCCAGCATCCTCCAGCAGGTCTCCGCCGCCTTCCACTTCCCTTCCACCACCCCACTCACCGAACACCAACTCCACATCCTGCACACCGTCCACCAGCACCTCCCCGTCATCAACCACATGCGCCGCGGCTTCGCCGCCATGTCCCGCCCCCCCACCACCCCGACGCCCACCCTCACTGCGCCGCCCCACCCGCGCGTCCTCTGGGCGCGCAAGCTCGCCATCTCGCTCTCAAACATCCAGATCGCGCTGTGCGGCTTCTGCATGTTCCGCGAGGACAAGAGCGGCGGCGACGTGGGGCTGCTCGTCGAGATCCTGGAGCCCGTCAAGGTGTGGCTGGACGTGCTGGTGGGGCGCTACCAGGAGATGCAGGCCGAGATGGGCGTGGAAAGGACGCAGGTGTTTAGTTTCGCGGTGACGGGGACGGAGGCGCATCTGAGGGCTGTTATGAGGGTGGCCGGGTGCTGGTGGGAGGATGTGTATTTGGCGGGGAGGGGGGTGAGGGGGGTGGGTGCGGGGGCGCTGGCGGATGGGAGGGCGGTGAAGGAGGAGAGTGTTGTGTCTGATGATAGGACGGTGAAGGCGGAGAGTGTTGTGTCTGATGATAGGACGGTGGTGGAGGGGAGTGCGGTGTCTGACGATAGGACGGTGTCGGAGAGCAGTGCTGGGGTTGAGACGCGCGGTGGGAGCGTGTGGAGTGCGGGGGCTGAGACGGGCAGTGTGACTACGGGCTGTGGAGAACACGGCAAGAATGTTTCGGCTGCGGGCAGTAGTGCGGGAGGCCGTCGCAGTGCGTCGACTGCGGGCAACGCACACAATGATCACAATGCGTCGACCAGAAGCAGCCCAGAGCACGATAATACAGTTGTGATGACGGAAAGCAGCCCAGAGCCCGATCGGGACACGGCTAGCTTCACTACAGGCGGTGCAGAGACGGAGGCGGACACATGGAGCTGGGCCACAGGCAGTGCGGAGCCTGAGGAGCCCGAGCCGGAGACCGAGGAGGACCCGTGGAGTGAGTCGGCCTCTGATTGTTAAATAACCTCTCAACATTGTGTATTCTAACTTCTTAACTCATTGCGTTCTGATCATAGACGACGAGCTATTCGCGTGCCCCTCGAGCCCCATCTGGTGTCTCTGAAGCGTCCTATCTAGGGGTGATATATACGGCGATCATCGGATATAAGGGACCATATCGTTGGTCGAATTACGAAGGAATTGGAGGACGGTTATATGCTTGGTTTTAGAAACTATATAGTCCTCGCTGTTTGCATGTTGCTTACTCGGCGTCTGGGGTCATTTTCCATGTAATGTACAAGTACGTTCGCGAATATAATAATGGCGCTTTAGCATCAGGAAGGTTAATACAAACGGCCACCAATGTCTGCCTAGTGTGAAGCTCTCTCTCTCGGAATGTATAGATAGAATACACCAAAGTTCGCGAAATATAATATCAGATAGTGGTTCCTGAAAGCTGGTAAGGAGATTATATAACGTTTGGATAAGAATACATGGATTGCATGAGCGTATTTGCGGGTAGTTTGGAGGATATGAGGACGTTAGCTTCCTCGATGCCGGACCCATTGCCTTAAACCAGCCGTTGTAAGCTTCGGTAATCTCAACCAACCTCCAACCAAACCCCTTCAGATCGCTCAAGTAACCATCGGGAGTGCTTCAGTATTCCTATTCACCAGATTAACGAAGAACAAAAACATCAACAATCCGAACATCCGACTAACCTCATAATCCGCACCCGGACGTCTCACCCCAATGGCAGACACATTATCCTCCCTATTCCCATAGATGTACAGGCTCACCACACACCCCATCTTATTCGCCGCCATCGTCACCCACTCCGCAAAGTCGTCATAATCCCCCTGAATGCGATCCTCATGCGCCCTCAGCACCTGCGCCCACTGCTGGTAGATGCCCCTCAGCGCCGGTATGATCACCTCCAGCTCCACCAGCACCACCCGCAGATTGGAGAGCTTGTGCAGGTCGCGCGCAAAGATCACGCCCATGCAGACTCGGATGTAGTGCAGGTTTTGGATGATGGTGCCGTTCTGCTCGATGGGGACGACCTTGGGAGGTCGGGAGGCCCCCTTTGAGCGCAGTCCGTGGCATTGGGATGTGTCGTGGAGTTGGCTGGCGATGTCGTCGGTCCGCGTGAGCATGTGCCCACAGTCGCGGAGAAGGCGCGCGATGTAGAGGGGGTCGGTGCCAGGGAGGGCAACGGCGGGGTTGGCGACGGCGCGCTCGATGTCGGCTTTGATGCGGGTTCGCTCGGCTTCGCCCCAGGTGACTTCCATGGCTGTTAATAGCTGTTACTTTCGGGGGCTTGGTCAGCGGCGGTGTCCTCAATTTAGAGGGGAAGCTCGGTGATGACTTACCTGTGTACTTGATGGAAACAGTGATGAGTACGATAATAGAGGGGACTGAGGATGGATGAGGATGATGAAGTATGGATGGCGAATACCTTACCAGTTTTATAGGAGGTAAATCTTCTCCAATCGCCTGGGGGGCTCACGGTAAATTTTTCACCTCCATATATAAGCTCCTGTAGCTTTATTCAACTCGACGCCAAATAAAACGATTAAATATAGCAGTTTCATCTCGATTTAATCAAATGCTCTGTCGACAGTAGGAGGGCCGGTCATCTATATTGAACGAAGAGAGCTGGTTGATAGATTTATATCTTGTCATTTTGCAAATTGGCGTAACGCAGACAGAACCTGTGACCTTATCCCGTTGTGAGCGGTAATAATTCTATCTTGGAATACGATGGGTCACTTACTTCTTTCCCATATAATTTTGATATCTACGAGGAATTACTACTCGAATACCATCTTCATACTCTTGAGAGAGGTTATTGATGCGGTGATTGTAATTCTCTGCCTATCTTGGCCGGGCATTACTCCTCCGCACCCCAAAAATGTTTCGGTCGGTAACTCAATATCCAGTAGACGTGAGTGCGTTCTTGCTCATTTTCAACGTAAAGTGAAGATTCTACAGTTTTTCGAAGTAATGCCTAGGACATTCGATAGACCTGATTGGAAAACTGTAAACTTTATATGTAACGTATGATGTGGAAGTGACTTGGTACACGCCCGAAAGTTTCGGTGCAGGTGTAGATAAGATGAGGTGAGAGAGTTGCCGAAAAGGAAAGATAATAACAGATATTCCCGTGTCATTGCCACGAGGCAGGACTTGAGTAACTCTAACTTTTAGTATTTTTAAAATGAAGACACGAATCTCGACAGAAAAGACGACGCAACGACAGAAATCAAGAATTCTAAATATCATCCAGAATCCTCCCCCGCCAACGGTGACACAACCCGAGACCTCCGGCCTCGAATCCCCCCTCTAAGATAGCCATATAACCTCCGAACACTCCACTCAGTCCTTCATATCCTCAGAGATCGTAAATAGCTTCAACCACGCTTCCTTCCTAACCTTCCCCGAGACGCCATCTTTGCGCTTATTTTTCTCCTCATCCTCACATTGCAAACTACACAGTAGCACCGCACACGACAGCTTCAGTTCCGCCTCCATCGTCTCATCCGTGTCCCCCACCGCAACGGTCCTCGCATACCCCGCAACGCAATTCACAAACTTCGTCACGCTTTCCACCTTCTTCGCGTGCGAGATATAGTGTTTATCAAACTGCTCCACCCCGCGAACCGACGAGATCCGGTTGTCGGTGTACACCCAGGCAAAGGTGGTGAGGATGTAGCAGAGCGTCTTGAGGAGCGAGCCGTCGGCGGCGCCCGGGACGGTAGTGAGGATCTTGGGGTACTGGATTTGGAGGGTGTGGTCGTCGACGATGCAGGCTAGGAGCTGACAGAAACCTTGGAGGAGCGTGAAGGAGGTGTGAAGTTCGCGCAGGTTGCGTTCGAGGTCCGGGGAGATGAGGAAGCAGCGAGTTGTTTGCAGCTCTGAGAAGGGGGTTTGGACGGAGGAGATGAGGCTTGGCCAGTCGAGGTCGAGGAACATGATGGTCGGTGGGAGTCAAGGGGTTTTAAAAGAATGTAGGAGGAAGCAGTTGCTTGGGAAGAGGAATCGGATGAGGTTATCTCCAAAGGAGCGTGGATTTGATGTAGCTATGGTGATGGAAGTTGTAGCTTGGTTCAGTTTCTTAGGGATGGGAGTGTCGAGTGGTTAGAAATTTGGAATCACATATTATTGCCCTCTCTAGCCTCACGGTTATCTTTGAGCCAAGAGGTGCCTTGATCCACTAGATAACAATTGACGTACCTCACATTCCAAGCTGGCCGTTGAAGCGGACCTTTCATCTCTGTATTCATATATACTGCGGTAGTTGACAAGCAAAGCTCGAGAAACCACAAGAACGTACGAGGTGAGTCGAGAGTACTTTGATATTTTACACTATATACATTTCTTAATCTACATACAGGCAAAGAAACCACCAGCGTCCATGCGCAATTCCACTCAAGTGCAAATTGCATTTGCGCCCGCGACGAGGCCGGACGATCTGACCATTGACAATCTCCTCGCCCAGAAGCCCACCACCACAGATACGTTTGCGTCCCCCACTCAAGGCCCAGGGAACCATAAGACCTTGCAAGATCAACGCATACTCAACACGGAGGCCGACCAGGGATGGTGTCAGTGGTGGTGTCCCTCCGTTCTTTCGAGTCCCATTCTCTTTTTCGCTCCTCCCTCTCCTGAACTTCCTTCTTTTTGAGGCGGGAAGATGGATGAAAGTGCTGCAAAGGCCAGATGTAGGTAGAGAATCCATTCAGGATCCACGTCGGACTCAGGTGCTCCTATTAAGTTGTTGACCCGAGGGAACGGGTATGCTTTATGCATATATATGGATCTGTGGGGTTTCGACCTTTAAGGACTATTGAAGTTGTCAGCTTCTTCCGAGTTATAAACATTGGAGGAAACTACTTACAGACAACAATTTAACACCCGCACACACCAGGATATCTGCTGGTGGTGATGCTGCGCACCTCTTCCCCTCTGAGGCTGCCCCTGAATCCGTACCTGAGGGTATCATGTTAGTTCAGTTAAAATCTCTCCGGAAATAAAGAGAAAAAGAGTATTACCCATGGTGCTTAGGGAACCAAGCAGTGAACATGGCGCAGCCGGCGCGAGCTCGGGATATTCGTCTACGCCCCTTGTCACGAAGAAGGCCGGTTAGTACTCTGGGACTACAACGTACGATACCAGCATAAGTATTTAAGCTGCACATCCAGAACCGTTGCGGAATCCATACCTGTCACATACATTTTCTTTTACGATATTGTTCATACCGCATATAAATCGTTCCCCTACCTGGGAAGACAGATATAACAGGAAAGTCTTCAACTCCCCCACGGTATCCATCAAGCATCCTGCCAGAAGTTAGTATAGCTGTAACGAGAACAAAGGTGGTGCTCGAAGCACCTGTCAGAAAGGAGATTTTCATACCTGAATCCTGGAGTGTATGCCTCGAGCAGCATCCAACCACCAAATATCTCTGCTCTTTCATCGACTGGTATCTCCTCGGTTTGGTGGCGTTCGATCACCTACATCAAAGGGTTCTTGACCTCGGAGAAGGGTCCCAGGCCAGCAAATGATGCCATTGTTGCCCTCAAAGGGCAAGCGGTGAGAAGCGGGAATGACCGCGGTCACAATAGACTCGAACCCATACGAGGCACTAAATGACCTATGAGGGTCATATAATGCTCGATGGGCCCTTCCTCGATGATCAACATGTTGAGCAAAGAGAACGGGGATACTGTTGTAGGTCACCCATTAGCAATCAAAGAATCATCATATATCGATCGATGAAAAGATTCCGTCAAAAGGATATATTTTGTTCGAGTTGAAATAGATACGTACAACGATTCTCGAGCAAACTCAGGTCTCTCTGATAGCACGTCCGAAGTAGCACGAGATGAGTAAAGACTTCATCCCGGAGATGTATAAATTTGTCCTAGCCCGCTGATTAGCATTTAAGAATTTGTTAAACATGGATGAGAACATTGTGTTAAAGGTTATAAGAACTGGGGTTTAAATGGATACATACATAGTTTTCCAGCAAGCTCAGGTCTCTCTTATCAATAGCTGTTCAGGAGCACCGCTCGGTGAGCAGAAACTCCATCGAAGAGATCCGTGATACTGTTATAGCTCCCGGGTTAGCATTTAAGGATTCACTCGACATCCGCGAGAAGGTTGGGATAAAGGGAATAGTTTGCTAGGCTGGGGGTTTGAATTGATACTTACAACGATTCTCGAGCAAACTCGGATCTCTCTTATTCGTTGTCGAGAGGAGTAAATATCTTTTTATGGTAATAGTTGGGATAAAAATATTTGTTATGTTGATGGTTAGGAATGCGAGAGAGTGAGAAGGGTAGGAGGGAAGCCTCTGTAGGATATGAGTGATAGGCAGTGAGCTGAAGTAAGCAAAGCTAGGTGGGGAGGGCCGGGGGCTGCTTTGTGGATTAATAACTCCTGCTGGGTGTCGGATGCTATCGGATAACCCTTCGACCTGTGGAGAGGAGCCACAGAAGCAAGCTGGCTAGACCTGAATACTTTTCGCTTCAGTCTCAAGCTATATACGGAACTCCAAACCTCCGCCTACTATTTTCTCAACTCCTCGGCGACCTTGGGCAGTCGATACGTGTCTGTTCTCTACAATGCCTGAAGTAGCTGTATACGTGTACCCTTAACAGTCTCCATGCCCTTAAAGCCAAACAAAAGCTACGGCTCCTTCAACTAAATGAAAACCTGACCAGGAAGCCTTTTATAACATCAATCCTGCTTTTCCACTTGGCCGGACTAAGTCTTCTCGCGAGTCCTGGACCCATTGATAAAATGGAACGTTTTTGTTACTGCCTGCTATGGATCCCCGTCTCTCTATCTCTACTCTTAACTATTGTGATAAATTGAGTTCTTAAAGTGGAAGAATGTTAATTTTAGATTCGTGAAGTCAACAATTAGTAGATACTCATTTGTGGTTTAGTGTTCCTGCCAAGCCAATAGTAGTACCGAGTGATATCCGATGAAGCTTGGTATAACCGCGAGTGAGAGAACATGAGGAAGCGAGTGATAGATTATGAAGACAGTTGGAACATGTATTAACTCAAACCTCTTTTGGGAATCATAACGAGCGGAAACAAAAATTGATTTCGAAGTTGTATTGTGCTTACGCTCCCTCCAAATGCACTTTTCCGGAACATAGTTGTGAGTTTGTTTTCTCATGCGGCTACCCTCTGTTCGCAAGACTGCGGCTCTGCGCGGAGGTATCCAGGTGTGATTTCCATGGCTCCGAGACAGGGTGCAATGCGCAGATGAAGTTCTCTCCCCACAGTCTATTGATATTCCCAATAAATACAACCCACGATCAACTATTTTTCGAAAGTAACGACGTGACCTTTCTCCTTGACAGCATTCCTCTTCTCGACTGTGCTAGGTGTCACAACTACAAGCATGTGTCCATCGAGTCTCTTCCTGCAACATCATCAAAGAACATCTGTCTTTTACCAAATCTGTCTTATTCACCAACCAAGATACATCTAATACGTCTGTCTCCGTAGTGAAAAACAGGACTGGAGTTTTAACCGCGCCCCGGCGCTGCTCTATCGAATAACGATTACCTCCGCCGAAGGCAAAACCTGTTGTCGGCGCCACTCAGCGCATGATTCTACCGGTATACTGCGCTATTCTGTAAAGAAACCAACGTCCAATATTTCGGATTCTCGATCTAAGGTCTTTTTCTGATATGTCCGTTGTAAGTCAAGCCCTGAATCATCCAAACAATACACTTCCTAAACCCACATCCCAGTCATCATCATTCTCCCCCACAACCTACAGCGCCGTCCCTTTAGGAGCGTGCCAGCTCAATGGGATGCATCCGTCGCCACTCATTCCATATCTAATGCCCCTCCACCGACGATACCAGCCAAGAAGGAAGTATGCGGAGCCTATATATCGATATCCTACGGATTTCCTGTTGTTGTATCCTCCTTCTTGTGCGAATTATGGGTTATGGAGCCAGGGAGCAAGGCCAGGAATCTCTCTGGATTACTGGCTAGAAAGGAAAGAACAATCCCTGTCGAGAGACTCCCGGATGTTACCTTTGAGGCAAGGAAACGGAGGTCCAGATACCGCTATCGCAGTTTTGACACCGTCCTTGCTTTCTCCTTTTCGTCAACCACTGAAACAGAAACGTTACAGACGTTTCCATCCTATGCGTACATTATGATCATCCCTGATTCTGTGACGCTATTCGGCCAGAAAGCCGTGCTCTCAAACCGATAGCCAGAGGATCCGACGAGATGTAAGTAGAGTAGAGATCCTCCACTTTGATAGTCGTTCTGAGATCTTAGCAGAAAACATGGAATTTACGCTAACCAACTACATGATCCAGCATTACCGCCTCCGTGCAGCAGATATCTATGTGTTGCGACTACGAGAGATATACGGTGACTTCTCATATTTTTTTCCAATGCTGTAATTCCGGTTAGAAAACTACCTCCATTACGTAAAGAATCGATTTAAAGGTTACAGTGTGAAATTGGACGTCTAGATATAAGAGGACCCTGATTTTCACCCATCGTCGAAGGCCCCCAACCTTTGTTATGTCTCCATGCTGTTTGGTTGGAGATCTTTTGTCCTCCTTCAGACCATAACATGGTTCGGTCTTCTCCACCGCTCGACATCCAAGTTTGACTGTGCCCCTTCTATGGTTGTACGCCAGTGGATCGCATGATATCGCAAGAAAGATGAGGATCTTGACCTCTCTAGCGGAGTAAGAAGTACTCGGTAAGTGGACGAGGGCGCGGCGCGCACATTTTTGTCATCGTCCACCACACATGTCTTGAAACAAGCTTTGCTGAGTGCTCAAAGAAACTGAGCGCATATGCCGCGATCATCACACGCCGAGACACTATGCCTGTAGTTAGCACGCCGTACTGCAGCAACATGGTGGGGGTTTGGAGGCCCCGCTTACTGTATGTTGCCGTCTCAGCTCGCGTTTTTTAATGCATGTCGGACGATCCGGCTCTTTGAAAAGGGGACTCCGCTCTCTTTTGTTCGATTCTTGCAGTAGTGAGCTTCTCGTCGGAGGTGACTACACGCTGGCCATGGTGGTTGCGGAGCGCGCCGGCCCTCACGAACACTGCCGCAGGGCACTTTCCGGGGGGATTGCCAGCGCCGGAAAATCAGACACTTCCAGATCTTGCTCCTGAAGGAATTCTAAACCTCGGTTTCCTTCAAGAAGGTTGGTCGCGTATGAGAACTCAGTGCGCGGGGCCGGCGGGGCTGAGCGGGGGGTAGCGAGCGGGCTTCATAGCGGAGAAATGACAAAGATGTAAAATATAGCGAAGTCTGTATCTATCTGGCAGTAATAAAACTTGTGCAAGTGGTCGGACAAAAGCTACATGTTCAGTTGTCTTCTCGAAGGTGTGGGGTGTGCTTGTTCCTTAGTTCGGTCTGTCCGGGGGTCGCGATACAGGCCCAGGTGCGAGGTCAGGTACGGCACTTTTCTTTGTCTACGGGGAGCAAAATTCTTATAATTAAATATCCTCACCGAAGCTTCTTTCTTCTTGACTCGCCTGTGTGTGAGCTGGTCACATCGGTGTATCTCAACCCCAAACCCGAGAATGTCTCGACGCGAGTGACAGCTCATGAATAGAAACACTTCCTCTGTTCCCCCGCACAGCCATGTCACCTGACCGATCTTACAAGTCCACCAAGCAAGCCTGCAACAGGCGGAGACCGGTCACAGCCCTATTACAAAAAGCGACTCAGCCAAGAGACCGCAGCAGGCAGAGACCGGTCACAGCCCTATTACACAAGCGACTCAGCCAAAACACCGCAGTCACGCACGCACGAACGTCCGACGGCGCATAAACAGCTCGTGAATTGCGGGTCTCTTTTTCGGTACAAGTCCTTTTTCCACCCAACGCAATACCAACGCCAACATCGTGCTCCCATCTTGTCACGATTGTCCTTGGCGGACACTAATATTGTGTAGCTGGGCTGTTCTGACATGATGGGTTGCAGGATTGTATCTTTCTTCTGGTAAGTCTTCTCTTATATTTTATACAAATAGCTAATAAAAACCTTGGACAGATCGCGTGTTCAGTAATAATTTCGATTTTAAATTTGGGTAAAAATGTAAGTTACATCGAATCTTTCCTGTTCTCTCTCATCAAACCAAAAATACATCTCAAATTTCTCCATTCATGTATACTTTTATTTTACAGCTTGCTAACTAACATCTACATAGATACTCCAAGCCCACTACAGCCAGAACAATGAGTGATTTCTAAGTGGGCTTGCTCTTGTCTTGTCCTCTTTCTTTTTTGCGTAGGCTCGCTCATAAAAGAAAAAGGGACAAGATAAGAGTAGGTGGTTTTAAGTAATCTCTCAAACCTGTGCTGCACTTTCTGCAGGTACGCCCCCCCCCATTCTTTTATCACCTACCATTCGATCAATATATTTTACTAACTTCTATCTGACACAGACATCACCTTCTAAACTCTACATCCTGCCCCATCGTGCAGCTGCTAAAGGCGCGCATGTCGAGAGGAGAAGAAGTGTGTAGGCAGCTGTCCCATTTCTTGTCATGACGTACTCGTTTCTTGTCATCGACACGCTTGTACCTGGAGCCCCAGTATGAAACATGCGATCACAAGAAGCGAGTAGGTAGTTTGGACAGTGCGTGGTCTGTTCTTGTATGTTTTTGCTTCGGGTGACGTTAATCGTCCGGGAAGCACATTCGTACAAGACATGATCAGGCAGTTGTCAGATAGTGGGTAAATAGTTGGGTCAATGCGTGGTCAGATCTTCTATTATGGATATGTATGAGTAGGGATATCTACTTTGCTTTCATTCAGAATACAACATCTGATCAGACCGGTGGCGTGAAGTGGGTCAATGCGTGGTCTACTCTTGTTCTTCGAATTCCAGTTCCTCCTCTTTGGCCTCTCTGGAATTGTCGACGAACAAGATATGATTAGGCAGCTGGCTTACATCGGTCTCTAGAAGTGGGTGAATGCGTGGTCTGTTCTTGTATGCTGCATCAAAGTACCAAGCGCTCCGTGGCTTGCTTGGAACTAGGGTTTGGCATACAAGATATGATTAGGCAGCTCCTTATACTTACGCACATATATTATTCGTGGTATGGAGTGGGCCTGCTTGCTTAATGTACATTCTTTCACCCGAAGTATTTAAATACATTGGCATGTTTGAATATACAAGAAGCGAGCAGGCAGTTGCTTCACACCTGAGTAGACGGTTGGGTCAAGGCGTGGTCTGTTCTTGTCTGCAAGAGGCTGTTTACTAGCGGTTGTTCTAACCACTCGAACAGCGTTTGCAGAGAAGACATGATTAAGCAGTTGGCTGGGATTGGCGAATTGGGTTGAGTCAAGGCGTGGTCAATTCTTGTCAAGAGTTACTGAAGGGTGCGTACTTAGTATCGCGAACAGTGTCACTTGACAAGATATGATCAGGCAGTTGGCTCATACCGTCTTGTATGATGTGGTTAAGGCGTGGTCAGTTCTTGTCGTACATGTGGCTTTCTGGGTGATCTCGGATCTGTAGGTATTGACAAGACCTGATTAGGCTGTTGGCTCACTTATGGACTAGATAATGGCCGATGGGATCAGGGCGTGATCAGTTCTTGTCGAACATCCAGCTATCAGTATTGACTCTGTGTTGACTCTTATCTGTAGGTATTGACAAGACCTGATTAGGCTGTTGGCTCATATATGGACTAGATAATGGCCGATCAGATCAGGGCGTGGTCATATCTTGTCAAACATCCACCGATCGGTGTTGACTCTCTGTTGACTCTTATCTGTAAGTTTGACAAGATATGATTAGGCTCTTGACGAAGGGTTTATTCAGCAGAGACCTAGGGGGACGTCCCTACTTCATATTCAGTCAGGTTTGGGAAGGAACGGGGGTCAATGTGGCTTCAAGGAAATAGCAACGAATTTACGTATTTTGTGTCAGTAAAGAGTTGTGGGAACTGGTTGTTTATGTTTGGTAATGATTTCAAGGAAAGGCGAAGAGATAAATGAAGGAAATACCAACAAAGTGTTATCGGATCGTGATGAATCAGAAGGATATCCCGTGTATCATTGGTAGGTCAAAGAAGACAAGGAGAAGATACCGTAGCAAAATCTAACTAAGAAACAGGACAAGACAAAGCACAGTAAGAGAGCAAGACAGGGCCATGAACCCTTTTTACAGGCTGACCCGCATGTTAGCAGGCAACAATTATTTATTTGAATACAGCCATGTTCCAATCTTCGTGTGCGGTCAGGGAAAAACATCAATGATAGCGACCTCTTCTACATAAGCACTTTATTCGTGAATAAGGAAAAGAAAGGACCATTCCTAGCTTCGAGGTTATCATTGAATAAACAACTGAGATCATCGATTACTTTACAACTAGATAATCAAACTACCGAATACTACAGGTAAGTTGCCTATATCAGTACTACTAACCACCAGACCTACGAAGAAATCAAGAGTCAATCTCTCGATAAACCTACTATTCCAGTGATACAAACTCAAAACTCAAAAATAAGACGTAAAGAGCAAGACTTAAGAAAAAGACGAGCTCCGAATCATGTTTACTTCATGACACAGAATTAAGCGGCGATATCAATACCACTCAGACAGCATTCCTACCCTGCCAAATACAGGACACTTCTCCAGCGCTTATAGCAAGCCAAAGACCTCTTCCTATCCACATTCTACTTTCCCTCGCCCATGGACCTCTCTATACCGATATTAGAACTCATCATCATTCACAGTACGAAGGTTATTAAAGCTTAAACTCACCACGCGCAAAAGCACAACCGTTAATCCAGAGCCTAAAAACGAAACCCATAACACCGCCGGCGCGGCCCCAAACCTAGATAAACGGCATCAGTCTCCGCACTCACTTACCCACTACCACTTAATTCACCGCCCTGAGGAAAAGAACTTACGAGCCTGAAAGCCCCCTTCATAACACTCCAAACCCTCCAAAGACGCCCAACTGGCCCAACAATGACTGGCAAAGTAACAGGGATCTCCGTAAGCCTGGCCGGCAAAGCAACTCGAACCTCCGGCTCAAGGTGAATATCAACGGGAATCAAACACTCATGCCAATCGCGAAGCCCAACAGTCGCCATATACTCCTGCTCGACGCTTCTGACGAAGTCAATCCTCGGCATTCTTGGTCTGTGTTCGTGTTCAGCAAGGCGCTGGGCGTACATGGCACGGCGGGAGGCGGCCCGGTGAAGGTGAATTTGCGCCGGGAGGCGCGGGCGGTCAGGCGTGACGGGAGGAGAGACATCGCGGCGGAGGCGGGGTGGGGTTGCATGTGGGGCGGGGATGGGGGATGACATTGTGCGTGATGATCGATGGATTGGTTGGAGAGTGAAGGATGAGGTTATGAGTAGTTGAGGCGAGGGCGAAAAGAGAGGGTCAGCCTCTTGGGACGCTGGGAGTGCTTGGCGGCGCATCAATGTGCCATGGGGACTTAGGGTGAGGGCGGGAGGTATCACAGGGGGTATTGTAGTTGTATTGACTTCGGGGGGCTTTATCGTGCTGGCGAGGAAGTGCATATGTTCGATATGGAGAGATTACGTAATTTTAACTCCAAAATGTGGAGCATGGTTACGTAGGCTCTTTGGAGGCTTCATAATCGCTCCTTGGATCTTCAGGGAAGCTCTGGTCCTTGTGTCATTCGTATTGGTTCTAAAAAGCCGTAACCACAGCGAGAAGTAGCTCCCAATCTCAAGCAGGGATGAACCGTTTGTTGACAGCCCGCGTGAATCGTTCGTGTGGAGGGGAAAGTAAACATTTGCTATGGAGTGCGACGAGGTTCTTTTTGGTACGTCTTATAGATTTCATCAGATTGTGTCAACTTCACCCTGCGCGTTGTGCTAACTGGGATTGAATAGTATAAACGAGTGATTTCTCATGTTCGAGGAAAAGTTCGTGGCGCAGGCTTGTGCCTCAACTTTTTAGGTGCGCTAGTCGCCTTTATTCATGGGTTTGTTCTCCTCACACTCCACCACAAACAACATTGTACGTCTTGGTAATTTGGGCTCCAGTATTGGTAATTCACCACATTGTTCATAGTTCGGTCAGGCCCTTCTCACAGGGAACTCTGCTAACACAAATCTTGATAGCTCCGGTGCCAGGATAAACTCGAATCCGACCTCCGGCATCTTGAAGCGCCGAATACTTCCGCTCGGTTTTGGTTGAGCACCTGCTCATCTTTCCCTACCTTTACTTCCAGGGCATAGACAGCGCCGGACCCGGCTACATTGGGAACGGCCTAATACCTCCGTTGAAGAGGTATCACAATTTTAAAAGAAAAGATGGAGGTCCAGAAAAGCATCGAATTAATTTCAACTTATATTACAGATATCAACAACTAAGAAGTCCAATCAAATCATCATATAGGTAATCTCGCGTTATAGCGGGAAGCAGGTTCTGGAGGTGCTCCAGCCGCACAGGTCTGGGATAGCAGGAAGCGAAGATGCAACCTATGGACGAGCATTTTCACGAGCTTTAGATTCTTTCAGCGCGCGGACGGCACTCCAGGTTTTCTATGTTCCATGGTTAGCGATATTCAAGGTCTCTGAAGTGTCGATTGATACTTGACTTACACCAACTTGTGGAACTCTATTATGGATCCTCCACCTTGGCTGAGGGCTCTCATCGATCTCTACATTTGGATCCACCTCCGGCTCTTTATCCTCTTCACGTGTTTTTAGAGCAAGTATCGCGGTTGGATCCCGCATATAGTGCGCCCTCAGCTCCAAGACGTGCGGGTGGGAGCCTTCTGGTTGCCATTTACGCTCCTCACCCCCATCTCGGTCATCGAGCAAATAAGAGCTTGTGCCCATCGATAGATGCCCGAAACCACAGGCAAGGTCTTCAGTTTCTGTTATCTCGCGGCTGAACCGAGCAAGTATCTCTGCAACAAGGAATGTGGGCCGAAGTCGTTGCAAACCTTCCGCCTGGAAATACAGAGTTAGCAGTCTTTTCATGCCGCAGGAGATAGATACGGTACATACGATTGTGTTTGGCTTTGTGCGAAGGGCGGTAGTGCTCATACTCATTTGTTTGTGATGTATTTGCTATATATCTGTGGGCCCCGGAGGTATGTCTAGGCGAGTTTTTATGTCTCCTAGGTAGTAAAAGAGATCATAGAGCTACTTCATATCGTGCCTTCATTAAGCGGAATAGAATTCAACGCTGCTACAGGATTCGGGAGTCTTCCAATTGTAGCACAGCTTGGGGGGAGGTCGATTGCTTATAGTATGGAGTTTGTGTACGAAACCCAAAGTGCGAGAAGGTGGTGGATGGTGTTATTGATACAGGGATTCTATTAAATCAACACCTTTCGGACGAGAAACGACGATCTAGAATATTAGACGGTGAGTAGACGGCACGTGTGTGAAGCCTTTTTCTTTAGTTAGGCCTGAGCAAACACAAAACCATGTAGGATTGGGCTTTAGCAAGCCTTCTATAAAATGGTATGCCCACCATCCAGATGACATGTTCTTGGCTGTTAATCAAGTAAGAAAAGAATCTTTTTTTCGTCCTAAGTGGCTAAAACTGTGCCTTTCAGAGAAACTTTTTCTCCAACCATACCCCAGGGGTGAGAGACAAAGGTCTCTACATTCCATCCGCGGCGGAAATGGTTCTTCGTCTCGGCGTTATTCTAAATGTATACATGTATGTCTATTGGCGAGAGGCAAATCCTTCGGTAGATTAGACGCAAACTCGCTGGGACGCGTAATAACCACACCACCGGCGGTGGTGCCGCCGACCCAGGCTGCTGTTTTCGACAGATCTGAGTTCCACGATGTCAGAGAACCTTTTTTCGCACATTCAAAGCGCATGTTTGACATGAGCCTGAATGTCAATTTTTGTAAACGTTGTTTGGTACCGTTGCAGAATAATAAGTAATAACCCTAACCCATGAGTACCGTGCGGAAGTAAGCTACATGTGTCGGTCGGTGATGGAGCCCGAATTAGTCGTGATTTTGAGTTTCTTTCACTTATTTCAAGGGTAGAGTACATGAATTATGAGATTACTTGCAGCTAATTACCTTTTACCCAGCGTGTCGGGATTTATTGTAGAGTCGCTGACAGCGGTAATAATTCTTTGGTCTGCCCAAAGTTGAAGGTTTGACTCATTATATTGCTGCAGTTAAAAGCGCTGAACCTCCCAATGGCCTATCGGCGTTGGGGTGCGGTTCCCGAGGTAGTTTAACCGGGTACCCCCGGCTCGGCTCACTTCCTGGGTAGGAGGGTTATGTCAGATGTAAAGGCTGATAAACTTATCTTGGGTCACTAGGTTTTGTTTTTGTACTCTCTAAAGCTTGGGGGTTGGAATTGATCGGTGTTTTATTTCTTGTATATACTTTGCACTAGTAGTGGCCCATATGGAGACCGCGAGTTGTATTTTAAATTATATATGGGTATCAGTCACGTGTTCAATGATTGTGGAAGGCCTTCCATGGGGGGGGCCTTCGGCCAGCATTACTCTGCCGGCCCATTCTTTCCCCTCCGATTGAGGGTTAATATTGCTGCGTATTCTATTCTTGAAGGAATAAACGATTCTGACATTGATTTTGGAATTGAATAGAGCTGTGGAGTTCACTCAGTACTTAGTCTCTTTCTTCAATTGTAATCGCAGACTAGCGTGATAATAGGAGATACTTACTAGACTCCCTTATAGCAAGATTTTTCTCTAAAGCCAAGCCAATACCCCAAGAAAATCGAGAGTGTCTGAGTATCAATTTGTATCCACCTCGCCAGGCAAGATTCGTCCGGAAAACCTCGTTATCTTATCTACCACTTTATCTTATCCACCACTTTATCTTATCCACCACTTTATCTTATCCACCACTTTATCTTATCCACCACTTTATCTTATCCACCAATTCCTCTTATCTGCCATCTTATCCAGCCAAGTCGGCGAAACTGTCGGTGAAAACAAGTCTTGGCACCAAATCCAATTCTTTATATACGGCGTTTCCCCCCGCTCCCAATATTTCTCCTCAAGCTACACAACTGCACCGCATTCTCCCCCTGTCTCAAGCCAGGGGGGTCTGCAAACCATCGTCTGTCCCCTTGGGGCAGCGTGGCTAAGCCCTCTCTGGCACCCGCTTTGGCATAACGCCACAGGGGCCAGAGGGGGCTTAGTTGCGTTAGGTCACTTTCGTGGTCTCCCCCCTTTTCCCCCCATATGTTTTTGTTTCAGGCCTCTCTTGGTCCCTGGGCTTTTGCCTAGGGATCAGGAGGGGCCTGAGTTACGTTTGATTAACCCCCTCCTCTTTGTTTCAGGCCTCTCTTGGTCCTTGGGCTTCTACTCGAGGATCAGGAGGGGCCTGAGTTACGTTTGGTTAACCCCCTTCTCTTTGTTTCAGGCCTCTCTTGGTCCTTGGGCTTTTGCCTAGGGATCAGGAGGGGCCTGAGTTACGTTTGGTTAACCCCTTCCTCTTTGTTTCAGGCCTCTCTTGGTCCTTGGGCTTTTGCCTAGGGATCAGGAGGGGCCTGAGTTACGTTTGATTAACCCCCTCCTCTTTGTTTCAGGCCTCTCTTGGTCCTTGGGCTTCTACCCGAGGATCAGGAGGGGCCTGAGTTGCGTTAGGTCTGTCTCCTCTCTGCCCTCTCCATTCCGTCCTCCTAGTCAATTTTTGTGGACGGAGTTTGGGGGGTCTCACTCGGCTTCTGGGCGAGTTCGAGGGGTCGGGTGAGATATTTCCCGTTCCAAGCGCACAGCTACCGCCGACCTTTTGCTTCCTCCCGAGGTGGTGGTGAAGGAATCTTGCTTCGTTGCCAGATTTATTTTGTAGCTGGTCCTTTGTGGCGAGCAGGGAATTGGTCAATGATTGGTGTAACGTCTTGGCGCGAGTGAGCACATATGAGCCAAGACTACAGCGAGATCCGTGTTAAAAATGTTCTCTGAAATATGGTTTATCTTCTCACTGATGTTATATTTGTTAATGTTAGAATTCAGTGTTTCGTTTGATATGTGGGAAATGTGACACGGAACATATATTCGTCACAGTGAAAGGCGCGCTGATGAAGAGGGGCCCTCCCTCAGCTGGGATTGGTAAATCTATGACTGGGGAACATAAAGCACCTCGATTACTGCTAACTCTTGTCCTTTTATACTGGTGTTCTGTTCTCCCTTGATTCTTTCAGTTCCTGGCGCGTACAGTGTGCCCTCTTACTGCATCGGGGATGTCGGCTCTTGAAGTTCTAACATATTGGGTTTTGTTTATAACGTAATATGCGTGGGTGTCGAAAAGAACAAGGATAATATTCGGATTTCTCCCCGAGTACCCTGCCGTAGATTCCCTTCGTAGATCTAGACATGAACGTCCGTTTTTTATGACCAGAACTATCTATGGATCGGCTTAGCAAGTACTTCACGGCCTCATAGCAGCAAATCATCTACTGGCTTGACATTGAAATTCCCATAAATAGCCATAATAAACCATAGCTTTTTTTATACACTCACTTCACTCTTGCTCGGTCGTACATTTTCAGGCTCATCGAAATTCATTGTAAATCACCTGTTAGGAAAGTGGCGCCGGGCGTAACAGCGTTCCAAATTTCCCATGACGGCGATGAACTACTACAAACTGATGACGGAAGTGCAAAAAGAAGAAAAGCTCAAGACACTTCCAACTAATCCCTGCGCCCTGGAGCTTCTATATTCCTCTTCTTTCTCGTGTGACGAATGTTATATCAGGCTTGAACTATATACACCCTGGTTGTCAGTATACCTCCATACATCAATGATTAGAATGTGGAAAGACAAACCTTGTTCGAACGAGTATTAGATTTTTCCAGATAGCGAGAGGGTTGAATAGGGATAGCGTAAGGAGCATACAGCGCAGTAGCGATTCCATTCTCCGCGACCACTCGAAGCTGCTGGATATTCTTTTCTCTTCCAAATGTGGCCGGGTCAAAGAGGTCGAGGAAGAGCGGCTTCAACTCGGCCATGATACTTTCGGGACACTCGACACCGTCACCACGGTTAAATTCCTCCAGATTTTCGCAAAGTGCTTCCAGCCTAGGGACTAGGAAGCAGACTTTCATCAAAACCCAGATGATGTCCCGGCCGGTCATGCGCTTACGAGAATCGCACCATTTATCGCCACCAAGGATGATAATAGCAAACCGTTCCAATATTTTTAAAATATTATACGCCATCCAACGCTGGGTGGCAATGTGTTCCTTCATCCCAGGCTTCGAGCAGCGGTTCTCGTCGATCTGCAACTGGTTTGTTTTATCGCGGCGGTGTCTGAATGCCTCGCAAAGCACCATAAAGACGGCTATGCTCTCAACCATCCTAACGTGATATTCGGGGCCAAGCTCGTCGTCGGCGAGATTGGGAAGCGTTATTAAGAGAGTTTCGACGCGGCTCTCCAAGTCCTGGAGAATATAGACATCGTCCATACGGGGCCATGGGACGCGACCAGCGGGATATCTATGCGTATCAGCACATGTGTCATTACGTTTATGGCAACTATCCGTACTTACTTGAGTTTAGCTTTGGGGATGAGAGAGTAGACTTGACGGGTGCGAATGACCGGTAGGATGTGCATAGGCGGTAATGGTAGTAACCTCTGAGGGAATAGTTCTATCCCTGGCAAAGACGGTCGCATTTCGTCGGGTTTACAGATATCGTAGGAGATAATACACATTCTGGGCATGAGGGGAGGCATCTTTTAAATTCTACACCATGGTCAGTCCAGTGCAAGATGCCTCTGAGATGGAAACATTCACCGTCTTAATAGATCCCGGGGTAGGGGGTGGCGAGGAGACGGAAACGAAACAGCAAAGAAGTAGGATGAGGAAACTGTTCCATGCTTCTAATAGTGGATAGATATAAAAGTCGGCTTTGATTGAAATGGGCAAAAGTCTCGGCGACGACCACAATTCGCAATTGACAATTGTTGACGCAACAGCCGCATCTCAAGTGACGACCCGATTGACGGAGGCGCTTGAAAAAATATGAGAGACCAATTCTGACATTCTCGTGATAGATGATACGAACTTGTTTCGTTTACTTTAAGCCGGTAACTAGCAGAGCGAAGAATAAATCTCCTCTATGTGCATCAGCATTAAGGATGGCCTCCTATGCTGCAAGTATTCATTTCGTCACTTTCGCGCGATTGTTGAAGTAGGCCACGAAAAGACTCGATGGCCGGTATAGACAGACGATTTAGGGTAGCATAGAGAGCGAGTCTAGAATGAGTTATCTAAATTGTTAGTGGTGTGGGTTGATGGGGGATTGCAAATGACATAAATTTGACGGGGCCTTGAGATGAGATGTTGTTACCCTTGTGCTGGACATCTGCCTGACGACGTCTCTTACAACCAACACCATCGGCTAAGCTACAGAAAATCATACCTTCCACTAACACGCCAACTATACAAAGAAAACTCTACTTCTTGCTTCAGCCCAGTTCATGGTTTCTCCTCTTTTCCACTAAGGCAACGCCAAGAAATGCAGTTAGAGCAACATCGACGTCAGATGCCTACATCGCACGGTGGGATAAATTGAATACCGACTGCAGGTCAGAAAAAACCAAGAGAGATAGAGGCTCAGCTTCACCAGGTAAGACCCATACCGGTCGTGGCGATGTCCCCCCCCCCCCCGGGGGGCCGAGGACTCGTACCTCTTCCCACGCGGCTATATAGTGAGCGAAGGAGCTAATTTTCTATGTCTAGACAAAAGAGTGTTGTGCAACTACCGGACTAAGAATTAAAGAGGGCACTACTTAATCTCTTTGTGAGTAGGGTTTTAGCACTATGAAATTGGGAAGGGCAGGGGCCATCCTACGGTCATTTATTGAAAGATATGTGCGTAATTACATGGAAAAGCATTTTTTCTGAACATATCCTTTTTCCTTTGCTCCAGTGCCGAGTAAAATGTGACACTAACGTTGTCGGATATAGAAATGGCATGGGATTGAACGCAGTTTACCTAGGAGGTGCCATTTTCAACGGGAGTATGCAGGAAAGGAACGATTTCCCGTGAGAGCTCGGAATGGATGGGAAAAAGAAATATAAGAAGGTGGCGCCATGAATATGGATATTCTCCGGCCGTTGGACCTCTCACAGTCAACATCCTTTGAACGGTCATCCTACATTGCGGAGCAACACCGTCTGTCGGTATATATTAAATGTTCAACGAGACATCCCCGACCAACTGCGTACCCGGATTAACACCTATCTCTTTAATCTGGCACAGCAAAACCAACGGTCGGAAAGGGAGGGGAGAATGCCATTCGTATTGAAATTATTGAGTGAGAACCCAACAACTTTGTCAAATAATGAACATACAAATCTCTAATTAATCCTTTTATAGACTTCATCCTTCAGCTCCTCCGAGCACCTGCTTAAAGCCCTCCTCAAAATAATTCCAGTCCAGTTTGGAGGAATGAATTTATTTTTGATCAATGTATGACCAAGTCATATGAAGCATGAGTATATGTGTTCAGTGGTGTCAAGCGGGAGGGGGGCGGCAGAAAAATAATGACCTCTGTGTGTACGTCACAAAATATATGAGCTCTATATTCTATGTGGAAATCGTTGGAAGATATGATTCCAAGGCACTTGATTTGGGCAATCACCGCTTCCCCCGAGTCGCAGAGGATAACTGGGCAAAAATAGCCTACCGGTTTCCGCTCAAAATATGCTCATCGCTGGTTCAGGGAGCATCAAGCCGCGCCCTCACGACTCTATGGATGTGATTGAGGTGTGTTTGATGGTATTCCGCCTTCCGTAATATTGAAGGAGGTATAGGGACGCTAGCCGAATATTTGTCCGAGTGAGATTCTAAGATGCGGCTACTGACATCATAACTTACTTCATCCGTGCACTGGATTCTTGGCGGGTAATCAGAGGTGCAAGTATTTTCTTGATGAGGCTCAAGCAGCTTGGCGCATAAAATCGCGTCGGTAACCTTTTAGCATACAGCACACCTTCTTATGGTTCATATGACCCTGGCTACATAATGGAGGATGTTAAAGATTTTTGCGACAAGGTTAAAAGATTCACCTGCAAATTTTAAGTGTCAGGCCGAACGATCTCAACTACATAGACATGGTCGGGATCCGGGGGATGTGTGTTGGTAGCCGATATATTCAACGGCTACGAATGGTTTTCACAAAATCTGCATGAACATGTAAGCGTGGCGTAGTATTTTTAATCGGGAGAGGGGGAGAGAAATAGAGCAGTCTAATTGACGCTAGCAGCGGTTTATAATTTAAGAACGAAAGTGGCCGCTGCGGAAATGTTACGTAGTCTGGTATGAATCTATGTGTATGTAGTGTTAGGAGTGATATGTACCTCATTTAATTAAAAATGATATACGTATAATTGTGGAGTAATCAAGTAGGTATAAGTGACGCAAACAGAATAAAGATGGGTCACGGTGTCTCACTCGTTCCTAGTCTGCTTGAGCCTGTTTAGGCATAGCTTCTGGGCCTAGGATGAACGATATACTGTTGTTGTCACTATGAATCACCATTAATCACTATAGTGTCAATGGTAGATGATAGAAACAGCGAAGTAGTCCAATAGCAATATGGTATATAAGACTTCTACTCGCACTGGAGCCTATATCAAGCGGTCCAGAAAGTAGCTAACTCCTGTCAATGTTTCAAACAAATCCATCGGAAATACGTGATGTATGGGGGATTTCGTTTTCTTTAGCGAATGAGGATTATTCGTGGATGAGTAGTGATGATTGGTTGAGACGAAAATTTTGATTGGGTGTAGTTAAACGTTGAAGCGCAGGCAGCTAGGTGGATGACACGGAGTTAGGCAACATGACGACAAGTCGTTGATGGGTCAAGGACAAATCACACAGACCACTGTGTCCTGGTTGTTAGCTTCTGTCTTCGCGTATTTATTTTCGTTTCTTCCTCTCTTTCTTTTTCCTTTCTTTTCATCATCATCGACACAATCATTCGAGCTTTCTCCCGAGCCTGAGCCTTCATTGGTGGTCTCCTTGGGGTGAAATTTGTACTGGACTTCAGTTTCGTTACAACACGTTCTAGACTGCGCCAGCAACCAGGGAATGTGACTACATATGACCTTGCACCACTTCACATAAAATATATATATGGACACGACTCCCACCACATCCCCGTTCTATCTCTCCACCACCATTTATGAAGTCCACTCCCCACTTAAACCTTCAAACGGGACCATCTCTCTCCAAACTCCCGCCCCGACTCTAACATCACTCAAACGTCCCGGCATGTCAGAAGCTTGTATCGTTTGCTGGGTCGAGGACAAGGTCCCTGTGTCCAATCGTTCAACTATGGCAATAAGGGAGGCATACGAAAGGGCAAAATCAACTCTCGATCTCTGCAATGAACACCTTGGAGAATCCTCACTTCCGCCTCACTACACACCCGAGGTAATGTGACCTCATCTGTCCTCATGATGGCATCCCACTGATAATAAGCAGACTCAGGCACAGAAATTGGTCAACGTGACCTGCCACATAGCGAGAAAAGCGTCTCAGGCTGCTTACGAGAAGCTGATTAAGGATTACCCGCTCATCCAACAAGGGTCGGAGGTCGTTGTAGCCGGAATCCAACAGTTCGCGAACTTACCGGTGGTAAAGAACGGCACCAAACTTGTAGTCAAGAATGCGACCATGATTGCAAACAGTGAGATTGTTGTCGAGGGTTCTAAGCTGATCGTAGAGGACGTAGAAAAGCTGAAAGTGAGCGCACGACGCATGCTACATGCGGGGGCAAAAAGGGTTTGTGAAGCTACGGCTGAGGGAGCGATGGAGGATGTGAGATATTACCATGAAGCGGAGAATGGGGTGGACTCTGAGGATGAGGAGTGTGTCTTGATTTGATAGGTTTGGCCTTTGTTAGGGTGTGGAGGTGGTGTCGTCTTTCGAGAATTTCATTTTTCATGTTTGATTCTTTGTACTACATATACCATTTGTTAGCATAAGTTGAAGAGGATGTGGAAATTTATAAACAATACCGCTGTATCAAGAGTTCGATCTGTTGTTATTATACACGCTTGCACATGGAAGAGTTGAGGATGCCAATGGTAGCCTCCACATATACCCATAGACATAGATTTGATTCCATAATCAGTGGTGAAGATCAACGGACAAGATCACAATCAGATGAAATGGATTCGCAGACAGTAAAGGTGCGAGAATCGCCGGGGGTCTCGGATGCACGATGCTGATCTAATCATATCTTACCACTTGTATACTTCTGGTAGTAAAGATATAGCGCATAACTCGAGCCTAAGGCAACACTGGTCGATTTAGGGGATGAGTTACATGTATGGATACATGGACTTAGCTTCTATTATCATGTCCTAGCGTCACTATTATGTAAGTACATGTAGTGTGATACGAATATAAGCAGTCTTTTTTCATGGTCTCCATATGATAGGCATAGTGTAGAACACCCTGAGTTGACTTGCATGGGTAGCAGTACACAACGATGCTCCAACTACAGTCAACTGCAAAAGTCTTAATTTTCCATTTTCACCTTGCGTCAGCTTTTTCTAAAAAAATCAAATATTTACAAAAACTATATCATGCCCTTGAAGATTAGTTTAAGCCAAATCTTTCATATTTAGGAGGTAATTGAAATAGGAGGTGTCTATGAAAAGACTATATCACTTTAAACCACAAAACCTCACCCATTTGGCACGTCGCCAAAAAGAAAGTTGAAATATTTCGCACGGTCTTGGCATCCCATGGATAGAATAACGAAATTTAGCGGATTCTTTTAAAAAATAGTGCTGGGTAAGCCATCAAAAAAAGATCAAGACTTTTGCAGTTGACTAAAGTAGCCCATGAATATGAGAAAGGTAGAGAACGATCCCGTTTATGAATTTGTGGCATGTGGCTCTCATAATATTACAGGTGCTGGAGGTAGCCAGGTCGCTCGGCATCGTAGCATACTATTTCGCGTTTTTATATGGCTAAATTGACTGCTAACTCGGTTGTTTTCTAAATACCAAGTCATCACAATACCTACCACAAAAGGACCTTGAGCTCGACGCTCCTAAGCACAATATCATCTTGTGAGTCGTGTCTTCTATTAGAATGGTAGAATTGTAGGCGTCTATTCCCTCGTGCTTTTCATATCTGACCTAGGTATAGAAATTCATTGTTCCACATATACCCCCGGATGAGGTATTCATCCGCCTATTCAAATTGAACGGAGCATGTCTAGACAAACTCCCATGTCTCATCCTCTTCATCCGAGTCCTCCTCGTACATCTTCCCGTCCCGGCGTTCCCCCTCGTACCAGTTGTATCGCTCGACCGGCTTGGTCTTGTAGACGATTTGCTTTTTGGGACCTTGCGTGACGATCTTCTTCGCGGCTTCAAAGGTATCGGCGACTCCATCGAGGAAAACCATCGTTGTTTGTTTTACCAGGACCGCTTCGCGACGTACTATTTTTGTACTGGCCTTGACGGCGTTGCTTTCACTGGCGTTTTTGACGCTGCTGGCCACGAAGGTCGACGCCTCCATGACCAATGGAATATCCTGGGCGAGCTTAGCTCCAGCAACAGCTATATTTGAGCCAAGTTTGACCCCTTCCTTAACAGCCTTCACGATAGTATTCTGCGTCGCTGTTAATAGACTCGAAATTAAATTGAAAAGAAATGACATACATGGCTACCGCTAGCTACGATAGGAACAGGCTCCGGCCTGTGAAGCTTGCAAGGACCACCTAGATAGGTGGTCGCAGCTTGCTCAAGTTCCTCCGCCAAGGTGGCACATTCAAAAGCATCTTGGGCCCAGTAATCTCTATTGTAACGGTAGGTACAGCACGTAGTAGCTTTGAAGAACTCAGTCTCATGATGGCTGAGAAGATGGCGCGCGTGCACAGGATTAGAAACACAGGCAGTCATTGTGAACAGTAAAATTGTTTCTTTTTCGGCTCGAGATAACGTGTTGAAGGAAGGAATTTGTGGATGTGAAGGGATATGCTGTAAAAAATTCTTTTAACGTTTGTGGGATGAGATGATGGTCTAATCCGTACCTAGAAAGCAAGTAAAGCCACCTTTTTATGCATAGAAAGAGTGTCCTATGTTACCCGCCGATACCCACACCTCACCCACAAACTTCAGCGGCCAGTAACCCCGAATTCTCAAAACCTCTCTTTGCAAGTTCAAGTCATCGTAGAATAGAACCGACCTCATGTGTGTCCCGGGTGACAACAAATACCGTACTATAAATTAAATTAATTTACTTTTATCCATAATCTTCTCAAGAAGTATTCACTAGGGCTAGAAGGTGAGATTGATGCAAACTCTTTCATATCTGTGTGCTACATAGATTCAAAGATTTAACTTCCCTTCTGTTTCGCACGGTCGATGAAGACCTGAGTTAACATTGTAGAAAAGCGATACACTTTAATGAGCACTTCAAAAAGGTGGGATAAGAGAAAAACCTTCCGGAAGATATCCATTGGCTGATAGTAGCAGAACATTGACTAAGGTTTGTGAGATCATTAGCTTGACCAATCACCTTACTATCGTTGTACACCCTCCATACTATGAAATTGCAGTGAGTTCTCAGTAGACTACAGTCATATTCTCAAGTTTGCATTCGCCTGCTCACACGATATTCCTCCACCCAGTTAGATCACTGATTTTCCTCACCTGCAACGCATACCAATCAAGGATACCTGTGCTTCGATACTCTTTATGGCGGGGAATAACGACCCACCCTCTTCAAACAGCTTAACTTCCAATCTTACGAGTGCGGCTTCCTCTGTTGGTGGAGCGTGTTCAATTACCACGAGTCCAGTAAATGCTATCCTTTCTGAGTACAGGTCCAGTCTTAATGCTGACAAACGGTAGGGCACAGGTGGTGGCTTCATACGTGTGGATGTTAAAGTGAAGCACGTTTCGGCAACCAGAAGGATACCTCTCATGAGCGTTCACACAAAGGACGGCTTCCAGATGGTCAACTACTGCGAGACGGAGAAGGAGGAGTTCCTCAAGCAGGAAGTCATGGAATTGACTGAATTGAAAAAGGCAGGTGGATAAGGCAGCCCCGAGCTAAAGGGTGTTTCTAACAACGAACATACAGATGAATCATGAAGATTGCGACGATTCAAAGGATGACGATTTCGTAATGGTGTCAAATGTTCCCAGCGTATAGGTGTTATTTGGGATGAGAAGAATCTACGTCTTCTTTTAAACATTTCGAAGGTTTTCTGTCATGAGCTTTTAGTGTTCTCTACTTCACGTGAAGGCAAAATAAGGTTTTGCAGCTCTCAAACTATCCTCGTTTGAAATTTAAGCTCCTCAACCCTGAAATTCTTCTTATTCCATCTCAGGTTTGCCTAACGCTCCCTTCTTCAGTGATCCTTTCGTCCCTAATATAACATCCACAAGACCGAAAAAACCAGTTCCTCCTTCCACAACAAGTATATTCTGAGCTAAACAGTAGCAAGTGGATTTGTCTTCAGAGGCCCTATTCAAATACGAAATTATAGAAACACCTTCAGATATGAACGATTGTTGGTCCACAGGGGTCTTGTAACTGCGTAGTAACTATGAGACTCATGATAAGCTACTGACCTAGCCCTCTTCAGGGAATCCTAAATTATATGATCAGCTAAACCCTCCATACAATAAGTACGTGTACGTACGTACAGTCTGCTTGATAAAAGGTTATTCAAAACTCAATTGCAGTCCAATTTGTTTAACGATCTCTAGTTTCCCAATCTAAAGTCAGTAAAATACCAACAATCAATAGAGTACCTAAGCGCGGACCTCTAGCTCCTCATCCTCCTCCTCATCATCATCATCATCATCATCGTCTTCGTATTGAATCTCCGGGCGAAGTCTATTCAACCAAACGGCCCCTTTTCCAAAGTACGGGCGCTTGCCTTTACCAGTCCTCGATTCAACAAGAACACTACATTCATAGTGGCCTCCTACTCCAAAGTGCTCCAACCTGAGCTCTTTGGCTGCGAGCGGCGAGCCAAACCTTAGTCGACATCTCGACTCTAGGTACCTGCGAACGTTGTGTCTAGCGTCCTTGATATTCGATAGCTTTGACTTTGAAAGGGCGAATCCAGCAGTCCTAGGGTCTTGGAGGGTAGCTGCTGCCGCATTATTTAATGCATAGCGACGAAGGCAATGATACCTGAATGCCGAATCTTGAGCTGCCATAGTGACTGGATCTGCTTCAGAATTCTACGTCCTTCTCACCGTCAGCTGTGTCGTTTAACAACCTTGGAATGAGTGGAGCGTTTGAAAAGAAGTAGAGCCGCCAAAATTAAAATGCAATTCGTGGATAGAGGGGAACATGCCTGAAGGATTTGCTAGTCTTGTTGGAGTATCCCAAGATGGGAAGTACTTTGTTTGATGTTTACTGATATAGTTGTAATCGTATGTGAATCCTTAGAATGAGAATGACACAACTAAGTTTTGATGAGAAGTGACGGAGGTAGACTAGAAACGAATACAGAAAGTGAGGTTATGAGTTTTAGGAGTTACCCGGGAGTCTTGGTAGGACCATCCCATGTGATCCATGTAACTCCCAGTGGGAGGATGAATCTCCGAAGTAAAGTTTAAATATCGTTGGGAGTGATCCTTCGGTCTTGGCAAACTGGTCACATTCCAATTTATCCAACGAGACCGTCACTGTAAAATCACCGTAGAAAGTTAGCTCAGTAGATTTTTAAATTATGATAAAATGAGAGGGGTTTAACACGATAGGAGTCTTCGTTCATAGCGCTGTTCACTCTCCCAACCTAGGAGGTTAACGGCGATAGCTGATTAATCCCATGTCCCTCAGCATTACTTTATACCGACTTCTGGATCCACAATGTCCTTTATGTCAGCCCATAATCAGAGCATAGGCAATGAAGCAATATTTCAAGGATTTTCTTTTCCCATTGCTTCCTGGGTAATGTGTTGCTCTCAAACGCAAACGAGTCGATTACGAAGCAGATTCATGTCCCAGGGGACCTCTGCTCGCTACGTAGCCTAACACCCAGTGAGATTCCAATAGATCCATGTATCCATTTTGCTGTGCCATCATTCCTCTTTTCTTCGGCTGTATTGTCCGCTGATAGTAGCCAGATGAAACCCTAACCCTGGGATCTTGCAGAGTTGAGAATACGCCCCTCTAGTCCTAGGTTAAGTGGAAGGTATCAAATTCAACTTTCCTCCCATAATTATATAACCCCATATGAATATGCTCTAACAAAATTACCCTAGAGCTCCCAAGGTATTTTTGACGTATGGGTCGTGCGTCTCTTGATCAAATTTTTATTTATCCATTAATATGCTTAAATGGCTGGACCCATGCTACACTGTGTAGTTAATTTCATGTACAGATTCGCAGAGTTACCATGCCGTAGGTTTTTCTGCTTCTAGGTCTAGTGAAATGGCTAGGTATGACTTAAAGGGAGGCCTTTCTGATATGACAGCTCGTGATCCACTACCGGCGAGTGAAACATTAATATAGGATATATGATAGAAGCATGTCTAGCTTTCAACACAGTATCATAGTACCGAGGACATTTTTTATGAGTTGTAATCATTCCAGTCGCCTGTAAATGGACCTCCGAGCTCTGCAGTTTCCGATTTATAGCTCATGATACAACAAGTCTACTACAGAGGTAGTCCTTTCTACTCCACATCTTGTCTATCCGTTTCAGAAAACGCTCCTTGTGACCTTATCCCAATTACCGGAACCAACTTCCAGATTTTCCATTGTGCTTCGCTTGCCATATACTTCTGGGCTTGGGGTTTTCCCAGATTTCTCCTAATAATTGGAGTACACAAAGGGTACAGCTCCAGACCGTGATATATTCCCCAAAGTATTCTCAAGGTGATGGAAATTCGTTACGATGAGATTTCCCCCTAGAATTCCCTTTTCAATCGAAACCCTCTCCAGCTGATCGATAGCCTAATTTTATGAAAGAAGCTGCTTTCAAGTCAATATTTATTCACTATGGTAGTCGAGTATCTAACATCGTGGGCCCGTCCAGTAGAGTTTAATAGTACAATATCAATGATTGACTTGTGGCTTAATTTGGAGCCCGTACGTTTGATAAAACGTCAGGAACCGTGGCTTTCCTTACTGCAGTTAAACCGAATAGCCTGGAGTTGGAGACGTTGCTGGTTTCTGTATATCTATAGGTCAGCAGTTGCACATTCGCCCTTCAACCGAGCTCGCCATTACCCAGAAGAGAAGATATAATTTACTTTGTATGAGGATCGGTGACCGAAATCTTCCCTATCATATATATGACCATTCGTAGATTTTCTACATGAAAACCACGCGTGGGGGGTAGGATCCGGTGGGTTCCTTAATGAACAAAGTTAGAACAAAGATTGCTCCAGCTCAACCGTACTCTTTTCTTTCCCACTTCCACCCGTGACTCACCACTCTACCGCACACAACACCACCATCTGTCCGAACTCCAAACCCCACCGCAAGACCTCCGTTTTATTCTCTTTCGGATCCCGCTGCTTTAGACTACTCCGTTTTTTCCTGTCGCTATCCACATCTACGGCCTAGGAAGATAGGTACATGTAGGTTGCAACCCCCCAGCTGCCAAGATCGATGTGCTATGATATTGACACTTTGGCCGTTTCCCATTTAGCGGATGCAGCTAGATCTACGTTGTGTAACATTCACCCATGAACACTTTCCCCAGATTTCGCAAGGGTGCGTCCCCGAGGAAACGGGATGACAACACGAACCCCAATGGAGTCGATCTTGATTCTGGCCATGTGGACTACAACGGGTTCCCTCCTCTCAGCAGAACGTACTGCGACGCCGGTGTTTGGCCAGCTGGGGAGGTTATTAGTAACATAAATTCGGAGCGAAATTACACGTATCGCATACCTCGTGTCAAGCGCTTCTACCAGGATTATTCTCTTCCGACCACGAACGCCTATGAAAACTTGAAAGAACTCGCCAATATTGACCGCAAAGCCCGACCGATATTGACAATTCGGAATCCGACTCCCAGTGATGGAACAGTTAGCGGTATGTGACTAGTCCTCTCGCATTAAACGTTTCTTCATTAATTAGTTAACTGACCAATAACAGAAAGCAGCACAGGTGTTGGGGATGTTCCATGTGGAGGCATTAGTCCTTATGAGAATCGGGGGATCAACAATGTCCAGGATGGAAGCCTCTTGATGGTTCAGCCGGTAACCTTTGGCCGCAGGAGCATTGACATCCATCGAGCCGAGTTTTCTGACTTTCTTACCAGTCGATCTAATCTGGATATCAACATTCGCTCTTCCTCTTGCCCATCTTGCCATCTAAAAAGTAGGACCGATATCATCAAGAATTCAGACAGCTGCTTGGACGCACCTGCTAGGCCCAGAACTACGAAAGATGATCACCGCAACCGGCCACCGGCGGGTGAGATGGTAGGCATATCCCTTACTCATCGGAAGGTGAATAGTGGAGATTACGCAGATGTCTTTGGAACGTTTGGAGTGCGCGATGGGTTCAGCGTTCCTGAGTTTTGCCAGCCTCGTGCAAAGAATACACATCCACGGCTTGAGGATATATTTCCCACAGCCAACGATCACCGCATAACATCGGCAGCAGATGCTGTGATGCATCAGGGGCCAGGGCCGTCTTCACCCTGTAAAACGGGGCATTTTAACCTCTCTCCTTCGAATAACTCATCAAACTCTTTAAATAGCCGGATGTCTTTAATATCTCCTGGCCATACGCCCCCGCAAACGAAGGGGGAGAACAACAATCAACATCTCGGAAGCGGTAAAAGTCTTTTATTTTCCCTAATAAAATTTCATACTAAGTTGATAGTAGTATATCCGCCGATTGAGACTCGCGATATCAAGCCTCACCGCTTATCCTGGGCAGCCAACACAACAATCAAAGACTGCCTTGTTCCTACGATTATTATCGACAAACCGTCGTCCTCTGGCCGTGTTGACGGAAACGCTACCACCACTGGTCGATATCTGTTCAAGCTGGGATCGCTAAAAATTGGCAATGGGTTTGCGCCTAATGCCCGTGCCAAGACCCCTTATCCCCGGGACTTGAACAACGCCCCTCTTGATGACTGCCCGTCAGCTGTTATTGAAGAACCTACTCCGAGGTCTAAGTGGGAGACTTTCAATATTCATTCTCGCCGGGCTTATCCATACCTCATGAAGGTTAGATCCTCCATCTCCCTACGTCGCGCTTGTGCATCCCCAGCGTCTACCAGAGGCCCTCATCAATCCCCCGTGGTAGCGGCAGATCCGATAGATATCAGTGTTGAGAGCTTCCGCGGGAGATCAAGACACAATCCTGTGTCCACCCTCAGCATGATCGATGAGTTCAGGAGAAAAAACGACCTACTAGCGATGGAAACAGGATATCGTATTCCGGAGAGGATGGAAAGTCCAACAAGGTCTGAAAAGATTGAGCTTTATGGGGAGGAGTTTATTAATGGGGATTTTATCTGTCGTGCTAAGAGGCGGTTGAGTAAGATATTCAGGGTCGGCGGAAATACCCGCTAGACACTGCCGGGAAAGGGGGCACTGGATGAAGCTAGAATGGTGATGCCCTTGGGTGGGGGGAAGCACGGAATAGTAGGATAGGGCTGTCTGGGTTAATTATGGCCAGAATTTTCAGATCTCGAGCAGGAGCAGGTGGTTTAGTTCTACCCCAAATAAATTACTGAGTGATTGTGTATGCATATATTTCTGTTCCATCTGCTTGTCAACTGTCATAACATGGAATTTCGGCAATATCAGTTCTATCAATTTAAAATTGGGGTTTCAATCGGAAACAAATTGGCTTACTTCACAACGAGGAGCACTTGAGCCTTATTTTAGGTAGCAGAATATCTCAGCCACCATGAACAATATGGACATGGCAGTCAGACAAACGTCAATTAAGCAATCCGTTTATATCTTCAATGCCTATCAGAAGTAGTGATAACGTTATAACTTCGACCCAAATTCGTTGAATCTTTTGTTTCCTCGAAACCTCAAGCATTTCTAAGAAAAGAACTACATCAACGTTAAGAACATGCTTCATGGCTTTACAATTAATGAATTAAACAAAACAAAAATGCTATTTCCCTTATATTATAAGTTATTAGTTTGAAAGTTGGGTTTGTTTTGTTTAGTTGGGTTTTGTTTTATTTTGGTTCGTATTGTGAGAGGCGGAGGAAGTGATTGGGAAGTTCCGGGGTAGTGTGATATTGTCATAGACTACGGTCTGCATACAATTAATGAATTAAAAAAAAAAAAAAAATGCTTCATGGCTTCATGATATATCACTCGCATCTGTGGATATTAATATATTGGACCTTTTTGTTTTTGTTTTTTTGTTTAATTCATACTCGCATGCAGCCAGTAGGTTATGGCGGCGCACTGTTTTCTCCCCTTCAAGTATCGTGACTTTGCTTTCAACGGTTTCATTCGCTCGCTTTCTCAATCTTAAGTGAATAATTCTGTTGAAACAACTAGCTGACCTGTTTTGAAAATACCGCATTTTTGGCTGCCGGTTGACGTAGAAACGGCAATTATTAATTGTTTCCCACAAGTATCTTGGCATTGGACATATATACGTTCAAACTTAAGAACACCTTGCCTCTATATGTACACGTTTACCATTCTTCATGATCACGGTTTCTACTTCTCTTCTTCACCGTCCCCCTCTCCTGTTACTTCATTCATCATCCACATTAGAATCAAAAACAATCTTTCTTGTTCATAGTCGATTTAAAGAAATTAAAGAAAGAGCAGAGGTAAGAAAATCCGCTCCTCAGCATCTGAGAAGTAAAAGAGAACTAAGCTTCTTGCTCTCGAATATTCACAGCAGAGAATTTCAGTTGGCTGAACACAGCACGCCTCCCTGATACAAACAAACTACACTGTTGACTAGGAAAACATCATCATGAATCCTCAGAGAATTGTGCCCGCTCCCATGGGCACCAATGTCAACAAGACTCGTGTTGCACCGACCATAGCCTCACACAAAAGTGATGATGCAGAAGTTTCTTGGACCCAATCCCCACTGACCCCTGCCTCCACCCGTAACCGCAGTGGTAAAGCCATTCCTCAATACATAACCACACCTACCGAGGACGAGTACAGTGATTGCGATGATTACCATCAATATCTCCGGTCCGAAGCTCAAAAGCGCCAGGGCATCACGAAAGCTAATGCTCCACCTACCCCTACCACAACCCCAAAGAAAAAGAAAAAGGGCAAGGCAAAGATTTCCTGTGAAGCCATCGTCACAGGCCTCTGCTTCCCATGCCCGCAATGGCAGAGTTGTTCCTCGACACGCGACTGCCCCAATCCCCGACGAGTACGAGGATTTCGACGATTACCATGAGTATCTTCGGGTCACACATACAAAGCCAAAAGCTATCCCAGGTCCTGCGGAGTCACAGTATACCCCACCCCCCAAGATCAATCTGGATCCTGTCAATCCTGGCAGAATCAATCGTCCTACCTTACCGGCTAATAGAATTATGGCCTCCCCTCCGAAGCTACCGAGAGAACGCACCTATGATGATAAGTTTGACAAGCATACCATTGGTGGCATCGGCATTGATAGTGAGGTTTCTACTCACAACGTAGACGATGGCCATAGCAATAGAGGACAACCCCAATCGGAAAACATCAATCCATCCTTGACTATGTCTCAAAAGGCCAAGTTAGAAAGTGGATGGCAACCTGCACACAAACTCCTATCAAGGTCTCCCAGCTACCCCGGAAAAATCTATAGACCGCAGCCACACTCCGGCCCACGCCCTCAAGGAGGACCTTTCAAAAATTGAAATCAAGCTCCCAACTTCGAACCTTTCAACATATGAGATTACTTCATGAGCGCAGGAATGGTGGCAGTACTCTCGGGCCCAGCAGCTGGGCATCCCCTTATGCGCCTCTTATTGATCGATCATCCGTTCTTGTCTCTGAAAGGCCGATTCATCGTGCGTTGAGACGACTCGAGGAAAACACAAGTGTCAATGGTGATACAAACATGGTCCACCTTGCTGCCGAGTATATGAAAGCCGAGCTCTTTCCTTCGGACAGAGAAACGGAGAACGACAGTTTGTACTCCAAATCCAGTGGTGATGCTAATTCTCATACTGAGTGCGACGCGGAAACTGAGTCACTGTGCCCTGTGATTTCAAAAACTCGTTGCAGAGGACAACGAGCTCTGAAATGCAAATGCAGGAAGGCAATTACGGTTTTTAAGCGGGCCGCCTTAGGGAGCAAAGTGAAGCTTAGGAAGTTGTTCAAGACCTGAACAGAGGAGGTGTGCAAATTGGGAAGTTGTTCAAGAACTGAACAGAGGAGGTGTGCAAATTGGGAAGTTGTTCAAGAACTGAACAGGCGCGACTGGGAGGTGTGCATTTAACATGGCGTTCTTTTTTTACTTTAGCTGGATGGGAAATTATTTCAATGTCAGGCATAAATATTTGTACTGATTCACGAGCTTTGTGCTCGTGTCTCTATTTTTCTTTTTGCAGAAATAGTCTATATACATGTACAGACTTTCACCTTGAGTCATCTAATACTCAATTTCATTTTTCCTGTTTGCTTGGCCGGGTTAAGCGATCATTATCTGGGCAAGGGGTATATTCTCATCTAGCGGTCAGACGATAATTTAAATTGCCGATCCCTCGGTGACAGAGATTTCTTTTCAGAGCTGTTGTTTCTAATCAACGGGGACCTTAGCTAGTATAAGAGGACACGAGGTACATACATGTAGTTATCACGCATCGCTTCGCATATATTCTCATCATAACAAGTTTTCACAACCTCCACCCACTTATTTGTTGCTGCTCTCCTATCATCTTTTGTTTTGATATTCTGTGTTTTGTCCAGTAAAACGGCAACAACATGCTTTCATTTAGCGGTTTCCATATGTAAAACCTCTCTTATCATGATCGTCACCCATATGTAATAATCGATGATAGATCCTCCACTACTCCTCAAGTATTACTTTGTGCTCGACCCCATTGTCATCTGAAATCTTTGATGCGAACGTTATCCTTCCTCCACTACGGTCTGTTGTCTTGTTCGGTTAAGCTCCGCGCATCAATCCTATCTTCTCACTTCTACCACGATTTTCTTGCCCTAGTTTTCTGGTGGTAGGTACTTGTCTGTAGTCATACCCTACTTGATTGGACCGTCGGAGAACCATCTTCATCGCCGTTTTAAAAATCATTAACCATTTATACCTTCAATATCATGAATCGGACGGAATTAAAACGAGGAAGGAAAGTTCGTCGGGAATGACTGATGTAGATCAGGACTAGCGGCAGGCGTTTTCTCTTTGGAATGCCTTGGGTTATTCTATCTCTGTCTTTCTCTAGCTCGTTAGTCTTATTAAAATAATACGGGGAGATTTCTTGGTAAGCATGTGGGCGGGGAGCGTGATGTTTGACGTCCTGGACTTTGTAGGAGCATGCATACCTGCTGAAGATATCATTGTTTATCTCACCGCCGCCCTCGATCAGGTTTGGGTATGCATTCCGGGGAGAATAATTCTAGGTTGGTAGGCGATGATATCTTCTGAGCATGAAAGATGTCAAAATGGGTATGTGTCATTTTATCCCACGAAATCCGAGGGCCAATAGTGGAGGTTTTCTCTATGAGTACGGTCTTGATGGTTATCGCCTCTTATTCTCGCCGTTATACATCGATATAGAGCGGCTATGTTATTCCTTTTATACATGTTGAAGACAATCTTCTGCTGATATACGTACATGCCAAGTGAGAATCCTCCGGGCCTCACATTTCGAGACACCACCGTTTATAACTGTCCTCCGCTGACGTCCAGAGCTCATCCTTTTAGATCATGATAGCAACATATAGAGAGCACAATGTTCATTCCGGTGAATTGCGGGGGCGTAGTTGATCAAAATGCCTCCTCCTCATGATTTTGGTGCAGCTCAGGAGTGCCCTAGTAATAATACACCACTACCTTCATGAGTATAAACAAAGATAATGTAATGGGATAGATGTAACATATGAGCTCTAGCTCTGCAGGACGACTAGTTAGCATGTTGTATAGTTAAATCCCGTCACACTCTTTGGAGTGTGAGTTCGAGGGAGCGGAGAGGACCAGAATGGAGCGCAAAGATTACCGGGGCGTGGCGGGTATGTACTGACATTGGCCCGCGAGCTTAGAACTCCCGGTTTTTGTTTGTTCTTGCTTCCTCAACGGTGGCGCTTGGACCTCTAAGTCCTGGTGTTGTATAGCCTTTGAGGACTTAGTTTTTCCACACACCCCGACTCCTTGACAATCTGTATTCATACCCAAGCCTCCAGAAAATTATTATCGCCCAGAGACGAGACATCTATGAGAATGTTTCGATGATTGTATAGGAAGTAACTTCGGAGGTGCTAAGTAGGAAGCCTGCTGGGGCAAAAAGAAATAATCGATATCTGCCGAGATGCGGTTTCTGGCAGGAAAGATAATTATTGTCGTTGAAAGTGGAGGTTTTTCACCTCGCTTGTTGCCGCATTGTTTCTTTCTATACCGCAACAAATCTGTAGGGAAGGTACGCGTACATTTTGTTGGTGGAGGCGCGGTGGAGGGGTGTCATCTGGTTCCGCCCTCAAACTGGGTCGATCTATTCTTGTTAGAATAGATTGTTTCTGTTGTTGACACACGTCGCCGTTTGTAACGACATGCGACGTTTCCCAAACATATCGAGGGACGTGTTTTATTTCTATATTTCGATTTTTTTTCCTACGACATTGCTTTGCTGTGGGATAAGTATAGGTTGAAGCAAAGAAATACTACGTTCAGTACAGTAATTCTGGAATTCTGGGGTGTGTCATGCTATCTATCAGTTTAGTAAGAAGATGCTTCAAATAAAGAGGAAAACGAGTGATTTATGATGATCAGAATTTTACCACAAAATCAAGTCAAACTATATTCACTGAGAAGAGATAGAAAACATTGGCTTAGGTTCCTCGTAAGAGGTTATCTTATCTTCGGTCAGAAGGAACTGCTCGATTGTAGCATCATTCGTCAGATTCCACAGGCGTCTTATCAACCGAATAAGTGCAATATCGTCCTTAGAAGTAAAGTAGAAATTGTTATTCATTCTTTTCCGAAATCTCCTCTAACGGGATTCCACTGGTTCTGTGGGTTCCATATACATAGCGAGATGGCGACCATGGGGTTTCAGCTTGGTTCCGCCTTCGGCGTATATTCACAAGCTCCGGAGGCATTTTTTCCCAAAACCATTCGCCATTTGTAAAAGCTTTTCTTTTCGCCTCTGATATAATGTCGCTAGAAGTAAGGAAAAGAAACGAGTAAGAGCCAAATGAATCATCGTCCCTGGTTCTCCGCGATTGCACATCGCCCGCCGCATGAGAAAAGTTGCCCTCTCTCGACAGATCTCATAGCGCCATATGAAAAGCAAACAAATAAGGCTCTAAATCGCCTTTTAGAAATGACAGAGGAGAGCGTAATACTGGCAGGAGAGTAGCTTGAGCGGTAATGTGTTCGTCAATCTCATGCAAGTAACATGTCGAAGATTTTCATGAGCTGCGCCGAGAGTTCTGATGCGCTTAGTCGTTAGAAGCCCCACAGTAATTCTCCCCAATAACCCTCCAACCTCTTCCTCCTTCCTCCTCTCTCTCTTCTCATCTCCATCTCCATCATCCATCATTCCATCCATCTCTGTTGAACCCCAAGAGTGAAACTCTTTGTTGCACCAGTCCAATAAATCATCACTATCGAGATTCGGAGGACAAATCTGCGCCTAAAGCTATATGTTCTTCCCAAAATGACAGACCGATCCAAAAAGACAACTAGCCCCCGCACGGGTCAAAATGTCCTCCGCTGGCGCGAGAAGGTCGCAGAGGTAGTCGCCCCGCCCCGCCCCCGCGTCGCCGAATCCCAGGCTACACCCGCGCAACCCACCGACGCCCCCGGCGGCAACATCATCAACAATAAACCTGATATCGAGGTGGACCACCTCAAGACTCAGAGCAAGTACAGAATCAAGTTGAGCAGCGTGGTAGAGTCCACCACAGCCATTTCTTTTGTCTCGGGACCCGTTTGGAATACCCGTGGATATAGCCCCTGCGCCTCCAAATTGGAGTACCATCCTTCCGATTCAGCACGCACAGAAAACATGCTCGGACATCATAAAGAGGGGAAAGCCAAGCGCTATAATATCGACCCCGCTCTTGAAGACCAACAGAGTCAGGGCAACCACGACCAACCCCACACGCACACCCCCGAGTACACCCGCGAGAACACTTATCCATTCACCCCAAGCACCGGGATTGAAGACGCGGAGATCCACGACCAGTTTAAAGCTTCTCCGACCGCTGCTAACGCCGACGATGACTCGTTCGACGGGGTTGACGGTGAGATCCATCCAAGCACTGTGAGCTCACCCGCCTTTCGCAAATTCAATGCCGACCGTGTTGAACTAGAGATGGGTGAAGTTGGGTTGAAGGACTTGAGAAAGGTCTTGAGGTCCGGGATTCGCGATGCGAAAAAGCACAGGGTCGAAAACACACCAGCCAGCGAAGACGAGCATCCGAAAGGCCGTGCGGACCTCAAAAGGCCTTTCTCCAGTATCAATTAGGAGCCGTGGTCAGTTACTGTCCTTGCGCGGCAAAGTCTTTAGTTGTGGGGGAATGTGGGCGTCGTCATTTTTCCTTCCCTGTCTTCCACGCATTAGTTTTGTCGCGCAGAAAAAAAAAAATCTGGGAGGTACCTATGTGCAGCGAGTATAATGAAATTACGGGGATTTATCTTTTCTGAGTGTCTCATAGTAATTGAATAAACACTGCACGGTGAGCGAGGAGATGGTTGTTTCGATTGTAGAGTCTTTTTCCAAGATTCGTACGTAGAGTTGGGTTGTTATTGTTCAGACGCGGATTGTGAAACAAGTCTGTTGTCGTCCTCAGCCAAGGCGCTAGCAAGTATTTTCTAACGCCTTTGAGTATAGCGTAGCGGTAAGCGAGGTTTCTTATTTCTACTAAGCTCTTCGCTTGCTGTGTAACAATTGTGCTCTTTCTTTATTTAATGAAGTCTACACAGAGGTCCGGGGAATCAAAGGGCGTTGCAATCATGTTCGTTCATCTGCTTGTAACAGTTCGCTTATATTTTTCTGGACTGCAGATTATTACAAAGTTGCGATGCTGTAGGTTGTCTTAGATTACGTAATGTGCAAAATAGTAGATGCTAATGACATAATAGTAGATCTGAATGTAAATTACATAAGTAAAACAAACAATCTCGGGCAGGGGGGAGCATCCATCGCTTCTGAGATTCAGTCCTCGACTAATTTTATCCTCCCTAGATATAACCAAACGCCGTAGAAGTCTATAGCTGTAATTGTTCCCACAGATGGGATATTATTGCTAAAATTGTAATCGTACCTAATAAGATTCGAGTTCGGCAATTACATGTATGCGGTTGGAGATGACCGCTGCACCTGATGCAATCAATTTTTGAACGATATAGATCAGCAATTCCAAATAATTTTCTGCTTTCGAATTGCGAGATATGTGTAACGTCGTTCTCAAAGCAAAGACTGACGAGTTGAGCAGTGAGGGGGCTCCGATAGTTGGCACCGACCGCAAGTATATCTATGGAAAGAAGAAAAAAGGGCGTGAAGTATAAGGCTCCGTTTGGAAGCCGCCCAAATCATGGTTGCAACGCCCCAAATCACGATCCCGGACACAATTGCAATTTGGGTAGGTTGATACCTGTTTGGATACACAGATTGAGGGGTCCCGAAATCATGATCCTCGCAATTGTACTTTTTCTCCATTGAACTTCAATGCAACGCGTCTCTGTAACCACCACATCCGAGTCCTAGCAACGCCGTGAAAGATACACTACTAGTATACCGTGACAATCAATGCCGCCCAAACCTAAAGCCACCTGGGACGATGACAAAGACAGATTGGTCTTAAAGCTTTTGTTAAAGCAAATAAAAGCAGGGAAACGGTCTGATAGCGGTTTCAAGAAGGAAGCTTGGGTTCAAATAACTGCGGAGTTCAACTTGGTTTTTCCAACATGCGAGAAGGAGCAAATAAAAACCAGAGTTACAACGGTAAATATGAAGATCCATTTGGTACTAATTAGTCGGAATCTAACAGTGATAATAGTTGAAGAGAAGACTTGATGTTTTTCAAAGACTTTGTGAGAATTCGGGCTTCGGTTGGGACTCGGAGAAGAAAATTCCGACCGCACCAAATGATGTTTGGGATAGCTATTTGAAGTACCACAAAGAGGCAAAACCATTTCGTTTCCATACTCTTCCCCATTACGACATGCTATATGAGATATTTTCGAAATCGGTAGCTACCGGTGAATTCTCATCCTCTACAGTACAACTTGAAGACAGTCAAACATCTACTAGTACTACTAGTATCCAGGATATTTCCAACCACGTTCTGTCATCTCTACTATCTGGAGATAGTGCAACTTCCGACGATGAGCTTACGGCTCATATTTCCCAATTCACTGGCAGTTCAAGTTCTCCTATTGAAGTTGCTGGAATCACGAAAGACAGTAGACAGAAGCGATACCGAGCGGTAACTGAAAGTCCGCCACTGGCACCAAAACTAATTTCCAAAAAGAAACATCGTACTGCGACTCATGCGGCAGCTGAGAGTATGCAGGAACTTGCAAATGCTTTCAAAGAAGCAAAACAGATACGCGCACCACCACCTATTACGAAACTTGAGCAGGCATTGGAAATCATGACAAAATTTGTTGAGGAAGGTATTTGGTCAGACGATGATTATATGGCTGCATACAATCAAATGCTGAAGGATGAAAGACACGCTATATTCTTTTGTACATCACCGTTACATATTAGAGAAAGATGGATCAAGGGTATCAGAGCCGATGAGCCTGAGAGTCATGGTATATAGGTTACAGTTTGTATTAACTTGTATATCTGATATGTTTTAAATAGTCTTGCCACATTTTTTCTGCAATTTTATCTCGCTTCTCTTTTGCAATTCCGCGGTCAATTCGGGTAACAGGTTCCACTAATTGAAGATGTCTTCCCAAATTCAAGTTGCCATCATCGTCAATGCTGTTTGGTTCCGAATCGGTAGCTTGATTATAGTACTCGTCCAAACCGCCATTGATTCGTATAAAATTGTGTAGACAGCATAAAGCTTTGACAAGCTTCACTTGAGTCCCGAGCTTATACTCGCACTGTTTTTTCAATATCGGGAATCTTTTTTTCAAAACTCCAAAGATTCGTTCAATAGCATTCCTTAAAGACGCGTGTCTCAAATTAAATATCTCTTTAGCGTTTTGTGGACGTTGTGTTCCTTGCGCAAACTCCTTCAGATGGTATCGTACTCCTCGATAGGGCGTCAAAAAATTTGGTGTCAAACCATAACCCGCATCGGCAAGATAATATTTATCCGTTGGTATAGTGAATCCCTTCTGTAACGCATCTTCCAATACTCTTCCATCATTTGCTGCTCCCTCCCAACCCGCGAGTATATACTGGAATGTCAAATCAAAAGAGCATACAGCAAGTACGTTCTGGGCAAGGAATCCTTTCCGACACCTGTAAGCACCCACGGATGCTTCATTTTCTCTTATTGATACCGGAATCAAAGAGCCATCAATAGCACCAATACAATCCTTAAAGTACGGGTAGAACTTTGGATTGGTTGTAATTTCAGCAGGAACTGCCAGTGTCGCCGCTGATGTTGGAAGAGTGATATATTCACTGGAGATTTGATCGAGCGCATCCAAAACCCTATTGAAATACCTATTGACCGTTTCGCTGGAGTGTTGAAAGCGGCTTGCAGTAGTACGGGTACTAGCAGAATTTGTGACAATAGACAGAAACATATGCAACTGATGTTCAACGGTGATATATCTATAATTTGCCAGCGTTAGTATACTCATCCTGATGTAATATAGAAAGAGAACTATACCGAGAATCCCTCAAAAGATTCTTAACCCTCAAGCTACAACAAAGTGCATCGAATACCTCTCTTTCCATCCTCATCTCTTCCCGAAATACTCTGGGATTATCACATGACAGTATTTCCCGTGTCCATTCCTCACCCGTAAGTGTGGATATATTGAACGGTTCCCTTATTAAAGGTACAAACAACGAAGCCTCATAGATTCCTCCTAGTAGCAGGAGCAACTCCTCGTCATCTGATTGACTCGAATAAAAAGCAGATTGAAGGCTCATCTTCAAACACTTCAAGGATGGAAAGTCTCGAGGTCGCAGGGTCGCAGGGTCGCAGGGTCGCGAGGTCGCGGGTCGAGGTCGAGGTCGAGGTCGAGGCCGCAGGGTCGCGAGGTCGGAATACTATAACCCTAGCAGTATTATTAGCTTAATATATCAATGTAGGTATGTATCTTACTTTTAGGTAACGGATGATAAGTGGTGATGATGGCAGATGATAGATGATGATGATGGTGACGGATGATGGATGGTGACGGATGATGGATGGTGATTGGCGGGGATGGTGGAGTGACTCGCTGTGGCATTGACCGTTTGGCTTACCAAATCACAATCTGAGCGGATTGTGTTTTGCAACCTCTAAATCGCCTTTTGCGAGGATTGTGGTTGCTACGAGACGGTGCTTCCAAACGGAGCCTAAGTGTCGATAGTAAACTCGACCTCGACCTCGACCATAGTCGTCTTGAGGTGACTATCATTCACTCAAAAGTCTTGGCATCGTCGATCCCTTCCAGATCTAGAATTATTCTACGATGGTGTAAGTTTTTAAATTATTGCAAAGAAAATGGTAGAATTTGTGTTCGATAAACGTAGAATCGAATGTAAATGAGGGTTGTATCGTTGCTCATCACCTGAGGTCGTCGAATCTGGAGCTATCATTGACCCTGTGGGCTTGGATCCTTTGGGTTTGGTATCTCGATGAACCCTAACCCTGCAAAGTGTTGCTGCTTCACCCATTTCAAAGCGACAACACTTTACCACAACACACACCGCACCGCCGCGGAACATCAACTCAAGGCGCAACCCCCCGCTATCCCCTCAGGCCTGGATGCCATTGCTGGAGTCACTCAGCTAGGGATAACCTCACAACCTGCGCCATACACACAAGCCTCTACCATTCCCACCCCCACGTATCCGACCTTTGCAAGATGTCATCCGACAGTACCTTTCACCAGCCTAATCGCGACTCTGGATATGAGACACTTGGATCACCTCAATTCGCGCGCAACGGAAGTTATGATGAATCGGTGTTTAGCACCGCCACACCTGACAAAGGTTCCAATGCCACTCCTGAAGCTGCCGCGCCGGCACCCCCAGAGGTAGTGGTATCAACTGGTACGAAGGACAGCGCAAAGGGCGCCGAAGAAGGAGGAAAGAAACCGAATAATCTGCTTCGCAGAATCAAGGGCGGTTTGTGGGGTGCTGGCTCATCACGCGGAAAGCAATCCGTTGCTCAACCTGTAGCGCAACTCGTCAACAAAGATGGCGAGGGGACCTCTGAGGCGGCTTCAGCCCAACACTCGGACAAAACAGTCGCAAGTATTGAGGAAGGCGAAACGGAATTGGAAAGAAACAAGAGCGGCGAGGGGAAGGACAAGCCAACTGTCGAGCTACCATTGGCGTGCTTTGTGGACGCCTCCGAAAATATCAGTTCCGTTGATGCGGTGGTCCGGGTTCCAACAGCAACGCCTGGTCCTTTGTGGAAAAACGATGGGCCCGGTGATCATCGCATAAACGGCACCATTCTACTACGCGCGAAGAGTATCTCCGCAGGCCCAAAGAGTGAATTCTCGGCGCTCTTCTCTGAACGATTGGAGTCGCTGGCCGGTGATGACTCTGGTCCTGTTCACCAGGAAATTAATGATCAAATCAGTACTTACGAGTCCACTATCGGTTCAAACCACTCTAATAACTGGCGCCCTGGCACATCCGCGGACTCGCTCCATTCTTACATCGGCAGTTCGGATGAGGACGAGTACCTTTCAGAAGGCGAGAGTTGGGAGTCTGTGCCTCGCGGCCGGTCCCAGTCAAATAATAAAGGGTGTATTGCGACAGACGCCCAGATCAGAAGCCATTCGCGCTCACAAACTGACGAAACAGTCAAATATACGCCCGGGCGACCAAATATTACTGTTACAGAATGTCCTGTATTCCGCTTCCCACCCCCCACCCTACAGTCTTTGGAAACTCCAGTATCTCCAAACGATTCCCAGGGTCCTCGCGAAGAACAGGACGACATGGCCTACACATTGAGTCTCCCCTCGTCAATGAAAAGCTCGGTATACAGTTATGCCCCCACCACTCCACCGAGCACGCCAATCCTTCGTACTCCACCACCGGAGGGGATAGATTACGTTCCAGTTGAGATTGAACCTTTCATAGTCCCGAAGATCACTGTTCTGCCAGGAGAGTCCATGCTTGATATGTGCATGGAGATGAACAAGCTCGCCCAGGATGCTCCGGAGATGTTCAGTTCGCCTCCCCAAAGTCAGCCAACCGATGAAAGCTTGGAGTCCGGGAGGTTGCCCTTCGACTCCAGGGGGGGGATCATCGGCAAGACTCTTGGAAGGGCTTTCGGAAAGTTGTTCAGACGCAATACGGTACAACCGAATCGATCAGCAGGCAAGCCAAGAAAAAGGACAGCGTCTCTCAAATAAACGCAAAGGAAACTTGTCGCGTTCTGTCTTCAGGCTCAATGGCCATTAAGCTCAACCTCAGTCTACCGATTTGTCCTACGATCTGGCCTGTAATACAATCGCACGGGTACAATCGTTCTCAGGAATATTTCTTCGGTCCTGTATGAAGTGAAGTCAAGTATTGTCATCCTACATCTTGTAATCATAAAAGTTTAAGTCATTCTTTTCAAAGTTTCTTCGAGCCAAGCCTATGTAATCAGGAGTCAGCAGCATATGTCTTTATGTATTGTCAATAATAGCAGTTAGCAACCAGAGCGAACTGAATAGACCGTTAACAAATTATAACTCAAAGGTGGAAGCACAATCATATAGGAGAAAAATCTGGCTAAATAATAAACTCGAAGGAGCTTATGTGGAAAAGGTGTTCATATTAGGGTATTCAGGGTTAGGGTTTCTCATGCGTCCTCACGGTGAATAAAAATTGTTTTACCTGAATCCAGAAAAGATTTTGATAAAAGAAAACCAAGTTGAAATTTCTTTATAAAGGGTTGTAGGAAACTGGTTTGGACTGGCGAACGGACGAGCAGTTGAACCCTGCCTATAATGTAGTGGAATCCGATTCTAATTATACGAATAAATAGAAATACTTACAAGTAATTGATAGGTGAGATAACTTACATCACCTGGAGTATGATTTCATCAGATACACGTAGAAAGAGTAGTTTTGGGAGCAGTTTACCGTGATTTGTTTCCGCCTGAGATTATTTCTTCGAGTTCAGGCATACCGCAAAGATTTGCTTGTTTGAAATGAAAAGCGTTCTATTAGTACTGCAAGTCTCTGTAACGGTACCCGTACCACGTTTCCACCCGGTCCAGAAATGTTCCGTCGAAAATTATCGTTAGGCAAAGATCAGTCGGGTCTTTTGAGACCCTGCCCACCCCATCTACAACACAACACAACAGAACACACCACACCACACCACAACAAAACCGCCCACCCCCCCGTGGAAAGGATTAGTTCTACAACTGCAAACTCCTACCCCATCTAACCTCGCCCAACCATTCCCTCCCCCTTTCACCGTTTAACGATGCCAACCAATCTGCAACGCGAGGATGACACGAGCCCTACCTCTGCCGAACTCGCCCTATATACGAGGAATTTGGAGGAAGTAACCAACGAGATCGCCGCCATCGTACATGCAAACTCCGACTTCCGCCATGAATACAATCAAGCCGTTCAGCGCCAAAGGATATACACCAAAATGCTCATAACCATCAATGATAATCACGAGCCCTCCGGACAAAATCGCAGCTCGGAGGACCCAGCCGCAGACATGGAATATGCCCTCTTTTACAGGAAAAAGCATCAAGAAGAGATAGACAAGCTATTAATTATCCACGAAAACATCAACTCGATGTTCATAGAGAACACTAAGATACAGGCACAGGCGGTCTTAGATATCATGGGGTTCAAAGTGGAAAAGGAGGAGAAAGAGAAGGAGCGTTTGGAGAAGGAGAAGGAAGAAAATCAGAAATTGATTGATTCCGTTCTCGCAGGGTCCAAGGACAGAAGCATTGAAGAAAAGTTGGAAAAGCTCAGGATCAAAGATCTCTCTTCTACGCCACCAACCGCCGAGGGAATCACATTGTTTACGCGTCCGCAGCGCGATGTACTAGTTGCAGGACTAGGAAGAATCCAGTCGGAGACGGAAATATGGATTCAACTTCTCCAGAAGAATGGCCACAAACAGGTCAGGCATATCGCCACTCTCGGAAAAGCAAAAGCTCTGTTGATGAGGGATAGAGATGCTGTCGAAGCTGCGGAGAGTAAGAACCAAAACCAACAACTTACTGATACTCAGATCCGGCTCTCTATCTTTCGCCTGGGTGAGGTTTACAAGTATTGGAGCAAGACCAATTCAAGCTGTGGAGGATTGCTGGGAAATATGTGGAACCTAAGGATGAGTATGATATGGATCCGAAGGCCTTTGCTCGCCCGAAAGATTGGAAACCGGATCAGCCTTCACATAATTAGGTAAGCTAACTGTATATTAAATGTAAAAGGTTTCTGTACTGATTTTTTAATTTCAAAGGCATGAAATGGATTTTTCGCAGGGTTTAGATAAGTCCTCACCGGATAAAGAGTTTCAAATACCAAACCATAACACCTCCAAAGAATAAAATATATTCTCCAGAGTACATCTCTGAGCAGCTAGTATGAGGCTGTCGTTTTTCTCAGGGTTCTCTTTACGCTTTCTCGCCATAGCCCATATCGCGCTGAGTCGCTGGAACTGTAGATGATAACTGTAGTATCAAATGCAAATGCCGTGAATAGGTGTGATTCTTTGTACACAATGATTCTGTGTGGGGAGATCCGTAGCGCCTCTTTGAATGAGTAGATGTGGAATGACATCTGTTTGTTTTTCCCCACGCTTTGAACCGGATACTCTGCAAACTCTAACTCAGCTAGGAATAGTTTATAGTAGTGGAAATACCTCTGCACCCGCTGATCGACATGACTGATATAAGCTGTGACACCTCAGGTTGAGTTCAGTTTATGTTATATGTTTTCAAAAGGGGAAATAAGACAGTGGATCATAGTAGTGGGGAATATCAATGACCAGGCATTTTGGACATAGATGAGAGAAGGGTCCATGTATGTGGCTTAGATGATAGTTATTACGGATCCACTCTATAGCCCTCCGCCTATCTGTTCTATGAGGTTGAGAAACCAGATATTAACTTACAAAGCTTGGCTAAATCCACCTACGCAGAAATATTTCACAGGAACCTTTATCAATCCTGGATATAAGGTTGATTGAAACCCAGTTCCAATATATGTGGGTCTTCTGTATCAATCGCCAAGCTTCAATCAGCGCACTATTGATGGAGAAAGGGTTTTCTCACCGACACTGCATATACCGTTTCAGCTTAATGGAATTTGTTACAGTATAGTTAGCCTTTTCCCAAATTTTCATCCGGTTCACTAGTGATTAGTAATATGTGTTCGAGGGTAGTAATTGAAAAGGGATATGTAGTCTCGATATTTTCTTATACTTTCGTTAGAACTGAGCGCTCGCTCAACGTGCTACTTGAACGTAAAACATTGTTTCTGATAGGTTTAGAGGCCGGAAGTGCTACGGCGTAAAGCTTTCATTAGTAAAAATGGATCCTAAGAAACCTTTTCAAGGATAGGAAGACGAAAATTTGGGAGAATACCCCCCCTATTGTCTACTGTCTCTCCAGTGGATCAGACTTCGCCAGATAATTACCCCTGCCCCCCCCCGCAAAGTGAATTCACTTTTTGTATGGGGTTTGCAACCTGGAAACTCGCTACCGTCTAGGAACGCCAAGATGTGAGATTCCCGGGGCATCCTCGACTCCACTTTACAACTCATGCCGGCTACGAATCGTTCAGTAGGACGTGATGTCAACATTGACGATGCGCGCGATACAGTGTTGGGAGGCCTCGTTCTCACTAATGGAGTAACAAATGCCAACTTTACTTGATGGTTGATCAACTTTACCTTTGATCGCGATTATTTCCTGCGAGACGGAAGCGGCACCACGGTTCAGAGGGATAACCATCCGCTCCAACCCGGAAATTACTAAATTGTGACGAATGGTAGGTAGGTTTGGTCCACAGTTCCATTGTCAAGCTGCTGATTCCACTGGTAATAGGTTCCATCGTTGTCAATAATGAGCCTTGGCTAAGCGTACAATATCGGTGTCCTGTGGAACCCGGGTTGCAGAGTTCCGTGATGCTGTTCGTGACTGGGATCGGAGCTGTGTTATCACAGGGGAAGAGGCGCTCGACGCTGAATATGGGATCTGGAAGATCTTTGAGGTTGCACATAACTTTCCATTGACATACGAAGACTACTGGAATCGCTATAATAGTGTTCTCCATGACACGAGATGTCTTGAAGTGTTGTATCGAGACTCTTGTCTCGAACAGCTCGACACCAAATATTTTGGTCTCGAGACCGGCTTGAAGTCTGCTAAGATATACAAGTGTCATAGGTGTTAGAGATAAAATGGTATAGTTCTCCTCTGATCCTGCACCATGTGGGCCGCTCCCGAGCAAGACATAAACTTCAACTGTTTGTTACACGTTCATTGGGTAGAATTTGAGCAGCTAAATCAGGAAATAGGTAAGATCTCAATAGAATACATAACGACATTACTATACAAAGCTTCTTGTTGCGGTCTTGGCTCATAACTACTCACTCGACTTTCTCAAGCCTGTCTCGGGACGGGCAAGACAAGACGAGACCAAAAGGGCATCGCCAGGAATCATGTCGAGTTTGGAGATGATGAGGGTCGACCAGCTGATCAGCTTTTGCGTTGGCATTTCAGGCAGGCAGTGTTGGCTAACATTAAGGGAGCCGGAGAAGCTGTCTTTGAGTGTGAGTTTCCCTGTGGAAAGGATGGAATTCGAGCTGTTTAGTCGTTTGGCAGCATATTCATTTCTTTATTTGTGCATTTGAGGTTATGGTGATCGGGTTTATTATGGTCGGTGGTAGTAGTAAATGTGTGTCTACTTAGAGCTTAATTTATTCCACTTTTGTCTTTTATTCGAAATATTCTTGGAATTGAAGTACGGTTATTTTCTAACGGGCCGGAGCCTACAGCGAAGCGGGTGGGGTACTCGCGGGTTTCGTGTAACCCGCCGATTTACTCGAAGATAGCGTTGTATTAGGCATATACAGCTACATGGCAGTCATAATTCATCGGTGGCAGGATGCTTGCTTGCGAAGAGAGAAATCATGTTCGCGTTAAAGAGTTGTATTGTGATAAGGTTTAACAGTATATAAAGAATGCTTAAGACTAATGATAATCTTATCCTCCCTCGAGACTTCTCTCGTAAGTCTCAGAAACAGAAATCCTCCACTTTTCCTCTCGTAAAACTATCAGTGCCAACGGTTTGGACGCTGATTTAACCCTGGTGGTGGCTTGACCTGAGGTCTCCTCCACAAGCCCGGTGCTCCTTCCTCCTTTCTTTGCCCTATCCTGGCAATCCTCTCTGCCAATGATAACTCCTGCCTCTTCCGCGCGGTTTCCTTCATTTTATCAGTAATTTGCTACCTTCGCGACAGCCTGAGAAAACTCATACATAGTCATACAGTAATAGCTTCACACGCCCATCAATAACACTAATCCATTCGATATCAAATCCCTATATGTGCTTAGTTTTCATCGGGAAGAGGCATAGTCTTAGGGGAATTGATTGGAGATTTACTTCTTCGCTAAGTAACACAACGATTCGGGACCAAAGGTCGGCATTGGTGCAACGTTCCTTTATGGTCTATGGTAAGAGCATGTTAGCGTATGCACATTGAGAACGTTCACCGGAAATGCGATCATACAAGTGGCAGTAAGTCACTATCTCCGAATTCCCATAAAATGTCTTCAAAGTCATCGTAGCCAGATCGTTCGATAATCATTTCAAGCAGTAACTGAAGCTCTAGTGTTTGGCGGAAGGTGTTATGATCAAGAGACATGTCGCTATAAACGATATCAATATCAAGATATTCGACCTTTTTGCCAAAGTATCTATCTAGATAAAAACCGGATTCTGTAAGAGCCAAAGAGTCAACAGAGCACACAGTAACATTATCACCATCGCAGTTCCCTCCTTCCTTCCCCTCGATGTTGTCCTTGTCTTGCCCTTTAAATGGTGTATGTGGAGTAATAGGTGTTAATAAATGACTTTTAGGATTGAAATCGAGCCGTATTCTAGGGATTTCAGCAATCTTTGACTCAAAAAGACGATCCATAAAATTCCACTCGTCGAACGTCTTGCGTACAGGAGAGAGACCATTGAGGCATGCTGCCTCCCTGGTCTCTCTAGCTACTATTCCAGTCCAAGTCTGGATACTTGCCAATTGTTCATTACAAGTGGCGTCCTCAAGAATAGCGTGTTGTTTGTCGTTCAAACCTTCTCTCCTAACTCGAAGATATTGTGTTCTTCGATTTCTCTCAAGCTCACTGGCGACGGGGTAGATAGGCGTGCGGTGGTTCTTTGTGAGTGGTAATTCTCTCGCGGAGTTTTTCTTGAAAACCTGTTCAAATGCTGTATTATTAGTAGTGAGTTCTTTGTTGATTCCCTTATTTTGCTCCTGAGGATGAAATTGCTTAAGAGGTAGTCGTGATTTTGGTAGGTGCTTTCGTGGTGTAACAGGAGGCCCTTGAGGTATCATTTTGTGGTGCGAAATTGCTTTCAATGGTGTCTGTTCTAAGCGTTCATGTTGTAACCGAGTTGCAGGAGTGGGGGTTCCATATCCCATGGAGGTGGTTGTGGTATTGCTCAGGTCTGTGGTAGTGGGTGCGGTGGATGTTGGGAAAGATGTGGAAGTGGTCAGAGGGGATATATCAGAGGAAGGTGGGAATGCCTTCGCAGATGCTACCTGTGCGGTGATGATCGGTATAATCGGTATCATTGATTGCGCAATTACTGGTGGCAAAACATAATCTAGGAGTTTGATGCTGGGCTCTCCCTGCGGCTTGTTCTCAGGATCTCCAATATGCTTCGTTTCTCTAGCTTTTTTGGATTTGACACTGGAAACTGCTTTCTTCTCAGCAGCTAAAAGTTCCGCAGCGTGCTCATAAGGATCTTTGTTTGTTTTTGTTGGTGTTACTTTCTTAGAGGATCCGGACTTCTTCAACTCTTCCATAAAATCCCATGGCTCTGGACTAGGTGGACGGAAGTTGTCGAGCAATCTATCGAGGTCTTCTTCCAATATCTTTGAATGATCTAGTAGGGTAGATGTGATGTTCATAGCCATCTTTTCGGGGGACTGATCGGGATTCCTTGGTAGTTTCGATCGTGCTGGTGTTCTAGGTAATGAGTCTGCGCCAACTTTCTCGACGAGCTGCCTTCTCTCTTTCTTTAGGCAATGTCTGTTGGAGGATTCATGACACTCGATCTCGGGAAGGACTGTTCCCTTGACGTTGACCACGATAGTAGAGGTTTTGTCCAAATGCTGAGATGGAAAGTTACAAGTAGCTGCCATAGGCTTCGAGAGTGGGGTAGTAACGCCACTTGTGTTCAATGCGATAGGTATGGAGGTATGATGAGTAGAGCTATCCTCTTTCACGGGAATGGGACTTAGCGGGGCCTTTGCTTTGCGTATTAGTGACAGACGATCAGGGACAGGTGAGTGGTCCCTGGATCTGGTACGTGTGGTATTCCTCCGGAAGGATTTGACTGAAATATCCGAGTTGTTATCGAAACAATCGTCGAAACTGGGAAGATCGAGAGGGTCGTCGAGAGGATCCTCGAGAGGAACGTCGAGAATTGTGTAAAGGTTTTTGCTTCCTTTATCTTTCTGAGCCAATGGAGTTGGCATGATATGTGATATGGCAGCAAATATAGGGTAAATGCTCTATTGAAAGAAATGTTAACAAAGGTTATGAGATTCTTCCTGGTTAGAGGAAACCTACATCCTGGTTTTCAAGTGACTTGGGACTTGCTTTCGGTGTTGCGGGAGCTGGAATCCAGCTGATGTCATCTTCACCATAGGGCTTGGATAGAGCATTTGAAACTGCCACTGCTCTCCTCCGAAGATCTGCAGCTACAAGCTTAACACGTTCACCGAAGTCTGTTTTGAACTCGGGTTCCTCCACCTCTCTGACCTCTAGACTTTCTGAAGTCACGGTATTGATAATAGTGTGATCACTCTGAATCTATGCCAAGTTGTATTAGTAGTGTCATTGAAAGAAATATCAATACATACCTCTTTCTGAGAGTCCTTTTCTTTTGGAATTCGGGATGTCTTAGCAACCTGGACTGGTGCAGGAATCAAGCTTTGCTTCTTGTGTCCACTCCCTTCTCTCACTGCATTTTCAGTAGGAGCCGGGACTATTGTGCTGAGGTCCTTAAGTGGAACTGGTTTCCCTTTTTGAATAACCTTGCTCTTAATTGGTGCTTTCAGAGTCTGAAGCCAGAAATGTCAGCAACAGAAATACAACGAATGCAGGGATGGCATACATTTTTTGGTGCAACAATATTGATAACATCGGATGTATTATGAGTGTTCTCAGCTGCCCCTTTCTTGAAGCCTTTATTTTGCCAGTTGGACTTGTTTTGCAGTTCGGCCAATGCTGCAACTGGAAAATTATTGGAGCTTTGCTTGACTTTAGATTGATTGATGGGTTTGAAAACATCAACCTTCTCAATCTTAGCAGGAAGAACGTTTGTTGTAATAAAGTTAAAGGCACGATGAATGACCTGAACATGGAATAAGTTAACACGGGTACTCAGACTATCGACGGGCATACAAACATTTTTCTTCTTCGGGAGCTTAGTAGCTGGAGCTGGCTTTCTAGCCACAACAACAAAAGGCCTCATCTCCTGAGGCTTCTCTTCGTTTTCTTTAACCTCAATTGGAGTAGCGCTACTCACAATAACGCGTGCTGAGAGTTTCTGGTCACCGGCGATGTCTCCCTTCAAAACGCTAGCATAAGAGGCTTTGCGTGGAATCGGTTTAAACTTTCCGACGGAAGCCTTATTCGGGTCAGATTGTCCCATCTTAGACGGAGCAATGAGTTCGGGGAACGCGTCCACAGAAATAACCCCGGATGCAGCCTTAGCTTGGACGGATGCGGGAAGTTTAGTTGCTGAGGTGAGTGTGTTGGTCTTCTTTCGAAGAGTGTCGGCGTACGAGGCACGGGCGATTGGAATCATTGAAGGCATCATGTTTATTTGCTGCTTTTGCTCACGCAATTTGGAGAATTTGATGGTGATTTATGTTTATTTGATTGTGAATCGAAAGTTTGTAGTTTTGTTTATTTTGTTTCTGAGCTGTGTTTGTACGTGAAGTAGAGAGAAGGTGTGGTAGAGGGTGGGTTGTGGGTTGGTGCTATGAGGAATTACAGTGTGTTAGGGTTGCCAGCTCACACGTTAGGCTCGGACAACGCTGATAAGATACACCAACCGCTGGCAATTGTGCAAATATGCGAAAGTTCGATTTATATTTATATCATTGTAGTGCTGTTTCCTTTTCGACCAATACTTTGTCAATGTGATATGGTTACATGTGTGAAAGACCATAAGTCACACACGATACAATCCTCAACAGACAGAAGATGGGACAGCATGTATGTACATGTAGGTTATTGGACTACCTTTTCCAAAAACAATGCATCAACGTATAACTTGGGTTATAACACCAAGCACATCACATGTAGCCATATTATCTTTGAGTACTCAGGCTCTTATCCGCAGGGTATACATTGCACATTCATATGTCATGTTAATGGTGTTCTTTACGTATACAAGGCGCTTGAATCGTACGTTGTGCACGAGAGCGGATGAACACATACATATATGGGGATCAATATGGATGTTGGAATGGTTTAACACGACCATATTACGACAGGAAAAAATAACAAACCTGGGATAACACGTTTATAGAGGGGTATTTCACCTATGAAATAAAATGGGAAATGCTGCAAAGTTAAGATTAATCCTCCGGTATTGATACCCTCTACACTTCTTCATGTTTATATCCAGCATCGCCTAGCACTTCACTAAACAAACATATTCACTCTGACTGTTTATGTGCTTCGGACCCCCTACCATTCTGCGTTGCAGGCTTTCCAGGTCTTGTTTTCACCATCCTTCATACCTCTACGGCCTATACAGCTGAATGTCATATTTCTACTCTTGGGTTACTAAATATTGACTCATAGATATTTCTAGGCCTGGCTCTTTTACTCTTTTCCATCCAGCTCTTTATGGTCATCAGATCGCCACGCGCCATCGTAGTAGGTAGTTCTGTACTTAGGAGGATACCACCAGGGCCGTCTCTACCAAATATCTCAGGACTGAAACGGTGTTCTCCATGAGACGAAAGGTCCCGAAGTCTTGTCGAGACTCTTTATTCTAATAGCTGGTTAGTAAATACTTTATCTCGAGACCGGCTTGAAATCTGCCAAACATACTACATGTAGTGTCGTAGGTGTTAGTGTCAAAATGACCTAAACTTCCACAATGTTGACCACTCCCGTACAAGGCACAACATTAAACGTTTATTAGACATTTATCGGGTAATAGCAGATCAAACAGGTAGATAAAGATACCGGTAATAACTCAATAGAGGAACCAATTATTAGGTATTAGCTCACAACTGCTCACTCAGTTTTTTCTCAACCCTGTCTTGGAACGGGCATGACGAGACGGGACCGGTACCTTTATTTCATCGGAGGACGCAAAAAGAGCCATTGTCTCCTCTCGAACGGTGTGGTGGAAACACTAGTAAGAATTATAGCCCCAAGAACAGTAAAGGTTACGTCTTATTTTAGTTTCTGACACGTGACGGTTTGACGTCAATCAAGTGCCCGGTTCGCTTGTCATCATTACACAAGGTGTCGTGCAATGCCCGCTAGTAGTGTTCCCACCAATAGTCAGGGCAACTGCAACGCACACATTTCAACCGCCTAAACTTCAATCCATCCCCCCATCAACCGCAAACCGCAAAGACATCCAACGCCTCCAGAAACAGGACGACATGATTGAACAGCCAACTCTGACCACAAGCCAAGGTGCGGAAGCGCCAATCGCCAGTTTGGGTATCCAAGGTGAAGTCTACCCCGACAACATAAGCCAGGAGGAGGTTGCGGCTCTCAATCTAGCCTTAAGTAACGCTTGTTCCAAACCTTTTATCATGAAGCTTATCCTGCTTGATATCCACGGTAGCAATACACCGCTAAAATGGCCCGGCTCTTGGCATATGTTATTTTCCCTCCACCGCATGCTATACACTCTCGGTGAAAAGAAATTCACAGAGTCTATTAATCTGCTCGGGCACGACGTCGAGCAGTTGGTATATTCTCCGGTGCTAATATTTAGCCGCAGGAGCTAACGATCGTCAGATAAAAGAGAGTGGAATATGCAAACCACCGTGGATGTCCATCTTGTGGTTAATTGAGACTGGTGTAGGTTTTGTAATTCTTAATTTCATTCAACGACTAACATCTTTAAGGGATGGAACCTCCGCATGGTTGTAGTGGACGAGAAAACCGTCGTTCTTGGATTGGAACAGGCGGTACGTACCATCAAATTCTTTCTCATCCCGTGCCATCTATCTATATTGACTCATGGTTGTAGATCTACGTCAAAGGATCTGCCACACTCATGGCATCCGGAAACCTTGTAAAGATAGTCTATCCAATTCCCAGCGCCATCGAGAGGCTTCGTCAAAATCCACCTAAGTTACATCCTCGAGTCGCGAAGCTAAAGACAAAAAGGAATAAGATATCACTGGCGAAAATCAAATGGCACGGTAAGGTAGTCCAAACAACTGAGCCTAACTCGTGGGCAGAGGTTACAGCCCTCGGCACGGCAATGGACCCCGGCTTTCGCCTTGTTCAGGCTGAGCGCAAAGGTTCCCACGCCAAGGAATACCTTACTCTCTCCAGGAAGGTTCTGGGGTTGAAAATCCACCGAATGGAGGAATATGGAAAGCTTCATGGGCTCCCAATGATTGTGTACAAGTGCATCATCAAGTATAGGACTTCGGAGCATCTTATGGAGTGCCTGGATGCCCAAGAGGACACGAGGATGGGGGGAGATCTTGAAGGAGAGGATGGGGGCGCTTGGCCCATTTTTGAAGGGTCACCTACGGACACCTCCAGCTCTTAGTTGCCCGGGACTAAAGGGAGTGTCCTAACGAACCATTGGAAGTTATTGGTACCTTTTGTTTTTTTTATTACTGTAGCATATATCAATAGCTGGTAGCGATCATGTGAGAATGAAGTAACGCATCTTTTCCTTGGACATTTATTTTGCAAGCTGTCAGGCGTTTTTAGAACCTGTTTTAAATTTGACATTTCATTGTAAATCACGTGGATATTAGCTAATCGATCGCCAATTCCGGATCACAATATCTCACTCGATCCTCTGCTCCACTAAGACTACCATCATAGCTTATCACTCGCGACTTGAGGGGGGACGAATGCTGCGATGAAGGTTTCTATACATTCATATGGGATCCTTGAAACTAACAGAGAAGTATATTCGCCTTATACCGGTGTACTGATTATGTTTTGATGAATTCCTTATGATAATCTACAATGTCATAACTTTGCGCAAGGGGTGCAGGCGTGGCCTTTTCAAGATGAAAGAGGCGGTGTACTGGCTCCCCATATTTAGAACTACTTTCCACGGTGTCTGGAGATAAAAGTCTGTTATCATGATATTATTTAGTCATCTACATGTGAAGTGAGTGCGACTGCTCCCTGGGTAGCTGAGTCGGGCGATCGGACATGAATGTTAACCCTGGGGAGGCGGAGATATATGTTTATAGAGCATGCTGGGTGCTAAATACTAGGTCCTGTTGATCCCATAATCCATGCCGCGATGCGGGAAAACTTGCTTATGGAAATGTGTATTTCCAACTCCTAATCACCCTAGGGGTCCAGCCAATTGTTTGAGATTTCTACTATTCAGGAACATGTTCTTGCAGACGCTTCAGAATCAAAAATCCGGCCTGTAGGTATCCTAGAAACTATAGATTGTTGATGTTGTTGTTTATAATGGCATGTGTTGTCTTGTAAGCTAGCCTTTCCCGGATCACCGCACACATTTCTAGCGGTAGATGGGTAACAGTAAGTAGTTCGGCGGTCAGCGGTTCTGCTGCGCATACAAAATCCATCGGCGAAACATTGAATCAGATGAGAGAGAAAAATGTGAGGGGAGCGATCGAGACGAACTTGTAGAACGTAGAGCATAGCCAGATAAAGGATTTTCTCATTTTGGATCACTCATCCTAGAAAAAGAGGATGTGGAAACGTACAAATCCCTAAGCGATATTTTGTGGGCTTCTTTCGTGGTGACCTAAAAGAATACGAATTCTGATGGTCGTTCAGCATCCCGCCCAGCCGATAAATGCGAAGGGTTATCTTTTTTTCCAAATTTCCGAAGCCCTAACCCTGACTCTGCCCGTACATGCAGTTGCGCCGGATGATATAACTTCAATCTCTCCATGACTTACATGCCAGTGAGGGTCTTTGGGAGAGTACGCACTGCCTTTGAGAATAGTATAGGAGCCTTTCCATACACGGTATTAGTCTTAGATCGATGACTGACGTGGTCGGTGGAGAGGGGACGGTATTTTGCACTGAACCTTACGTGGACAAACAGGTTCCATGTCATAGCTCGGAAAGGGACAGAATTGCCTGGATAACACGTTTTATTTACCCCGTGTAAACATTGAGGTGCTATCACAGTCCTTTCGTCTCTCCTTTCACCGGGCGAACTACCTTTACCTCTCCAATCGTCAAACGACTTTCCGCCAGTGATTATATCCTATATGGAGTTTAAGTATATGCTTCCATACCCGATCATCAGATTTCGCAGAGTCTACACACAACCGGAAGACTATAATTTTGAGCAGGTCAGGCGCAGAGCTTCCCAACTTATTGGCGATCCTTGTTCTGGGAATGATCGCAGTACCTGAGAAATACCTATGTAATTACCACGGGCAATCTTGCTTGTAAGATTGGAGGGATCCAATATCGGCAGTAAACCATAGTTCATTTCTTCTCTCCTGGTTAAATATGGGTATCAATCCAGCATTGGCTGACTGGAATCTGTGCACCACCGGCGTAGGTTGCTGGAGCAACGTACGTTATGTCTGGCTCTTCAACATCGATACCAAACACGACGACTTATGCCAAGTTATACATAAGCACGCCCTGCGAGAAGACCTGTATCTTCAGCTCTCAACTACCGCTACCGCCACCGCAAGGCTATATCCCAAACACAAACTCATCATAGCAGGATGTCCGTCCCTATGACAGCACAAGGTATTTGTTCGGGCCCGCCACATGCTCCTATCGTCTAACGTGGATATTTGGTAGAATGCTGGGATGCAAATACCCCGCACAGAATAAACCAAGCTATGGTACATAACACCGTCTCAGTTGATAGATCACCAGCTTTGATCGCCCACCCAGATGGGATAGTAGAGAGTACTGCAGACTTACCTATTACGATATGCCGGTAGTGGGAAATGTTGACGATCAAGTAGATATGCCAAACGACGAACCTATACAACGTAACATTCACGATTCCCCAATGTATATCAGCAGTACTACTCCGCTCGTCAAAACATGCTCTGAAAGAGCCGTTTCGCAGGGCAATGGGTTGCTAAAGCGCAAAGGTCCAAAATCCCACCCTAACGTCTTTTCGAGAAGTTACTAAATCGTAACAGCGCGCTGGAATTCTCTCGTTGATGGCAGGAATATGTCTTCTGAGAGAAACGCTTTGCTCATGGAAAGACAATACGTATTTATCACAGTGGCTTCAATGGGGGAAAGCAGTCTCGTTCATAATCCAAAGTCGGCTAGAAATCAAGATAATGATATCGACACGAGCAGTGAATATGAGGGGAACGAAGTACATTTCCTGGAGATATCAATGGATGATAACGCTATCACGGATGAAACCGAGGAGAGAAAGTTTACCTCAACAGATGTTCCATTGAAGTTGGATTTTTTCTTTTATAATATCGAAGAACCTGAATATCACTTAGCTCCCAAATGTAACGACAAGCTTTTGAACTGCTTCAGGTTCATCGCGCAGCAGAACGGGACAGATATTTTCTGCTATTGCATGTCCCAAGCCAATGGGAGATTTGAGCAGTTGGTACGTTACCTGTGTTTGAGAGACGTTGAAAGATGCTAACATATACCACATCTAGGCACAGGGTCACTTTGGCTGTGGGAAGATATGGATGGATATTAAGCGTTACCTGGAGGAGGAGGTGAGCGCTTTCTTTATCTGTACTTTTCATCACTCACATGTCTATAGCGCTGGTCCATCCGGTATGTTGACTTTCATGGCCAGGAATGTTGGATTGGACTACTATACTCGGTAACCACACACTCCATAACACTTGGTTAGTGCAAAAAGGCGTACTAATATTTCCATATGAACAGAGACGAAGGGAGTCACGGTCATTTGCAAAGTACTCCCCCCGCGATGGCTTCCTACGAGAACATTACATTCTCAGCCATGAATGCCGTTTCATACACACCCCGACGTGGAGAAGGATGAGGGAATACATGGAACCAGAATACGAACGCAACGATACTCAATTCTTCTCGGATAAGGCAACCCAGATTCTCAATGGAGTAACCGTTGAGATTGGAATTTTAAAGTTCAAAATGTTTGATGCCGATGCGGAGGACCCGGCCGGCATATTGGAGAACAAGAGATTTTTGCTTGGAAAATCCATCCAAACGATGAAGAACAAAAGGAGTACCCCGGATGGCTCCCGAAAGAAGATACTACAGGCCATGGAAAGATTCTTGGAAATTGAAAAACGTATGGCCGACCCAAATATCATTACCTAAGGAGATATGGCCATTATTTTTGCTCTTTAGAAGGCTTCATATTGGTTCGAAGATGGGAAGAATATGTCCATTGCATAATTACCCAATATTGAGGGTGATAATTTTGTCTGTTAATAAATGTATACAAGTATGTACATGTACGTATGTGGCATCTATGCGCATAGAGTATGGGGAATCTCCACCTAAAGAATAAGCTTCTGAATCGTGCCTTTTCGAAAAATGCATTCAATGCCGTGATTGCTACGATAAAAGGAAAGCACTTTGCCATCACCTGCTACGTACAAAGAATAATAACAATGGGCAACCAACATCGCACGCATATTTTCTAGTACGGAATAAACTATTTAATAAGAAGGGTCGGCATGAGGATCGTCGCCCTGGATGTTGACTGAAAAGCTCTCCTAACAAACTTTCATACTAACAGAGCTTTAATAGCTCGATGAGAAATGAAGTATCTTCCGAGAAATGTATCACACCCGGGGGAGGGAGGTCGAGATCGGGAATGCGTCAAGGGAACTGCACGGCGGGTCTACGTCGTCATCATGGATATCGGGTAGAGCTTTTGCTCTAGTTGGTTGTGTAAAGATCGGAATAAGCTTGATCTGTCTCATTATTCATAATGAACCGTGCCCGCATAGTGTCTTCCTATCTGTCAGCTTCTTGAAAGGGTGCAAATCTTTCCTAGAATCATGTGAGCCTAACGACTGGCAATACCCCAGAGATGGGGGCAATTTTAATGACCTCCGCGAATCGCATATCTGTCAATCATCCGGAGGGCCATCATGTCCGCTGTGAAGAAGGATCAATGGTGACCAAAAGTGGGATCCCGAAATTATATGCAGCTCAAAATCCAACAAGGGCTTCAATCGATGCTTACACTCCTCCCATATCGTTGCACCTTTTCTTAGTTTTCCCAGTCCTTTAAAGGTTGTAAGACCTAAGGGGAAGTCATCAAGAACATCTTGTTTCACGTGGGTGCTAAATTCCGGAGGTTTTGTGTATCTCCATAGGACGTGTCTAAGGTTGGACGGTCAGTAAAAGGCTTTCCAAGTTGAAGAGAAAATCTAAACAGGCTCACCTAGCTGCTAGGTAATATCCCATTTCGGGGAATGTGTGTTTCTCACCAGCATGACATGCATTGCGATATTCCTATGCTGCTATACGAGACCTCGTCGAGTTCAATGGTATCTCCTTTGTCTCAGAGGTGATGAGGGTTTCACGCGCCTCCGCTCCTATGCATTATCTATTTAGAACAGGCAACGATATGTCATTATCGCGTAGAAAGTAAAAGTAGCTTGGCCGATGAATTGGAACCTGGGGTGCGGATTGTGTGAGTTACGGCGATATTTGAGTGAGAAATGTTCGCTTGGAAAACTATTGTTTTAATTGTGCACCTCTTCCCGTAAAAAGAAAAAGGATGAAATCCGGACTAAGATTCAAACTCATACCTCTCTCACCTTTAACGTTTTTAGTATTATTAGTGAGAGTGCGCGCCATTACACCACTAGGACTTGTATTACTTTGTATTGGAGTGGGATATAACCAAACTGTGAACACATGCTTAATCATTAATTAAAACATGTCCGACTACAGTCGGCTGTCGTTAGAGTGATGCTCGATATAGTTATAAGGATGACACTTGTCGGTCCCGAATTTTTACTATGAAATATTAGTAATATCTTGATAGAACGATATACTTAGGTATTGAGGGGAGTTTGTATGGGAATGCTCGTATAAAGAGAACAAAAACGTAAGGAAAAAATGGAACTGAGTAAGAAAAAGCAAAAAGAAAGAGTGGTCAAGCTATGAAATTAAATTGAATCTCATTCTTCGGTGCAGGAAAAACCTAGCCCTTAACCCCTTATAGTGATAATGTCGTTATAAGGATTCCAATTTCCGTCCCGACTTCATAACTACATGTATAACGAGAGTCGTCTGTAAGTACGTTAACTGTCCGATTGGCATGAGGTATGAGCAGGCAACCCAATGGCTGGACACGTCCCATTGACCGGCAACGGCCCGATACTTAGATAGGGTTTATAAATGGGACAGAACATAGTTAACAGCTACCACCGACAAAGAGATATATACGCAATGCTTCTTGGAGCGGGACGTTATGTGGCCTCATATGAGTATAGGTATCCTCGGCTGATAAGAGATCAAGGAATGATATAGGAGGGTTTTCCAGAGCTGCCACGTAAATAGAAACATCGTATATATGGAATTACGAAGGTCCTGTTTACCTCGAAACTTTCACCGCAGCTAGTGATGACTAAAGAGAATTTCCAAACTCTGCCACTACTGGAATTACAGACGAGTCGGAGGTGGGGCAGTCGTTACGAATTTCGAAGTTCTTACCCTACTGCTGTTACTCTCGATAATCTGAAACACACATTTCAAGCCAAAATACAACCTTTATCCACGGACTACGAAATGTTTTCGCTTTCCCTACTATAAACGCCCTTGAACTACCCCCTCTCTCTCATAGGGGTTTTCTTTCGTACAAAATAAATTCATCAATTGGGATAGTATTGAAAACCCGATTCTCCAGGTAAGACTGACAGCAGTAACCGGAAAGGTCTTTTGGATAATTTTCGATCTGACTTTCAATTTACCTATAGGTCATGGAACAGGTGCAGATTAAAATACAAGTAAAATGCCATCTCAAGCTCCTGAATCCGCCCCGCAACCCCGACCATTTGATAGCATTATCGATAGGGAATCACACACTATCGCTCAATAGAAGAAGGTAAACACGGAAGCAATTGCTGTGATTATCGAGCTAGGCCAGACTTTTGGCTAAAGCAAAAAATGCGTTTTACCACATAGATGCACCATTTCCAAATATACAATCCCCATACCTGATGTGTATGACAGGTAAAGGCCACGGAACACAACTATGCTCCCATTGACACCACGATGATGTAACTTTGGGAAAGAGGGCGAAAAACGCTAGCCATAGCGGAACGAAGATTCCAGGCCTGGTTGAGAAGCCTCCTGGATAGAAACAATCCTCCGTCCGCTCGGTGGAGGAGTGGGGGGGTACATGGATAGTGGTTGGATAGGGGAACCATCATGGACTGATGCGAAAGCTGATTTAGCAACAGGCCCAGGACTCAACGTAGTGCTATTGGGTGGCGTAGGAGAGCGAAGATAATAAAGAGATGGAACCTTTATCTTCGTGAGAGCTACATGAAGTTCCATTGCCAGGGTTTCGATGTTCGGTTGTGAGCCTGCTCCGGTAGGGGTGTTGGGTGGTGGGGGCGGGCAAGGGTAAACAGGATTTCGTGGGATTTTTCTAGTGAATATACGAGGATTCATATCTTTTTCTATTTTCAACTCCGTGCGCATGTCGCAAAATGGCCTTGAAGGATCTCTAGCCACATCAGAGTGCTTCCGCTTGACGATGCGGAAACAGATGGCCTCAATACCCGGATGATTGGGTTCAGTAGGATCCGGAGAAAGATGGCGTTGCATGTTCTCTCCAGGCTTGATATCCTTGGAAGACAAGAAACTGACTGATTTGGTAGGGGTGTATGATCCAGCTGTACGGATTATGCCCTTGACCACAGGGGAAGTATTATTACTTGCTCCCTGCCCTCTGGAGATAGGTGACGCAATAGTACCCTTTAGATCTACAGCAGGTTTATACATAGAAATCTTGATGATTTCAATTGGGGAAGGTACCACCAACCCTCTACGGTTATAGTTCACCGCCTGAGGTGATCGTGTCTGACGGTGCTGAGAGAAGCCGGGAGGGATAGGCTGTAGAGACGAATAGCGGATTTCAAGCCTTTTACTATCTTCTAGAACAGAAGAGCCGGACTCAAGCGCGCTCGGAGAGAGTGTTGCGAGAACTTTAAGTTCAGCATCTACATATTGTTGAATTTCGGCAATTTTGTTAACTAGATACAGGTTACTTAGGGGTGTAATTTCAACAAACCTTTTGGATCACCAGCAACCCGTCTACTCAGTATCTTTTGAATAGGATTTCTGTACTGTCCCTCCGATGGGTGGCGCTGAAATATATTTATATAAGCTAAGGGATCATAGTGATCGAAGGCGGGCAAACTAACCATATGCATAGCAAAGACAGGGAGAATAACACAGCCGCAACGGAGATTGGTCTGTTTAAGGTGAAACATCTATGGTATGGAGTTAGTAGATTCCCAGATATTTGAAGCTCTACAGGTAACTACATTTTTGTGGAGGATATCAGAGATAGTTGAGTATTCATCCAACAATCCATTGAAATCTAAGAACTAGAGTACTGTTAGAAGGTTGTGAATAAAGATCTTGCCGGACTGGTGCTTACTTGATATTGGAAAGAGATCACCTCTAGCTCTAGCACCTCTTTCAAGCTTGTTATCCCCAAAAACACACTCATTCGTGTCAGGATCCGTTCGATATCAACGATGAAACACATATCCTTGTTTGTATAAAGGACGTCATCGACAAGGATCCCGGCCTTCACCTCATAACTGTCCCCTATAGTTGGACGGAGATATTGGTGGATTCGCTGAGTTACATCGCGGGGTGGGATGATATGAGCAATAATACCATTCACGCGCTCCTTCTTCCTCATAGATAAAGGAGGATTAAAGATAGTCTGCTCTTTAAGAACTACTTGCTCAAGAGTTGGTGATGGAGTGGTACAATCCAATGTCATAGTTAGTGTTCAGTGATCGGAAAAATGTGGTTTGGAACGATGAAAACAGGTTATTGAGACTACTTCCGATGGATTTGGGGATTAAAAGCAGAAATGAAGCCAGAATGTTGTATACGTGTACTTATCACTCGCTGGTGTGGGGCGGTGGAGTACACCGTACTCTGGTCGGAAAGGAAGGGGGCTTGTTGTGCTCCTTTGATCTGAGGAACCGAGAAGTTATGAGAACGAACGCACATTGCTCAACATTGTCATTCCCCTTTCAGCTAGCTAGTCAGTCTTTTTAGATGTACTCTAGCAGTTATTGAGCTGTTTGGAACTCAAATGTTCGACATACATGGTGAATACAGAACGCTATCATGACATATCAGTTACAAAGGTTTTAATGCTAGAGAATTAACAGAAAATCATCATTTAATTGTTGTATAAGATAGATTTAAATTAAATATAAGATTAGGATAAACCCTTGACTTTTAGCTATTCGTAAATATGATTTGCTTATTGACATCTTCGTTATGTGAATTCCTGAAAAGGGGTACTGGATAAGAAACCTTTTATCCATGTGCAAAAAAACTCTCTGAAGTCAAGAAAAGCATCTGGAACGGTCAGAACCTATATAATTAGTATCATATATTCTAATGGGCGCATGTATGTATGTACATTACAGAGAAGAAGGTTTTACTCCTAATGCGGTCCATGCGTCTCCTTACTCGTACAAAGAGGTGTGATACCTCCAGATCCTCGAGCTAGGTCAAGGCAGATGATTACCGTATTTAGATCTTTAAAGATCATGTTTTACGTTAACACTGGTACGCACACGTAGTGAATACATCGAATGGCCCTATCGGAAGCATCTACCCTACTGAATCAATGCATTCACATATACGACTAACATATCAATTACCTAAACCTCTAGCAGCTGGAGGTGAGTGTTACAGGAAACACGAACACTGCTCCTAAGTTAAGGAATAAGGATAATACGAGTGATGGGTTGTGATGCGAGTACGGTCGGGTAACGAGGGAACAAGCATAGAAAGGTACCGAGGTGTGTGGGGGCACCGGGTGCAACCACACTAGTATTAGGCTGTTGTGAGGGCACGCTTACTATTGGGTGTCTCACCCTGACGGAATAGAAGCGGGGTTTATGGCTGCAGGCCATTCTACTTAGGGAAGTAGCTCTAGGACGATAGCATGATACAGCTCGGTTACTGGCAATTGCGGGGTTCATGGTTACGTGTCGGAATTAGAATGGAGGAACGGAATTATGCGGGGGCGCTTTTCTATTGGGGTTATCTTCGGGTTGATTGTCTTATCCTATTATCGTTATCTTATTAGTATTAGAAAAGCGGGCCTTGGCATAGGTTCCAATATGTATAAATAGGGAGGGTTCTGCCTCGTCTTAGTGGCATCATCAGTCACTCAGCGAGCGGAATCCGGTTTACAATATTACAAGTTTAAAAGCTACAGAACTATCGCTTAGCACTGGCATTTCCCCAAACACTATATTGTGCCTTATCCACTACGCTATTATTTTATCGATCGCATATTATCAACGTCCCGATAAGACAACTACTTGCTTAGACCAATACTTGAGAGTATTTTGTTTGTGGCGGATAGTCACCGTGCGCTCAAGTAAAAGAATAAGAAAGTAGTCTACTAGAAGGACTCTTTGATACCGTATGCATCCCCGAGTAGCAACAGCAGCTATTAACAACTTCACTTGCACTACCTCCTTCATCGTTCGCAGAGGCAGTGCCGAACATCTCTATTGCGGATACCTCGAGTACGCCGGGTTTTTTACCGAAGCAGGTACTACTTGCACGTTCGAAGAACACGACCCGGAGATCCTCAACTATCCCGAACTCTTCCCCATTAAAGTCACCCTCCGTCAGCAATCCTACGGATTAGCTCACTCCGTCCCTTGGTTCGTCGCTCAACCCTGGTGCAGAAGGCAGCCACAGCTCAGGATCGAGCAACTTAGCGATGTCAAGGGGTCATCAGCAACAAATGGAGGAAGACTACAACATGGAGAGCTCGATCACCGTGAGAGATCGAGGTATAGTCGAGACCCAGGCGAGACAGCGCCACAGGAGGGATCTGGACATGCCGATCAGCGACCTCTTCAGATCGACTCAGCCGGCCGCATCCTATGGCCAACCCCGCTCCCGCAGGCAAGGGGACTTCCGAGATTATTCCCCGTACAAAACGCCAATCAGGGAACGATCTTCTATTCCGAGGCCCTCGGTCCCCAGGGAAACGGACGAAGACGAGGATACGGATATGGACGTAGAGGAACGCCGGATCGAGCACCCCTTTGGAGAAATCATCGGGCAAGAAATCGAACGGAGAGGAGCCCCAGTGGTTCAGCAACTGAGTCGCGGACTTGGAGACCTCACTGTGAGCATCCAAGACCTGCCCGCAATCAGGGAAATTACTCGGCAGCACGCGGCGCAGCTTACCCGGCAGCACGAAGAGCAGACCAAACTCATCCGCGAATTGCAGATGAAGTTCAACCAGGACCAAGAAGAACGGGAGCGCCGAGAAGGGTATATCCTCGCGCAAGTGCGGGCAGAGACAGCCGCAACCACTACGAACCTCGGCCAAGTCTTGGAGCAGATCGTCACCACTACTAGGGCCCATCAACAGCGGCAGGAAGAGCAGGCCCAGCACATAACCATGCTGGCTGACTGGATTCAAAGACTGCCGAAAGATGGTCCAGCCCAAGTCCCAGAAGGCGTAGCAGCCACACTAGCACAATTGGAAAGGACCATGCAGCAGCAGGTCTCCTTGGTAGATGGGTTCTCTGGAACAAAGACGGCCTTAGAAGAAATGGTGGAGCAGATGAAGGAAACAGCCCGTAAAGCGGCTGCGGAAAAACCCCTGGCCCCGGAAACAGGTGGCGGCGGATCAGGCCCACCTCCCCAACCACCTCCCCAACAACCAGTCGTCCCTCCAGCCGGCTCCGAATCCAGTGAAGGCCTCGAAGACCAAAGCCAACAAGGGAAGCAAGGAGGTCAAGGAGCACAAGGTGGAGGAAATGGGAATGGCAATAAGGGAGGTAACGCTCCGGAAGTACCCGGATCATCGCCATCGGATTCCTCAGATTCGGAAGGCGAGCGCCGCAGGCGGCTGGAACGCAAGAAACGAAGACAGGAAAGGAAGCGCCAACGAGAGCAAGAACTCTCGCACCCCTCTCGTGCCACCGTAGGTGATGCACCCAAAAAGGCCAACATTCCCTTCTCCGGAAGAGCCGATCAAGACGTAAGGCTCTGGATCGATCAGATGGAAATCCTAATCAGTCTCCAGAAGAAAGTCCAATGGGATGATGGCACTAAGATTATGTGGGCATCCCTCGAGTTTACCGGTAGTGCGGCAAACTTCTGGCGGAATTTTACGGAGAGATTGGCTGTGGACAGAAGTATCGGAACCTGGGAACGGTTCAAGCAAGAGCTCCGCACTCAATATGGCAACCGTACAAGTCAGGAACAGGCCAAGCAGAAGATGGACAGACTCCGGCAAACTGGCCCAATCGACGACTACATCAACGAGATGCAGAACCTGGAATGGGATGCACGAGTTGGACCAGTTGTCATGAGATCCATGATCCTAACAGGAATAAACTCCTCGCTGGAACAGAGGCTCTCTAACGCGATTGAGGAGCCTGAAGATTTCGTGGACTGGTTAGCCTGGGTACGAAAAGTTGGACGTAAGGACCACGAGGTGAAGGCTCGGAAGGAAATCCTGCGAGGTAAAGACACTGTGAAACCTCGCGAGGAGAAAACGGAACGGCGGAAATCACGCAACAACGCAAATCCTCGGAAAACTTTTCCCACATCAGCCAACAACTCCAAGACCTCGGATGACTTAGGTGTCACCAAAGAAGAAAAGGAGAAATGGCAGAAGGAAGGAAAGTGTTTCCGTTGTGGTAGAGATAACCACTTCGTAAAGGATTGCGTGGCGACGAGTAAGGTCAGGTTAACGAACCTGAAGAGAAAAGAATATCCTTCCGGGAGAAAGGACCACGGAAGGGAGGGTGATAAGAAACGGAAATTGGGGCCACAAAATGAGGCATTTAGGGCAAGGATCACGAATTTGGAGGACTAAATTGATTGGGTATTTCTATTTTTGCGGTGTTTCATTCTATGTTGTGTTACGGCTTTTCTATTCTGTTTTGGAAGAAAGACTCTTCTAAGGGATCGGGTTATGTTATGTTCTATCGGTTTTGTTATTTCGCGCAATTTAAATTCTCTCTACATACATTTCGAAGAGGCGTGGTCACATTCCGAAAACGCCTGGCGTGAAAGTGTTGTACTATGATCTTTATCAACGCTCGAACTTTCTATATAAACTTCCTCGCCCCGCGCTCAGATCAAGAACAATCAACATCAACCCACTCACACCAGAACAATCTACCTTACACTTTCAAAACATACGAACATGTCTTCACATCACCAAGAAACCCGCCTCGAGATTGAGATCTCTTGGAACCACCCCGCAACTAGTACCCAACATGCAGAAATAGTCAACGCACTCCTCGACAGTGGAACAGAGGACTGGGTTATGTCCTGGAACTGTGTCCATCGCCTAAAGATCCCAACTCAACCTCGACCCAAGCCCCTCATCATCAGACAGGCTGACGGTACCCCTATGCCTAACTCCGGCACTCACATCACCCAATCTCTTACCCTCCGCATTGGCAACCATCTAGACAGAGATATCGTCTGCGAGGTTGGCTCATTCGCAGGAGAAGACCTCGTCATACCACATCGATGGCTCAAGGAGCATCAACCTACCATACATTGGGGACAGAACAAGGTCACCTTCGATAACATCAATTGTCAAGTAAAGGGATGCTTCAGAACCGTGTATGATATATACGAAGAAGACCCAGAGCAGCTGGTCATCAGGCTGTTGAGGACGTCACCCGAGACACAGATGATGATCGAGCAACACCCCTTCTGGGCAAGGGCATTGGTAGGTGAGGCTCTCGCTAGTGCTATACCAATGGAGTACCAGGACTTCGTCGACGTCTTCTCCAAGGAGGGAGCCGATCGACTACCTGATCACTCTGAATGGGATCATACCATTCCCCTTATGGAAGGAAAGCAGCCTCCATGGGGACCGATCTATGCGCTCTCCCCAGTGGAACAAAAGGCACTCCGGGAGTACTTGGACGAAATGCTAGTCTCTGGCAAAATAGCCCCCTCCACCAGCCCGGCAGCAGCACCGATCCTGTTCGTGAAGAAAGCCAATGGAAAATTGAGGTTATGCGTAGACTTTCGTGGCTTAAATGCTATTACGGTCAAGAATCGCTATCCCCTTCCACTCATGACGGAGCTGGCCGATTCGACGAAAGGAGCAGAGTTCTTCACTAAGATAGACCTGAAAAATGGCTATAACCTGATTAGGATTGCCGCGGGCGAGGAATGGAAAACAGCTTTCAGAACGAAGTACGGCCACTTCGAATATAGGGTAATGCCTTTTGGCTTAACCAATGCACCGGCGTCGTTCCAGGTCATGGTCAATACCATATTCAAGGATCTTCTAGATCAAGGCGTAGTAGTCTACTTGGATGATATTCTAATATATTCAAAGACTAAGGAAGAGCATACGACTCTGGTGAGGAAGATATTGGAGCGACTGCAACAAAACCATCTATACGGGAACCTTGAGAAAACGGAATGGTACAAACAGGAGGTAGAATTCCTGGGATTCGTACTATCAGGGAAAGGGAACCAGGTCTCGCCTAAGAAGGTGAAGGCAATCACAGAATGGTTACCACCCACCAAGGTCAAGGAACTTCAATGTTTCCTTGGATTTGCCAACTTCCTACGACGGTTCATCCACAGGTACTCCGAAGTTTGCCGACCAATGACCGATCTCTTGAAGAAAGGTTCCGTATGGCGATGGAGCAGTGAACAGCAAAGCGCTTTCGACGAACTCAAGGAGAAATTTACGTCTGCTCCAATACTACGACACTATGACGAACATCGCGAAGCGATCATAGAAACTGACGCGAGTGACTGGGCAGAGGCTGCAGTACTCTCTCAGGTGTTCGAGGACGGTATTCTACACCCGGTAGCTTACCACTCTCGCAAGTTCAACGACGCAGAGGTAAACTATGAGATCTATGACAAGGAGATGCTCGCTATAGTTTCTGCTCTCTTGACTTGGAGACATTGGCTGGAAGGAACGGACATTCCTATCCAGATACATTCGGATCATCAGAACCTACAGTACTTCACAACGACCAAGAAGTTGTCGAGAAGACAAGCCAGATGGGCCGAAAAGATAGCACCTTTTCGCTTCAGGATTCATTACCGACCAGGCGAAAAGAATGGCAAGCCAGATGCACTGACAAGGCGCCCAGAGTTCGCTATGGAAGGGGGAGTAATGCGTGAACAACCTGTAAAACAGTTGCTCAGCGCAGAACAATTTGTCAGAAAATCACGGACCAGCGTAGAAACTGGCCCTGAAATCATTGGCAACCCCGAAGAAGAATGGACTCCGTTGGATCGGTGGTACGACATACCAGGTACTGAGCTGCCTCAGCCACTACAAGACTGGTATGAACAGGACAGACAATGGGTTCGGAGAGCGTTCCGGGATGAACCTCTCCCTGACGCAAACCTTGAAGTCTTCGGGACAGAGGAAGCTGATGCCGTAATAACGGAGCTTGCCACTGAATGGACCCCGGGATCGAATGAGGCCACCCACGATGGTCGTTGGGTAGTGCCAGGATACGCGGTGAGACAAGTCATCGAGGATCATCATGACAGACCCGTAGCGGGGCATCTAGGAAGGGATAAAACCCTCGAGTTGATCGATAGGAACTACTGGTGGCCAGGAATGTCCACGGATGTAGCCAACTTCGTCAAGACTTGCGATGTATGCCAGAGAGCCAAGCAACGTCGGAGACACTTGTCACTCCCTCAACCCCTAGAGTTAGCCACCACACCTTGGACTGATATCTCAATGGATTTCGTAGTAGAAATGCCAAAGGAGAAATCAGGATTCCGTAACGTATTGGTGATCGTGGACCGTTTTACGAAAATGGCTCACTTCATTCCAATGACGGGAATCAACGCGGAACAGACCGCTAACGCCTTTGTCAAGGACATTTGGCGCTTTCACGGACTTCCTAGGAGCATTGTCTCTGACAGAGGAACACAGTTCGTATCGGCATTCTGGGCTGCGATTACAGAACGACTAGGGATTCGCAGAAGACTCTCGACCTCGTTCCACCCACAGACGGATGGACAAACAGAAAAGACCAACCAGCACCTCGAATCTTACATCCGGGCCTATACCGCCGGAACAGGAAAGAAATGGAAGGACCTATTACCGATTTGCGAGTATGCATATAATAATGCGAAACACTCGTCGACAGGACAATCGCCGTTCTACTGCAACTATGGTTTCCACCCACGAACAGATTGGCCAACGGATGCGAAAATCGGACAGCTGGATGCCAAGGGAAACACCTACCTGTAAGACCTTCTCCTAGCCCATGAGTCAGCGAGAGACACACTGCAGAAGACTTTTGACAGGATGGCGTCAAGACCAGGGCCAGCAGTTCAGCGGTTCACAATCGGCCAAAAGGTCTTGCTGGATACTCGGAACCTCGGCGGTTACAATAAATGGTCGGATAAGTTTACAGGCCCCTTCGAGATCGTCGCGGCTGTAGGAAACAGGGCTTATAGGTTGAATCTTCCGGTAGAATGGAAGGTTCATGACGTATTCCACGAGATGTTGTTGCGACCTTATCGAGAAGATCCCAATTCTGGTAGGCAACAGAACACACGAAAACGACTCGCAACACCCGATCCTCAAGAAGCGCTCTTAGATGAGAACTTCAAACCAACCACGAATACTCGGCCCTACACACGGAGTCAAGGGCCAGTCATCGACTCGAGTCGGCCTCCGAAACGACAACGGACTAGGGAAGACTAGCTCGATACCTTTCCTACTCTATGACTTTTCCCACAGGGTTTTTATCATAGAGAGGTTTTAACGGTCGAGGGCGACGTCTAGGAAGGGGGAGTAGTGTTACAGGAAACACGAACACTGCTCCTAAGTTAAGGAATAAGGATAATACGAGTGATGGGTTGTGATGCGAGTACGGTCGGGTAACGAGGGAACAAGCATAGAAAGGTACCGAGGGGTGTGGGGGCACCGGGTGCAACCACACTAGTATTAGGCTGTTGTGAGGGCACGCTTACTATTGGGTGTCTCACCCTGACGGAATAGAAGCGGGGTTTATGGCTGCAGGCCATTCTACTTAGGGAAGTAGCTCTAGGACAATAGCATGATACAGCTCGGTTACTGGCAATTGCGGGGTTCATGGTTACGTGTCGGAATTAGAATGGAGGAACGGAATTATGCGGGGGCGCTTTTCTATTGGGGTTATCTTCGGGTTGATTGTCTTATCCTATTATCGTTATCTTATTAGTATTAGAAAAGCGGGCCTTGGCATAGGTTCCAATATGTATAAATAGGGAGGGTTCTGCCTCGTCTTAGTGGCATCATCAGTCACTCAGCGAGCGGAATCCGGTTTACAATATTACAAGTTTAAAAGCTACAGAACTATCGCTTAGCACTGGCATTTCCCCAAACAGTGAGCAAGAGGATTTGCCTCGAGCATGCTCGCCGCATCAACCCCCACGCCTTGAGCATTCTCGAGGCGTCGAGCGTCAATACCTGGTGGACCACACTACTGACGCCTACTACTCAAAAACCTTCGTTCTTGAAGTGTCAGCAACAGTTGGCATTAGACAATCGCTGCCGAAAAGAGATATATATGCTCAATATACGAGTGATGGACTATGATAATTTACCACGGAAGCGGATGATTTTGTGATAGTACTTTGAGGTTCTGTACAGCAATCTGATCTCTAATGCTAAAAAGGATTGGAGAATAAATTTTGTATCCGCTGTAGCCTCTCGGCGCGGGTCACTACCCTCGTGCATCAGTCACTACCCTCGCATTATCTCCCACTTACTGAACATTTAATGTCAAACTTGACGACAGAGTGTTGCCCTCACTCCGCAACCAACACGCGTGAGACCAATCTCTTTATCCGACCATCGCAGGTTGCCCACACCTCGACCATACATCATCCACACAAGGGATCTCAGATCACAGCTCGATCAGTTTATCCACCTATCCAATGCCGCACCCCAATTTGAAATCGCAATACCCAGTGTCGCCGACATTGGGGGGAGGGGCAGCTTCGCTTCTCGAATTTATCAATATGCCATCATCTCCAGAGTCCGAGGGAACTAAAGACGACAACAGTGTTACCACTGGATTTATCTCGCCGGATGACCTCCCAGGCCAGAAAAATGTTCGCGGACCTACACGGTCTCCTTCCACCTCCATCCCCCAGCTTGAATCTGGCCACAACAAGCCGCAAGTCATCAACGCCCCACAACGCGCTGTTGTTGAACAGAGAGCGAGTCTCTTCGGGCCCACTGCTGTGAAAGGGTGTAGAAGTGTCGAATCTTTGAGAAAACGCGTCGCTCGTATGCCGTCGCTGGATTCTCTACCGGAGAATGGGACCGAGAGAGCGTGCCCAGAAATTGAGATTGAGGGCATGAATCAGGGTATTCCTGATGAAGAACACAGCGCAATGCTTCTCGTGATCCCAGAAATCTCGAGAATTGTTGAACCGCTGAGCATGCCGGAATTGGAGCATATGTCCATCATGCTCCACCAAAGATACGGTCGTGTGGTGAGTACCAGTGGATCTAGCATCAGTTTCTGTTGCTAATCAAGGGAATAGGAGACTCCCACTGATGAAATATCAAATGCGGAAAGACTTAAGACCGTCGTCAGGAAAAAGGTGCGGGACGCGCCATCTCCTTAAACTAAATGAAGCTAACGTTCCTTCAGGGATTCGAAGTTACAGGGTTTAAACTCGACGAAAAGGAAAATAAGATTTCGCTCTCTCTTTTGAAGAAGGTTTGTTGTCTTGCTGCCGTCGTGTTTCCTCATTCCTTGCAGTTGCATGTACTGATCATTTATTTTTCATCAGGAGTTTTCCGTAATCACCAACACGACCCCATCGTCCCCTCATCAGGAGCTTGTTACGAGCAGCAAGCAGCCTCAAGCACCAGTCGCGCCTTCCACTCGGCTTCTCCAAGCAAGGTCAGCCCCTCAGCAGAGGTCATTTGGCCCTCGTCTCCGTAACGCCATTACAATGTCAAACCTTCGTGCCAAAGCTCGTGAGAATGAGGTTTCTACCCCTCTCTACCCATCTCAACGCCGTCCTCTTCGTCCTTCCGCAAGCAACGGAGCTCTTTTGTCTTCACGTCCTACTATACGTGCGGTGCAGCCGTCACCGGTTATCTCCGAATCTCCTGGCCGCTTCTCCCCACACAAAAATATCGGTGTCCTGACTCGTGGTACCAACTTCAACAGGCGTGGAGAGCCTTTCCCGGAGATGCAAATTAGGAATCAGCTCACCGAGAATAATCTACGCATTCAGGAGAGACTCGGACCTTTGAGCCTGCGTGAAGGAAGCGAGGCGGAAATCAATCTTCAACGCGCCCAGGCATTGGATAGAACCTTGAAATTTGGAGAAGAACTACTGCAGAAAATCGATAAGGATAACGCTCAGGATCGGGCACAGTTGATGGAACAGGCTGGTACACTTGAAACCACAAATAGCAGCACTACCGACAATAGTCACGTTGCTTATCCAGAAATTGTCGGCCTTGCGAATCGTGATATTCTTCAGTATGCAGAGGAAGAGACCTTTTCTGGCCTTTCTTGCACTGGATCCAGGGTTTCGAGATCTCATGTTTCGAATACCGCTAGTGGTAGGCTCTCCCGTGCTGGACGTATCAGCCGTGATGAAAGCGTCTCACGCACAGGAGCAGTCCCGCGTCTCGAAGTCCCCACAATGGAAAATCAACCTACGGAGGAAGATACTCTGGTTGCTCGGCACCCATTACGCCTTGTTTCAAGCATGGCCGATATGCGCTCAAGGAACAAAGAGACTGTAGCAAAACCATTCAGTCGCGCCGCCGTTGAGCCCGGTCTTACTCCTTACCGCAGCTTCTCTGCTTTGCCGGCGGCGACCAATCTTGTTACCAAGGAAACCCGCGCTCGTACTCCATTTGATCCAACTCGTAAGAATGCGGCATTGTCCAGGCCAACCACATCGCAGAGTAACAAACAGAAGGATCAGCCCGCTGGTGCTAAAAAGACTCCAGGAGGATTTGGGAGGGAGTTGAAGTGGGCTTAGCTAATAATCTTTTTATCGGTCATTTGCTACATGGCGGAATTTCATAATATCAATCAAAGGCTTTGTTCATGTGCTCATTGTATTTACTGTTGGGAGGAATAGTGAGGCGCAGCTAGTGGGGGTTTAACATGCACTATATTAGTCCAAAATGTCTTTCCTAATGAGGATGTCTATTATTCTCTATATGCTCAGTGTATCAATTAAACAAAGAATTAGCAGTTGCCCCATCTGAGATATGTGTTTGACTCTCGTTCGAGATTCGTGTACTTTCTCCCATATATTTAGATTCTCACAGCCCATTTTTATAGAGAAGTTGGTGATCTACTTCTTTCGTACTAAGATCTACAATGCAGATAAAATGATCAAGCGTAGGTGAAACAATATCTATCGGAGCCTGAATGAACATGATCACCCACAGCCCTGAAAGAATTCTTTCATTACGCCTTCAACTTATATTATCAAAGAAACTCAAATCTGCGTTTTCATTTCAATATCTCTATATTTTTTTTCTTGCCGTTGGGTCGGCAACGTTCCTCACACGTGCCTTACCGATTCCCAAGTTCAGCGCAGTCACACACAGAAGGATTTACGCAAGAGCCAAATAGGCCGCTATAGGTGGGGTCCTACAAATGCGGTTGGAAGAGAGTTAAAGAAAACTATATACGTCTAGGGTTCCATATGAGGCTAGAGGCGCCTCAGCCTGGAGATTATATCTTGTCACTCTGCTAGCTGTCCTTCAGATCTTTGTTCTTACACGTCCGTACCATTGTAGATGACTCAGTCAATCACACACTAGTGTGCTCTTCTGATATCTTCAATGTTGAAAGTGATGTTATTCATTGGTATGTTATTTAAATGATGATATGCAAGTATGAAAGCTTACACGTCCGTACCATGTTTAAAATCGCACTGTCTACTGTGATTCGGAATTGTTCCACATCTTTGGATACACTGAGAAATCATGTTGGATCGGGTGTCCGGTAAGTGTTCTGTCGCAAACACGGATCTCATAAAGCTGACACTTGAAAGGATAGAAGACGATTGAAAATAAATTCAGAAACAATAAAAAAATATCTCTCTTCTGAGTACATACGGGAGGTAAAAAAGAAAATTCACCTTGGCACTTTCCTCTATTTCACTGGTTATTTGACAAGCACAGCGGTATTTCATTTCACTCGGGGAGGTACATTGTCTCCAGATTATGCGTGTAACTTTCCTTTTTTTTGCTAATGAGGTAGCCTTAGGATGAAGCATGTTAGGTCATGACAGCTTAAGCAATCGGGGCGGACATGCAACCCAAGGCACTGCGAAGAGTCTCCCCAGCATATTCCTACCCTGGACGGTATAGAAATAAGGATGCAGTTGAAGCGGGAGTGTAGAGCGTATATCAGGCGCAGGAATATTTGGAGTTCTCCGGAGAAATAAGCTGGCTTTGGCGTTGTGATATATGCCGGTGGAATCACCTTCGGAGGTTAAGTGGCACTGCTTTGAAACAGTCAAGGCACTGGACACCCAATCTTTGGCATCTTGGCTATAAGATATCCAACAATCACTCTCGCCCAACCTACCTCTCCCCAGAAACAATCACAAATAAAAAAACGTCCGCAAAGCGCCATGTCTTCCCTAATGGTCCCCTCTATGCATGCCCCTCAAGCAATCGCAAACACACCCATCGATCGCTCCAACGCTGCAGAAACAGATAGAATGCTCTACCTCTTGAGGCGGAACACGCTCTACACCAACCCCTACTTTTCCAGGTCCGCCCCCACTCCTCTCTCCACCGTGTCAAAAAGCTAATATGCAAACCACAGAGTCATTTCCTGGTCCCTCAACCCTAAAATCGAGCCCCAACCACCAGTCGACTACATACTGGCCCTCATTAATCAAGCCCGTGAACGCATCGAAGCACTTTCAATCGACCGCGAGCTCACCATCTGTGCCCTGAAGACCGTGCCGAACATCACCTGCGAGCGCATTTGGGAGGGTATCAATCATGGTCTCAATATGCTACCTAACAATGACCCGGAGATTGATGATATGACGGCAACAGTGGTCAAGGTGACGGACGAGATTAGGGGGTTGAAGGATTTGATATGGGGTGTGCAGAAGGCGGTATGGGAGGATCCAATCATGGTTCAGAAGTATCCGGTGCGCCCGGGAGTCTCCGTTATTACGTACGAGTTGCAGAGAACGATCCTGAGGCGTGCGGCAGATGAGGCGGCGGCGTTTGCAGCGACTGTTAGTAGCTTGGAAATGGAGGAGGACGACTTTGAATGTGGATTGGGCATTGAGGTTCTTGAAGTGACTGGACCGACCAGTTATGATGGCGATTGGGTTGATGAGGAGATGGAGAGGGATAACGAGGAGCGCAAAAATGCAGAGGGTGGGATTGCGTAGAGGAGGAAGTTCTTTTGTTTTATGCAGATAGTAAAGTCTTGGATCTCTTCAGTCTGTATTAAATTAATATGTCTCCTTATTTCCTTTTTAAATCTGTTTCTTTGTTTCTTTCGATTATATACTACAATGTCGTATTTGGCGTGCACACAGCAGAGGTGGGTGAGAATCTTTCCTATTGCCTCTCCGGGGCGTGATTCCTCTGCTGTAAATAACACCGACAACAGCCGCTGACACGTCTTAGCTGGTATGACATACTCACTCCTAACACATAACAAATCCAAGCCATGCCCATCTGAAGCCATCCTCATTTCCCACGCCCGGAACCCTGCGAAAAGTTAAGAACTGACAACAAATCGCCAAAAGGGAACCTGCTTCAGATCGCGAGCGCGTATACCGCGTCCCCATACAGCTGCCGCCACCTCGATAGACACTTCATCAAACTTCTCCTCACCGCCGCGTATCAACATCGCGCGCTCAACCTCTCCATCGGAGTCGGAGTCTATCCAACATCGCCGTGTTGAAGCCTCCGCCTACTATAAATTAATATTCAGCCTACCATAAGCAAAGTGTACTCGATCATATAGAAGACAATATGACAGAATACATTACAGGTCTAGCGGCGGGTCGGTGCACGGTCTTGCCATTGTCGGGAGGGCCGTAAAGGGGTGGGAAATGAACTGGCCGCACTGCCGGATGAGCGCATCAAGCGGAACTATTCGGCGAGCTGTGTCGAGTGCCACTGATTTCTGATACTTTGAGGCACGATGCTAGAAATAATTGAGGACACCCTATTTACCGATCAAGAGTAAGGGGGGAGGTAAAGGGAGGGAGGATCATGAAGTTCGTCCCCAAGACCTCACACACCGATTTGTTGGGAGAAATAAATAATGGGTTGGAAAGATTAGGAAACAAAATGTGATTCGGTCTGTTTCTATCGGAATATACGCACCTAATGACGGTACCAACCGGGAGAACTGCATTTCTGGTCGTACCGCTGAAGACCGATCATATATCACATATACCAACAGATCGCAGCTAACACCCCGGGATACCGTCCACCCCTCTATGATAAAGCAGAGCTCACAACACGTGTTTCAATATCGATGTTTCAAGGAAGAAAAAAATATCAATTCCTTTGGCCTGAATGGCTCGAGTGATAGGATATGACTGAATCGAGTGATCTTGGGTGAACGAGTGATGAAGTATGAACGAGTGATCTTTCATGACTTGTTGCAGTGCGCGGGAGAATGCGCATCTGTGAGTAGGATCAGATCTTGTTGTCCTCGCATAGAGGGTGTATTGCTTCATGAATTTTCACATTTCCACAGTTGAATGTCATCTAGAAGTATATAAACATGGCACGTATTAATAGTTTTATTCGATGTGTTGGATTACTCCATGAGCGTTGCAGGACAAAAAGAGAGAAGATCCACCTGTCTCTAGGTGAATGACATACAACGCAGGATAACATGGGGTATATTAGGTGCAGCCATCATAAGTTCACCCTTGAGCTCCAGTACGCCCATTCGGGGGAGCAGGAGAGAGTAGCATAAATCCAAAATATGTAGAACGACTGTTTAAGGATATCAACTATGTCTCTGAGACCATTCTTCTGAGCTGTATATTTTATCTAAACGTTCACTCCATCGGTATAGCTAAACCTAAGTGAAAAATGAATTTATCACTTCATTGAACAACGAATCGAGTGATAGCCCATGACTCCGGTCAAATGGGTCACAACACGGCTACCTAGTCTCAGAAATGACACTCATTAAAAACCAGGGGTAGGAAGGTGATGGGAGAAAGATCTTCAAGAGAATATCTGCACACGTTACACCTCAGTGGGTGTTTGTTTGATTTGCCGGTAGCACGCCGGAAGGTGTGATCTTGAAGATGGACGGGGAGGTTGGGGTGGATGAGAAAGGTATGTAAACAAGGTGAGGACACATTGAACACCCAAAACAATACCGGTGCTCGGGTTAACCACGTATAACGATAGTCTAGTACAAAAGGTTAGGGTTGATAGATATATCATGTATTACCGGAACTGCCTATGCACAGAGGATCAGTCTATCGGTATTTTTACGAACTGCCCCTTGTAGATATAAGTTCTTCGTCTTATATATGATGCCTCTTTCCTTTCCCCACCTGCGGTCCTCCGTAATTCTATACAGAAAGCTGTTCTGAGTGATGATATAAACAGTTGATTCCTTTAACGATTTCAGGTTGATTTAGCATCCGTGACGGTCATATCCCCCCACCCCTTGTCCACTGGGGAGCATTGTTTGATCGCTTTCTATCGGTACAAAAGAGAATATTAAGTGTCTGAGAAGGCGATACGCAGACAATCATATACCCACTCTCATATAAAAACAAATTTCCAGCTTAACTCAACACCCAGTCCAGCGACCAACGGTTTAGCTCAAAGTTGATCGAAACCCCAAGTGGAGGTATTCCATTCCAATTCCGTCCCACTTCCGGCTGTAAAAGTTCCGAAATCTCTCAATGCAGAACTATCTTCGTCCTTTCCAAACAATTGTAGTCACTCGCCCGTTGAATTGAGGCAATGATACATTGTTTTTCTCGAAGCGTTACTCGCAGGTTATCTGCTGCGGAAATTGGTTCGATATTGAGCATATACTAATACGTGCAACTTTAAAAGTCAGTGAGAGAAGCTCTATTTGCAGAAGGAAAGAATGTTAGGTAAGGATTATAAGACATATCTCTGAAAAGAATTGGTTCTTACCGCATGTCCAACAGGTTTCCATTTCCTTCCCCAAGAGAAACCGCCGGAAATGACGAAGCACAAGGGCAGAGAGCGAGCACCATCACTTCAATATACCCCCGTAGGTACGGCGACTGGTTCTCGTCGGAGTCGGAGATGTCTGCGGGTCTCGTGGATTATCACGGCGAAACTGTATAATTCGTATGGTGTAACGGTTATAGGTAGAGATATCACATGAAGCTCATATGAGAGCATCATAAAACCAGTATTTGTTCGGAATGTGAACTTTTAACTGTGACGGATGGCGGGACTTCTTTGCTGTTTATAAAAGGCTATCCCCGCATAGGTTTAGTTAAACGTAATTTCGATATTCCTCTATATGTCGAGCAATATCGACCTAGTTAAGGGAGGTCAAGGAGTGTTTTCTAGGTGCAATTATTGAACTGTTCAAAGGTCTTCGTCTTCTTTGAACCTTGTAGCGCCGGTAATAGAGCGATGCTTGTTCAGAGCTGCAAAAATGGCCTATGAGAAGAGATTAAGGGTTCAGGGGGACCATCGAGCCCGCGAGGCAAACCGAGTTGTTGGTGCTCCAGTAGATTGGGGCGAGGTTAGCAGGAGACGCGCCAAGACGCACATCTTACCTGGTCCTTTTTTACCCCACCAAGTCTTTTTTTTCTTCTTCACTTTTGTCCACGCTCACTCTTCAAAAACTTACAACGCAACCTTCTTCCTCGCTCTCATATCACCTCTGCTACAGAAACCCTTGCTACTCTTGCTTTTGGAGCCTCAATCTGTTCTTTACATCTTCCTCCTCCGTTGGAAGGCTATGACTGAGGTATATTTTCACTTTCACTTGGATGATGTTACTTCTCTAATAGGCATTGTAGAGATTTGCATGTTAGATCTTTCAATGTGTGCGATGTGTCTCTAGGTTCAGGGAGAGGAGTCTCCACTTCCGGGTATTCCTCGCACCTGAACGTATTTACATATGGCGGCTAGTTGAAGTAGTCTACATGTGGTATCTAGACTATGAGGAGAAATACAGTGTCTAATGAGAAGTACGCCGTACAACTTTACCTATCAACAGTGCAAGGAGCATAGAGGGCTCTGGTATGGTTGATCATCCCTCTCATACACTCAGTGAGTAAATATTCACATAGGCACAGAGACTGTGAGGTCTGTTGTATGGTCTTCAAACGTCCTAATTGGAGAAGATATTAAGCAGCTCTAATATACATCTAGGGATCACTCAATGGGACGAGCTCGGACCAGAGCACGCGAGCAAGGCTCACATATGTCGGCAACAGTATGCTTGGTAGCGGCATACCCCTGTAGCACTGGAGCCTACATATGTGAGCTTGGCGGCTGCATGATGCCTTAATTGAGCCCAAGAGGGCTTGTTTATTCTATGAGAAGTAGAATTTTAGACAGAGAAATAGTTGGTGGAACATAATGGCTTTCATTAAGAACTGAGCATACAGCACAGCGGTGATAAGTCCTTATGATCGTAGGGGAGAGTAGAATTATGAAGGGTATCAGGCGCGAGAAAAGGGACTGCTAGAGCATGCAACATTTCAGAAATGAGATGATAAATGATTGGCGGGTCTGACTATACTCTGCCAGTGTTGACTGATAAAATCACAGTGTCGAAAGGGTTATGATTGCTAGGTTTGAGGGGGGAAGTTGGCCTTGTGGTCTTCACCTCGGAGCTGTACTGAAATCTTCTCCCATGTTCAGCTTCAAAATGCATCTTCTTCAAGTCTCTAGTCAGAAGGTAATGCAAGAAAGATGGACGATTAAATGGTCGTTAATTTACCTCATGCGAGTTGAGCAAGAGGTAGACGTTTATTAAGATAATCTTTACGGTTATAAGAACAACTGCATGTTTTCTTCGCAAAAGGCTATTGGATCTTGAATATAAAGCCTCCTCGTTCCGAATGTACATGTGCCATCTGCAGAATTCGCTACTGCTTCCTTTACCCCCGGCATGCCATGACGAAGACCTTCATTGTAATTAATGTTAACCTCATGTGTATGAGTAACGTTATCGGCCCTGAGATTCAGACGTCTTTTCCAGGAAAGGTGTTTGGGGAAATGCCAATGCTAAGCGATAGTTCTGTAGCTTTTAAACTTGTAATATTGTAAACCGGATTCCGCTCGCTGAGTGACTGATAATGCCACTAAGACGAGGCAGAACCCTCCCTATTTATACATATTGGAACCTATGCCAAGGCCCGCTTTCTAATACTAAAGAGATAACGATAATAGAATAAGA